CAGTTTGGAAACGAAAGCTTTGCAAAGGTGCCAAGAGTCAAAGACACCCAAGACAAAGCCGTTACACCCGTGTCTCTGTCGCCGCCTTCCCGCCGCCGCGTTCACTGGGCTTGCCCTTTGGTGTAACGAGCCCTACCTTCTTGTGATGTTAGCCCTAGGTACCTGTGGCTGCTCTGGATATTTCTCACCCTTTGTTTTACAAGTTTCTTTGTGTGATGATCAGCTTTGATTGTCTGCCATCACGCGCCGGTCCGTTGCAACACATGGACGAGAAGATGGTGTGGACAACGCTCCGGCTTACTGGATCAAAGCATATGAGCGACACTGAGCGACAGCCGACAGGAGCAAAATGTCAAGAATGTGTAACGATAGGTAGGGGCAAGGTCGAACTGCACGTGTGGTGGTCGGTAGGTGTACGTGTAACTCGCAGATATTGGCCGGTTTCTTATAGCTGCCTTATGTATGAGTTGCCATACGGGCACACGAACACCAAAGAAGCCCATCACAAGCTTACGCCCCTCGCCCTTTGCCCGGTTGAAAGCCTACACAAACACGGCAAGTGAAGAGATACTGTAGCCGATCTCGACCCCGCGGTGCGGTGGTGCTCGTTTGATTCACACCCCTTGATGCGGAGAAAGAGCCCTTGGCCGCGAGAGCATCGAGAAAGATACCTATTTCAGTCGTGGTGTTGATGCCCTGATGCCCAGCTTGGGCAGCTCTGGTGTAGTCGGGGGCGTATAAGAAATCTCAATGGGCCCGAGCAGTTGAGGCTCTCACTCGTCTTTCAGCTCTCTTCCTTGCACATTCAACTCGAGGGGACCTCCGTGTAAGCCACCGAACACAAAGATCCAGATCATTAGTTCCCTGCTTCGAAGGGAGCTGGAGGGTCGCACACTTACACTCAGACACACGCCCACACACACCAAACGAAAACTTTTTTTCTTCATTTTGTTTTCCCATCTTGCTCTGCTCCAATCCTTCCTCTCGGGATCTTGTGTCTTGGGACTCGGTACCCGGACGTAGAACGGAAAGAGAAAGGTCTGAGTTGGGGGACCCCATTTCTTGCTCGCCATCGCGCATCCCCAGCCGGCGGCTTGCCCTTGTTTAGTCCAATATTCAATTTTTCTTTACGTTTAGGGTCAACGTTAGCTCGGGTCTGGGTACGCTCAGCACTAACAACAAAAGGCTGTGGGCTTTCTGTGTGCGCCTCATCCCAAGCGTCCAAGATCCACTCGACGTCCACTGCATCGCCCATTTGGCAGTGCAATTTCATCGCAATCGCTCAGCATCAAGTATCAACTGGCATCCCACGCCGCCCCACCTCTGCCATCTCACGGACTGCCAGATGGAAATCGAGTTAGCGCGGCTGGTTCCCCTCCTCTCCCTGGCCCTTTTCGGCTTCCCTCTCGCAGTGTCTCTTTCGGTTGCAGAACCCTGGGATCTCTTTCTTTGACATTCCTCCGAAGAGGTACGTACCTTTTTGTCGCTTTGATACCCTGCCACGCCTGCCCTTCCCGATCGTTCGTTCGTCCGCCTTCCCTTGCCCTTTTTCTTTTTCGGTGCCGGTGACCCCTTGCCCTGCCCGTGGTGCCCTTGCTCTGTCCTTGTTGGCTCTGCTGGATTCAAGTTCCATTCCAGCTAGCCAGCAGCATTGCGCCAGTTGCGCGCGCGCATCCACATCCCATCGACATCCATTCGCAACAGGCGGTTGACCTCTCATCGGAGGGTACCACACGGGTCCACGGTACGTACCGGTGGAGACCCGCACACTTTCAAAAGAGCCACCTCAAGGCTCCATTTGGAGCAAGCCCGGTCTGGTGTTACCCCATCCAGCCCATCGCACCAGTGGCATCCCGTGCACGGTGGTGCACCCCCATCCGCACTCCATAGTAGGCACTGCAGGACTGGCTCTTGCATTTATTCGATATTCCCACGATTCCTCCGTTTCTGTGCCTTCTGTTGTTGGTCCTCGCATCCTGATATTTTTGGCTTTTCCCACCCTCCGGCCAGCTGATCGCCTTTGCGCTTTCTCTGTTTCTTTCTTCTTTCTTGCCTTCCCTCCCCTACATCTGCCGAGGACCCTTTTCCTTCCATCCCGTCACTGACAATAACCTGGCAACTCTTCTAGAAGGAGTCACCATATCCTTGTTCCTTCCCATTCTTCGCCACGGTTCCGACGGCTACCTCTTTGGCAACTCAGACGTCATCCAACCACAACAACACACGCAGCCTACCACTTAGCGTACCCAAAAAGTAACCAAGTTACTTTCTCTTGCGTTGGCTCTTATTGCCGGCCGCGGCGCAGCACGTTGTTAATCAGGGCCTTGCCTTGATACACACAACCAGCCAACACACACCAATCTTCAACCTGCATCCTTCCATAGATCGTTCATCATGTTTTTGCAATCATAGCCAACCGGTCCTTAGGGGCCCGACCTAATCCGCTGCTTACGCGGAGCTTTAGGAATACTTCACCATTCTGGAGACTTCCTGCTACGTTTTCCGCAAATCCTCAACAATCTATTGACGACTTTACTTCTCGGCCTCACTTACACCCCGCAAGTCGAGAAGACCCATCCGTTGACGATTGGCCATTCTCATTCGCAACGCCCTCCAGCAAGACAACCACCACACCTCACCGTCAACATTCTTGCGAACACCTTTGACCTACTCAACCAGCCTACCAAACACATTCGACCAGTACCAGGACTTGCCTGCCAAAATGGAGAACCGACGCATGTCGCGCGACTTCGCGGCATCACATGTCCTTGCGTGGACAACGACCCAGTCCGTCATGGTGGAGCCGTCATTAGAGGAAGACTTGGAAACCGATGCGGATGAACCCCCGGATTCAACAATGCTACCCATGTCACCACGCTTTGAGCGCGCTCCCGTTCACACGGGCAGCCAACACCAAGAGTCTATGTTGACCAAGGCTCTTCACAGCCCCTCTGACTCTGATCATTTCGAGTCTGATTATCAACCTCGCCGATTGGGAAGGAGACGCTCTATTACCAGCACTTTCAGCCTGGCTTCGACTGCCGACTACACTTACGATACCGGCATTACTACCCCTCCTCGTACTACTTCACCGAGCCCACGTTCCACCGGCATCACCTTCCGACTCTCGTCCAAAGTCACCAACACGAAACCCAGTACTGTCTCGGATGAAAGAGTCCAGGTCGCCCCGCCGGCTGCTGCCGTGCAGGCGCCAGAGAAGAAGCGATGCATCTCTTTCGCTTGCGCGGCCAAGCCTAGAGTCAACGATCAAGCATTGACGCAGCCCCCGCCCACGCCAGTTAGGGAGGAAGTCGAGACTCAGGAAGCGCCCAAGAGACCGACCATCAAGTTTGCTTGTGCTCCTCGCCCACAGAGGGATCAGCCTTCGCCAACTCAGCCTACCCGTCCCGCTACACCGCCCCCAACATCGGTCACCTCGCCACTCAAGGAAGCGTTTGAATTGATCCCCAGATCCCAGTCGCGCAGAAGCTCTGTGGCTACCATTTCGACTGTGGCTACCATTTCGAAGAAGTATCTTACTGCCGAGTCCGGAGATTTGGAGAGCGAGCGCGCCCGTTTCCACGAGTTTGCGAGCGATGAGCCTCAGGAAGAGGACTGGATCCGCGAGGATTTGACTTCCAAGCCTAAGCTTACCATCGACGACACGCTCAAGAAGGAGCTCGCTATTCGCAAGATCGGAAAGGAAGCCGAGGAAGAGGCCGAGCTCGAGGAAGCAATTGAATCAGGCGAAGCGCTCGAAAATGATGAGGAGGCGGACGGCGATGAAGACGCGGAAGACAATGACGAGGACGAGGATGAGGACAACATGGATGACGATGAGGACGACAACGAAGACGAGGACGAAGATGAAGATCTCAGCGATGCCCACTCTGTCTCCGTCTGGGGTGATGATGCGTCTGACGGTTACAAGACCGACTCTGAGATTGGGTTCGGCGAGTCCGACGATGAGGACGACGATGACCTGGTTCTTTGGACTACTGGTGGTCTTGCCGATCTTTCATTGTCTGGTGCTACCCCCGTTGTTCGTCGGGGTTCCGTTGACGAGTCCTCAGACTCGTCTGCTGGCTCGGATGGCAACAGCGTCGCTCGCCGTGCTTTGAGGAGGCGCGACACGATTAGGGCTCGTGACTTCCGCCCCGCTACCCCTGATTTGCCTGACAGCACAGATTTCGTCTGCGGCACCTTGGATGAGGACCGTCCCTTGGAGGCGGCCTATTTGGAGCGCCTGGCTGCCCGCAAGCAGAACAAGCTCGTCTTCATTCCTCAGGACATCGATCCCAGCTTTCCCACCTCGGAGCCTGAGGATGAGGGAGAGGAGTTGTACAACAAAAGCGCCCACGGGCATGACGATAGTGAGGACGATATGTGGCAATTGGAGGATTTGCACTCGGAGCGTGGCCGCATTGGTCGTGCGAAGAAGGCTCATAACTCGCCTAGGCGATGCCGCTCACCTCCGCCCAAGAGGCGTCTCTCTCCCTGCCCCAAGCCTCGCGGCCGCAATGATCGCAAGTTGTTCGACCTATCTTCTCCCCGCGGGATGAGGTCACCTGCGCCTCCTGTTCCGTCCGCAAAGTCACCCCGTGCTTCTCCTGCTATGGGAGCCGATGGCGTTGCGTTCAAGTCACTCGCATTCAGACCGGGCTTGACATTCACCAAGTCACTGCCCAAGGGACCAGTCATGTTCCCTCACATCAACAAACAGCATCCTCGCAGATCCCGTGCTGGCACCGCCACCCAAGATACCCACATTCGTGGTGCCATTGACATTGTCAAGGGCTTGGAGGAGAAGCGCCAGAGGCGCAAGGAGAAATATTATCAAAAGTATTGCAGCCGGGCCCGCAAGGAGAAGGCTCAGCCCCAGAGACCTCCTCCTGGACAGGGTGCCGAGCGCATGCGTGAAGTTGGCCTGATTATGGCTGGCAAGATCGGCCAGGGCAACTATGTTCTTTCTTATTAAACTCGCGTCGGGGGGCAGTTTATCAGCATTCACACGGCGAATTATACCCTGGGTTACAACGGCAACTGGAGAGGCATTTCTGATTTTTACCACGTTTGCGGCGGCGGCTTTCTCTCGTCCGGCATTCGGTATCTACACTTTCATCCTCTGGCTCATTGATTACACCTTTTGTACCACCCGTTTCATTGTAATTGCATAGTCGGCGTTGCAAGCGAGCATCGGGTCGGCTTCCTGTGGGCTGTGCCTGGGCGGACATGTTCTGTCTATTCTTATTCTTTTCTTGTTGGAACGTTTTTGTACATATTTCTTTCTGCCTGCCCTTGCTCTTCTTTTTTTCTCTTTCTACGTGGCACGCTGCGGTTTTGAGAGCGCGCGTGTGCACATTCGGACTCTCTGTAGAGGCGGAGATACGGATTCGATGGCCGGGGGTAGATATACCCTGCAGAACCTGTCTTGGAGTTTGGGACCTCTGGAGACGACGAGAGGATGGGAATGGGATGGGACGGATGGCAACGGATTGGCAAATATCCGTATCAGCGATTGTGAGCTGATTTCTTGGTTTGGACATACGCAACCAAGTGCTGGGGTTGGGAAGGAAACTCGTCTATACATAACTATAGATCCTCCTACATACCACAAACAAACAAAGAAGTAAAATTTCAAAATAACACAATGTGTGCCCTTGCTTCATTCTGTGAACTCATTTCGTCGGTGAACGCTCGGGATTCCAGGTGAGAGCAGTGATGGTGTCTTGGCGGGAGATGCGTCGGACTGATCGGGTGGCATCTGGAATCCTCCCTCTCCTGAGTCCTGCATCAATGCCATGGCTCCTTGATGCGGTTGCTACGGTTGCTTTGGCAGCTGCAGGCGGGCGTGCATGTGGTGCTGTTTCCGCTGTTTTCTTTTTTCCCCCTTCTTTTTGGGCGGTGACACGGTGACAACCTAAGCCTGGCCGGGGATTTTGCCCCTGAACGTCCGCCCCCTGACTGCCCAGACTGCTCGCTCACGGCACCAGACGAAAAGCGGGAGAGAAAGGACAGGTCACGTGGAAATGCCTGACATTCCAGGCCAACAATCACAAGACCATTGCAGGGGCAAGCAGGGGCCAGTCCGGCGCTGAGGTGTCCTCGCCTTATCGTTCCTGCCAGCAGTGCACTCCTGGGCTCGCGTGGGTCATTGAACCTTCTGTGGACATTTCCTTGTAGCGTGTGTGCGCGCACCTCCCGACCGCCTTCACTCGTACACTTTTGTCATAGCTTCTTCCAGTTGCTTTCGCATCGCAACATCCACGACGCCAGCCAACGAAGCCTCGTCAATACCCTCGCTCACGTTTTCGCCGATCCCTCCTTGTGCGAACACTCTACCGGCCCTTTACACGACTACCTGTTCTTCTAGAACCCCTCGACTTTCTCGCATCATCAACAAAAGAGGTGTCCTCTAGATAATCATTTCGTCACCATGTGGTTGTTCTCTTGGTGTATGTTGTTACATCCCTATCCCATCCATCCAAGTGCCAATCCAAAACCCTCGTTCCCCCTTTGTCCATCGCCGTCATGGACCATGGATATGGACATGCAGACCATGAACATGCGGATTGCTGGGGATTCGGGGAGTTCAGTGTGATATGGAACGAACACGTTTGGGAACTTGCAAAGCTGACATGATGGCGCCACCAACAAACAGTCTACGATATCCTTTCCAACCTCGGCCTGCTTAACAAGCATGGAAAGCTGCTCTTCCTGGGTCTCGACAATGCCGGAAAGACCACCCTCCTACACATGCTGAAGAATGACCGTGTTGCCATTCTCCAGCCTACTCTCCATCCGAGTCAGTTTAACCACCTGCCACCTACCATTGTTTCCCCGTCAACCCCGGACCTTTGATACCCGAGCACCTTTCGCCCTCTTCGCCTCCGCCTCGACTGTTCCCGTTCCCGCTCCCGTTCCCGGCTCCATACTCCGCGTCAGATATGCGCGCACGTGTCACGGAGAGATGTTCAAAGAGTGGTTATGGCTGACATGATTCGTTTTTGTAGCTTCGGAGGAGCTTTCCGTCGGCAACGTCAAGTTCACCACTTTCGATCTTGGCGGCCATCAGCAGGGTGAGTGGATATTCTTCTCCTACTTAGGGCTTTTGTTTTTGTCTCTTTGAGCATTGACATAGCGCTCTGCCATGGGAGGCTTTTGCTAACGAATGCGGTCTCTATAGCCCGTCGTCTCTGGAAGGACTACTTCCCCGAAGTAAACGGTATTGTCTTCCTCGTGGACGCCAAGGACCACGAGCGTCTCCCCGAGGCCAAGGCCGAGATCGATGCGCTCCTCTCGATGGAGGAGTTGGCCAAGGTTCCCTTCGTCGTGTTGGGCAACAAGATCGACCACCCCGAGGCCGTCTCCGAGGATGAGCTCAGGCAGAGACTCGGTCTCTGGCAAACGACCGGCAAGGGCAAGGTTCCTCTCGAGGGCATCCGCCCCATCGAGGTGTTCATGTGCTCTGTGGTTATGAGACAGGGATACGGAGAGGCCATCAGGTGGTTGTCCCAGTACGTTTAAGGGCTGTTAAGGGGATGAGGAGCAGGACAGGATGGTTGTAAGGTAATAACATTTTGTAATATGATACGATGATGACAAGGAAGGGACTGGAGGGAGTCGCGATATCAAAATTGAGGAGCGCATTTTTACAATCTACAGATACGTACGAGGCTTATCAGACGGTGGGACGTGGAGGGACTACGTTTAACGACTAGCGTTATCTTGATGATGATGGTGTAGGTTCTCTTTTGCTCTCCGTCAAATTCCGGTATACCTTGTCATATTCGCTTAGCATCACAGTGTTTACCTAGCTAGGCCCGAGTTTGAGAGGTCATTCTAGCAATCTGTGGAATCATTACCGGATGAACGTGAACGTCAACAACAAAGCCCAGTTCTCGAATGACAAGGATACCGGAGTGTTGGGCTGGAACGCATGTGCAGAAGAGACACTACGTAGCCCGGCAAGAGCCCCGTGTATCCACTCTATTCGTCCCCCACCATCGTTTTCGGTATTTGGGTATTTAGCGGGGGATTTGGCACTTCTCCTCTTCTTCCACCAGGCCAATCCAAACTATCAATTTCTCCAATTGGTCCCATCCTTGATCTCACCCGTCCTCGGCTTCGCCCGCCCACTAAATACACTATCCACGGGCAAGGGTCGACCGACGTCATCCAACATTCTTGCGACACTCGCGCAACTCCAAACGCTTTTGGCAGTTGGCACCAAGACCAACGACAAGAACGATCAAACACCAACCATTGCGCCAGAAACCAGCGTTGTATCCCGATCACCTTAGACACACACCTATTCCCTTTGAGACCCTATTGTCGGATTCCTCTTTGATTCCGTGTCACCTCATTGCCCAGCCATTCCCGTATCGGGGTGGATCATTCAGAATATCAAAAAGCCAAAAGGCTTCGATCATCAGTCATCAGCCATACAGTACCAGGACCGAAGATTCCACTTCACATGCCTCCCTGGCGATTACTCGATATCTTTCAGTGACGACGTCGACGATCCTTGAGCATTTGCCCAAGCGTGTCTTCTTGTGCTTGGATTCCCGACCCTTTTTTTTTTACCTACAATTCGCAATCTCGTTTGCGACTGGTTTCTTTGATTACGCAACAACTCAAACAAAACGAAAAGCCTCCTGTCCTGATATCGCAACCATCGCAACTTGTCGGAGCTACCTACACCTACCTACCTTAGTTACTTGCGACAATATCCATTATAGCCGAAAGCAGACACCACGGCACATCCTATCTCATGGCCGACGACACAGACAACCCACCAAACATCCAAATACCAGCAAAGGCATATGGCTTTCCGCCAGAAGCCTTCGACCCTAGGCGGCTTCCCGACTACGATACCAATTTCCTACCCGCTCATGACCTCGAGGCTTTCATCCAAGCCCTCGCGGCGCCCGACTTCGTCCAATCACCAGACGATTCATCGTCTATGCGCCTGAACAGCCCAGGACTTCACAGCGCCAGCAGTCTAGACATCACCAAGGATGACTACGATCATTCTGAAGCGCGCGCAGCCGTCGCCTCCGTTGCCGATGTAGCTGCTCCTGGCACGCCGCAGCCCAACCCAACATCTACCTCTGCTGCTCCTAACGGAGGCAATAACCACCATCGCCGCACCAGCACCGGTACCTTCTTCAGCGCGCACAACGACTGGGCGCCTGTGAGTGAAAAGGTCATTAAGGCCGACAGAGACGAGAAGCGCAACAAGCGCGGCAAGGATCGCAAAAAGAAAAAGCTGCCCAAGGGTGTAGCCCCTCTGCGCGCTCTGGTGGGCACTCGGTCCAAGGATGAAACTCGCGAGGGCTACCTGTACAGCCTGCTCAAGTGGCCCTTCTTACTAATTGTTAGTATCTGGATTACGGGGCTGGGCATTGCCTACCTCGCCACCCGCTTTTACATCTACTTCTACGAGCAGTTCGTCACATGGCGTGGAAGGCGGGAGCAGCTGCGGCGGGCGATGCGAGCGACGGGTAACTACAAAGACTGGGTGACGGCGGCGCGGAACATGGATGACTTCTTTGGGAACCAGCGGTGGAAGGAGGAGAACGATTTTGCCTACTACGACAGCAAGACTGTGAGGAGGGTGTGGGATCAGATGAGGAGGTGCAGGGAGAAGGCAGAGGCGGTGGAGAGGGAGCTGGAGCGCGAGAGCCAGAACAGCGATAGTGGCGTTGGATCTGGTGACGAGACCAGCAACACCAAGACGGGCAGCAAAGACGGCAATAAGAAGCAAAAGCAGCCGGTTGAGGATCTGAAGGCGCTCATTGAGGCCTGTGTCAAGAATAACTTTGTGGGCATCGAGAACCCGCGGCTATATAGTCAGACGTACTATGGAACCAAGAACTTGGTGCAGAACTACGTCGATGAAGGTGAGTTGAGGCACTCCGCAAGAGACACCGAGCCGAACCATGTGTTGACTGACGGGAATAAACAGTGGAACGAAGCATCAAGTTCTTGATTGACACTAAGCAGTTGACCAAGGAGCAAAAGAGGGTCATGTTCAAGGGTATCTGTGCCAACTACGGCCGAACAGCTCTCTGCCTCTCCGGCGGCGCAACCTTTGCCTACTACCACTTCGGTGTCGTCAAGGCCCTGCTCGAAGTGGACTATCTCCCCGACATCATCACCGGAACCAGCGGCGGTGCCCTCGTGGCCGCCCTCGTAGCAACCCGCACCAACGACGAACTCAAGGAACTCCTCAACCCGGCCCTCGCCCACAAAATCACCGCCTGCCGCGAGCCCTTCACCGTCTGGTTCTGGCGCTGGTGGAAGACGGGCGCGCGCTTCGACTCGGTCGACTGGGCCAAGCAATGCGCCTGGTGGTGCCACGGCAGCCTGACCTTCCGCGAAGCCTACGAGCGCACCGGCCGCATCCTCAATGTCTCTTGCGTGCCCTCGGACCCTCACTCCCCCACCATCCTCTGCAACTACCTCACCTCGCCCGACTGCGTCGTCTGGTCGGCTGTCCTCGCCTCCGCCGCCGTCCCGGGAATCCTCAACCCCGTAGTCCTGATGATGAAAAACCGCGATGGGTCCCTCGAACCCTACTCCTTCGGGCACAAGTGGAAGGACGGTTCCTTGCGGACCGACATCCCCATCAAGGCTTTGAACCTGCACTTCAACGTCAACTTCTCCATCGTCTCGCAAGTAAACCCGCACATCAACCTCTTCTTCTTCTCCTCCCGGGGCTCCGTCGGCGAGCCGGTAACCCACCGCAAGGGCCGCGGCTGGCGCGGCGGCTACCTCGGCTCCGCTACCGAGCAGTACATCAAGCTCGACCTAACAAAATGGCTGCGCGTGCTACGCCAGTTGGAACTCCTCCCGCGCCCGCTGGGTCAGGACTGGAGCCAGCTGTGGCTGCAGACGTTCGGCGGCACCGTGACCATTTGGCCCAAGAGCATCCCCAGCGATTTCTTGAAGATCCTCAGCGATCCTGATCCGCCCAGGCTGGCGAGGATGATCCACGAGGGCCAGCAGAGCGCGTTTCCCAAGGTTAAATTTATTGCGAACAGACTCAAAGTCGAGAGGCTGGTGGAGCGCGGAAGGAGGGAGACGAGGGATCGGACTCCGAGGAACGCGTTGAACGCGTTTGCTGCTACGGGTAATGGTGAGGGGAATTATGATGCTTCTAGTAGCACTGTTGATGCGTTGGGTTTGGGTGGTAGACATCCTCTTGCGCCGAGCAGCTCGGGTGGGGCAGGTGATAGGAGGGGAAGCATTGAAAGTATCTTGAGTGAGGATGATTTGAGGAGTTTGTTGATTAAAGGCCGGGGAGGGGGACATACGAGTGGGGGGAGCAGTACGGGGACGGAGGATGAGTTGACGATGACGGAGTTGGAGGGGGAGGATGGTGGGAGGACGAGTAGAGTTAGTGAGGGGGGGAGTAGGGATGGGTATTTTGAGGAGGCGATGGCTGATGATGGTGGGGGTTTGGAGATGGCTACCTCTGGTCGTTCGAGGACTTAGTAGGTGTCGTTGACCCTAAAGTTTTGGTTAGTTGAATTGGAAGTGGCTTAGAGTTGGAGGCAGCAGGGAATGCATTAGAGCGGGTTTTGAATCATCATCGCATATACACACCTAGGTCAATAGGATCAAAACATATCTTAACAAGCCCCGTTTTCGGACAACTGCATTGCATGTATCATATTCATATACAAAAAAGTGAAACGACCACCCTCCTAGTCAACGATGCTAATGTACCAGGTGCCTGCTTCCTCATGCCGTTCTTCTCTCAGTGATACCTGTAACCATAAACCCCCGTCCTCCACGTGGAATAATAATACTGTCCCCAACTCTCTCATCTATTCTTCTTTCAAAACCAACAGCTCACTCGTCCAGGTCCAGTGACCCCTACCACCACCATCAAACACCTCACTCATTCAAAAACTCCTCTCCGACATAATCGTAGGCAACACTGTATTTCGACCATCCTCGCGCCGCTCAGCTCTTGAGCTAGACCTACTGAAAATGGTAGAAACAAAGCTTTTCCGTTTCTTCGGTTGGTGTTGGTGTTGAGGAGCTAGAGCGCTGCTATGCGACCCGGCGTTATTGTTTGCGGCAGTAGGTCTGTTAGAAGTTGGATAGTCGAAGTGTTCTCGAGTGTCCGTCGTCGGTAAATTTCCTCCTCGTCGCGGTGAGGAGTGTGAGCTCGTCCGTTCGGGAACGGGGAGAGGAGAATCCTCTGCGCTGGTTGGTGGTGTGAGTTGTCCATGTCGTTGGCGATGGCTGTGGTTACGGCTACGGGATTGGGCTTGAGTTTGGGTTTCCTTTTGGGTGTGACTGGGGTCTGCTGGGTCTGGTTCGGGGGCGGCGGTTGTTGCTTGTCTGAAGTTGGCTAGGGATTTCTGCCTTGTTGTTTAGCATTTTGTCCTGTTTCTTCATTAACCTCGAGGAGGTGACGTAGGTAAGTACCTTCACATTAAGCTTCATCCTCCCCCTCGACTTCTTCATCGACAAAATACTTTCTCCCTCCTCAGTCCCTGCTGCTCCTGGCGTAACGGTTTTCGACAACGGCAATCCACCACCACCAGCCCTACCACTTCCAAAAACAACCCCCTTCTCAGCCATCTCCATCTCCCCACTCACCGTCATCCCCCCGCTCGCCAAACAATCCTCCGCTACAGGAATAAACTTCAACAGTCCCCTCGACGGACTCACCCCGATCGCCTCCTCGAAGTGTTTCTGAATTAGTGCCGCATTTCGCTTGTTTGTGGTCGGCTGCAGATGGCTCGGTAACGCCGAGACGGTAACCACGTACGCCGGGTCGAAAGTACCGCCGAATAACATGCAGGCGCCGTGGTGGAGGGTGACGACGATGGAGGATACGGGGCGTTGATATCGAGAGGAGAGGTGGTAGGTCAATTCAGTGATGAAGGTGAATTCGTCGCTTATCTGGGTGGTGAGTGATGGAGATGGGTTGGTTAGTTCATTTGAATGTGTAGGGAGAGCGAAAAAGAAGGATGGAAGCAGGGAGGGAGGGACCAAGGGACCGGACGAAACTCACAATCACATTCGTCTTAACCTCCGCCATAACCAGCGCATCACCACGTATCCTCTCCTTGGCCGGACTAACCTCGTTAACAGAAAAGGCGCCCTCCCAAAAGTCGAGGTTGCTCTTTTGTCTGCTGAGCTCAGCTACCGACGCTCGCTTTGATGAGGATGACAATTTTGATGGTTTTTGCTCTCGCTTGGGTCCAGGTGCGACGGTGACGTCTCCTGGGAGAGGACGGTCGATGTCTCGCATGATCCGGTCAAGGTTCTGGCTCTGGTCCTGGTTTTTGTCGTTGTCGTTGTTGTTGTTGTTGTCCTCGGTAGAGGTAGCTTTTGAGGGTCGGATTTTGACGGTATCGGATTCTGAATTGGTGGAGCCTAAAACCTGTTGGGCCTTGCGTTCGGAGAAGGACATCTTGCTTTTGCTTCTGTTGATGTCCTTTAAGGGGACTGGTGGTGGTGGGCTGTCTTTGCTGGGACCGGTGCTAGTTTGAGGCCGTTCGACGGCAGCCGTGGGAGAAGTCGGTTGGTTGGCCATTGTTGAGGAGGTTGGTGGTGGTGACTTGGGGAGACTTTAAAGGTTCCTTTGGATAGTGACCATGTAAATGTGTTGTTGTAATCGATGATGAATCACGAGTTCCAACTGGGTACAAGTAAGTGATGGATAAGTCCACTTACTCCTCAGCGGCCTGAATTGTGAATGGCTTCGTTCCTCTCAATGGTCGAATCCGGAGCTCGTCAGAATCCTGAAGTGTCTGTCCAAAGAATACGCCGTCTCCTGAGCCGTCGAGTCAAGCCAAATATTGGACCGCAGTAAGAACTGACAAAGTGGCTTGGTCGATAAGATGATAGAAACTCTGTAGAAGGATGGTGATGGCGAAGAAGGGAGTTGTCAGATATTGCCGACAAAGAGTCCAAACCACGGCGTTAGGCACCACCGCCACTCTCGAAAATCAGGGTGCAGGAGGAATAAGGCAAAGGCGCAAACGAACAGGAGGGGGGGCAGACGCAACCTCCCTTCTCGTTCTGCTCCTTCCCTATACGTCCCAGTTCAGTTGGTTGTGTGGTTGAAATGGAAGTTACCACCCGTCGTAGTAGTGGTATCAACGTGGGAAGGATCGATCCGATCGTGGGGAGAGACAAAACTGAGTGTAAGTACAAGACAGGGCTTAGACTTGGACGTGAGACAAGTCAAGCCTCAAGACATACGAAAGAGGGTTAAAGGGGAAAGAGCGAGGGAGGAAAGAAAAACAGGGAGATCAGAAAAGACGAGATGGGATGGCTTTGAGGAAGGTCCTTAGATAAAAGCGATTGGGAAGACCCTTCCCTCTGCCGGTTGTGAGTGACCAGACCATTTTACCCTCTTGACATCCTCCACAGGTCCATCCATACATAAAACCGATTTCATACACCGTACCGTGACTGATGAAACCCTTCCATGTTTGTACTTCGCATCACGAAGGGCAGAAAACCGAGAAAAAGGAAAAGCAAGCAGAATTTACTGCAGGCAAGCCGGCAGCCAAGCACACGGTTAGGTATTGTACCTCGCCCCCATCCGACTGGACAACGGTCGATGGACGGCTATGTAATATCCGCAACTGTCGTATGTTAAGTACCTTTAGTCAGTATCAAGTTGTGCAGATGTCTGGTCCCAGGCCGGGAGCTGCGTTAGTTCAAGTCAGATGTATACAGGCCTCCTCGAGTGTCAGAAAGATCGTTATCAATCAATCCTCAAGAGGCACAGCATCTTTCAAAACAGATCCGTCCGCTCCGCTCCGGCCGGCTCTTCTCTTACATACCTATCTATAACCTAGGTAGGCATACCAGGATCTCTGATGTTAAAGTCGTACATTGATGGGCGGAGGTGAGATACTGTACTAGACAGGTAAGCTGTTGTGTAATGCTGGGGAAACAGTTTGTGTGGTGATACACTCTCAGCTTTTTCATCGGTACTACCGGGGCTGTTCAGTCAATACCGACGGTGGACGGTGAAAGTATGCATCTGAGAAAGGTCGGCAAAGGGGCCCCGGTTTCTCTCTGTCTCTACCCTTTTTCTGAGGGGAAGTAAGTAATACCCAAGGTCCAATTCGATGGATGACAGGCGTATGTATGTACAGCGCTGAAAAAAAAAAAAAAACACAGACGGGTCACTGCATTCTGCCATCAATCAAACCAGGTTGAGATCGTAAGTAACTCCCCCAGGACCCCCTTGCGCTGTGCAACAACCCGGTAGTAGCTGAAAAGTCTATGGGGCTTTCAGCGGCTTAAACGGTCCAGATGCATCCCGTCTGAGCTTTTCTTGAGAGCTCTCCAAAGACAAAGGTGGGTAGGTTTATCACGAATGTGTGTTCTCCCCCCCCATCTCTTTCCCTCCTTCTAGTCTGAAGCGCAGCCGGTCAAGCGAGCCACCCGAGAACCGACACCACCAGGCAAGGCAAGAAAATAAAGATAAGACATGCAGTACGCACGAGGGACAGGACACACTAGACACACACACTGCAAGGGAGAAACGTGCAGTGCGTTGACGCAAATAGATTGAATCTTACGAAGCTTTTGTCCTTGCCTGACTGAGTCGGCTTATAAGAAATATATGGGGGTATATGCCACCCGGGTAGTGGGAATGGAACGGTCAATATCGAGAAGCATATAAGGATAAGGCAAAGTTGTGGGAACTCCCACGACGGACGGGTAAGGAGGGTTGGGATATTGCGAAATGTTCGTGTGCTGGGGGCGATAACCGGACAGGTTTTAATTGTGGCAAGGCAGGTAAAATATTATTTCCCTTTTCGCATCCATCTTATTCATTACTAGTCCTGCGTCCATGTCAATATACCACCGAAACAAAATTTGTGTAAGAAAACACTATACCAACTTGCCAGGCCTTTTTACTGGACAGTAAACCATCTCACCTTTTACCCCTTCTCGCCATCATTAACCCATTATTCCTAACGAACCAGCCCACCAACAACAGCTCCCAACTCTCCAAACAGGATATTCTTGAAGATCGTCTCCCCCATCCCCTCGCCCCAGTGGCCCGCCGCCTTCAGCTTCTCCTTCCAAGCCTTCTTCTGCGTCTCATGCAACTCATCCCACTCCTTCGGTGTCGGCGCGGTGCTGTCTACCTCAGCGTCGTGTCCACTAACCTGGACGATCCCGTCCTTCGCTCCGACGTTCAACACCACCTTCTTGGCCTGTCCATCCTGCACCTTCAGATCCTTGTCCGCCAGCAGCGAGGCCAGGAAGCCATGCACGCCGTCGGGAGTGAGCGACTCTGAGTTCGCATAGTTGGCATTACCAACCACACCCTGGCCAGCACGGTAACGGGGATTCTGCTGCCAGCTGACGGGAGCGAACCTCCTAGCCCCGATCATGGGGCTGGAGTAGCCCTTGATCTCGAGGAAGCTCTGGACGAAGAGACCGATGAAGAGGGTAATCAGGGCCGTGAAGAAGAGGAGACCCTTGGGTGAGGGGGCTTGGCTCTTCAGAGCCAGGACGTAGCGGGCGGCACGGGGAGGGCCGCCGCGGCGGGTTTGGGCGGTCTTGTCGACGAACTTCTTGAGCGGGAGGGAGTGCACGATGCAGGAGTTGCCGACGGAGCCGATCGAGGCTAGCTTGACGTACTCGGGACGGACGGATCCCTTCTTTGCAACGGCTTTTTCGTCCGACTTGGAGTCGGCGGGCGGGATGACGTAGGAAAAGGCCACGCCAGAAATGGGACCGTTGTGAACGTTCTTGAAGGTGGTGACCTTGAAGAGGTTGACGATGAGGTTGATGTCGGCAACCGACTGATGGTCTAGCGTGTAGATAGTAATCGAGCTGTCCTGGCCAGTAACGGCGATGACAAACTGCGCGTCGTCCTGCTTGGCAGTTGGCGAGGCAGGAGGAGAGAGATTGCGGACGGCCAGACCGGTAGCGCGCGTAACAGCGCTGGGCAGTTTCGCGGAAATGCACAGTCTCGCTTTGGGCTCCTCAACCTTTGTGGCTACGGCTGTCTTATCCGCGGTTCCGTTGGCGTCCCCATTGCCCTTCTTGGCCTCTTCCTCCTCCTTCTCTTTGAGCTTGCTGTGAATCTTGTCGTTCTTGGGCATGCGGAATCCGTGTAGAACCACGCCACCACCCTTGGGAAGGTTGGCAACGGCGAGGAGAAAGTCCGGAGTCAGATAGCGCACCGATCGGAACGAGGGCCTAGCGGCTCCGGTGATGGCCGCCTCGTCTGGCATGGTGAAGACCAGCTTGGGACCTTCCGAAATGCCCTTTCCAATGTTCATGGTGCGCATTTCGTACTCGTCGCAGTAAGCGAGCTGGTAGCTATCGTCACCAGTCTGAATGATATCAATGTCCACAGCCTCCTTCACCAGCTCAAGGTTACCCCTAAGCTTGGGAGTGGCAGCGCCAGTGTTAGGGACATCAAAGAGGGCAATCTCCGGCTCCTTCGAGAAACCCGTTGCGACAGCGCCAATCTGGGCTGACCCGGGGAATGGCGCGGACAGCCGCAGAACTCTCTGATATGTATCCTTCTCGGTTGTTGCGAACAGGGAAGAGCGCGAGAGCTCCGTGATCTTGGGCTGTTCAGACGAAGCCTTGGCTTTGGATGGCTGGTCCAAGCTAAAAACGCGGAAGTGTTCGTTGTTGCCCTTCGCCATGTCATCGGCGCTCGAGTTGATACCAGCGTACAGCAGGATCGAGTCCGTATTTCGGGGCCCGACGGCGAGAGTCGCGACACTGTCCTCGTCGCGACTGAGTTCGATCTCGGATACGATGTCGAGGGTGTCGGGACGTGATGCGTCAATGGCAGTGATCTTGTTTCCTACACCATGGTTGCCGGGCCCGCCGCCACCGGCTACGATAAGTCGGTTCGCATCTTCGGGGTCGAAGTCGAGGGAGTAGAGGGAATACGAGGTGCGCAGTTCCGCAGACGGGATCGGGACCATCGTGTTTGAATCAGCGTGGTGTTTGCGTCTCAAGTATTTCAGTCGCGTTTGTAACCGTTGGTTGGGTGAGAATGGAGATTAGGATTATAACTAGGATATATGTTGAGTGGGAGCTGAGGACAAAAGTGATGATGTATGATTGCAGATCAAGGAGCAAGAGGATACGGTCTAGATCAGCTACAGGGGCTAAACAGACTGTGGTCCTCCTGCCTGGAGAGCTTATGTGGGGCCATCCCAGTGGGTGTTCTTTCGCTAGAGATCGTGAGCTCGCAGTCTATTTAGCATCACCGACGGACACGCCTGCGACGTCATCCAGACACACAGCAGCGTATCTCCTCGAATTGCTCATTGGGGAGAAGTCCGGGGGGCTGCCAGGAGCTTCCCAGCGGTACGGAACGCTATGACCAACATCATCAATGATACCCTTAAATTCAATATCTATAAGATACTACAACCTTCATGCCGCCATGTTTACATGGATACTCTTGACGTTGCAATAAGGTGCCAACCCTGCCTCTCCCAACTCCCTCCCAATACCGGACTGCTTCACGCCTCCAAATGGAACCCTAAAGTCCGAATCATTGCTGCTGTTGACCCAGACCATACCGGCCTCGATCTCCCGCGCCACTCTGTGTGCCCTGGTCAAGTCCTTGGTGAACAGAGCCGCTCCCAAGCCATACATGCTATCGTTGGCCAGCGTCAACGCCTCCTCCTCCGACTTGAACGAGGTGATGGTCACGCAGGGCCCAAAGATCTCCTCCTTGAAAATCTTCATGGTCGGCTTGACGTTGCCGAAGACGGTCGGTGCCACAAAGAAGCCCTTGCCGTTCTGCGGAGCCGGCTCACCACCCAGCATCACCGTGGCACCCTCTTCCTTTCCGGCCTTGATATAGCCCAGAACACGCTCATACTGCGCCTTGGTGACCTGAGGTCCTTGGAACGTGCTCTCCTCGAAGGGGTCGCCGAGTACTGAAACCTCCTGGATCTTTGCCTTGAACTTCTCGACGAACTCGTCGTAGATCTTCTCGTGCACGAGAAGGCGTGACGTGGCGGTGCAGATTTGGCCCTGGTTGCTCATGATGCCGATGTGAGACCATGTCGCCGCCAGCTCGAGGTCGGCATCCTCAAACACAATCAGCGGTGACTTGCCGCCCGTCTCCAGGGTGATGTTCTTCATGGTCAAGGAAGCCATCTTCATGATCTCCTTGCCCGTAGCGGTGCTGCCGGTAAAGGCAATCTTGTCCACCTGAGGATGTTGCACAAGTGCGGAACCCGCTTCCCTGCCGTGTCCGTTGATGACATTGATCACACCGGGAGGGAAGCCAGCCTCCTTGATGAGCTTAGCCAGGTACAACACGGACAAGGGCGTCTGCTCGGCCAGCTTGAGGACAATGGTGTTGCCGCAGCAGAGAGCTGGACCCAGCTTCCAGGCGGCCATATCTAGCGGGTAGTTCCAGGGGATGATCTGGCCGCACACGCCGAGAGGCTCCTTGACTGTGTAGGCAAACTTGGCCGGGCCGACGTCAATCACTTGGCCAAAGTTTTTGTCCGCATAGCCGGCATAGTACCTGAGGACGTTGAACACTTCGGGCACGTCCTCGGTAAGGGCTGTCTGATACGGCTTGCCGTTGTCCAGGCACTCAATGGTGGCTAGGGTTTCGGCATTCTGCTCTACTAGGTCGGCCAGCTTGCGCATCAGGGCGCCGCGCTCAGTGCCGGATAGAGACTTCCATGATTCGTGCTTGAAGGCCTTGCGGGCTGCTGATACTGCGGCGTCGACATCCTCGGCGGTTGCGGCGTATACCGAGCAGATCTCCTCTTCGGTACTGAGGACGTCCGTTATTAAGGGTGACTTAAGTAGATGGGTGATATGAGACTTGTAACATACGTTGGGTTGATGGAAGCCAACTTCTGCTCATTGGTACTCTTGACAAACTCGTTGTTGATGAACAAGCCTAGTGGCTGCGTCCACTTCTTGCCGTTGGGGGCCGTAAGCTCGACTTCCATGTTGGGCTTTGTATTAGTGAAGAAAGGTGAAGATGATGAGAAAGTTCGGCAAGAGAGCTGGGCGTGATAGACTTGTCTTCCTTTGGTCTTATACAAGTGCCTCCACAAGGGAACAGAGCCCGGGCAACTGGGACGGAGGAAGAGGTTCATCTTATAGGTAACTTGAATTTCTTCCTCTTGCTGTCGTTCAACTTCAACCCCTCACCTCAGCTTCTCGTCGACGAGTGATAAGGCTGGGGAGGGGACGTGCAGTGTTACACTGTCGTCACTGCACTTCCTTCCCGGTTGAAGCAAGTGACCCGACATTGTCGCCGAGTCGGATTTCTGGAGGATCTGGACCACCCGATCCGGGCAACACATCTTATCGTTCGTGACTGCGGAGCGCGGATCAAGTGGGCCAAACAGCGATCAAGTGGCATTCTGTGCCGTGGACTTCTTTCCCTCTTTGAGCCAAGACAGTAAACAGGCCCTGAACGAGTACTGTGTTTATCGAATATGTGTGTATCTCCCACTTGGCTTTCCGTCTTGGTGACTTGATGCTCCTTCATCAGCAGCGTCCCTGTTGAAACTGGGGGATTACCTTATGTAACAGCAACACTACCATGTAAAGAAGCTATTTCCAATCAACAAGAAGAGTCAAGATTGCCGTGGAAGCAATGACCTGCAGTTGGTCCCAACATTCAGTTGCAACCCCCCTGTCGTTCCCCCAGAAACGATGGGGGGATGCAATGCCCTGCAGCCGCCGTAAGCGGGTCATTGCCCTGTGACATGACACGACGTTTTTTGGTGCCTTCCACTGTTGGGACCCCGCCCTCGGAATTCTACCCAAGCAAGGGAAAAGTCATGGAGCCTTCTCACAGCAAGACATCAACCCACCGTCGACGATCCCAAGCGAGAAAAGACTATGCGCACCAATGATTAAACCATCTTTCACGATGGAATTTGCTACGACGCAATCGCCCGTGGCCTCAGAGGTGTTTGCCTCGGTCGCGCTTTTCGTCATCTCGGTCATCGTCCTCCTCATCCTCCGACACTATCTTCCGCTACGAACAACACCCGCCTACCTTCTAGTCCCCATCTTCTTCGCATTATGTCTTCCGGCAAGCATGGTACTGTTGGTACCCATCGACCTGGCCTCGAGCGCCATGGTCGATGATATCGATGCTCGGGGAATCTGGTTGGAGCGCGGCCCATTGCGCGTCTGCTGGAGAATTGCCTACTGGCTCACCTTCTGTTTGACATGGTGTGTGCTCGACTGAAGAAACATGCAGCATGACTGGAAAGCTAACGCAAACGCATCAACAGGTTCATCATACCCATCCTCGGCGAATACTCAGATTCCGGCTATCGCGATCCCCAGGCCAAATTCCGAGACTCGCTTCGCGCAAACGCCCAGTACTATGCCATCGTCTTTGGCTCCGGAATCCTGGGCTTGTTATACGTTCTCTGGTCATACGGTGGCTTTTCCGAATCGCTCAAGAGCACCGTCATGGCTCTCGCATATTGTTGGGGTCTCATGCTGGCCATCTATCTTATGGGGCATGGCCTGGTCGCTATCCCCCGTCGACTCTTTCGGAACGCCGACATCAGTGGACGGCTGCGTAGGATCCAGACGCAGGCTCCCAAGGTGTATGATCAGATGGAGGATGCACAGATGAATCTGGATGATCTGGAGATGCAGGTAGCGGAGCTGAGCAAGCGCAGCAAAACCGGAACTGCAAAGAACTTCCAGGACTGGATCGAGGAGTTGGTCGACCTGACTAACATTCCAGAATCACAACTCGCAAGCACGTCTGGCGCGGTCCGCGGCTCCGGGGAATATATCAGGACCAAGCTTCCCACGGTAATCACTGAGAAGTACATGGCCGATCTCACGAGACAGTTGATTAGGGCCAAGCATGCCCGCTCTCGCTACTTGAACGATTGGAACAGACTTTTACATGACGCCGTCAGAACACAAGCCATCATCGATTCGGTTGCTTCCAAGAGACTGGACTTTGGTGCGCCTTCCCCAGGCTCCGGTTTCTGGGACAGGCACAGCCCCTTGACCCCCTATACTCGCTTCCTCTACCACTACTACGTCCTTCCATATTTCAACCTGGCGTTTGGCGGTCTGCTAGCTCTTGCGTCAGTCTGTATTGTGTGGTCCGAAGTTGTCAAGGGCATTTTCCCCGTTCTCTCGGTCATCCGCTACTCGGTTGTTCATCACAATGTCGGTCACAAGGGCCAGATCGGGTTTGCCGGCCAAGTGATTGCTGCCCTTTGGATGGTATACATGTGCGCTGCCGCCTTGATGTCCATTACCCAAGTCAAGGTCTGGCGCGGTCGGGCACTGGTTCGTCGTCACACGGCGCCCGAGTCTGCCTTTTGGTACGCCAGCCAAGTTGCCCGCCTCAGCGTGCCACTCACGTACAATTTCATGACCTTCCTCGGCGTCGTCTACAAAGATACGGTATTCTACGATTTTCTCGGCCAGCTTATCAACCTTACGCCCCTCGGCAAGTGGTTCGACTACTTATTTCCCGCTCTCATCCTTGTCCCTGTGTGTTTCACCTTCTTTGGGCTCTACGGCAAGATTCAACGAGCCCTCGGCTTCGGCGTTGATGTTCTCGACACTTCGGAATCCGGCGATGAGTTTGGGGCCAACTTTGGTACCGGCACCTGGCGCGAGGGCCGTGATCTCATCGAGCGCGAACTCAACGGCTCGTCGGCTGCCATCCGCGGCGGCCGCCGGTCACACTACACGAACTCATCTTCTTCCTCACAGCCGCGGGCTGCTCCCATCTTGACCATTCGGGCCAACTCAACCCCGTACCCATTACCGGGGAACCCTACAACCCCTCTCGCAACGTCGCCTAACTTGCGGCCGTTGGCGAACACTTCGGCCAGGAGGGTCGGGACGGCGTCGAGGCAAGTGACGTTGGCGAGTGAAGATGACGACGAGAACTTCTTTGAGGCGCTGGGCCATAGGCTCAAGAACACGATTGATACCATAGATAAACCAAAATGGTTGACGGATCTTCCGAAGCCCAAATGGATGGGAGGAGACACCAATGCTGGTGGTGCTGGTGCCGGCTCTGGCTCTGGGGGGGATATCAGGAGGTGGTTTGGAGGTGGTGCTGGAGGAGGAGGGGGTAGCAGCAGTGGTGGTGGAGGGAGGATAAGACTCTAAGCCCCCCCCTTACCCGAGTGGACGTGTTCTTTTTGTTTCTTCATCTTCTTTTTAGCATTGCTTTGGGCTACGAGTTTGTTGGATCTGGCTTCGCTTTTCTGTTCAGTTTATATACCAAGCAAGCATGTATGGTGTGGCACGGATAGGTTATGATACACCCCAGGAGATGGCGTTTTTTTCTGTTTATAGAGACATGAGGATGTTCAAAACTGTAGGGCCTGAAGTGCCTACTCCTGGTGATTGCATGTGTAGGGTTAGGGTCCTTGATGTAGACTCAACAGGCCATCAAGGTGTGAGGCTATCAAATAAAGTACATAGTGGGGGTAAAGCAGCGCCCGGGTGATAGTGCCCCACCTGCCCACTCTGGCGGTGCCAAGAATAGGGTTCTCGGAGTTATCTCGACCGCGAACTGCAGAGCATTGGGTGTCGTAATGGCGTGTTTACAGTAGTTAGAGCTACCCTTACTATAAAACTCATGCTTCATACATATCCAAGGTCATACTTTTCTCTGTAGATGATGGGACTCAGCGGGCTATCGGTACCTATCATCGAATATCGGACATTCTTCTTATCTGCCCTGTACCCCATATCTGCCGGCGGTATAGTGGAGCGCGGGGAAGCGGTACCCCGTAGGCGTATCCACACTGCCGCCGTGCCCGCCTCACTGCTCGCTGTGGGCGGCACCCGTGATTGCTGCATTCAGCGACCAGCATTCTTCACTGCCGTAATTGTTACCAAATGCAACCACCAATGCACCTCCGTCGTCCTACCTGACCTGTTACAATTCGTGAAAATCGAGATTGCGAGATTCCAGCCAGATCTTGCCTCGCCGACGTCGACGACATACTTCAACCTCACCCCGATCGGCAGCTGTTTCCCAACGACTTGACGACTCTTCATTTTTCTCTTGACTTGTCACATCTTCCGACTACTACTATTCTTCACCATCTCCCATTCACATCATCACCTCTTCAAACCTCATCCGTTTTTGACCAGGGAAGGCGAGGGTTGACAGACCGTTGACCGTCCCGCTGACTGTTGGAGGTAAGTCAGACCATCTATCAGACCGGGCCCCCGACCCCGACTCACAACGTCTCTCACCGAGTACACGCGTGCACACACATACATCTCACACCGGCGAGGCGTCCTCATCTCGTTTACTTCCACACAGCCGCCCCTTACTCACTCTTACTTGCCAGACCGACTGCCTGGTGTTCCCTTGCCCAGCACTTACAAGGCGACTCTTCACCACCACCTCATCTGGTAATCCGAGCGGCTACGGACTTGGACCTGGACCCGACTTGGACTTGGGACGGAACGGGACGAAAAGTCAAGGGGCCAGTGCCCGTGGGATGGTTGAAATTCTCTGTTACTACCACAATCCAGGCCCATCCAACCAGCAAAGGTAGCGGCAGCACTACAGCTGCTCTCATTTCAACATGGAGGTAAGCAAACCAAGACACAATCCCATTTCTTTTGCTTTTTGAAGTTTCCTACCATTGCCCAGTCAAGCCTTTTCATCCGCTTCCCCTTACCCTGGTCGCTACTATGAAACTTTGTCTATTCGTCTTTCTGCCTGTCTGGGACACTGGGGGAGTCTACCTGCCAATGGGGATCACGGAACCGACCGACTTGTATCCGCAGATGGGTGTGTTCGGCGTTCAATGTTCCACAGACACCGTGGTGGTGTCATTCTACGACACTGTCCCTGATCCGCTCGGGTCATCAATCTTATTCCGCCGTTATCCCGCAAAGAGTAAAATCCGGGGGAAGGATCAAGGGAAACGAAACCGCCCGCCTGGTTCAGGTGTTCCCCTTGGATACCGGATTTTGAGGGAGGGTAGCCGCGTCGGTTAGAGATGGGATGAGGTGCTGGCTGGACGTTGGGAAAGTTTGTCACGCCAAACCCAAGTCTACTCGCCACATGACCAACCGGCTCAGCAATCTCCGACAAACTCGATGCGCCCAGTCCCATCTTGCATCCCTTGGACATGTTACTCCAATATTTTGCGGAAGGACTTGTTTCTCTTGGTCGTTGTGCGGCCAGTCACCTCGTCGCCATGGCTGTCGGTCATTGTATGTGCCGAGCCAATTCCGTCGCTGTACCACCTTGGAAAATGAGCCACCTCTTCCTTCTGCCCGTATCTTTCCGTCAGCAACGCCTGATAAGTATTTCAGGCGGTCTTTGCTCCGAAAGTACGAGGCAATAAGGTTCGCCCAAAACTGGGTTATACTCGGAACTCTCGAACACAAGACTGGCGGCCGAGCGTCCCCTTGTCATTTTGGGCTTGGCACCGGCATTTGATGGGAATGGCTACAGACGCGTCAAATAACGGCTTCCCGTCCCTGTTTCTGTCGTCACTCGAGCGGCTACTTATCGATGTTTGGACCGCATTCTGCTTCTCGGTACCCAATCCGCGAGAGGCTACCCCTGGATGATCAAACAAACAAGGGGACATACAAGCTAGTGGCTCATCGATACTCAGCTGTTGAGATACTGCCGGCCTCTTGTCCATACCACCGCTGTCGATAGTGTCGCTCCGGTTGCCGAGACGCAACGGACTTTGTACGACCTCCCTTTCTCGTCGAGGAATATCCGTTTCGGGGTCGTCATATCTTGTCTACAAGCCTCCACAGCTCCTTCATTTCACCCTCGACGGGCTTCCCTCATCATGGCATCTGCTTTCAGACGGGGCAGTGACGCCCTTCTCGATCCCAGCACTGATCCACGACCACCATGTGTTTCGAGGCGTACCAGTAGGGCAATGCTAAATCTTCATCGTGTTTATGAGCAGAATCGACAAAGAGTCCAGCAGAATCTCAAAGATGGTGTTAAGGTACCCGAACCGATAGCAGTCCCTCATGCCAAGGGCAAGCCTCGTCTTCTCCTAATGGGACAACGAAGGTATGGAAGTCGTGCAAATCTGGATCGTGACTTGCGCTTACACATGGACAGGAGTGGGAAGTCATCCATATCAAGCGTCGTTTTTCACAAGCTGCCGCCAAACGAGACATTATTCTTAGAGTCAACGGCTAGGATCCAAAAAGACAGTTTAAAGTAAGACTTCTTCTCTTGGCTCTCGGTATCTTCTTCTGACGTATGGATTAAAGCTCGTTTATGGAGTTTCAAGTCTGGGACTTCCCTGGACAAATCGATGTCTTCGACAACCCCGCCTTTCCCTTTGATATGGACGCCATCTTCGGCGAGATTGGCGCACTCATCTGGGTCATCGACGCCCAGGATGATTATCTTGAGGCCGTCGCACGCCTCAATGCGACTATCCTACATCTACAGCGCAGCTACCAGCACATCAACATCGAAGTTTTCATCCACAAAGTCGACGGCCTTTCCGATGACTATAAGCTAGACATCCAGCGCGACATCACCATCCGCATCCAGGACGAGCTGTCGGACCAAGGGGTTGAGAACGCGCCGGTGAACTTCCACCTGACCAGCATCTACAACCACAGCATCTTCGAAGCCTTTAGTAAAGTTATCCAGAAGCTGATCCCCCGCCTTGGCCAGCTCGAGGCCATGCTCACCAACCTGTGCCGGACCTGCCGGTTCGAAAAGGCCTACCTGTTCGACGTCAACACCAAGATCTACATCGCCACCGACAGCACGCCCGAGGACATGGCGTCGTACGAGATCTGCTCCGACTACGTCGACGTCATCATCGACTTCACCGAGGTGTACGGCAGCTGGCAGCGGACCCCCGAGTGGCGCAAGCGCCTCGAGGGCCCCCCCTGGGAGCAGAAGCTCGAGGACCAGGTCGCGTGCGAGTGGGCCGAGAGCGGCATGGTGCTGGCGGACGCGCAACGCCCTATCATGCTCCGCGAGGTGGATAGGTTCCTGGCCTTGGTGGCTATCATGAAGGAGGGCAGTTATGAGAAGATGCCGCAGATTAACATGAATGTGGATGTTGTTGTCAAGGGGCTGACCGAGTTCTTTGAGATTACAAAGTCCAAGATGACGCCGACAGCCGTGCCTGGGGGTGTTACGGCTGTAGGTGGAAATGGGGTGATGAATGGTAACGGAGCGGGGGTCCATGGTCATTAGGGAGGTCATTCTGGGGTTTGAGATCATCACCATCGGCATCTTGTTGATATGAGTAAAGGGAAAGAAAGAAAGGGGATTGGGGTGGGAGGTAAACCTGATAAAAAGAATTATATCCTGGCTTTTGTACTTTATGTAAAGGATACAAAAAGCAATTTTGTTCTGTTATAGTCAGCTCCTACTACTGTCGTCAATGATGCTGTGGCAGCAATCCAACAGCTAAGTGTATGATCATCTTGACACTTATGATAGCAGAAAGACATGCGCTCTATATCCTGTTGAACCTGCGAAGATCTGGATGTAGAATGATTACGAAACTCTCTGTTACCTGTTGTAATTTTTGACGGTCTCAGTTACATGTTGAACACGATGATGCGCTATTGGCTTGGTGTCCTTTTGGACCTAAAACCAGTGTTTATTCAAGCTATCCTGCTTCTGTTTTCCAAACCAGCTATCGAATTCCCATCTGGCGTGCCTTCCCTTACGAGGAGGGGATCCGGCGATCAAGATCGCAGGAGCGTTTGGGTGGGTTCTCTTGTGATCGAACCTTCCACTTCCATCGGAACTACCTTATCATCCAATCTCACCGAGTGCAGCAGCACCCAAAAATGAAGCAGGAACCAGGGGGTCGTTCCCATCATGAAAACGGAAGTTGCAACCTGCGTCTGCTGGTCTGATTATCCACCGCGTTCTTGATCACGTTCCATCTTGGCCATGCTTAGATGAAGTGGCTCAGTGGAAAGATGGGGAATCTTAGTTGGTTGGGGCATGGTGATTTAACCACGAGGACTAGGTAGAGACAGGAGAGTTGAAAGGGGAGAAAGGAGTGAATACAGCGAAGAAAAGTAAAAGCATACCTCCATCATCTTGGTCCCCTTCGCGCCATGCTTTCCGCCCGGCCTGCATGTTATCTTCTTGATAAAATATCACCACGTCGTACCCTTTGCTTAACTGAAACGAAGGAACATGATGACTGTTTGAAAACCTCTTACAATCTCCCGTTTCTGTTTACTGTGTACATTGCGAGCCTACACAAATGTAGATAGCACGTAGTTTTGGTCTGGGCCCAGAGAAAATTCAACAAGTAGGTATCTGGTTTACAGTCAGGTATGATGATGAATTCTCGTTCCCGTCTTGCTGTACCTGTTGGCTTCAAAAAATGGAAAGTGTCTTCTTCTGGATAACTACCTAGACTGCTTTGGTCTTCTGGGACTACCTACTTACTTTTACAGTTTTATCCAGAGTAGACATACTCGATGGCCGATGCAGGTCTACCTAGTCAACAAACAGTTAAACCCCCAACTGGTAAATATTCCATAGAAATGGTTCAACTAGATTTAACTTTACTCTTACCCTCGCCGTTGTCTCTCGTCGAGGGCGTCTCACCGAGCGTAGGTATGTATCTATGATAATCACATAATAGACTGAACTATGTAATCACCAGTCCACCCATCTCTATCACTCACAAATAGCTTACACTACCGATACACTACTCGCCGATACACTACTCGCCGATACATTACTCGCCGATGACACCGACACCGACGTCTACTCTTACTTACTCCTAAGCATACGCCAACGCCAACGCCAACATCTGTCAGCATGAGCAGCAGAGAGTGAGCACTACCGAGGTAGGCAGCACCCAGTCATTGCCCTTTGCGCATTTGCGGTTTTGCGGCCTTGCCAGTAAGAACTGGTAGGTAGAACTCAAAGCAATGTTCTGAACGACGAACAACCTAACCACATTTGATCACGTTGTCCTGTCTGTCTGTCTGTGTGTCTAGCAGGTTTGCATAGACTTTCAAGATCATCTGATGATCTGACATCCTTCCCCGGCATCCCTGGCATCTGTGAATAGTCAATAGCATTAGTCGGTAGAAGACAGCATGACAGCATGACAGCAGGATAGGCATACAGCAATGCCTTGCCAACTTGTCAACTTTGCGAATAGGAAGCAAGTGGGATGGAATGTTGGAGTTCAGCTGTTCAGTGACGATGAGTTTCCCGACGTCGCCGATCTCGAAATTGCTACCCCCGCTCTTTGGGCGTCGTCTTGGGTTGTTCTTAGCCCCCCGAGAGCAGCAGCTTGACCGAGGTGAGTAAAGCAAGGGAGCAACGAGCAGGAAGCCCGACTCCGCGGCCGAGCCCGTCACTGCCCCGTTTCTGTAGTGTACTGTCTCGAGCGCCCCGGGTCACCGAACCCAAACGATCACAATGGGGTTAGTGTAGCCAAACATTCGAGCTAATGGAGCTAGGGAAACAGTGATCCGTTCGGACGGATCGCTCTCGTGCGTATGTGGCGTTGTTAGGGAGTGCGCGTTGAGTGTTCCGGTGTGCACTAACAGAGCTGCGTGTAAATGACGGTACGTCCAGTTAGTGCACACCTCAGGAGTCGACGTGCTTCGACCCTAGACCCTGAAATCTCTGAAATCGTAACAAGTCCAGAGAATGAGGCGCAAACACCGAAATGCTTACGTAGACACTGACATCGGAGGCGACGCTTTCGAGAAGTGTCGCCGTGGTTGTGGCGGAAAGAGATGGCATCGGCGGCTGCCACGTCAAGGGCGCCTCCCGCCCCGCCGCGGCCGCCCCACCTACCGGCCGGCCGGTAAGTTGGCCACCACCCCGAAGCGACGTCACCCTCGCTTTTCCTCTTTCGGATTCCAAAAGCTAATGCTAGACTTCGGCAATGGGAATTTTTTACTCCAACACGCGTTTTTCTGTGCGATCTCCCTTGCAGGGGCTTTTTCAACGTGGAGAAAAGTCGGATCGCCCTCCGTCATGATTGACAGCGTGACCGGTGGTGCTGCCGAGCTCCGAAGACATTGAGGCGCAGGCAGCCAGAATGGAACGGCACTTGCAGCCACACCGCTCCCCAAAGAACTTTTGCTTCATGGACAACCCTGGAAAGTTTGAAAGAGTTCGTGGAGAGCTAGAGAGTCTCCGATGCCCAAATCCACCGCCCTGGCTGTTGAGTCACCGGAATGCGCTGGACACTGAGTTGTTCGTGAGGACTCCGACCCTCGATGAGGCCATCTTCAGCTTCGCATGGATGTGGCTAGGGCAATGCTCAAGGGTCTTCATAGAGGGGCTGCCTGTGACGTCATGGCTTGGCATTCCGACGACACTTTTGCGACCTCTGGCTCGCTTGGTTGACGACCACCAAAGAGTGTTCCGCAAAAGCTGAGTGAATCTTTGTTGAAACGCGCACGACGCGTCTTGCAGTCCCCTATCCCAATTAAACGCAGCTCGCCAGGCCTGCGCCACACTTCCACACGTTGCCGATATCGCCGCTCTCTCGTCGATCAACGTGGAGCTGGTGTTATTCCTGGACCGGCGTCCATTGGCAGACAGGAAGCCTCTCCGAAAAGTGTAGATGCTGGAAGTGCCGTGCGTGTAGTGTACCACAGTACACGTACAGCTCATCCACCTCTCCTTCCCTCCACTGGCCTCGAGTTTCGAGCCGTTGGCCATTTATGGTAGACCAAAGTGAGGACTCCAACTGGTGTTGCGGTTGATACAGCAGATAGCAGGCCTGAGCCGCTAGAGTCCGCCATTACACTGAGAGAGATGGAGCTCAACAAGAGGCTTGCCACCGATATTATCGTAGCCCGATGCTCAGTCCACCTGCAGCCAACTACAATGGGTCCTAGTTGTCCATCAATCATATGGAAGCAATAATTCCGGCGGCCCAATAGCCTCGTTGTTGCGCCGTGTTAATATCGATAGCGGTGCTGGGCATGAGTCAACGGCTGCTCGGCTTGGTCTCTCACTGGAGGTATGATGCTGCCGTGCTTCAGATTCGCGTTCACGCCCGTCGCGCTCGATGTGTGAATGGACACATATCGGCGGTATCGCTAGTCCCGCGACAACGGATCGGCCCTACAATCGTCCTCCCAGTTAGCCCAGCATACAGATGGAGATGAGAATCAAGAACAACCCCCGTCTTTACCCCGTCATTTCCCCGGCTTCATTCGGCCGAGCCAAGCTGTAGCAGCTAGGGGCCCTCGGGCTTGAGGGGAGTGAGGGTGTGTAATCAGTGGAATTGTGTCAACGGACGAGGCGTCTTGGTCCTCGAATGGAAGAAGAGGATATCGACAAGGACAAGTCGCAGGTCGCGGCACAAGGAGTATTTGCACAACGGGAAACATGCAATTGGCTTCTCCAGGTGATCGCTGTTGCTGCAGGTCCAAGGCCAGGACGACGACGAGGTCAGGTCAGGTTGGTTGTCGAGTAATTTCTCTCGTTTATCTTGGATTATCCCGCGATGGGCAGTTTGCGCCGAAGGTCAAATGACTGTTTTCCAGGTTCTGGCGCTCCGAGTCGTCACCAGACCTGGACGGCGCGGTTCAGGTTTTTTTTTCCCCATGCTTTCGTCCCGGCAAATTGCTGCCGCTGCCGCTTCCACCGTGATAGCCATCCATGTGCGTCGTCCCTTCTCAGTATGATCGGGTTCCGTTCCCATCACGGTGTTTCATCTCCATGCGAAAACCGCAAGCAATGCTCAACTCGGAAGGGACGAACTTACAAAAAGTTGAAAAGAGCAAGGGTGATGGTCTGATGGATAAGGTAGGTTACTAGCGCGCCAGAAGGAAAGCTGGCCGCCCACTGGTGCAAATCCGCAAGCAGTTGCAAACTCGGCAAGTGGCGGGTCCTCGCCTCACCTACCGCCTGGCACTGGCTGACAATTTCACAGTCAATACCGTAATTTTGATCTCTGTTACATGCCAAGCCAATGTGGCTGCCCACCTGCCACCCTCGCACTCAGCTTCAATCAAACTTTCTTGTCAGCAACAAACTTCGACAACTTAATCTTGACATGGAAGTTTGGTTGACTGTGACACCCACCAACAACTTCTTCACTTTTTAGTTGTCAGTTTTCATTCTTCATCCCCAATATGCACAATGCACATTGTCAATTTCGTTTCTGTTCTTGAGTCCTTCTTCTGTTGGCCATCTGGTTCCGCTCCTGGCACAGCCTCCTTCTCTTTCGCCATCCCCGTTCCCGTCCAGTGGATTTGATTCAGGGTGGGAGAAACCGACCTGAAGGTGGTCGCCTCCAAGGTGGGCAATGTGAGCAACCAAGACAACTTCAATTCAATGGCACCGCAGCGTCCGAGTCCCCTAGACCGATACCTGCCGAGCTGTGTCTACTTGCGACTCTTTTACCGCTGCGAGGGCGCATCTTGGACTGTCTTGAGCCTACACCCTCAACGGCGTTCCACGAGAGGACAGCCGTTTGGGTCTCCCTCATGGTACCGAGCAATGCGGAGCTGTTTACATGTTACCCAATCCCGCGAGCTCGATTTCCTTGTTCCGTTGCTTCCAGCCGCTTGCTACACCCCCAGACGAAGACACCCAGCGAGATCGGGGGTACGAAACCCCGGGCACGGAGCCAGGAACCAAGCGGTTCGCTGTGTCCCCATGCCATGTATCTACTCCCAGACTCCCTATCGCGAGGCCGGACTTGAGGTTGCTACGCAATATGGAGGTTTCAAGGCACCAGTGGACGTGGTGAAAAAGATTGGTTCATGGCTCCGGTGGTGCCATATGAGACATGCTTCTATCGTCATCTCGGGTTCCCCAAAAGAGGCACCAAAGCCTTGGTTCTACAGCTCGGAGATGATCATATGCCGTGACTCTCCAATGGCCACGGGTTTCTACATATTCCTTCTACTGCTCTAGAAACTTGGAGTGTTCTCGTCATCAAAACATGGACTGTTTCCATTTCAACCCCAAGTGGGTGCTCCTATTGTGGCTTGCTGCCGCATGTCCATGGCTCTATATTTCCTCATCTTCAACAAATTTCTCTCCTCTCAGATGATTCACAAGGGAATATCTCCCCTCCTGGGGCCACCCATTCGTTCCTCTCCTCCTTTTCAGACCAATCAAATGCTCTAATGTCGGCCTTTTTTTCTCTTGATGGAGGCCGAGGGCGCTCAGAGCTCCAGCCAATGAGGCTCAAAAGCAGGGGTCTGACTTAAACAACCTTTGCTCACCTTCCCGCACTAGCATGGCAGCTTCTGGTCATATCCCAACATACGCTCTCTCACAGGCTGACGCCAACCCTCTACCCTTTTGTACCTGCTTCGCATCTTTATTGCCGTTGGGGCATTACCTGCCTTTGTTCCACACGTGCTAGACCAAGCTGGGAGTCTCCTGGATCCTTCTTTCTCCGAAACTCCTTCGGGCGTATTGATGGGGAGAGGAAGAGGGGAGAAATGAGTGGTCAAGCCGGCAGACAAGCCCTCAATGACTCCAGTTTGAGCTACTTTATGGTTTCTTACCCCTCCCCATGACTTGCTCAGTTTGGACCACTAGCCGGCCCCAGGCGTATGCAAGAAGTCCCTTTCGGTAGATGATCTTGGATCTGGTCAGAAGGTGTGGGCGAAGATATCACTGGTAGACTGGGTCTAGAAAGCCTCGAGAAGGTGGTTTTGTCCCAAGGAAAAGGAGCGTCCCGGCCCACTGGCAGCGCGCTTGTTGCGTTTCACAAGCGATGGCGCCCGTCAGACGATTCGACCGGGCAACAAGTTAATCATGCCATTTCCTCTTCATGATATCTCGACGCCTGTTCTTCATGATCAAGTTATCATGTTCACTCTGGATTCATCTCGCCCCGCGTTTCAGCTACGGTAGAGAACGCTCCCACTGGTTGACGGTGTCAAGGCGACTCGACACTTCCACGAGTGGGAGCTTTGCATAATCTCACGATGCGGATCAACCTTTGAAGATGGTGTGTTCAATGTGGTCCTTGCTACCTCATGTGCGCACGGCAGACAAGACATTACTACGAGTCATATGCAGCTCACCATTTACAGAAGGAAGGATACGAGTGTCCACCAGATATACGGATCCCTTTCCCCTCTCCTCTCAGTAGCCGCGCGTGCGGCTTGCATAAGACGGCTTGCTAGGCGTACTGCTATCAGCAATCTTGTTGAGATCTAGTCAGAGATTTCCAACCCCTCTTTCTGGCTCACAATCAAAGGCTTCATGTTACATGATAGAGTGAAAAACTCCATCAGGATCCGCCAGTGTCACAAAAGCAGGCCGCTTGCTACAGCATTGTGCCATTGTCACCGCCGGTCGGTGACAAGTTAGATGGAATCCCCTTTGATATCATAACTCACAAAAGGTCCTTCATAAAATGCACATTTGGTCTAGGTCTAGGCCACAACTAACGTACGGCGTAGTAGTATGACTTATCAAGCCATCTCGGTAACAGTGAGACCAATTTGCCTTGACCTCAAGACAGAGTAAGCATTATCCACATCTGTATTGGCTTCCTTCCCCGCAAAAAGCGAGCTCTGATACGTATAGCGAGTTGGCCTTGGCTAGTACAGTACTCCTCTGGTGCCTCAACCTCACAGTTGACAGTTGGGGATAACGCCTTGGACGCGTCCGCACGTGCTCTGGGAGGCTATGATCCCCAGAACCTGGATCGAGTGGACGTTTCAGGTTTTCGAGGGGAACAAGCATGTTTTGTAACCACCACCAGCATCATGGTTATCCTATCGATGATCACGGCTGAGTGAATGATGAGTGACAGATGTGAGTAACTGTGAGCCGGGGTGCTCTTTGGTGTGGCTCGCGGGTGGTAGTGCCATTCATCGGCGGGGTCAGAGCTGTTGTAGGTGTGTACGTACCTCCAGACACTAGCGCCCTGGGATTACAATAGCGGAGCCATCCTTTCTAACTTTCAGGAGTGTAATGTAACTTACGCGTATCTTTCACGGTAAGGATACCACCCAACAACTCCCTGATGTTTTTCCTGGCATGCATTGACCCCATCTTGCACATCTGCAGCTTTCAGCTCTGGTGGCATACCAGTGACCGGCCGATTCGTCTGATGGCGCGTCGGGGTTTTTGTCATCCAGCATTGTGCATATGCATGGTTGAGCACAGCCTGCAAAGGTAGATGAGGGAAATCGGAGTCACGCAAGTTCGGACGCAGTCAGTCAGGTACTGCGGTACTGTCAACAGCAATGTCGAGGAGGTGAACGTCGAGACAAGCAGCAAAGGGAATTCCCGGCCTACCTACACGTACAGAAAGGTATGCATATCTCCCAACACCTTGGCGACGGAAAGTATCGTCGTGAGCCTGAAAAGAAGGCACTTTTGGCACCACAGTATACTACAGTATACACACAGCTCCGGAGAACCCTGGCATCTGGGGTCGAGTTGATCGATGCCTGGCTCTCCATGCCGCTTGATGCCCTGTCCGCCCGCCCGTCACCCGTGGTCTCCGGTAGCGTTGAAAAGTTTGTCGACTGTGAAAAACCTCAAAGAGGAAAACCGGATACCTGAGATCTTGGCTTCCTTGGAATATCGTCCTGTTGGAACCCAACTCTAGCTCACAGATGCTTGACTGCCAGACTACCTGACTATCTGAAGCTAGCTCGGGAGCCATAGAGCCATGGAGCCATGGTAATCGACTGCGCAGACCCGACGTCGAACGATGCAACAGACGATAGCGCCGGGATTCGGGACTTGGAACGGGGCTCTTTTCCAGATTGATGATACTCTCTAAATTTGACTATTCCTACTCCATCAGTACGGTTGAAGATGCAGGCCGGATTGGGAGACCTTGAATGGCTGTCGAAAAGTGGCTTGAAACAGAAAAGTGACCTCTCAGGGTACGGCGCTGTCTGCCTCCTGACGATGGCAACATTCTCTGATTCTGGCGAGTTTTGCCAGCCAACAGCAGTTGCAGCCAGCGCGGTGTAGCGGGCCCCATCTGGGACCTTCCGGGCTTGTGGCTTGTCCGGCCACTAACGACGCAGTCAAGATACACACCCCCCTTCTCCGCTCCGGTGTCCTCGTCGCTCATTGTGGTTGCCCTCCCGTCTCCGACTTACACACTAATGTATGCATGCAGCTGTAGGGATGTTGTAGTTGAAAAAAGGGCTCGAAGGGGGGCAGTGGCAGTGGGTGACAGCGCGAGTGACGGCAACGACGGGTCTAACGGGTACGACTATAACACCCACTACACCCAGACTTTCTACACGAGATTTCTCACCCTCCTTCTTCTCCCTCACGAGCCCCTCGTCTCCCGTTCTTCCCTTCTCATTTGACGTTGCCGGCGAGTACGCTAATCCCTTGTCTTGGGACCGCCCGCTCCGTCACCTTGCTCACCTTGTTTCTTATATTCTATTCGTTTCCCATCTCAATCCCCCCCTGTGTTTCCCGTCTCCCGTTAAGCGCTACAGTGCTCTGTCTCTCACCTCACAACCTCAACCTCACCAGCCTCCCAACTTTCAACCCACAACCGGCCATAATGCCAGTCCAGCTATTACCGGCCTCGGCCGCCGCCTTTGCCCCAAGAGCATCCTCCGTCAACGTCGTGCTGGGTTCCAAGGTCGAGCCATGGTTGACCAAGACACTAAAGCGCATCAACAAAGTCAAGAGGCCTCTCAACAGCGTACCCCAGCACACAAAGTGCCTGACTGAGACCCTATCCTCACCGAACGCCATCTGGATCCTGGCCTCGCTCATGCTTCCCAAGGCTCCTGAAGACAAGCTCAAGCAGGATTCCAACCCGTTGGTTGAGGCCATCTCTAACTACCAGCTCATCCACCTGGAGGCTTACGTTGTCCACGTCGATATGGTACTGAGGAACGAGGTCGCTTTCAAGCTCACTCCCGACACGATCGAGTCGCTCATCGAGTACCACAAGGATGTCCACTGCCCCAACACCAAGGCCAGCACGTACGACTGGTCCGAGAAGGATCAGCAATGCAAGAAGCTTCACGAGGACTTTGTTCAGGCCGTCAATAAGTTTGTCTTCACCACGCACGTGACGGCTTTGGAGGGTCTCGAAGAGGAGGGAGCTGGAGAGTTGCTGGATGGTAGGAGCGAGGATGTCAAGAACGCCGTCATGAACCTTTACAAGCCGTTGCTGCCGCCCCCGCCCAGGATCGTCGATGTCGTCCGTCAGCCTCCTTTGTTGCCCAGCTCTCCCGCTGTGTGGTCGCAACCAACAACGCCCTCGTCGCTGCCTGCTCCTGTCGAGTCGTGGAGAGTCCTACCGTCGAGCCCCAGTGTGGCATCATCTGGATCCGCCAGCCCGCCCATGTGGGCTAGCATGGGTGTCAGTGAGGTGCAAATGCCCTCGCCTACACCTGCCTATAGCACGCCGTCCTACAGCGCGCCGGCCTACAGCACGCCTTTCTCCTCGGCCGGCTACTACTACGGCTCTACGCTCGTCTCTGCTCCCCTTCCGCTGCCCAGCATGCTTGCTCCTCATTGCGGAGTTAGCATGGGTTTCAACAACTTCGGTTGGGATCGCTATCAGGAGTACACCACGACAATGTGACAACCAACCCCTGCCACAACAGACGCCGGTTATCCAGCCGCGACGACTTCCGCATGATCGCCGGTGTTCTGGACCTTTTGGATATCCACAAAGCCAGGACGCGGTGTTCATGCCCATAGCGGCTGGGTGATCTTATCACACCAGCAAGAGGTACTTCGGCGTTTGGCACATGGACCCGGAGCGACATTTGACACTTCTTTCCTCAACCACTCCCCTCCTCTCTTGGTGCATCTACTCCCGACTGGTTTTTCTTTATCTCACTACGGGTTAGCGGGCGAGCGTCTATTTGCTTTTTTTGTGCTTTTTGGTTTTCATTGGCTTTGAGATATCATCATCATCACCGTGTGCTCGGTCATCGGATTTTCCTATTGTTTCAACCTCACATGGCAGGGACCTGGGGCGGGTAGTTTGTTTGCATTTGCATCATGGCGGTTATAGGCTGGTTTGCGTGTTTTGCTTTTAAGAAGAAGACTGCAGCAATGCACCCCACGGCTCGGCGGCGCAAGCCCGAGACAGAAACTTTCTTGATTGAGATTACCCCTTTTGTCTTTCACTTTTTTCATTTCTTCTTTTCTTTTTTCCCTTTTTCCCTCGCAGTACACGGCATTTAAAAAGGCTGGCGTTTGGAAGATACCCCTTTCGCGGTGTCTCGGGCTTCCCTCACGGGTCTACCCCACCGCACATTCGCTTCAAGACATTTCCATCTTTTACCCTTATATCTTGGATTTTATTTTGTCTTACGGATGATGTTTACGGCCTTTAATGTTGACGGATACAATACCTACGGCTATGACGACAAAACGACTTCTCACGACACGAAGGGTTTCGATCTTACGGCTTGATGTCGAAGCGAACACCAACAAACTCGAAGAAGAAAGAAACGATTGACGCCACCGTTCGGATTATATGCGCTCCCGATTAGAGGAAGAGGGGGACAATCCACCACAACGAGACTGGTTCTCGTGGTCTTCACTCTATCACATGGCCGATTCAACACCATCTAGCCGCAGCCGCGTATCTGGAATATCGCAAGCTTCGGCAGACACTGGTTGTCGACAAATACCAACGATCTCTGCTCCTCAGCCTGTCTGTCCTGCAGAACCAGCAAGAGGCTTTCGGCACATTCGGGTTGGGGAGCAGAGGGGGAACTTGAAGCAAGGGTGGTATTCGCCAAAGCACGATGCAGAAGAAGAAGGGCAATACGGGATATTGTACGGCACACACTGCTGAGCAGTGAACGACAATCAACATCATCGCCTCCTATCTGCCGTGTCAAGTTTGCTTTCTGGTTTTTTCCAACCTCTCAACACCATCGACACACTTCGACAAATCCGGTGAAGCGACTCTATCGATTATCCTCGTGGGCTGTCGGGGGCGGGATTACTGCTGCGGCGTATGTCTTGCACACACTCTCGGGTCAACTCGAGTCCTGCTAGACGGGATGGGTCCGAGGGTGTCGTGGCTATCAGGCTTGCGTTTTCCGTAGGTCAGGTCAAAGTTCCTCCGATTGTTCAGTCAGGGGAGTCAAGGTATGAGGACGTTTTCACCAGGTGATTTTGATGGGAATATGGGAAGGGGAACTGGCCAGTGGGTAAACAAATGTGGCTCATCTCACCACATGCCGAAGCTTTTCTGCACCTCATACTGGTGACCTGACGGTCTTTGGACCGGCCTCGCACAGTTGGGATGGTGGGGAAGCAAGGCAGAGGCCCATGATCGGACACAAGAGGTCCTGGTCGCTGGAGGAAATGCCACACCCTCTGCGCTGTATGAGAACGACAGTCACTTTTGCTGTGCGATTTGGCTCTGTCGTTCTCATTCCGTGCTTGGTGGTGTGTGCATGTAACTCACCGGGAATGCCTCACATGTTCAATGATTCTGTTCATGGGTCTGGGATGCTGGTTTGGGGTTTTTGGATACTCGCTCTGTGAGCGAGTTGAGGCGTGTAGTAGATACCCTGGTGGTTTTGGTCAATACGTTTTATGGAAGTAGAAGTAGCTATACCAAGTTTTGGATATCACATCTCTGGAAGTTTTTCAAGCACGAAAATATCATCTGCCTCTCTGCTCGATCCGTCTGTTTCCCGTTGTGACTTGTGACTACCATGTTCATGATTCCGCTCGGCAGTTATTCTATCCCCCATGTCTGCAAGATCGTGACGATCTCCCACTTCGGCTCCGAAAGGGAAATTGGAAGAAAATGGGAAAGATCGTTACATGGGTAACGTTACCCCTCGCCCCCGTCCGGAGCACGGGAATACACCGTAAATGAAAACTTTCAAAGCTGAGGTGACAGTACGGGAACGGTACCACGCTAACTGTTCTACCTATCTATCTTCCGCCTATGTACCTACTTACCGCCGTCATCTTCACATGCCAACTGTTATAAAGTGTGGAACAATTACCGCTTGGGTCACGTCTGTCGGACGGAATCTCGGGGGAAAATCTGAGCAGCTAGGGATATCTCAAGGCAAAATCCAGATATTCTTCTGCAATAAGCGCAGTTTTATGGCATGGATGCTAAGAAGGGGTTGTGGTTCTGAACTCTGAAAAGCCGCGATAAACCGACCCGAGACGGTATCGTACCTCGTGGGCACTTACCGCAGTAAGAGAGATCAGATGGCAAAAACTTCCAGTGTCGATCTAACTGAGATCTCGGGGTCCGTTGATAGCCAAGCATGGTCAAGAAGGCCAAGAAGGCCAAGAAAGCGTAAGCTGACCAGTTAAAAGCGAGAACAAGGGGGTCTTTACTTTTTGCTTTCTTTCCGTTCGGGACGCACCGAGGGCGCTGAGACTGGCGAGGCGGGGCGGGGCCGTCATCGTGACACTGACACGATGAGAGACAGACATCTCAACTCACGAACTCTCTTGATCTTTTTCCTCACCGTCTTCCTGGCTTCTTCTCTTGCGGAGCACGTGCGCTGAACTCGATGCGGTGATGGGAGGATTGTCACGCAGGTAGTAGGGCCGTCACACTTACGGTGACTGTGATGAAGGATTCGGGCTCGGGTGTGATGGGGATGGAGAAGATGGTGACGGTTACAGCGCTAAGATAAACTAGTATCGGATATTGCTCCGACCTCCGATCTTGCTGCTGCGCAGTACGCGGTAAGACGGAGCGAAGTCGAGATAGTTCGAGATAGTGTAGTGTAGTGTAGTGATGATGATGCCGATCTCCAGAGTTCAGCTTTGTATTATTTTTAAACTTACCATACTTGGATAACTAAATCGTATCTGGCAAACTAAAAGCTCACGTCACCATCGCCAAATGGGCCAGACTCTCACCTCCGCAGAAAGTCTCACCATGAGTGAGACATTCCGTATAATGAGCTGGTGTTGGTCGTTAGCGCAATCCTTCAAAGTGTCTTCCATGACGGGAATAAGAAGTGTTCGTCCACACCTCCAACAACGAAAGAACCAATATCGCGTTCGCCACTAGTCACTGCCCGTGTGTATAGGTAGTGAGCACGACGGCAGCAGCAGCTGGCAAGCACCTTCCGCAACTGCGTTATCGTCCGTTCCGCTACGTCCGGCCTGTTGCATCATGTCCCCGTCCGTCCCTTGCCTTTTGCATGTCTTCGTGCAACAGTAAACACTATATGCTGCAGTGCTGATTCTGCTGATGCGCTTCAGGTTGATGACCTATATTGATAAAATCACCGAGCTATCCGACCGACGGGTGTGAAGTGTTTATCACTACTACCAAGGCACAGGAAAAAAGTGAAGTGAAGAATGTGAAGAAAGAGTGAGAGGAAAGTTACGATGGAAACGAAACGGAAAATGCCCGACCGACGGGAGGGAAGTCCATGAGCAGGGGATAGGGACACATTTCTTTTAGCGCCTAGCGCCTCAAGCGCCTGCGGCCTGTTCAGCGACCGCTGTGGGGCTTCCCTCCCTTCCGTCCTCTAGGCTGCCGTCCGGTCGGGTGGGTGGCGGCGGCGGTGTTATCCGGGTGTCGATGGTCGGGTTTGTCCCCGATATCATGGAGATGTTTCTTCCCGGTCAAAAGAGCTCAAAGAAGGCCTTTGGATATCACCGGTCTTCGTCTACATAATACGATTTTGCGGCGCTGGCTGTGCAGGAGTGTCAAGCCACCAGAAGAAACTCGAGTTCGTGACCTCAACACCTCCTTTCCCTTGCAGACGACCAGAACGGATCACAGCATTGCAGTCCAGTGCCATGCAGCGGCTCGTGTACGCAGCAAGCAGGTATTTACATGCAATATAGCCAGCCACTTTTGCCCTGCCTTTGCCCGGCTTTGCTCTGCCTGCGTGCTTGCTTACCGGCCTCGCCTGCTCGGACGGAGAAGTGCGCATGACACCCTCTCTCTTCTGCAATGCAGATTGCCTGATCTGCATAGCCGGTCCGCCTCTTATAGGTTGCTAGATATGTACAGTATGCGCAGGCAGGTTTTGTTGGAGGCCTCAGTTTTGTCGTCCATCATCCATCATCCATTGTTGATACTCAACACTGGACACTCAATACTCAACACCCGATACTGTATAGGTTAAGTTAACTCTCTAACCTACCTACCTATACGAAACGAAACAAACCAAAACAAAACAAGACCGGACAATCAAGTATCTACCTTCGACACTTCATGCCCTACCTCCTAGGCAGATCGCAAGGTTTACACTTCCCAGCAGAGGATATGCGCCTGACGTCGAGTTGGGTAGTTGACCCGATGCTGTGGTCAATGTTAAACCGAATGCTGTGTCTGTGTCTCTGTCTGTGTCATTGAACAGGCTCTCTTTTCCTGCTTACACCCCCGTTACACAGAAACCGTTGAACAACGTCGACATTAGCTGACTAGGTAGATACATAGCAACGTGGAGCATCGGCGGGAGTGAGGAAGAATACAAGGCACAACAGCCAGCAAGTAGTCGGAGCTTGGAAAGGTTGTTTGAAGCAGGTCGGCGGCTGAAGATAGTGATTTTCCTGAGGTACGTGTTACTCGAAAGTCGAAACTCTTGAGGGTGTGTACACTACTACTACCAGCCATAGCATGGGCTGAGGGAGGGTTTGGGTTTGTGGCCTATTGATGATTGGGGGTACTTCGCGCGGATTTTCCGACGTTGGGAATTTTTGCGACGAAAGGGAGATTCGGAAATGTCTATGCCTATTTAGGCTTAAGATTCCGTTTACGTGGGTACAAACAACCCATGTGGCCACGTGGCGTAGCGGCTCCCCACGTAGGCTGTAAACCGCAAGGTCATCCGTTCGATTCTGGTCGAGGGCAACCTTTCGGGGTTTTCCTCAGCTCTATGGGAGAGCTGTCCGGGTACGTCCTGGGCACTCTCCCATGGTGAGTCCAGCGTATTTTCTCCCCCAGCGAGCATATTTATCCCTAGCGAACATACTTATCTCCAGCGTTCCTTCCCTAGTATATCTATACACAGCGATGGGTTTTTCCAAGCGGTTTTCCCAGCGTTTTTTTTTTCTTTTCTTTTTCTTCTTCCTCTTCCCCCCGCGCTGTTGATCCTCGGTGCGTTGCGGGTTGAGGAGTGTGCCAGGTTGAGTGTAGTTCATACAGGAGGGCAGTCGGTATTGGTGACACTACATTGCAGAAGTATGCCCGAACGGGAAATATTTCACCGAGGTGTAAGTGAGTGACCGACGTTCTCCGTTTGAGTGTAAGGCCGAAGGACAACATAACATGGAATCAATGGCCAGGGTCAAATATAGGGAAGACAACACCATTGAAGACTTTTCGTGTGTTCTAGTACACTTCTATCACCATCACCGTTTAGACACACCCCGTTCACAAGACCGCCGCAATCTCCAACAAACTACCATGCAACCCTCCCTTTTCGCCAACCTCCTTGAACGTCTTCAACGCCTCCCCAACAGCCGACTCGGCGCCAACAACCCTAACCACCGCAACCGCGCAAAGCAACACCCTCGCACAAGCCGCAAACACATGCTGATCGCTCGTCCACCCCAACGGCCCATCATTGTTCTCCCGAACCAGTCTAACCAGGTACTTCAGCCCTTCCTCCGTCCACTTACTCAGCTTGGCGAACGCAGGCCCGGACGTGATTTCAGAAGACGTGGCGGAAGCAGCACGAGAAATGAGCTCCCGCTGCCAGCGTCTAGTCTCCCTGACCTCGTCTATAAACAGATTCTGCTCCTCAGTGGCAAACAGCGAGTCATCGAACTGCAAAGCGGTCAGGAGCTGCTCCGCCGCGGAGGTCAATTCCTCATCCTTTCCAGCAACCGGGGAAGAGTTCCCGGTCGTGAGACGGAACACCAAGTGATCTTGGAATTCCTCCTCGCCGAACAACGTCTCGGACATCCAGACCGCCAGACGATCAGCCGCTGAGGGAGGAACCATCTGCTGTCCGACAACGGGCGCGGCAGCAGCGGAGGCCAGATCGCGGACCTCGTCGTCGTCGTCGATCAGGGCGTCGTAGAGCGCCGAGAGCGCAGGGAGGAAAGCTGGGGACCAGCTGCTTGTTGCGGGCACGAAGCCGGTGAAGAAGGAGGTCAAAGAGGAGGCGGCCGCGTAGCGCGTGTCGAAGGTGTTGTCGATGTCGAGCGCGTCGGCGATCATGGCGCCCCAGACTCGAACGCGCTGCGCCATTTGGCTGTCGATCTCGCCGCCGGTGGTGGCAGCGCTGCGAAGGGCGAGGGCGGCCATGAGGGAGCCGCTGGCTCGGATGATGGCGCAGGAGAGGTTGGGGTTGATCTCGCCTTGTTGGAGACCCTTCCAGGTTTGTTCGATGGTGGCCATGAAGGGGAGGCTGAGAAGCTCGGCTTGACGGCCTTGCTGGAGAAGGGAGTCGATGAGATCGCTGAGGTTGGTGATTGCGGCTGCCTTGATATCGGGGGTGGCAGCGGTGGTGGTGCAAACTTCGGCATAGAGGTTGGAGAAACCCTCGATGGCTTCGGGGGTGGTGATGGCCTTCCAGGCGGCAGGGACCATCTCGAGCATTCGGTGAGTGGTGTTGATGTCCTTGCTGAGGGTGTGCAGGAAGAGCGCCCGTAGGACCGTGGTGTCGGCAACTGCTGCAGCGTGGTAGACGCTGGCGATGACAGCTTCCGAATCTAGGAGTGCCGAGGATGGGTATTGCTTGGTCTTCTCCATCACCGTGGCTGAATCGGAACCCGGAGTGATGGCGATGAGTTCAAGGGCTGACTGGTTGACAATGGGATCGATGCTCGCCAGGATGTTGAAGATTTCCAGGTAGGCCGCCTTGACGATGGGGCATGTCTTGAAGTTGTCACTCTCATCTGCTAATCTGCGGAGGAGAACCTTGAGCTTAGATGTGTCTTCGGAAAAGTCAGCGCCCAAGCTGGTCTTGCGCTCCAGAACGAATCTTGTCAGCAGGAGGACACCATGGATACGGTTGGCGCGATCCTCAGACTCCTCGAGGAGCCGCTGAATCTCTGCGACCCAGTCACCCTGAAGGAGGAAGGAGCAGAGCGTCCTGGCGGCAATTTCTCTGACGTGCCAGAGGTGGCTATCGAGGTAGCCTTCAATATGACCTTGGAGTTCGGCGCGGTAAGACTCAGGGGGACCAGCACGACGGATGATGTCCAATGCCGGGAAAACGGCCTCCGCCGCGGCTGTCTTTGCATCCTCACCAAGAGCCTTGTTGGCAGACTCTAGGAGCCCCAGAATGACACCTGGAAGCGTTGGGTACTTGTTGTAAGAGATGCGGACGGAGACACCGTCCCAACCCGACTCAATGATGGCCTTGCTCTCACCCGTTCCAAGCAAGCAATCGATCAGACTCCTCAGCAACAGGAGACCGCAGTTGCGAATGGCCCATCTGTATTTCGTTAGCATTCGATACATGAGCTAGTCTTTCACTGCGACTTACACTTCAGACTTCAGGTTGTTTGCAGCCAGCTGCAAAGTCCTAGCCAGGTAAGCCTCGGCCTTCTTGCTCAACAACGAGCTCTTGAAAATTTCTCTAAGCGAGTTCAGAGCATGTACTTGTGGCAAGTTCGATCCATCGGTTTCCGCCTGCGTGACCGGCTTCTTGCCAATCTCCTCGAGTTCACTGAAAACCTCGTTGAACGAGGGTGACTCGGCGTTGGCTGTCAGGATACCGGCAACAAGAGACGGAATACCCGCAGAGCGACGGGTGGTGGAGGCCTGGCTCATGATGCAGTTGATTGTGCCCTTTCAGGAGTTAGCGTGAAGAACCTAAGAGCCGTGATCATTCCCAAAAACATACCTTGTACCATTCGCGAAGCAAAGTGTTGGACCCAGCAGTCTCGGGGAAGACAATGGGGAGGTTTTGCGTAAGCTGGCAACATGTCGTAAAAGTAAGAGATACCGTAGAGAAAGCACCACGATGTCTCAAGCTGGAAAGCTGCTCAAACGTCAAGTAGCCGGTATCTTGGAAAACGGCCAAAGGAGGGAACGGCACTCCTGGGCCTGGAGTGAGACGCAACGTCTGGAGCATCAGTCGCAACAGGTTGCTCGACTCGTGAACTGCGCGGAAGCTGTAGCTCAACAGGTCTTTAGTGTCCAAACCCTCAATTTCCTCCATTTCCTCGGGCAAGTGGCCTTCCGGAGAATCATCGCACAGCACATGTCTGACTGCTAGCCAAATACGCTTGGCACAGTCGAAGACGCGCTGGTATAGTTGATGGATAGCTTCCAACTGTGTTTCGGAGAAGGTCTCCTTAGCCAGCACAGGCCAAGCATAGCTGATGGCGGCAAAGTCTGGATGCACGGGGTTCTCAATAGCAGCATGGCCCAGATCCTTCTCTGCCTTTGCAACCTTGTCTTCAAGACCACCGATGATTTTGGAGATGTGAGCAATCTGGAGATCTGCACCATCCAACCATCGGCACAGAAGTCCCTGAGAACGAGCAGCGCCGTCACCATGATCAGCACGGCCGGTTCTGTCTGCCAAAGCCCGGGCTTTTAGGCAAAAGTCTTGCAGAACCTCGAGTTGGGTCTTGCTGTTGAGATTGGGCTGTGCCGGAGACTTGATGATATCTTGAGAGAACAGACCCAGAAGGTTAGAGGCGGAGTCTCTGACATCGTCAAAGGGGTCCAAGAGAAGATCCAGAAGGAGGCGGATCCAAGTGAAATCCGAGGATATTGACTTGGAAACGTCCTCATCAACCGCATCATCCGTGGCACCGGCGTGCTTTCCAACCTTCAAAGCCAGAAGTGCCGCTCTCATAGCTGTAATGTGACGTTGGTAGGACGCCGTGGGCAAAAGTTCACCCTTCAGAAACTCAAGATACCAAGAGAAGAATGCTTCGTGGCGGTCAAGTACCTCCTTCGCCTCGGCGGGATTCTTCAACAAGTTCTCGGGAGCGGGCTTCTTCTTGGATGATGTTGTGTCCTTGTCCGCAGCTGCCTGGTTTTGCTTGTTGGCTGCTTGGGTAAGACTCCTTTGAGCGACAGAGATGACGTTCTTGACCCGGCGGATCAGGTTCTTGGTATAGCCGAGGACCTCATTGCGCAATTTGGCGTCAAAGTCGGCATGAAAAGCGGCGAGATGTTTCCTGAGTAGGTCGAACGCTATCCGGGAGAAGGGCTTCGTAGTGGCCTGGGATGAGACCAGCAAGGAGAAAGCGCTGGATCTGACGGAAAGGGAAGGGTGGGTGAGGAAGCTTTCGAGGACGGTGTCCCGAAGAATGACTTTGCTTGAAGACTGAGAAGCGTCGACATCATTGCTGGGTTCTTCCACCAGACCGAATCGCTTGCCGGTCTCGAGTGTCGCCAACTGGAGCAAAAGAGTTAAATCGGTCAGATCCTGTGTGGATCCGACGGGGATCTCGCTGCGGTTGAACGCCTCAAGCAGCTTTAGAGACTCGACCTTGTCAGTCTTGAAGATGGGGACCAGGACGTAGTTCTTGATGTCCTCCAAGACTGCTGGTCTTTGGGCCACAGCCTCCTGTAGCCAAGTCTTCCAGACCTCGACAGTGAACTTTTCGCTCTCTTGGGCAGCAGCTTGGCTAGTCAAGCCCTTGAAAATGTGCACAAGGCATTTGCCAGCATGAGGGCAAACGTAGGGAAGCTCCATCCACGAGAACAACTCAAAGACAAAAGACTTCCACAACGAGAGATGCGGTAGATCGGCCACAGAAGCGTCGACCTCACGATACTTGCGAGCAACATCGTCGAGAGACAGAACCTTTTTGTTCAAGAAGTGGTCCAGACACTGCAGACCGGACTTGGTCAGTTGCATGGCAGACTTGCGAGTGACAATCTCCACGATGGTCCTGAGAATGTGTTCCTTCACTGCCTTCCCTGTCTCAGGGTTGGAATTGATGGTCGCCGAAGCCACAAGGACATCGAGAATCAGTCTCAGGGCACGATGAGGGTCGTGTTCATACCACTCAAGGTAGAAATGGAACAGCTTCGTTGAGACGGGCTCGGTGAAGGCCCATTCCTTCAGCTTCTCGTCCTTGGCCTTGGCACATTGCTGAACAAAACTGCAGAGCCTGACCACATCGTGGCCGTTGCCGTGATACTGGCGAGACTCGGAGGCGTTGCTGAACAGCTTGGCAAACACTGCTTGTGCGATGCTAACATGGGTGTTAGTGATTAGCTATATATGTACATGGTTGAGAGTTTCTCACAAAGAAGGACTGGAAAACGAAGATGAAAGAAAAAAGACTTACACTGGGAGCGACTCTGTGGGTTGTGACAACAGCCACTTGGTGATGGTGTTGGCATTCTCAAACACTTCGGGGCCCAGGCCGGCTAGCAGGGCTTCCGTGTCAGTAGTGCTGCTGCCGGGGGCATTTCGCTGGACTTGATTTGACTCCATCCCCGCAGTCCAATAGGGAAGTTATGATTGAAGGACTGAGTTTAGACGTGCATCCAATATGCAGGAACGAGGCTTGCAGAGATGATGACTGATGAAAAGAGGCAATGAAGAAGGAGCGTAGAGTGGTAAAGTTGCCGTCAATGAATCCCCAAAATGATATTGATCGCCTGAAGTTACTGTATCTTGTGTATTAAATCCACCTCTCTGTTGGGCAACTCAGGCATGACAAGAGCGACGGGTGTGAAATTTTGGGGACCTACAAAGAAAGGCCTGTAGCATCACCCACTGTGTGTTTACACCCCTTGTGCATATTCTGGGGTGAACCCACTCCGGCGACCGTGCTCATTTTGAGTCTGGAGTTGCCTGCCGCCCTGCCAAGAGATACCCTTGCACTGTACTGAATTACAAAGCTCGTGAAAGATTCAAAAGGGAAGTCCTGAGCAACCTGGAATGGGAACATGGAGGAGCCATCATATATTTCAAATGCCCACGATGTACTGCAGTTCTTTGTCAAGGTCATTTGTGTAAATGCTTCCGTTGACTTCCACTTCGACATGTTGACATGCCCCCAAAGCCAAGCCTAAGAGTCCGGCAGTAGGTGGTCTGTGCACTATGTGAGTCATGTGACTTTGGGCCTGGAGCTACAAAACTGGGCTTTCTGCAGGGAACCCTTGTACGTTAGTGTTGGAGGTGTCCCGTGTCACGTGCGGCCAGCCATGGCTCCCTTCTCCCTTCACTGGCCATGGCCCCACCGCACAGGGACCTCCCTTGCCCTACTTTTAGACCTCCAGACTTTACACACAGTCTGACCTCTACTCTACTCAATACATCACCATCATCATTGATTCGTTCGTTGTCGTTCAGCCTATTCACAGTTAGCCTCTTTTCTCTCTTCAACCTACCTCTACTTCCAGTACTTGGTGACCACCCAAAGATTCGCCAAGCGCGCGCAAAAGCTGGCAATTTCCAGGTATCTGCGTGGCCAAGATGTAGAAGTGGATAAAAATAACGCCAGCCGATTCGCCAAATGACGGTCTTGGCAAAAATGATACATTTGCACCGTTAAAGGGATGGTGGACAATACCGGATCTTTGCATGAAGCATCACCCTTCATCACCGGCTTGTTCCCTTTCGTTGTTTGAATGAACGCACGATCTGATTTTGATTGATTCTGGCTTCTTTGTTTTGTTGTCTGCATAACGCAAGAACTACACCACATTTGACGCACATCCACGACACCACGTCGACGCATCAAAACCACCCCTTTCCATTAAGCCCGACCTACTTCCATTAAACCCCGTCTGGTTCCGACAATACCAGACAAGAACAGACATCCTCCTATCCCCTTTCGGTTGATCACGACAACCCTATTACATTGTACAACCTTCGGTCAATTAGTAGCTATTAGGTAGTTGGTGCTGGCAATTTCAATTTGCGGCCCGATTAGGCACATCGGATGAAAGCCCGATACTCCGGTACCGAAACCCTAAATAAGAGACGAAAGACGGGATCATCGTCGGGACGGCGTCTTGGCATCCCTTCGGTTGACGTAACACGATCCAGGGTTACGGAGGCAAAGTACCTTTTCTGTTCATTCAAGATTTTGGCCATTGTCGAACAGCAGTTTGGCCTGGACAGATCAACCCCCGACAACGAATACCCGCGAACATCAACCCCATTGTTTGCCACCCTTCAGTGCATCGAAGCGCTATAATTACAGGGCCCCTTTAGTGCCCACAATACCCACCCAAAACGTTTTCACTTCTTTCCTTTGTCTTCATCATCTCAGAACATTCCAGCTGGACTGGAAGCCATCGGAGATCTTTCACTTACTCCTATCACGATATTGATTGTAGCCTCGCTGTCGCCATCGTTGTCGGGCCCTACTGCAGTTCCATTATCTATACCAACGCTAGTAGAAATATCCCCTGCTGGTGTGCCGGCAAGAATTTCCCCAGTGGGCTCCCCGGTTACTATTCCAGGAACCTTCAGCCAAGAAACCTCCCCGTTGGACTCCCCGGAAACTGAAACTGTCCCTGCTGACGTTCCCTTGCCATCTGGCGGTTCAAGTACAGTATACGGATCCGAGCCTAGTTCCCCATTACACACAATAATTCTCTAATCGGATTACCCCCGAGACGAAGACGGAGAGCGATCATAGCTCACCTAATCTTTCCAACGTTCGCTGGACGGATAACCGATAAAATCGATGATTATATTAAGGAGATTGAGTTACAGCTGGCCTTGGCTAACGTTGAGGAGAAAGTATAGAACGCAGTTTTTAAAATACAATTCTATATTAATTTGAGGGGAGATGCAAAGAGCTGGTGGGATGCCGAACTCGGTGATGCGGAGAAGTCGGGGAAGACGGCCATCATCCAAGCAGCCAGAGCGAAATGGAGAACTGCTACAACGGACAGCAACTTAATCTCGGATATTTTGCAAATCAGGAGGAGATTTGAAGAGTCGGTTAATAAATACTTGAGGAGAGCAGAGAAGCTGTTCGTGCGTGTGCAGTCGCAAGAACTTCGGTCGGTGGCAGCAAGCGCAGTGATGAATGGTATGGTGAGAGAGGATTAGAGAGTGGTGGGAATAGACAAAGCGCTCTGGCAGAGACTTGAAGACAGGCTGTTGGCCTTGGGAAAGGTCACTCTGACGAACTCGGGTACGAAAGAGTTCAATACCTCCTTTGCGGAGATCAAGAAGGCGATGAGGTCCTTGGGAGCGGAGGTGGGAGCATACGAGGATTCGGATATGGAGGACGGAGAGAGCTCGGTAAAGCTCAAAAATCTTACGAAGCTATTGAAGCAGTTTCCCAACCTAGCGGCTGGAACTCCCTTGCACACTCCCATGATCATAGCCCATAATGCCAACTTCCAGAATCCCGGACAACAAGGTGGTTACAGCAACCAAGGCAACAATGGTTTTGGCGGAGGCTTTGGGAACAACAATAGATACACCAATAACGGCTATGGCAACAACTCCGGCAACGGTTATGGCAACACCGGGAACGGCAGTTACAACAACTCTGGCGGCAACGGTTACAACAACGCTGGGAACAATGGTTACAACAACAACTCCGCCAGCTATAACAATGGTCAGTCCCGCCCCCTTCCTGAGATTTCTGAGTCCTGGGACCCCCGGAAGTATGGACTGTGGCCGGGCAGAACATATTTGTGTAACAACTGCGGGGAACCTCACGGTGACCACATAGATAAACACTACCCCCATCCAAGGGTTGAAGAATGGGTCAGGTTGGCGAACCGTCGAAAGAGACTGGCGCTGATGGCAGAAGAAGAAGCAGCTCGCAATTCCCAACAACAACAACAACAGAACCAGCAGGCTCAAAACCATCAACAACAGAACCTCAGTCAGCAAAACAACCGGGAAACGGAAATACCGGGAAACCACCAAAGAGCGATGCATGTGATGACAAGTTGGAGAATGAACTTTGAAAATCGAGGGAGTTGGCAATGCTGGCTCCGGGACAACAGGACAACTTCAAGGCGGAAGTGATGGAGGCAGCTGCGGAGGTGAAGAGCTCAGAGGAGGTTGTGGAGGAGGTTTCAGATGTAGAGGCGGAGGAGGCAAGTATCAAAGTGGTAGAGGTTTTGGACGCCTTGGAGAGTATCATTATGCTCTACAATCATCTGGACAGTGCTGGGCTGGTGGAAAAGTCGGCTGAAGTGCCTTCCAACATTGAACTTCCTGAGGTGGTGGGAAAAGCTTCGGTTTGATGGAGCAGCAGGCTCAGTCCGATCAAGCCTATCATTATGAGCCGGCCAAAGAGCCGGAGAACATCATCTCTTTACTATAGAAATGCGGAATATTTTTGAGGATGGCGCGAGTTAACCCTTCATCTATAGAATATGCCAAGACCATTCCCCGCTGCTGTAATAAGAAAGGAAAAGTGACGTTCTCTGTTGTCTCCAAAGCACTACGTACGACAACAACCAACTACAGTTTGAGACTGGAGAGAGTTCCGCCATCTTTATCAGCAAGAAACTTTTTACCAAAGACTTCGACATTGGCGACGATCGGCGAAACATTAATTTGGGGGATTTTTCTTGATTTTTTAGTGTAGCACTACGGGGTTATTAGGAGCAGAGCAGTTCAGTTAGGGAGGAGCGGATCAGCTGGTTTCTCCGTCACAGGCCAAAGACTGACGGCCAGGGCAACCGCCTCCCGGAGATAAAAGGACCAGATCTCCTCCCAAGAGTAGAGGGAGAGAGGCAGGCAACTTAGACCAGACATCACTCCGACTTACAGAATACACTTGAGCTTCGCCCCAAACTTGAGCTGCCTCGTTGAGTATACTTCGTGACCCCCTCTCTTTGGAAAAACTAACCTCCAGGTCCGCTCCTCACTGAAGTGAGAAGGTCTTAGGGGTGAAGCTTTACTTCCCCCTACCTTCCTCCTAGTAGTTAATGGCTACGGTGTAGAAATTTTACTCGGACATTCTGGCAAGACTGACATGACCTCTGGATCTGCTCCCTTCTTCAAATTCTTTGTGGTGGGCTGCTTCTCTTTTGATAGTGTGGTTTTCCTCCATTTCAACATCAAAAGCAATCGAATCTTACTTTACAACCGTTCTGAAGGAAATTAAAGAAAACCGAGATCCTTCGAGGATCGTCAAACTAGATTTTGAAAGCCGTTCGAGGAAGAATTCCTTACTATAAGCCGCGACCCCCACCGAGTTTGTCCTGCGGACAGCGAAGATTGAGAATTCTGGGGACGAGACAACGACAAAGAGGCATCGCAATACGCTAGCGAAGAACATCGTTACCGCCAATGCCCTATGGACCTCCGATGCGTATAGACAAGATTGGCCGGGCCAAATTATCGATCAAGTAAGAACATACATAGTTGATCACGGCGCTTTAGCGCTGCGGGTTTCGGGAGCACAGATATTTGGAAAGGCATGCTTGAAGAGTGCGAAAATCGAACTTGGGATGAAAGACGCGGGAAGACGGCACGACCCGCCTCCCGAAAAATCAAGTTGCGATGAAAAGGAACCCCGGAATAGACCCCGAGATCCTATCCCATCTTCTGCTTCGGAGGTACTTCGTGTAACCCCAGGGTTATGTATGGGGGACCAGAAAACTAAGGGGAATATCTTCGAAATCTGGAAATCCCCGCAAAATCGCGTATTGGCAGCCGAAACCATGGACAACATAGACGAATGGTGGGAACAATGCGGCATAACGATCGGGGAGTGGGCAGACAGCGAAGAAAAGTAGAGCTAGTCAAAAGACTTTACTACACCTAGAAGGATTATTTTGCTCTATCGCTGAAAGATTGGACAAAAACAGAAATTGTTGAGCACGCGGTTAACTTGGTAGAGAATTCGAAACTATAGACATTCCGCCCGATCCGTTATTCCAAGGATGCAAGGTCATTCGCACAGAAAATATTTCCGTCAATGGAGGAAGCGGAGATGATCTTTCATGGCGATTCCCCCTATGCAGCCAACACTTTGCACCCACCAAAGCCTAACGCGAAGACGAAAGGGGAGAGAAGAACAGTCCACGATTTCCGCCCCGTTAACGCCAACACCATTAAGTCGGCTTACCCGTGTCACGACATGGAGGCTAGTGCCGATGATTTGCTGGTTGGAAAAATGGCAGTAATGTCAACGACAGATGCGAAGAATGGGTACTGGGCGGTGGGAGTGAGAGAAGGACATCAATGGACAACAGGCGTGAGAACGCCGTGCGGAATGAGGTACTTGGAGAGAGAAGTTTGCCGAGGATTGGGAGCAGAGACATTGGGCTTGAACGTGGTGCGAAATAGCGAGTGGAAGATGCTTATTGGATAGGTAGAGACCATCATAATATTAATACTTGCGCCATCCCGCTCCTTCCTCATACTATGTAGTGACTTTACACCTTCGATATGAAATCGGGTTGCTCCTTCCTCGATATGATATCGGGCTGCTCTTTCCTCGACATGATATCGGGCTACCCTTTCCTCGACATGATAATGCCTTCAGTACATCCCGTCGTTTTCTCCTCGCGATGGACGTGAAGTTTTTCGTCGGTCTCTCGTTCACCCTTCCGCCCTCCTCGGCACCTGCGACACCAGACTGCCCGAACTCCTCTACCTTCGCTCTCATCGCCCACTATGCCTAGAGGCACCACTACGCAGGTGCCCGAGGATAGGAACGCTCCTCCGTTAGAGCCAGGGCCTGAAGCAAAGATAAGGACCCTTTTGATGCAGGAACCCGCGCCAGAGGTTCCCAACTCCTATGTACAGACGCAGCAGCCGACCCCTAGCCAGACCGATGAAGAGCTACTCAACTCTCTTGTATTTGCTGCCGTCAACGTCGACGCCTCAGAACGGGTCAGATCATGGTTTTATAAAGTGTATCTTGCACCTAAGGACCAGTGGGAAAGAGTGACAGCCTTTCCTATAGTACCTGCTCCCGGTCTCAGTGACGTATTACAATCAGCGGTCCCACCTACAATAGACTTTTTTAAGTCCCTCCCGACACTTCCGAACGATGCCCTGGTTTGGGGTATATACGCCCTTGTTTTCGAAAAGGAGGACCAATTGCCCAAATTGTATATCGGTTCGGGCACGGAAAGTAAGATCGGACTCCGGGACCGCTTTAGGGACTACAACAGAGGAGACTTCACAGACTTACCAAGTAAATGTCTGAAGAAAGGGTGGACTGAAAAACACCGCGGCCTTCTATGTTGGTCGTCTATCCCCCCTGAGATTGATATTCCTTTACAGCGTCTCAGGTTCCTGGCAATCGAAGCCACACTTGCTTTCGCTTTCTCGGTCGTCCGTAACCGTCCTCAGAAAACTGATGACGTTTGGTCCGAGATTGTCCCTTGGCCACAGGCCACATTCCCGTGGGCGCCATTGTGCACCCACTCCGCTTTCTGGGAGGTACCAAGGGGTATCGACAAGATTAACATAACTTCAGAGGAACTCGAAGAACGTAAGGCGATGCAGGCACAGAGGAAGTATTGTCTGACTTGCCATAGGAACTTCACAACACCACAGGGTCTCAACCAGCATATGGAGAGTCAAACACATTTTGATAATGTACAGAGGGAGGTATACAAAAAGCAGTTTGGCAAGTGGCCGGAAGATGAAGTTGAGAATGATGTCGTGGAGGTCGACGACAGCTTTTGGCTTTATTGTCCGACTTGCCATAAGAACTTCAAAACAGAAGCGACTCTCGACAGGCATATGGGGTGTCAAACACATATTGATAACGTACGGAGGGAGGTGTACAAAGAGCAGTTTGGCAAGTGGCCGGAACATAAAGATGAGAAGGATGTCGTGGAGGTCGACGACCGCTCCTCCCGCGATTACAACAACAGCGACTCTCTTAAGGAAACCCGGAGACAACGAGCGGAAGCGAAACCAACAAATCTGTTTCATTGTCCGACTTGCAATAAGGACTTCAAAACACAAAAGACTCTCAACAGCCATTTGGGGAATCAAACACATATTGATAAGGAACGGATCAAGAACGGTGACGCCCCCTCGAAGGACCAAGTTCAACGGGCGAAGAATATTGCTGCCAAGATGTTTTCCTGTAAGGATTGCAACCCATATTATTTCTACGGGTCACACGAGGATCTGCTCCGCCACTTTACCAGAAAGAAGCACCTGGAGAGAATCAGGCCACTGAAGGAGCAAGGTGAAGTGAGCCTGGAGGAGCACCTGGCCCTGGACAAGCTGAAGGAGAGCCAACAGCTCAAGGAGCAAACCCAGATTCTAGTTAGAATTCCTGGTGAGGGCATAGTGGGCTTGGAGGAGGCGGTTGGGCGTAAGGATGGCATGTTGATGATGTTGTAAGTGAGATCTACCTCTGAAATTATAAGACACCTATGCTAACTATTTCACAGGCGCAACAAAAAGCAGTTTCGCAAGTTTGCGGGAGTTGAGAAGGATGTCGTGGAGGTCGACGACCGCTCCTCCATCAAGCCCCGTCTGTTGTTCCCGCCGAAGCCCAAAGAGGCCGAAATACCTAACTTAGACGAAGAGGCTCCTACCGATGATGAGGATAACGTTCTGCTGTTCCCGCCGGATGCCGAGATACCGGATTCGGACGCTCCTACCGATGATGAGTTAGCACCAGCTTTACCGCTAGCTATAGTACGCACCACAAGAGCTGGTACAAAGAGAGCCAGCGAGACACTATCGGTCGGAGCCGGTCCAGCTAAGCGAACTAGGACTTGATCACTGTTGGTGCTGTGGATCTCATGGATTCAAGGGTCGTCATCGGTTTTTAAACGCTTGCAAGGCTTTCCATAGGGGCTTGATGCTCCAGGGCGACAGGTCGATGCGATGCTCGATCTTGAGAGATAAGGCGGCGGTGTGGCAGGTCAAGGGAAGTCCGACGGGGTTGAAGCTGAGTGCTATGGTTGCGGACTTGGCTGTTGAGAAGGGACTTACGTCGGCGGCCGGGGCCGCGGTTTTTTGGTGTGTTTGGCGTGTTTGGTGTGGTTGATGTGGTTGGTGTGGTCTGGTGATAAGTTTCTCACGCTAAAGTCAGACGCACCAGAACGAACCAGAGCGAACTAGAGCGAACTAGAACGAACTAGAGTGAACTATGGGAAAATACTTATAAACGCACCTTAAATCAACCGAGATTGACCTACTCCTCCACTCTCTGTCGGTCAATAAGTGTGTAAGAGTAATTTGAGTCTCCTTCCCGCTATCAACACGGCACTTTACATATGGTCCGTGCACTGAACCTAAGAGTCGCACGGGCCAATAAATTTTTTTTATCGGGGCCAAGACAGGCGTCCAAGTTGCGCGTGAGCCGGAGCCAATTCGAGATTCCATCCGTCTCCGTCCAGGTCCTGCACTTCAACATCCCGTCCCGCCCACCCGTCCGTCACTCCTCCGAAGATACGATAGCTTGCCGACGGCACCACCCACCCACCCTTCCCTCCGACTACCCGTCACCACTCTCGCGCGCAGCAGTCCGTGGTTCTATCTGCTCCGTCTTTCCCACTGTTTAACGATCCGATAACCCCTCGGACCCCTCCACTTCCGTCACAATGTCCGGCCTCTGGAACACCCTCACCGGAGGCAACAAGAAGCAGCAACAGCAGCAAGAGCCCGCCGCGCCCGCCCCCAGCGCAACCCAGACAACCACCACCACCACCGCTCCCTCATATCCCTCGCCCTTCGATGCTAGCCAACCTCAAGGCGTCGAGGCCTTCCTCGGCAGCTCCTCCTTCGCCGACCCCACACAACTACACCCCCTCGCCGGCCTCAACAAGGAAACACTAGACTACATCTCGCTCGAGGACACCCCGCTGCCCGATGCCGCCGGCGCCTCAGTTCTGCCCTCGCGCGGCTTCACCGACGACCTCTGCTACGGAACCGGCATCACCTACCTGACGGCCCTCACTCTCGGAGGCGTATGGGGTTTGAACGAGGGTCTCAAGAGATCGGTTGGCCAGCCGCCCAAGCTGCGCCTCAACTCCGTCCTTAATGCTGTCACCCGTCGCGGTCCCTACCTCGGCAACTCGGCCGGTGTCGTCGCCATCTGCTACAACCTAATCAACGCCAGCATTGGTTACGTGAGGGGCAAGCACGATGCCGCCAACACAATCCTGGCCGGCGCTCTTAGTGGTATGCTCTTTAAGAGCACCAGGGGTCTGAAGCCCATGATGATCTCGGGTGGTATTGTTGCGACGATAGCCGGTGCTTGGGCAGTATGTTACCATGTTTCTTGGGGATTTTGGACGGAAAGACCCCTCGCTAACTCTGTTATGTCTCTAGATCACCAGGAGGACGCTCTTCCCCTCCCCCCAGACCAACGAGGTTGACTGAAGCGGCGACGAAGAATGAAACAAAAAACATCTTCTTTTCCCTTCATCACACGACTCTCTGGCCATCGTTGCTCCGCTCCCAACAAAAGAGCGCATAGCTAGCCAGCCTTCTCTATTACTTTAATCTTCGGAGAGCCGACAGAAAAAAAACCAGAGTCTTTCTCACCAGCACGGAAGACACTGCCAAGAATATGTGTGTGTGCCGGTCAGTGTGTCTGTGTGTGTGTCCTTTGCTAAATACAGAGCAAAAAGGACAGGCGCTCGGACTGGTGGATGTGTACGAACAAGAGAGAGGGGAGAAAAAAACAAAGAAACACTGGGCTGGGCCGGGGCTTTAAAAGGCAGGAAATGGAAAGGGGGGCAGGGCAAGGGGGTGTGCATAGTGGTGCATAGCGCAAGGGTTAGTCTCATCTCTCTCTCCTCCCCATGTGTGGAAAATTGTATGTATTATAGCGGATCGTATGGACATAGAGCGCAATCGCCCCGGTTGGGCATATGGGGCATTGCGGCAGGCTTCATTCAAACTTTGAATCGGTTGCGGGTTGTACATGGCTGTTGGCTCCGGGTTCTATGATGAGGGGGTTAAGTAATGTCTGGTGTAGGATGTATTGAGCATGTAACGCTGCCGCAAGTTACTATCAAGAATGACTGCAAGCAGGTCTGAGTTCAAAAGTGAAAGTGGTGAAGGGACAGGACTGCGAATGAACACCACTCTCTCAGGGAAAGGTCCATCTCGGACCAATACAATGTTCGCCGCAAGACTAAAAGCGTACATTGTTCCCTGAGTGTTCTCCATGCGAGTGTCTGGTTTGAGAACAATAGGTGAGCGCCTCTCAACACACGCAAGTTGAGAGACCAGGGGCAAGACACGCCGGGAACTACGATCCTTTGATAGTCGGCGGACTGAGCTACTAGTCTCAGCAACCATGACACCTTGCTTCTGGATGCTTAGTCCATCTGCATATCCCGTTCTAGGTTCCATTAAAGTAGGAGACTGATAAAGCGCATTCTCCAATCCATTATGTTATTCATGACAAGAGCAACTACCGCATCATCGGGCTGCATTATTACAGTTCCTAGAGTGGGATACTGTTGTGGAAGTAGAAAGGCGAGCCCAATGGGGTTATATGTGACGTACCATATTTTTTTACCCCTAACTTCATAGAAAGCTAGCTCCCTTGAAAATATCCAAAGAACAGCATATCAATAAAACACCTCTCACAACGAACGAAGACGATATAAGTGTTCAGTTTAATCGGGTCGGGATAGGGCAGTGCATTCGGATACAACACAAATCATCAGGAAATGAAGCTGTTTCTGTTATGTTGCTTTTGGGCCCGAATCGAAGGAATGAGCAGTGTTTTTGATAAATCCCCTTTCTGCCTGGGTGTAGCCTTATGTTTTGCAGACACCAAAAAGAGCCTCCACGATCTTGTCGCCATGTGGACGTGGAGTGTCTTGTGTCGTGCCTCCCGCTTTAGGCGAATTGAGGGAGCCTCATTTTGCCCCTGCCGTCCGGCAAGTATCTTCTAGGTCATCAAGAAGGCAGGCGAAGGGTACCTATATAAATCGGATGATTAACTGCGCTTCCCGCTTACTTTGACATACTTTCTACTTCAATTCAAACCCGACTGTTTTCCGTACTGCGTTCGCTGCACATATCAGAAGAAAGAAGCACCATTACGGCCACGACCAGGACCACGAATCTACAAAACCGAAAGCAACCAGAGCGATCAGGATTGATAGAAGCAGAGTCAACATGTGCTGCTGTATTCCCTGTTGGCCGTTTGCCGACGTCGATTTCGAGCGCGAACCGGTGAACCGGTATGGCGACAAGTATCACTACGTGTTCAACGAGAGCACGAGGGCCTGGGAGCTCCGCGATGTGGTAAGTTTGTTTGCTTTCCTTGTTTCAATATTTCCACCCAAGTCTCTGGGAGCAGTAGCAGTTCAGGTACCTCCAAGGGTAAGTACCCTCGGGTTCAAGCCAGCGGCCACGAGCGCACAGGACATCGAGAGGACTCGAAGACTTGTTTAAGGAAGGAGCGTTTGTTGGGAGGACAACGACCACGAGGACTCAACGACAGATCCAAACATCTTCGCCACAACGCGGGGCTGCAAGTCTCCCATATTTTGCCGTGGTCCCTTCACTCCCGCTCTGTTTCTGCGTTCCCCAGGCAACAGCGGATCACCTTCCATTCACTTACCACTTCCACGGATCCCCCCTCTGAAAATTACCCAACGTCGGGCGGGTTCTTCAGCAGAGGATCACACCCTGAAGCAAACCACAAGGCACAACCGAGATCAATATCAGAGAGACTGCAATCTTGAAATCTGGCCGCCGTGGTGTTGGTGAAGGTTCTACCACGACTCGAAGGCAAGAAGTGGAGGCGGTCAACGAGGACCTTTTTGACCCCCGCCGCACACTTAAACCCATTGCACCTTCCCTTATCTTCTTCGGGCCCTCCTTCCTCACGCACCCTTTACCAAACAACCCTCTCCACTCAAGCAGGACAGCCGCCCAAGCCGGAAGTCCACCTTGAGAAACCAACTTTGCGTCCCAAACCACCATGGGCGCGCATCCGGACAAGGACAACTTGAAATCTCCAAAGAGGGTTTCTTTCCAAGGCCTCGAGAAGGACGTCCAGCCACTCCCCCTCAAGTCCGCCCTGCGCAAGCGTCAATCGTTTCAGGAAGAGTCACCTGCCCAGGAAGAGCACTCCAGTCCTGAGCACTACCCCGCCTTTCCGCCTGCCGACACGGGAGTTTCAACTTCCTCTCAACACCTTTTCACCCACCACACAGGCCCGGGAGGAATCCAAGCCGACCAGAAGGCAGCTCAATATCATCCCTCCTTCATCCCCGCGCCACCTTATCAACAACTTCAACCGTGGCAACTCGGCTACAACCAGCAAACCGCCCAGTGCCAGACCGTGATCCCTTACCTCCCAACAACTTACCAAGTCAACATGTCTCAGTACGCCCTCGCTCCGGCCAATACTGGCGTCCACTTCCAACCCCAGGTTGGCGACACCTCTACCGGCCCCGAGCTTCATTACTATACCCCGCGCCACGATGGACAGCTTGGCCTTCAGGTGCCTGTCCAGCAGGCCGCTCAGTATATGGTCAGTGCGACTTATTCTCCATACACAAGCATCCCGCAGCCCGTAGTCGGGATGCAGTACCCGCAGCATTACCAGGTGCCGTACCAGGTTCCGTACGAGAGCCAGTGCCAGCAATACCAGGTGCCATACCAGGTGCCCTACCAGGGCCAGCACCAAATGCAGTACCAGGCCGGACCCTATCATACTTGGGACCAGCAACAGATGCAATACTTTGCAAGTGTAGCGTTTGATTTGCGTTTTCCACTTGTTTCTTGCTTCCTCACTGCCAGTAGTTCAAGTGAACTATTGGCTTCTCGAACCCTGACTGCTTGCTGCTTCCAACACTTCCCCACTGACAAACGCGCTTTCAAGAGTCGAATATTTGCTAACTCGTCACAGGCTACCGGAATGCCCGTTCCGATGCAGCAGGTTCCCGCCGCCGCTCCGCCCGGCTACATTGTTCAGCAGCCGGTTCAACAGCAGCCGGTCATGCAGCCGGTCCTGGTCCAGGCCCAGCCTGTCCCCGGCCAGCCCATGATGATGGCTCAGCCTCAGCCTGCCTACGCCCCGGGCGCGACCGTGATCGTTGCAGGTAATGCTCCTGTTGCCCCTATGCCTGCGGCCCCCGGTGCCATTCATCCCGAACCTGCTCTCGGTATCGGCCTCACTGCCAGTGAGATTGCCGCGAATAACGAGCAAATCGCTTATGAGAACAACATGGATGAGGCACAGGATTTTAAGCCCGCCGACGATGACCCCTCGCGCATGTACCGCTGCCGTGAGGTCGACGGAAACTGGACCCTGCGCAACAGGTTCACAATCGACAACCTTGGCGACTGCCGCTGGTACATGACCGACGATGGCGTCTTCTATGCCGTCCGCATGCAGTCCTAAGTCGATGGAGGAAAGGAGACGGGGTTTTCTGTAAGTTGCCCCGCGTGTATTCGTTGGGGTTTGATACTAATGTTTGTAGACACCATCACCATTCATCATTGGCGAGGTTCGGCGTTTTTCGGTTTCGGTCATTGGCGCTTGGGTTTGCGCCCCTTTGCTTTCAGATTCTGGGTTTCCCTTTCATTTTGCGATCAATCGGCTCAAACGGTTTGCCTTCAGTTGGAAGCAATAAGATGCTTGGAGTTTCCGGAGGTAACAATCCTGATTGGTACATTGGGTCGACATCAGCTTTTATTTGACTTAGTTCTTGCTTGACATAGCAAGCAGGACGGAGGTGTGGAAAAAGTTTCTGGCAACTGGCAATTGCTTTTGGAGGACGTTTGATAGATATCGGTTCCTCAGCAGTGCTTTAATACATACCGAGTTGCCAGGCTTCTGTGCTCGTCGACGTATGAAGACTGTCCATGAAAGGTTGTCGAGATTTGAGGATGAATGAAAGGATGTCGTTCGAGGTTGGCTAGGAGCACCCCTTGTGATGATTGAAGATGGTGATTGTCACATGCAAGGTGGTACCTGACATTTCACGTTGCTGCATAAACAGCGAGGTTTTTTCTGTTAGTATCCTAGCTACTACAATCCTCCACTTAACATATTCATTATACTCTGTGCCGTGGAACTGTTACTAAGTTTGCCAAGCTAATCCTACAGCAAACATCGACGGGCAAAGATGGAGCTCAGCGGGTACCTGCCCGGATGTGTGGAATGTCACTCCACCCCCGCATCGTCTGAATCCTTGGATGGCGCAATGTTTCACTTGAACCAATCGTCGACACCTGTCCGACCCGCCCATTCTTGGAACATCAACGACATCACCTTATTGAGAATATTAACATATAAGAAAACACTTTGAACCATCTACACCTCAAGCTATCATACCAAATCGATCATACCATCGTATATAAACTCAAACATCACCAATCAACCACACCGCAATCACCCCCCAAACAACCACCAAGATGCTCATCGTAGGCCTAACCGGCTCAATCGCCACCGGCAAATCAACCGTCTCCTCCCTCCTCTCTTCGCCCCCCTACAACCTCCCCATCATCGACGCCGACCTTATCGCCCGCAAAGTCGTCGAGCCCGGCACCGCCGGCTACAACGCCATCGTCTCCTACTTCGGTCCCACCACGCCCGATCTCCTCGTTCCCTCCGGGCCCGAAATGCCTGAAACGGGTCCCAACGGAAAAGGCCGCCCCCTAAACCGCCCGGCCCTCGGCCGCCGCGTGTTCGGTGACTCCCCCGAAGTGCGCAAGGACCGCGCCCGTCTCAACTCTATCGTCCATCCGGCTGTAAGAAAGGAGATGGCGCTGGGGGTGCTGAAGGCGTATGTCAAAGGATATAGAGCCGTGATCTTGGATATGCCGCTGTTGTTTGAGAGTCAGTTGGATAAGTACTGCGGGACGGTACTGGTGGTGGGGGTGAAGGACCCCAAAGTGCAGATGGAGAGGTTGAGGGCTAGGGATCCGCATTTGAGTGCGGAGGATGCGGAGAATAGAGTTAGGAGTCAGGGGGATGTGAGGGAGAAGGCGGAGCGGGCGCTGGAGAGGGGGGAGGGGAGGGGGTGTGTGGTTTGGAATGATGGAGACAAAAAAGAGTTGGAGGAGCAGGTGCGGAGGGTGTTTTGGGAGGGGGTGGTGGAGAAGTATAGTCCGCGCTGGTGGGGGTGGTGGTTGTGGATGTGCCCGCCGGCCGCGGTGGTGAGTGCTTTGTGGAATTATTGGGCGAATTTGGGGGTGGATAGGAGGTGGAGGGAGAAGAAGGAGGCGGAGAGGGCGAAGTTGTGAGGGGTTGATTTGTGTTGATGTCTGGTCTAGATGGGATTGCGAGAAGACACGATGATGAGATGGGGACGGTCGAGCAGGAAAGACACGCGGACGGAAAGGGGTGGAAAGCTGGCGGATGAGTGAAGGGGACATCTTCTCAGTAATGATGACGACTTTGCGTTTGTTTTTTCTCCTTCTTACTTCAAGGTTTCTGTTATCGTCCTGTTCCAGTCCCACCGGGCCTGTCTGTCAAAAGGGCGATTCACTCTACAGCGACGACAACGATGGAATACGGTGGATGGGTGGGATAAAGACTGAAGGGGATGTCTTGCCTGGCGGGCGACGCGATGACCTGTTGTCCGTTGTCTTTTTCTTTTGTTATCAAGATTCGGTCCACGTCCTGTTCGAGTATCATGGAGGTTGGCCGTTTACGATGGCTATTCGCCATGCAGCTGAGGTTCTGGCCTCGGACTGATTGGCTGGATGATGGGGACAGGGTCAACACAGAGAGGTGAGCCTGAGATGAACGAAGGGTCAAGACCTATTCACCTGCCTGGCACATATAACCTTCCCGAGGTGATTTGGGAACGGGAATTTCCAACGTCGCAGACAATTTAAACCCTCCTTCCCCCCCTGGCAAGCTTTCACTTCTTGTCCATTTACTCAGAGTCGTTGATTTCCCAGAGCAGCACACTCAATTAAGCCAATTGCGCCTTGAACACTCTTCTCGATCATCGCCTCTGCCGTTAGACAATTGCACTCTCCCTTCCTCAAGAATTCATCACTTCTTTTACGACAGAAGCCCACTTTGCAAGTATCCTCCGCCATCGATCGACATCGCCGTCATCGGACACATTCCAACTTCGATTGGAGCTCATATAAACTCACAGGTTAGTCTCACAGCCCTTTCCACCTGCATGAATAGCCCCCCTTCAGAACGTCGCAACTCTATATTCAGACCCCGTGCTCTAACACGCCATTGGCAGTATCTATATACCTTACCTATTCATACCATCATTCACAAAAATGCCTAACGGGATGACACCCGAGGAAGAACGGCGCCGGCAGGAGCAGGAGCGCCGTTATCAGAAGGCCGAGGAGAAGGCTCGGGCCGCTTGGCAGCGTGGCCTTGAAAACGAGCGAGAGGCTGCTGAGGCTCTCAAGGAAGAAAAGAAGACCCACGCGGGGAAGCGCAGGGTATCGTTTGATTCTTCGCGGAATCAGACACACCTTCTGTACAGCCTTCCCCCCACAATTGACTCTACGCCTGCCGAATCCATCGATGTTGGCGAGCTCTCCCATGAGCTCCTGCAAGAGAGTATGACCGAAGGATACGAGCTAATAATCAAGGAAATCGCCTCCTTGCGTGCCGAGATTGCCGAGGAGGAGGCTGTTGCTCGAAAAAGGCAGGAGCACGAAGCGGCGCGGATAAAGTACGAGGCGGCCTGGAAGGAGCAGGAGCGCCATCGCCAGAAGGCCGAAGAGAAGGCTCTCAAAGCCAAAGAGGCTGAGGAGAGTGTTCTTGCTCGTATACATCGGGAGGGTGAAGCGGCGCGCAAGAAATATCATGAAGCTCTGAAGCGTGGCCTCGAGAACGAGCGCCAATCCATAAGCCAGCCTCATTATCGGAAGCCGGCGCAGGGTTCATATCCCCCCAAACCCTCTGGTCAACAGAACCAACCGGCCAACCAGTATCCTCCTAGCGGCCAATATCACACCAAACAGGATCAGCATGGGCATCCGATCCCTCACCAGAGACCGCCAGCTTCTTCAGTACCGATTGGTCTTTCAGGCCTGCCTAGTACCGAGTCTCTGTGTTCCGGATCCTCGGTTTCTGTAGTACCAGTCGGCCTTTCCGGCCTGCCTGCTATGTCTCTGTATTCTGACGGGGATCCCGAAGTCACTAGATATAAAGACGAGGGCCGAGGCCGCTCTGGCTACGCAGATGCCTATGTTTCGAAGCAGGAAGAACGCTCACACCAGGGTCATTGCCCTTCAGCTCCCCTGTCACACTGGTCTACGCCGCCAGTACCCGCTTGGAAGGCTCCTACACCCCCACCGCAGGTAACGAAGCATACCTTGGTCATGCCGACACAGCGTTCCTATCACGCTGCAGTAGAGACCCCCAAGGAGGAGTGGCCAATACCACCGACGCCCGCTTCCTGCAAGATTGAGCATCAGGTTCCCAATCGTGTAGAGAGTGAAAAGGAGAAGCTGGAACGAGAACTTAGGGAAGCGAAGGCAGCGCATGACAGGCTTTGCGTGGAGCTAGAGAAAAGAAGGCGGGGCACTGGCGCAAGCAGCGTGGCGTCATGGCAGACAGGATGCAAGTCCGTCTGGGAGGACCCGACGAAGGTTACTCTTAAAGATACTGCCAATGACAGTTCCAAGGACATTTCCAAGAATGGCCGGAATATTGCCATCCAGACTGAGAAAAATACTCCCATGGAAGCCCGAAAGGAAATTAGCAAGGAAACCTGCCATGGTGCTCCTGAAGGCCGTCGAGGCTCGAGTTTCGACCGCAATGGCCGAAGTCTTAGCCGCGGGAGCGCCCGTACCAACTACTACGAGGCAGCAGAGTATATTAGCTCAAGTGATGATGACCAGGCGCCGAAGTTCTCCAAGGCGCATGCCCGTGCCAAATCGCTCAAGCTCAAGCTGTCAGTGGGGACGAACCCTCCCTACGTGCCGCCGACCCCTTATTGGCACCCGTCCCCTCCTCCCTCGCTTCCTCCCACGCCCCCAAAGCGCCCGAGTGCTCCCGGCCCTGCTGTTACTGAACCGTCGACATCGGCCTTCGAGTACCAGGAAAAGTACGACTACTACGAAGACATCAAGACTCCGTATCCCCCCGGGAGCTGGTGGGGAGACGAACGGGAACGTTACCGCCTCGTCCAGTGAGGAGGGATAAGGGCAAGAGGAAGGCTTACTTTTAGAAGCTGGTGGTTGAAATCTGTGAAGCGAGGATGGCATCAGATGGCTACTACGGTTTGACAGGACCAGAGAGTATGACTTTGCAGGATGATGGATCGAACGTGGAGTATTGGTGCAAACGAATAGGTATGCAACGATATTTCTCAGATTTTAAGGGATTCAGAATGGTTTTTCTTCTAGTTTATCAAATTGCTTGCTTTTTACATCAGTGGCAGCACTCTTCGTACCGCCCAGATTGTTTACGCGCACCTCTTTTTGATTTGACTTTACATACCGCCTTTCCACATGTTTTGAGCTCGAATAATAGGTTGAATCCCTCAGTTTTCTTTCCTAACCTACTAATGAGTCCATGACTGAACTTTAGTTTTGGTTTCAGCGCGATCTCTTTTCGGAAATGTTTTATATTTTACGAGTGTCATGTTGGATCCCTGACGCGGGACATCCCCATCGCACCTGCTCGACGGAGTATAACCAGTGTCCTGGCAGCCACTTATGGTCTGACAAACTTGAGCTCGTCTCCAAAAGGACGGTTGTTGCGTGACTCTCGTCAGACCAGACTTTTAGTCTCGATGACATCGGATTCAGTTATCTATCAAGTCATATCCGCGCGGCCTTTCCACGCATCGGTTTTCGCAAGAATGATACATTATTCAGGTTTCAAAAAAAAGCTAGATGCGTGTATCTAAGCAAAGAAGGCAGCTACGTTTTTCGAACCTTTACATCGTATTTTGATACTTTGACTTCGAGGATGGCGAAATCGCTTCAAGAAGCCTGTCACGGCGCCGGCGGACCACTTCACCACCCGGACCATGTGCCCGCGCAAACGGACACAACTGTTCGAACCTGACAAGTCGGACTTTCAAGGTGCTGTATATATAGTTGCGATGACAGATGCATCCGTGCACCGGCCATCACAACGCCGGTGCCTAGAGTCAAAAGGCGGTGCGCGACAACAAATGGCGGGTGAGAGGAGGTTTGCCCTTCACCAGAGTCACAACCTTGAGCTAAGGTTGACGAGAGCTCATTCACCTGTCGAGCACGTATCAGATCAACATCAGCAACCTTGAACTCAAACAATATTGAGGAAGCCCCCTTCACCCGTCGAGCGCACTTCACTTTGCGGGGCAGTATTGGAAATTCCCCAGGCCGCAGAGTATTTAAACCCTTCCCGCCCCCAGCCAAAATTCCAATTCTTTTCCACTCCCACAAATTTGCACCTCAGAGCAGAAGACTCAGTCAAGTCGATCGCGCCTTTGTCAAATCTTCTCGATCACCGAATCCCCCTGCCCTTCTCAACCCTCCCGCCAAGTCAGCACCCCTCTACATCACAAGCAGTTTGCCAATACGCATCACTATCGACATTTCCGTCACCCAAGACATCGCGACTCATCAAGTTCGCTCAAGCTCACAAGTTAGTTTCTGACTCCCTTCTCGCATCCATCATTTCCCCTCATCGCGACGCGCCCTTCGGATCATATACGCTAACGCTCTGTCGATAGTCGCTATATAACATCTACTCTACTATCATCCTACCATGGCAACTTCACCGACTGAGCCTAAGAAAGGTTCCTCCCAGAAGCCCCGGCTAGACCCTTACACCTGGGCAAAACTCGATGAAGAAGCAGAGTTTTTACGTGAGGCGCTCGAGATGCTGAGGTTCGACCCCGACCAGTCACCCAGTTGGCAATACGAAAAAGGGACAGAACTACGGGGACTTCTTTTTGAGAACGATCAGAAACGAAAGCACCTGCGTGGTCTGGCCTTCGAAGCCCATGAGAAAAAGCGCGCTGCGGATCCTACCATGGCAACTCAACCGATTGACCATAAGAAAGGTTCCGTCCAGAAGCCCCGGCTAGACCCTTACACCTGGGCAAAACTCGATGAAGAAGAAGAGCGCTTACGTGATGCGCTCGAGATGCTGAGGTTCGACCCTGACCAGTCACCCAGTTGGCAATACGAAAAAGGGACAGAACTGCGGGGACTTCTTGAGGAGAACGAGCGGCAACGAAAGCACCTGCGTGGTCTGGCCTTCGAAGTCGAAGAGAAGAAGCGCGCTGCCGAGGCCGAGAAGAAGCGCCAGGCAGAAAAGGCCGCCGCTGAGAAGAAGCGCGCTGCAGAGAAGGCAGCCGCCGAGCGAAAGCACAAAGAGGAACTCCTGAAGCAAAAAGAGGAGGAAAAAAAGGCCTTGCAGGCTAAACTAGCTGCGGAACAGAAGCGCAAGGCGGAGGCCGAAGCCGCCGTGAAGAGATACAAAGAGGAGCGGGCAGCCGCCGAAGAGAAGAAGCGACAGGAACTCATCAAGAAAGCCGATGAGGAGCTCGAGTCTCTGAAAGCTGAGCTTGCCGAGAAGAAGAGGCATGCGGACTTGCTCGCCGGTTACGAGCGCGAAAGGGCCGTAGTGGAGACTCGTAAGAAGCTGGAGGATGCAAAGAGGCGTCTCAAGCTCGAGTATGATGAATGGCAAAATAAGAGCTATGAGGCCTGGGAAGCTCTGGATCGTGAACGCCAAAGGGAGCTAGAGGAGGCTCAGAGGCGCGCTGCTCGGAAGGAGAAGGAAGTTTCGGGTGCGAGAAAAGAGGCAGAGCGACGAGCCTCTTTGGTACAGAAGCCTAAGGAGGTGTCTTTTGATTCCTCGCGCAATCAAACGTACGACCACCGCTCTTCACAGAACTACCAGCGGCCCGAGCAGCAGAACTTCAAGCGTCCAGATAATGGCGGCCAAGAGAAGAGTCATCAATATCCTCCCGGTCACTCTCGTCCCTACAACTACCAGCACACTTCCCACCCCCAGAATGCTCCTCGCCCACAGGACTCTCAGCCAAAGCAGTATTCCTCCACACATCATCAACCAAGACATCAACTGCAAAATTCCCACGCTCCCCTTGGTGCGTCTCCCCGCGCTGATCAAACTCCCGTTGGTCTCTCCGGTCTGCCAGTTGGTCTCTCCGATCTCCCCGCTGAATCTTCAAATGTCTCTCAATCCCCAGTCGCTGTTGCTCCATGGGAAGAAAAGAACTGGAGTAGTCATGGTTACCCAGTTTCTTATGGACAGCCAGAGTACTCGCACCGCGATGTGTCGCACCAGAAACCTTCGGTCGCGGAGAAAAAATGGTCCACACCAGTGATCCCTACCTGGAACGGGCCCGCTGAAGAATCAAATGTCATGGACAAGAAGCGCTCCGAGTCACCCTTTGTTCCTGTTTCTCGACTTGAATCACCGCCAAAGGAGAGGTGGTCACTGCCGCCCTCGCCCTCTCCCAGCCCGAATGAGCGCAAAGCCTGGAATCACTCTACCTACCGGAGTCCGGAGGCTGATGTCAGCACTCCTCGCGAGACCGAGGAGGAGAAGCTTCGCCGCGAGGTTGAAAAGTACAAGGTCAAAGCCGCGAAGCTGGAAGCTGACCTGGAGAGAAAGAAACGGGTTACCGGTGCAGACAGCGTGGCGACTTGGCAGACCGGAACCAAGTCGATTTGGGAGGACCCGACCAAGGATGCTTCCAAGAAAGATCCTCGAAGTCACCGGAACGAGACCCCAAAGCCACAAGCCGCCAAACCGCCCTCCAGCCGGCACAATGAGCAGGAAAGCAAGAGGGACAGCACGGCAACAAACTCCACCCAAGGACCTTCCAAACCGGCAGTCTCGGTGCAAAATCTCCGTCGTAGACAACCGAGTGTCAGCCATCACCACTCTTCAAGGAGCAAGACCGAGGCTCAGTGTCAAGAGCCGAATGCCAACCGCAACAATGAGCGACCTGAAAGCCGGACAAGCACGCACACCCGGTACTTTGAGGCGCCAGAGTATATATCCTCTGACGAAGAACAAACTCCCAGACCGAAGATTTCCAAGCCTGACACCCACTACCGATGGCAGAGAGCATCGGTGGAATCTACCCGCCCTTACGTCCCTCCTACTCCTCACCGACGCCCGTCCCCCCCTCCCGTGCTTCCTCCGACGCCTCCCCGCGGCTCCAGGGTTTCCACCCCCGCAACACTTCGGCCGGCTTCCAAGCAGCAGGCCAGCTTCAAACAGGAGATTCAAACGCCAAAGCTGACCTGCATCCCCGGCAGCTGGCGAGATGAACTTCCCGGCAAAGATTCGCGTGAAGATCGCTGGCCGGCCAACGTTTCGACACCCAGCATACAAAGCCCAGCCATCCCCGTTGTTAAGACGAAGGAGAAGTTCCACCCGGAGCGGTACATCCCTCCGAACTATGGTCCGAAGGATGTGCCTCCTCCCGACTCGTATCTCTCCGCGGACTCCGTCCGTCAGCAGGCCGGCTACAACCACCCCGGAGCCCCAGGTTACACCCCCATCTACAAACCCGCTGCCGTCCCGCAACCCGGCCCTGCGTACCCGATTCACCACCCGTTATACGCTTCCTACAGCCAGGTGTACGCTGGTGGTGCGCATCAGTTCCCTCCCAAGGTCGACGTGGAGGCCGGTCCATCAGGGCATGGTGGATCGTTCCCATCTTGGGCAGACCCTTCGGCTGCTCAGAGTTTGGGAGGAACCCAGGCTCCTCCAAGGAAGGACAAGGGGAAGGGTAAGGCCCGGTGGTGATGGCGATGAGTGGGATTCGTGTGGAAAAGCTGGAGTTTTACAGGTACAAGCATCGAGGAGTTCTGGAATTGAAGATGGTATTCAGGAAGTTTGGCTGGTTGGTTGGTTGGTTGGTTGGCAATGAACGGTGATGATACCCAGGGGCGCTCGAGGACAGTTTTATGGCTTCTTGGGAATTTTCTGGCGCCCGAGAATAAGAATATTTTAGTGGCTTTAGGAATGTGACAGAAGTCATTTCCGCAATGGTTTAAGGAGTTACGGTTAACAAAGAGGTTATGGTTCATAACCGAAGGAATTTCATAGGCTTTCTCAGGGAAAGTTAAAAACTTACAGACATAAATCTTTATTGCTTGTGTGTCGATCCAAGGTGATGATCATGAAAAAGGACAGGCAGTGATCTGACCTCATCATGTGTAGCATCTTCCTGTGACACTGGTCTTCGATGTTGGTGCCGATGCCCTTGGTATCACGAAACTTTCCATGGAAAGTGAGGGCGAGACAAATGTTCTGGCTCGGTAGAGCTGATGACCGATGGTTTACTCTCTGAGCATTTCAGAGTACCTAATGATAAACCATGCTGGCACCTTGAACACAGTAGAGCTAGCTTGCCTCGCTCGTTGATGACACTAGAAAACAACAAGTAGAAAACACACGATCATGACGGGACTATTAAAACCAGAAGAGAGTCAATGACATGCTAGCGGGATACAATATGCTAAACTAGGAAGACGTTCGATGTGACACTGTTCCGTCGACAAGGACATGGAGGCGACTACACCCCGGACTGACTGTCTCGGGTACTTTAACCCCTGACGATCTCTCATAGCCGCTTCGGGAAAGGACCACAACGGCTCGGGTGGAAAGACTCGGGCAGTTATTATGTTTCTGACATCACTTGAGCAGCATATGGAACATTTGTGGAGATATAAGTGAGATGTCAATTCAACGACTAACTAGATTACGTTCATGAAAGTCCCAGTAGCAATACGCAGACAAGACAAAACATCGAGTGCGAGCCAATGGGACAGACATGAACCGAGACCTCTGACAATGAGTGGAGAAAACTGATCGCGACCCTTTCATGTATTTATCAATCTGCTTCCTGTTTTTGGATCCTCTCAAAACGATACAAAGAGCAAACTAAAGCACGCGCCAAGTGGCAGCGGCAGAGATATCCTTGGTGGCGAGGGAGATGATTTACTCATCGTCCTCCTCCTCATCGGAGTCCTCCTCAGACTCGGCCTCGGCGAGCCAGGTGAGGAAGGGCTCAGCAGCCTTGCGGATCTTCTTGGAGGTAGAGCCATCGACGTACTTCTTGGAAGCCTTGCTACCCCACTTGGTGATAACCTCCTCGGAGCAGAGGTCGTGGTGGTAGTAGAGCTGGAGAATCTTGACGATCTTGTCATAGGACTCCTTGCCGAGGTCGGCAAGGAGACGCTCGGTACCGCCAAGGAGGGCCTTCTCGTGACGCTCGGAGGTGATGAGTCTCTTGAGCATGGGAGCACGCTTGGGGATCTGCGCAACGATGTTCTCGTCAAAGAGACACTGAACAAGAACCTGGACGGTGCGGTGCTTGGCATCGATGCCGAGCTCCTTGGCCTTGACGTAGATATCGACGTCGTCGACGTTGGTAATGCCACCCTTGGCCTTGGCTTCATCCTCGATCCAAGTGCCGAGCTGGTCGTAGACGGTATTTCCACCCTCTTCCTCCTCGTCTTCTTCACCATTCAGGACGAGCTTCTGCTTGAATTCGCCAGGAAGGTTCTGCTGACGGGCACGGACGGCCTCCTCGCTCATGTCGACGGCCCACTCCTCTTCCTTAGGAGCCTCTCTCCTGTCCAACTGCAAGCTCTGAGCCTCGGTCTTGATCTTGCGAGTAAGCTCATCATCATCGCTAGCATATTCGATGTTCTTATCCTCAATGGCAGGAGAGGCCTGGTCAGAGCCGTTCTCGTCACCGGAACCGTCCTTATCGCCGCCGTTCTGGCGGGCCTTGCGGGCAGCCTTGCGCTCGGCCTTATCCTTCTTGGTCTTCTTGGGGACGTTCTTGAGGATGAAGGAGGTCAGCTTGAGCTGGGGCTCGACCTTGGAGCGCTGGCCACAGGCCTTGCAGTCGAGAGTGATCTTCTCGTCCTTGATCTGGACAACGGTCTCGGGGTTCTTGCACTTCTTGCAGAGGACGAACTTGGCAATGAAGCCATCGAGGAGGTCCTGGAGCTTGCTGGCCTCGTGGGAACCGTTGATGATCCAGCGGTCATCAGGAGGATCAATGTTGGTCTGAGCACCAAGCTCGAAACCGAAGTACTTGATCAGGTAGCCACCAGGACGAGCCAGGGACTGGGCAACGCTGCTGAGGTTGACAACGACGGTCTTGATACCGTTACCCTTGCCTTCAATCTTGGTCTGGATACGCTCCATCTTGTAGCGATAGAAGGGATCGGGGTTGTCCCGGCGAACGTTGATAAGAGCAACCATTTTTGCGGTATTGACGGCGAAACGGGAGACTTTGTTGGAGTTTGTTGGGGGTCTGGTAGACGGTACCTAGCGAGGGCAGACTAGTAGACTGGTCGACGATGTCGTGGAAAGCGGGGCTTCTTGTTGCACGGAGACGTGTGAGAGAAAGATCGAGAGGCGAGACGAGCCAAAGGGGTCAGTTATTGACGATTACTTTGAGTTGACATAGGGTAGACCGGGTGGTTATCGTGATCGAAGGTAGGCATTAACGCTGGCAGACGACCGTGGGGATGGCGATTCAACCGTCGGTGCTTTGTTGGAAGCTACAGGGTTTCCGCGATATGCGAAAATGCAGCTTGATGGGGGGAGAGTGTCGGAAGACGGCGTGCTGGTCGTGCTGATACATAAACAACGCTGTGTCGCGCAAAATGCTTATGTTGGGTCTGGTGGTGGTTGTTCTGAACCTTGGCGGTGCCGGAACAGAAAGCTGGGCGGGAGAGAGGATGGCTTTTGAGGCAAGCGAAATTTTTTCTCCCTCTGTGACGAGCGGGCTTCCTTTCTGGACGGAGCGGAGCGGATGGAGTCGAGTGACTTTGTGTGGGTTTCTGCCGGGATTGTGGATTCACTTCACTTCCGTGTTGCTGCACCCAAAATCCGGGGGAGGTGGAGTTGATGGACAGATGGACAGATAGCCCGGTCGCCTTTGTGGTCTTGGTTGGATGCAAGGACGATGTCGCTGCTGATGGCGGTTGATGGGTAGAATGAAGTGAGGTTTGCAAAAAGGCAGCAAAGAGAGGTTTTTAAAAAGGACGAGAAAGCAGTGGATGTGGATCGGTGCTGCAGAATGGATCTTAAACCGGGCACGGGCAACAAGGCGGGGCAGTCAGTGGTCAGTGGGCAGTGGTTGGCGGGCAAGAGGATTTGTCGGCCAAAGGATTTTCGTCCGTGGTGCCCTGGCCGTGTACCTGTGGTTCATGTGAGAGAAAGTCCAGGGTACTTGTTGCACGTCTTTGTTTGGTATGTGATCACCGCTACAAACGGGCTGTCGGCAATGTACCCGAGACATGTCCCCGTTCCTCAAGCTAGGCAGCACTAGCTGCCGTACTGCCTTGAACCAACTGTCATCGTGCCTTCATCGGCCAGTTGCCAGGTGGTGGTGTAGTTCGTTCTTTCACGCTTTGAGCACAATGGGAGAAGGTCGTTCCTACCGTTCTCCCTGCCCACTGCAAGCCAGCAACAGGACGCGCAATGGCGCAGGTTCAAATGGCAACTGCGGGAAGATTTTGATGCGAAGTTTGCCCCTCATCCACTCGGCGTTTCCACCTCTGCTCTCGATCCTCAAGTTCCGGCCCGATGCCTCTTGCAAGCTGACTCGCCGGAGGGGTGGCCAGATGGGGCTTTGCGTATCCGACTTGGAAAACAGTACGTACCACACCCCCAATCACCTCCTCCCATCTAGAAAAAATATCGTAAATATTCATATAACATAAAATTTATTAGCCGTGCACGCCAAAACCAGATGCATTACCAGAACATGCGTGCAGTTCACGATACAATACAATTATACTAGTATTCTTTCATACGCTTTTATACAACTTTAGCAATAAATAGAGGTCATTCAAACAATGTGATTCCTATTATTTGCGACGAAATTGCTAGTGTTTTGAGAAAGTTACTGGTATTGCACAAAATCTAGTACATTACAGTAGTAAGTAGGTACTAATCTTACTACTAGCATGGTCACTTCCTAGAAAAATAAATAAAATAATATATATACTAATATTTCTCCCTACCCACGTCTCTCTTATTTACCTTTTTACTTCTCCCTATACAACCACCTTCTACTAGTTACGTTAATACTGCTACTACTACCCTTCTTTAAAATTCGCCGTCGTCGTTATAAATTAATAAGAATTTTAAAAGCTTTTCGAATACAAACCCAAATAGGATATTAATAATGCCAGGAGATATTCCAGGTGGTGCCTAGATATCTCTACCCTATCGTGACACATACTGAGTCAGGTATAGGCATACTTATTTGAGTATGTTATGGCATATAAGAGTGCTCACCCCGTCAGTTTCTATTAAAATGGACGGATTAATTAATTATTTACTTTACAACCTATTATCTATTTTATTCACACTCTATAAAATTGTATATAAGGTTCTAAATTAAGGCTTTCGATAATCATTATCTTCGCTTCCTTTAATAATATTATCGCTAATCGTTATGTACTATTACTCTATCTAGTAACTAATTGTTTACTCTCTCATTCTCTATTAGTATTATTTATAAAGTACGTTTTCGTATAATAAATAGTATTTACAATTTAATTTTAAACCGACTTTATTATATTTTATTCTTTTTCTCTCTTTCTTTCGTAAAGGAGGGAGATTTACTCTTCGTTTCAATAGTTTTAATATAATTATTAAACTTGCTATCCTAAGACTAAATCGCATTATAATAAAAACAAGAAAGCTTATATATAAAGTAGCCGATCCAAAAATAAAGAAAGATAAAATGCTTCAGAAAAACACTAGAAATATAACTAATTACACATAGCATTTTATATAATATATACAGTTTATATATAAAAGGTACTACAAATGCTAACATACTACATACTATACATAGAAATTTATATAATATATACGATTTATATCTAAATAAATCCAATCTTCATAACAATTCAATATTATTTAGTAAAATTAAAAGTAATAAGAGCAAACTAATACTACAATTATAGAAATAAAATTCAATATAAATATTTTAATTTGTATTAAATATATTAAAACTACTTTTTAATATAATATTTATATACTACTATAAATCCTTCTAATATATATATTAATTCATTACTAATAATTAGGGCATTCTATATAGTACATTTAGTATTATCAGAATCAATAATGCAATTGTAGTATTAAAAATACGATTAATACACATATTAACTAACCTTTGTTAACTTTATAATTTTGTTATTACTAGTATATATAATAATTATTCAATATAAAACTCATCGAACCAATTTATATTACTAAAGTAATTCCCTATACAAAATATAGCCAAAAGGAATTTATTATAGAAATTGAACTTCGCTTTCCAACCTTATCATCTACTATATATTATATACAATATAGTACTATTACTATAACCTTAACGTAGAACTCATCGAACCCATCTACGCTCAACGTAGAATTCATTGAACCTATCTATTTAAATATATTCAACGCAAAGCTTATCGAACCTATTTATAAAGGAGACGAAAATTTATCGAACCAATATACATACACTAAAATAACTACCTATATAAAAGATAGCTAGAAGAACTTTACTATAGGAATTAAACTTTACTAATTTATTAGTAAAGTTATCAAACAATTTAAGGAGACCAATATTAAATATTAATAAGGAGACTAGTATTAAATATTATCAATAATGGTAAGCAGTGCGGTCACTTATAATACCACACTCTATATTATGACTTTTATAGGCTACCCTTTTATAACTTTCACAATTTTACTAAGTCAACACAACAGCCGTACACGACTCTTATGTATAAAGAGTTAACTCAGCTGGCTTCAACTCTATATATATTACCTAAAGAGGCAAAGACTATACGATTACGGGACTCAAGAAGCCATACCGTTCTAAGCAGTAGATGTGCGGTGACTGGGGGTGCGGTACGTATCGTTTTCCAAGTCCGTTACGCAACACCCCAGATGGGCACAGAGATGGAAAGGACCCCTTGATAACCGGCCGGTACCTCTAAAGATCCACGCAAATGGGGGCGTTCCCTGTGTCGTGCATTGTCCACACCAGAGACCAGTTCCACTTTGGTTCATTGCACTTCCGGTAACCGAGCAGGCGGAGGCCTTCATGGTTGTCGGTCAACTGGACGTCCACCATGTCGCCCGGCCTGGATCTCCCCGGTTTGTCTCCGTATCTGGAACCTCTGAAATTCCACGACAACTCCGGCTTGTCTGGGCAAGACTAGTTCTCTCTCCTTCGGCAACGTTGGACTTACGATGAGGTGGAACGTGGGCGGCATTCAGGAAGAAATCCGAAACACATCCGATATACTTTGCCAAGTGAGGGCGGCAATAGCAATCAACCCCCAACTAGACCTATGTGACAAGCTATACCAACCCGCACCAACATCTAGATCAAGATCCGACAAAGAGAACCCCAAACAGACAAATAAATACATCGTTAGGTATTGTCTATGGTTTCTTTCACGGACGGCACGCTGTAAACTCGCAATATAGTACAACGGTTTTAGTACAACCGGTTTACACAACCCCCTAGACCGCCACCTCCTGCCCACCAATTGGCTCAAACTTCAACAGACACTTCAACCCAGCCGGCCTCGACGATATAAGCTGGTCGGCCATCTCCATATCCTCCTCCCTCATCGTCTTATCTGGAATCGTAGTAAACCTGGAATACACCTCTCGGAGCAAGATCTTCATCTCGGCCAGTGCCAAACTGCTAACATGTCAGACACACACACCAAAGTCCAAACTCAGCCCATGACACACACCCACACAAAAACCAAAGGAAGCAAACGAAGAACAAGAAAGACAACTTACTGTTTACCCACACACCCCCTCCCCCCATTAGCAAAAGCAAAGAACAACCTCCTCCTCTCCGCATCCCCCTTCCCATCTTCCAACCACCTCTCCGGCCTAAACGTATCCGGATCCGGGCCCCACGCCTCTTGATCGATCCTATGCACCGAATGCGCCTGGCAACTGACCGTCGTTCCCTGCGGCAGGAAATATCCATCGATGGTCTTGCCGCCCCTAGGCACGATTCGCGGGAGAGACATGGGGATGGCGGGAAAACATCTCAGGCCTTCCATGACTATGGCGTCGAGGTAGGGGAGTTTGTCAAAGTTGATGTCTGACGACGACGGGGAAGACAACAGTTCCTCTCGCAACCTGGTCTGATATTGAAGAGATCGCGGCTGCGAGAGCTCCCACATGAGGAAGCAGAGCGCGTCACCGGTGGTGTCGATGCCAGCTACCATGTGGTCGAGGACTTCGGCTGCGATGTCGAGTTGGTCTATCTTTGCGAGTTTGCTGTTGTCCTTGTCCTTGTCGTCATCGTCGTTGCTGTTGTTGGTTAACGCGCTTTGGAGTCGGTTAAGAAGGGTGAAAGGCGCTGCGTCCGTCTTAGCGGCGGTATCGAGGACGAATTTATCGGCCAAGGGGGTCTCGCGCGGCTTGACGCCCCAGATATAGAGGATCTTGGAGATTGCTTTGTGTAAGGTGGGACTGTAGTAACTTAGTTGTCGGTCTTTATTTGGTGTGAGTGTAGGTAGGTTAGCCATTCGTTTTGTCCAGCTGGCCAGTTATTTGGCGTGGGTTCGTGGAATCTTGGTAGGATATGTAGGGGATCGGTTTTGACACTCACTCTGCAAACTGTCATCGAACGTCACTTCGCGCATAATCTCCTCGTCTTGCTTGTTCCGGAGCGAATCTGCCCCGTACGGATGGAACAAGTGGTGGGTTACGCAGTCGTAAGCGTATGAGTGAAGGCCTGGGTGTTGTGGTGTAAGTTATCATGTCCGACATATACTTGATAATGTTCATCATAATACTCCAGAGGAGACTCACAAATCTAGGGAGCATGTCAGCTATGAGTTCGTGTAGTCTCCATATCAAATTGTCGAAAGAAAACTTACATATAGATCAAGACTTCCGCCCAAAGACTCGACACACCTCTTGACTACTCTCTCCGCCCGTTCGACAATGCCATTGAGCGATGGTTGACGCATAACATTGCTATTGGCATAGCGGTCCGCAAGAATTCGTTTCCGTTTCGCGTGCTTCAAGATCAAGAATTAGCTTCAAAGTATGCTTGAGTTACCGCCCTCCGCTAGACTCACGTCTTCTTTATTAAGCGTAGTAAACATCGTCCTAAGAAACACACACACATCAGCATCTTTCAACAAAGCAAAGCAAACCATATGAACCAAGCCGTCGAAATGTTTCAATCACCACCATCCCCCATCCACTTCCTCTCCCTCCCGTGCTTCCCACCATTCCCTTTCCCCTGCAATCGAAATCTCCCCCCTTCAACACCCAAGCCCATCCCATTTCCCCTGCCACCTTTCACACTGATCCCCCACTCTCACACCCCTCTCCCCTCCCAAACCCGTCACCAAAAAAGCAAAGCAGAAAGCACAATACCCACCTCCGTCCATAAACCTTAAACAAATCATACCACCGACTCTTATCAAACCCGCTTCCACCAGAGCAATAAATCTCTTTCACGCCTTCCCTCGACGCAAAGCTCACTTCATTCGGGCTGACACGGACCACGGGTCCGTAGCGGAGGTGCAGGGCGTGGATGTACCGGGTGCGGGTGGCGCGGAGCTCGTGGTACTTGAGAACGAGGGAGGTGAATTTTGTGTAAAAAGGGCCTGGGAGGGAGGAGAGTGGGGAGGTGAGGGGCATGTAGATGAGGGCGTGGAGGGTGTAGATGAGGAGGAGGAGGATGGGGAGGGTGAGGAGAATCATTTTGTGTTGAGGTTGGGGGAGGGGAGGGGCGAGGGTGATGGTTGGTGTTGAGGAGGAGGCAAGGGGAATAGGGAGATGACCAGGAGGGGGTGGGATATGACTATATAGATAAAAATGGGAAGAGGGTGAGGTTTAAGGCGTCATTGTCTGTGTTGAGTGGAAAGAGATGGTCGACGTCGATGTTGTTGATGGGCGATGAGGCTCTGTCGGCTAAGTATGATAAGGCAAAGAAGAAAAGATGGATGGATGGAGAGATAAGTCATTGAAGTAAGCAAAGGTCATTGATAAGCAAGTGCAAAGACCCCCCTCGGGCCCCTCATCTTGACGACGCCGGTGCCGGGCATATGTAAGTTCCGAATATCAATCAATAGTCTTGTATTGATGATTGCCGCTGTTTGTGGCCCTAAACCTCGTTCCTATCTTCCATCAACGCCTTGGGTATCATGCCCCTTATTTACCACCCATCAAACCGCTAAAGAATCCCGTCGACTTGGCCTGAGGAGGATACTGAACGCCGTTGACCTCGACCTTGGGCTCGCAGGTGCACCACTTGTCCTCGGGGACGCCCGCGAAGACGGAGGGGACGTGGGAGCCGCAGCCACGCCACGCTTGCTTGGCTGTTGGTTTGTTAGTAAACAGTGATCAACTGAAACAATCTCGAACGTCGAGTGTCGACTGAATGTATGAGACTGGTCTCGAGGGCTCGAACAAGCGATGGCGGGGTTGATGTCACAGAGGGTGCGATAAGCAAATGCGGGGGACGACTTGGAGGAGATAAGGATTTGGGTGCACTGCATGTGAGAGTTTCAGCAGTCAATACGGAAACTTACAGCAGGTAGGGCAAGTCGCGCTCATACACATTTTGGTAGAGGTAGATTGGGATGTTGGATTTGGGAATGGTTGACCGGAAAGAAAATGCGGTAGTTGCGGGATGGGATATTCTTCTTTTATATAGTTAGATCTAGGATGATCTTTCCGTCTTTACGACCTTTTTATAGCTGTTGGAATGCCCTTTCGTATAGGGAGTGAAGGGGTCGCCGAACTCCCAGGGCTTAACATGGGCAATAGCAACCTGAATTCCAAGACCCGCAGCGGCACTTCGGCGACCAAACCTTACTCAAAGATCCCGTCCCGCTACGCCGGAGAGGGCCCCGGTGATTACGGGGACCACCATCACCATGCTTGATTCAGATTAGTCATCCATGATTCCTCGAGTAGTCCCCGAACGTGAGGATATCACCAAAGTCCCGTTTGATTCCTGACATGTTACCTGCGGCTATCGGTCACAAACTACTGGGACTCAGTGGTAGCATCGATGGTTTCTTCCCGTCAGTGCCGCTCCAGCTGCTTCAAAAAGGCATGCACCCGGTCACAAAGCCAGCCTTGCGCCAGGTCCGCCGGCTCCCCAGCCGGGCCATATTCCACTCGGTGATCTGCCTCGGGGATGAGGCCCGATAAGCTTGAGATTACATCCTCCTTACAGAAGCTCTTCCACTTGTCCAGCATATCGACAACGTCAATCCACTCTGGAACGTGCTCGTCGTTCTCGGACGGCAGAATAAGAGTCGGCTTGGAAACCTTGCCCCAAATCTCGGCCAGCTTTTCATCTGCTAGGTCCGACGAGAAGTAGTCATCGTCACCGCTGATATGAGATACCCATCGTCAGTACTGTTAACCACGAAACGGAGAAAGAAAACTCACCCAAAGCTCGCCAACGAAGACCACCTATAAGCAGAAACCGGCGAGGCCCAAAACTCCTTCGGCAACCACTCTCTCGGCATGCAATCGTGCGCCGTTCCTTCGCTTATCATCTTCTGCGCAAACTTGACGCTCAAGTCCATCCTCGCCTGTCCCTTCCCGGGTGACTCCTCCTCGAAGACCGCCAGAATCGCCTCGCGATCCGACACTGGCCCCTGCAAGATGAACCCATCGACCTTCTCGAGTCCCATCTCGTCGCCGTGTGTTGCGTAGTACATGCAGTCCTGACAGCCCGTGGAGTGGCCCATCAGCACGATCCTGTCCATCTTGGAGGTGCGCAAATACTTGACCAAAGCACTGATTTCCTTGACGTCGTTGTGGAGGCTGCCGTATCCCCAGGCCGAGAAGGCGCTGCTGAGTCGGGGTTCGTAGACCGCGTAGTCAGATTCACCAACGATAGCATCAGCTATCATTTTGACATATGGGATACCATGAGGGCCATCACCAAGACCGCCCACAAAGATAAGCGCATTTCTCTTGCGGCCGTTGGTCTCATACTCGTAGGCTTGGGCGAAGCGGTTGGACTCGGGGTCGTGAGATGGGTAGTTGTGAACCAGTACGCGATAGGGCTCGATGGGCGCCGGTCGAAAGGGCTCCATGGCTGTGGTGGTGACGCGGATGGCTTCGTGTTTGCTGGTAGAAATAAGAAGTATGAGAAAGTGGGAGATAGCTTGAGAAAGCTCAATGGCGTGTTGCTGCAACTGTCCGGACAATTTGCTTAGCTTGCCGTTACCATGGTGACGAATATGCCGCTGTAAATAGTACGATCACCACCTGTGGTTTTCATACTGTGGAGGACAAAGTGGAGGTGTTACCGTAATTACGACCATAATTACCACCCCCGAGCACCCCCATTTGCGGTTACAGCCCTGCAACTCGAAAGATCAGGGCATCTCTCACCATTTCACCCAAAACACCATGACGGAATTGCAGGTAGTCGACGAGACAATTGACAGATTTTTGAGACGTTGCGACAAAAGAGACTAACCTTCAGCTCGAATGGAAAAACATCAGGACATCGCCCTAACCACCTGCTTCACGATTTGAACCTCCCAAAAAGACAGAGGTGGTCACCCATTACGTCATGGTTGGGATGGTAATTTGAGTTGAGTTTTGGAAGGACTATCAGGTCCAGGAAGGCGTGACTCTGTTCCTGTGGCCACGGCGCAAGTGAACGGATGCAGTCACGTTCTGTGGACTGTCTCGGCTCTTCGACTCAATTTCTGCAAACTCGAGAAGTCTTCATCATTGATTCGTGTTCCCTTTGGTCCTCCTCGCGCGCGTTCACATATCACTCCAACCTCGCTGGACAGCAGATCACAAAACGCAAAAGAAGATATTGGTATGTTTACATGCAGGTATTGGACTGACAGACTTAGGTCACCTTCTACACTCCCTCAGGCCCAAACAATCCCGAAACTTCAGGATCTCTGTCGGCAAAGACTAACTAACAGACACTATAGCAGGAACACCTGTTTATGGATGATAGAAGGTGTGATGCTTCGGTCTCCCCCTTGCCGCATCCCAGCCTGCCGAACCCGTCAAGATCGTCGTGGCGTCCGCACTTCCGCGTTTCGGATTGACACCGAGTTCTTGTGGCTCTGCCGGCGGATGTGCTGGTGATATTGGGGGTTCCATCCCATGAGGGTCAGCCGCTGTTGTTGTGGGCGTCCCGGACCCTGACCCGGTTTCGGTTACGGTCCCATGCCTTGACACAGGACTACCATGGTCACCTCTTCCAGCTGGTGGGACCTGCATCCAGACTCGCCCTTGGGAATCGATCTTGGTTTGGAGACTTTGCTGCTGTTCAGATATCGCCGACTCCGGACTTGTCAGCTCGTACGTTACTCCGTCTGGCCCCTGCCAGTACGTATTCCCTTCCAACTCTGCGGGCGGGCGAGGAACATTGGCAGAGTACACGCTACCCTCATGTTGCTGTCTCTGGAAAGGGCCATCAGAATACGGACTCGTGGGTGTATATCCGGTTGTAGCTGTCATCCCAGGGCTCCAAGGTGGCACATCCGAGTGTGAAGCCATAGTACCCAACCCGGCCCCATCGGCAAGAGGCTTCTCCCTCCTCCTCTTCTCGTCTTGAACCCTCCGTTGTCGATGTCGCCTGATAAACCAACAAGCCCCGACCAGTACCGCAACAAAAGCCACCGCCCCACCAACGGCAATTCCAGCAATTGCCCCCTTCGAAAGGCCCGGCCCTCCTCTGTTTGCATCAGAACTACCTGTCGCGCTCGGGACACTGCGCGTCGCAGTTCTTGCCGCAAACTTCGCTTCCCTAGTCAGCAGGACACTCAAATCCGGATGTGCCCAGCCCTTCTCAGGCTCTTTCTTGGTCGCTCCGCCGTCCTTTCCACCACCCACCGCCTTTACCACCACATCCGGCACAACGTACGTGGTCATATTCGGGTTGAACAACTGCCACGGTTCCTTCTTAGCATTCTGCTCGCCTAGGTCGAGATTATGTGTGCCGAATTGGGAGGGTACGTCGCAGTCGGTCGAGAGAGGGAAGCTTCCCCCTATAATCAGCATTTGGGCCTGAGAAATGACGTTGCAGGTCAGGGAGTGATGGGGGTAAGCTCCCCCTTGCTGGTTATTTTGGCTTGGGTCAGAGTTGCCGGAGGGCTTGGGATAGAGCTTCAGCCATTGGAAGGAGGGAATGGTAAGGATATATACGTCGTCGTAACCAGGGTGGTTATCCGGGGGAGTGGAGGCGCCGCCATATATATATCTGTTGGCATCTTGTCAGTGACACCACATCCCCAAAAAGGGGGTCCAAGAGGGGTTATCAGAGAGCACACTCACATGTTGTAACTGCTCCTATCACCCGCCCACGTCGCGCCGGCGCAGAACCGTCTCCTCTTCCCCGGCACCTCCCCCGTTGCATTCTGCACATACCACTTACTACTCAGCACATCATACAGATAAATCATCTCCATCGGCTGGCCTTCCGTTGTCACATTCCCGCTCTTTTTATCATCCTCGCTCTGGCTCTGCATCACTCCCCCAAAGTAAACCAACATCCCGCCATCCCCAATGGGGATGAACACCGTCGCTCCTTCCGCCCTTCCTATCTTTACATTCCCATCTTGATCAGGCCCCTCGTTTACCGACCACTGCCCCTCATCAAAGTCAAACTTCACCAACGCCCCCGATGCCACTCCCGTCGAATTCCCCGTACTACCATCAGAAATCCACCCACCAAAATAATACCCTTCTCCCCTCTCTTCCACACTGACCCCAGCTCCATACGACACTCCGTCTATCTTCACCTGATTCGGGTTGTTTTTGGGGGCAGCCAATTCCCATCCTTCCGAGACGGCATCAAAAGACCATAACGAGGGCAAGTAGTAGTTTGAAGCGGGAAGCGAAGGAGGAGGTTCGCCGCCGAAGAGGTAAAGTCGTTTGTTGAGCTGGTCAGCCCAGAGGGCGGCGCCGTGGACGGAGGGGACGGAGGAGTTTTTTGGTGGGGAGGTGGACAAGAGTGGGGGCATGCCGGATTCGGTGATGGTTGTGAGGTCGAGGTAGAGGAGGGCGGTGTCTGTGAGACAGATGTCAGCGAGGGTATTGCGAAAGGGTGCCAAGATCACTCACTTGTGTAGTTAGCTGGATACTGGGAGATGGGGTTGTAGTTGATGAAGCCCCCGTCTATGTAGAGCTTGTTGTCGATCACGGCGGTTTGGTGGCTGAAGATTCGGCAGAAGTTCTTGATGGGGTCGAGCTGGGCGTGGGAGCCGTGGATGAGGGTGAGTAGTATTGACGTCAAAAGGAGTGTCCTTGAGAGAGTAATGGTAACGAGTGGCGATCGTGAGGGTCGTCGTCTCTTCGATAACCCCCCAGGACGCGACGACGGCGCCCCTAGGAACTGGGTAGGAGTCATGTTGACAAGTGAGCGACGGGATCAGCCCATTTCATGCCTTTTCTCAACCAGGGCGGCGGCGGTGGGCGCTCCAGCGACCTAGAGCTGAAGAGTAATCGGACAGCACTCGTCAAAGGTCAGAACTGGAGATGTCAGACGGAGAAGATGGTAAAAAGCTGAGTGAAGACAAGACACCGAACGAATGACTACTATGGACGTTTCTATCGCACAACTAACATCGAAAAAACATTGCGGTGCCAAGTTTCTGCGCCAGCGAGCGTCGGAGGAGACAAATCTAACGGTGATCATCTCCCAAAACCCCAACATAACCTGCCCGAAAACCTGGTCTCCTCATAGCCACGGGGAGGCGCTCCGGTGGTCTCGAGAACAAGAAAGCAGCCAGTCGAAAAGCAAGACGTTAATTGAAAGGTTCAGCCCAAGTTCCGCAACATCAGTCGTACAAAAACTGCGTCCGATACCGACCAAGCGGTTGTCTGTAACCATGATTGGTTCTTAAGAGACACTGAGACTGTATAATGGTGTGTAAGACGAGAAGAGGCGCAGGGGTATTCCAGACCCGTATTCCTTCCAGTATTGGGCTGATGATGCTCGATCGGCAAATGCGCGATAACCCGGATTAAACACATGTCTGTTTTGTACACGAGGTCGTACGCCTCGAACTAAGCTAGGCAGTATGCCACCATCCTGCCATTTTATACTCTATGATAGACAGTAAGGTGGGAAGAAGCAAATGCTTGGCTTTTTCCTGCCCCGATGGATTTATGTCGTGTTCCCCCATTCCGCGCGGACTTGATCCAATGATATGCTGCTCTCCCAGAGTAAAGTCTCAGCTTTCATGTACATACTGGAAAACCCGACGGCTTGCAACCCCCCTTGCCCTGGGCCTTGATCATTTTCTTTTAATCTACAGGGCTGAGGAAAGGCGGAGTGGTGGGTGAATCAAAGCTGAAGATTTCGAGATGGTTTAACGTGGGAGCCAATACCAGGTGGTGGTTAGCGAGGATTGTGCGACTGTAATATTATATACGACTTCTTTGGCACTACGTAGTAAAATGAATAAGTTTGAACTAAGGCAGTACACTTTGGCTGACGTTACTGCAGAAAGGCTACTTTGACACAATGCTGACAATACTGACAATACTGACGCTGACAACACAAACACCTAATCCAGCCTGTCGTAGACAAAAACACAAAGCCGACCCAGTCTCTCCTCAAACCTAGCTCGACGACCCTTCTCCCGACCGCAAGGGAAGCTCATCATCATGAACGGACACCTAATCCGCGTTCTTCTCTGAGGCTTCTCCTCCTTCTTCTACTACATCTTCTTTTTCCTCAAGCTGTTCAGCACTTCTACCGTCCTCCTCATCTGCTTCTGCTTCTACCAGCTCCGGACACTCAAGAAAGAACAAATCGGCATATTTAGTAGGCCACAAGTCCGCTGGAATCTCGAACCTCAGATCCACCATTGCCAGACGGTTAGCGATGGATCTGAGAAAGACAAAGACCGTGGAGACGTAGTATTCGTCATCAACACTGTGACCGTTCTTGCTGCTGCATGAGGCCAGGATGACATCGTTGCACTGGGAGACGAGCCAACAGCCTTCTTCTGAGTGAAGCAGGGGAGCGATGATGCGGCGGACTTGGTGGAAGGAGGCCTGGTTCAGGGCTTCTGAGAGCGAGGATGGGTCGTAGTTGACTTCTTGCTGGATGGGGTATTGGGCTTTTTCGATGCGGTGAAGTAGGAGGTGAGTGACTCTGCGAGGGTCGGTTGAGTACGAGTTGGGTATACCTATTTCTTGGAGGTCGGTCGTGGTGAGGAATCCGAGATTTGGTTCATGGATGCCTGGTTCCAGTGTTGAGGAATTGGAAGCGGTACCGAGAAATGCCACCGACAGAACATCACGCTCAGTTATCCGGCAGTTATCGAATGGCTTCAACTGTGACTTCCATTTTGCTTTGGATTCAGCAACAGTTTCGGCAATGGAGATTGTGCGTCTCACGATTTGCTCCTGATCTGGGTCGAGGTGCGGCCACTGCTCTCTCTGTGCGGCTGCATCATCTGCGTTGAACGGACGAACAAAGGGATTGTCGTGGGCGTCCAGCTCCAACACCAGGTCGGAGATTTGGTAGGTTTCAAGCTCGACCGTTTTCGCAACAGCTCGCTTGTGGCCGAGATTGCTTGAGAAGTTCCTCATTCTCTTCCATTCCTCAGCAGTTCTGTGGTTGGGAAACTTTGTGATGTACTCCCATTGCTCAATCGTCCAATGGTCGGGAATTCCTCTTGCCAGCTTTTCTTCCCTTTCATCGGCGGCGAGGTGTTCGGGTGTCTTCTTGGTCATTATCTTCCAATGGTCTTCCGTCAGGTCTTTGCTGCTTCTCCGTTCTTTCTTCCTACGCTCCTTGAGGTTGCCATCTGCGTCGAAGAATATCTTTCTGAATTTGTCGAACTTGGAGTTGCTGCCAAGCCGGAGGCTTCTGAGGTAGGTTCGCCCTGGTTGAGGCCTTCTCAAGTCGACCTTTTTGAACTTGAGGAAGTCATTGTGAGTTTGGCCTACTCTCAAGCGCCTGAAGTAGGCTTGGCCGAACTTTGCGGATCCAAAGTCGATCTTCCGGACGAGTCTGTTCATCAAGCGGTCCTTCACTGGGATCTTTTGAAAGCGTAGAAAGCTGTTGTTGTCTTGGCCGACTCTTAGACTTCTGAAATAGCGACCCACCCTCATAGCTCGATCTCTCATGAGACTTGCCTGACCATAGCCTCTGACTCTCCCCATGCTTCTCAACTGGCCGAATCTGCTGTGCTTGAAAGTCGGGTGGTTCATAACCCATGTATTCCAGAGGTTGATTCTCGCCTGCCTCCTTTCAGCTTCGGTCTCGGGATACTTGACGACATTCTCATCATCGGTCTTCGTATGAAGTCCATCTTTGTTGTTTGTGGACCTTTGTTGATCTCTGCGACGAGCCCTATTCCAGACGTAGTTTGGGTGCCTTTTCACCCAGTGCTTCCAAAAGTACCGGTTCCTAAGCTCCCTCATCTCCTTTCTGCGGACTCTTAGGCTTTCCACTTGAGGCTCATCCGGCGCAGCTTCGACCACCCGGATGTCCCCGGATTTCTGAGAATTTGGGGTGAAAAAGGAGTCACCGACATCAACCATACTCTCGGTGGCTTTCTCTTTCTTCTTCCCTTTGGGCATTATGGAGTAGGCGGCCGTCTGGACTCGCTGAAATGCCCGAGGGTGCCATCTTGGTGAGGATATTGTGAGTAGCTGAAGCCGAGATGACGCAGGCCAGCAACACCTCAGATGCGGTATCATGCCTACGGTCCACTTGCGCGTGAGACTTGGTGATCCAACATTGCCTGACAAGATACGCGACGACTGTAGGCGTTACTGGCGGCTGGGAACTGCTGTGATTGGGAGAAAACGAGGCTGGACTTTGTATCACCACGGGCAACTCGAACTGTGAAGAAACACAAGGTGAGTATTAAATGAGATTCAAGGTGTGAAGCTGGCAGCACAGGGCAAGAGGGCAACGACGAGAAGGAGAGCAATCAACCATCAATCACTCGAGTGAACCCCTCCTTCCCTAGGTCTTGACCGGTTTCACCCTCCCGCGGTGCCTTCCATTTTCTCCTCATCGCCTCGACCGGTCTGCCCAATACTCCTTCCAAATTGGTTGCGATGCCGTGTTCTGTGTAACAGGTACAAAGGTACTTCGTGGTGGAAAGTTCAGGTCTGGTCGAAGACGGCATGGAGAAAGAACGAGGCGGGCCGAGACGTTCAAGTCCCCTCTTGGCGTTGCCTGCAAAATCCGGGGAAGGAGCGCTAAAGAGCCGCTAAAAGACCCTGTAATGATTAGCGCTAAACCTGAAAAACAGGCTGTCATGACCCACTTATCGCATCACTCTATCGCATACAATCGCTGTAGAAAGGCTTGTTCAGCGTTCCACTTTCCATCCTGGCGAGCACTGGCGCCAGCGCGTCCAAGACCACCTTCCAGGCACAACACCGCAGCTTGTTTTCTTTCCATTTCCTGTTCGTTGACACAAACCAGATTTCGCACCACAACCACGCAACACATCTCGACATCATCACCACAATACTGCAAAATGCCTCCTGCGAAGAAGAGAAAGACCGAGCCTGAGGAGAAGGCGGAGATCACCCAACAAGAGAACGATGTCGCCGAACCCACGACAGAACAAACTGTGACCGATTCCAAGGAGGAGCCATCGGCCACAGAAGCAGCGCCCGCAACAACGTCATCTTCATCACCACCAACAGAAACCACGACAACAGCTCAGTCCTCGTCAACCCCATCCGCATCCACCTCTGCTGCAGACTCTGCGGCCGCCAAAGCTCGCGAGCGTGCTGAGCGTTTCCGCGCCCTCCAAGCCCGCGCCAAGTCATCCTCGCAGCAAAATCTCAAAGAAGCCACCAAGGAATCCCAACGCCTCCAGAGCGACCCTAGTCAACTCACTGCCCTCGGCCGTCGCCACGCGATCGCCTCCCACAAGCTGCTGAAAGCCGACATTGAAGATGCCGGAGGTGACTTTGAGCGCAAGCGAGCATGGGACTGGACAGTCGAAGAATCCGAGCGGTGGGACAAGCGCATGAAAAAGAGAGAGGCACACCGCGATGACACTGCCTTCCGCGACTACAACCAGCAAGCCGAAAAGTCCTACAAGCGGCAACTTCGTAACATGGGAGGGCCCGATTTGGAGAAGTACACGCGCGAGAAGCTGGCGGCGATCGAAAAGGCCGCGGCGGCTGGCACATTGGAGATTGTCGAGACAGAGGATGGCGAAATGATTGCGATTGACAAGGATGGCACCTTCTTTAGCACGGCAGACTCGACGCAGTTCGCGCAGCACAAGCCCGACAAGGCGGCCGTTGATCGATTGGTGGCCGATATGCGTAAGGCCGAGGAGGCCAGTCTTAAAAAGAGGAGGGAGCGCATGGCAAACAATGGCGACGATGCGGACGTCACGTACATCAACGAGAAGAACAAGCAGTTCAACCAGAAGCTGTCGAGGTTCTATAACAAGTACACGGCAGAGATCAGGGACAGCTTCGAGAGAGGAACCATGGTTTAGTCGAGCTGGCTTCATGCGTAGAGGACACGGCGTTGATGGATTGATTGTTGGTTTTATTATGTTAAGCATCATCGTTTAATACATTGCGAAAGTTCATCATCCTGGTATAATACAGTCCCTTTGAAGCGATCCTTTGCTCTTAAAGCATAGTTCTCCTCCAACCCTTGTTCGCCAATGTCTCCATCTCGGGGACCTCGACCGCCCCCTTAACCGCTGTATCGTCCAATCCTTCCACCACCGCCTCCGCAACCAGATCTGCTTTGAGAGGCTTCGTCCCCGCACTCCCTAAGAAGCTGGACAGCACTCCTCCCGTGGCCCCGTTGAAGATACTTCCCGCCATCGTCATCGCCGCCAGCGGCACCGTCACCGGCCGCGAGCTATCGAACATGAATCCCGGCCTGAAGAACACACTTTTCATCTCGGGGAACTCGCGCGCAATTACGTCCTCCGCCTCCCTCTTGGTCGAGATATACCTGCTCGGCAGGACGGGAGCTCCTCCCGCAGCCGAAACGAATCCGAAACCCTTGACGCCCTTGTTGGCAGCCTCCTTGGCGAGCAAGATCGCGCTGTCGCGGTTCATCATCTCGTAGGTCAACTGGTTCGCATTGGTCGGGGGACGGATCTCGTCACCGGGGCGACGCTCGAGCGGGTTCGGGGTGTGACGGGGCGAGAAGGCCTTCTGGAGCCCCGCGAGAGGAGACTCCCGACCGGAGATGACGCCCTTGTAGTCGGCTTCGAGGAGGATACCCATAGAGTGAACGACGTAGTCCGCACCGTTGAGGATGGCGATCCATTCGGCGGGGCGGAAGATGTCGGCGCGCTCCCAGGAAACGGCGGTCGACCAGGAGGGAGCGGAGGGGGAGGCGGATACGGAAGACCAGTTAGGCTGGCCGGAGCGACTGGACGGGGGAGAAGTGGTTAACTCAACCGCTTGCATAGGTGTAATGATCGGTCACGGAGGGTAATGTTTGAGTTTGGTACCTAATTGATGTCACATCCCATCCTCTGTGGACAGCGGCCTGGCAGATCCTGGAGCCGAGGAAACCGTTGCCTCCGGCCACGATGAGCTTCTTTGCAGCGGACGACATGGTGATGCTTGCTTGACGGTAGCACTCAGGAGAAAGATTATATCTCAAGAAAAGTTTCAAAAAAGCTAGCTGGTCAGAATTGGGAGATTTATCTCGGGATCCTTCTCAGCTATAAGCTCAAGCTTTCTTCCCCGGTTCTCTATCCGTAAAGTAAACAATGGAAACCCCAGGCGATTGCATCATGGGGAGCCCCGATCCGTTATCCAGACTCGAAAAATCCTTATCGAACGAATATTTACAAGGGTTGCATTGATACTTTTCGATAAATTCACAGGGGCCAAGGGCCCGCTAAACCCCAGAGGGAAAGGGAACCTTAACAGCTTCTCTGCCCCGCATTCAAGGCTGGAACACGCCCGACTTTTTTCTCCATTCTTTCATGCAGGTACCTTGACGGTGTCGCTTTTGTGTAATCCCGTAATCGTCCCGTCATTTTGTTCATCTTTGCGCCGTTTTCTTTACTCTGATATACGCTCCCACAAAAAGCTGTCTTGTTAAACTCTACTCTCATATCACGACTTACGATTGCTCAGCTATATCGCTATTGCTGAAGCTTCACCAATTCTCCCACCGCGTCTCTGTAAGACCAGCGCGAAGCAGCGCGAATCTCTACACCCTAGACAGCTTTAAACCATCCACAACCATCCCAGCCAAACACGATGGCACCACCGACAGGCAAGCGCGTCAAGGGCGTTCAAATACTCCGACCCTTCGTCTACGGAACAACAGCTAAACCCTTCGACGAAAAGACAAACCCCAAACCGCCCGGCGTTCCAGATGATCACACGCACTCCTGGACCGTCTTCATCAAGGGCATCGACGATGTGGACATTACGTACTGGCTTAGGCGCGTTCAGTTCAAGCTTCACGAGTCCATTCCAAACCATGTTCGAAGTACGCCTTTACCCCCGATCCTCTTTCCGCCACCATCTCTCATCGACCTAAGCTAACCAACATCTTCCTCCCGTCCAGTGGTAGAAGGCATCAAAGGCCAGCCCTTCCAAATACACGAGACCGGCTGGGGTGAATTTGAAATCACCATGAAGCTGTACTACGTCCCCGAATCCTCCGAGAAGCCGCAAACGCTCTACCACCACCTGCGCCTGCACCCGTTTGGCCGCACCGAAGAAGAGAAGGAAGCCATGCGCCTCAACGGCGGCGAGGTCATCTCGTGGGTATACGAGGAACAGATCTTCAACGAGCCGTACGAGCCCTTCTACGAAATCCTCACCTCGGGCGCCCTCCCGCCCTCGGCCTCGACGCTAAAAGACGGCGGCGGCGGCGGCGGCGGTAGTGGCGCCGCGACGCCGACCAGCGCAAACACGCCCGGGGCCAGCAGTAGCAAGGGCGGAAACAAGAAGGGTCATGAGAGGAGTCACTCGCGGGCGAGTGTGAGCACGAACAAGGACGGGAAGAATAACAACGAGCCGAAGGAGGAGCCGTTTGTGATACAGAGGTCCGAGGGAGGCGTGTTGGAGCGGAGCGCGATGATTCCGCTTGTCAATAGGCCGGGGCAACCGTTCAGTCGGGAGACGGAGCAGTTGGAGATTCAGAAGCTCAAGGAGGCGAAGCTGAAGGTGGATGAGATGAAGAAGCAGATGATGGAGGATTTGGAGAAGAAACAGAAGCGGCTGGAGGCACTGAGGGCGGAGAACGCTCAGGCTGCCTAGAAGGAAGCCGAGGAGCGTGCAGCGCGGAGGGCGAATCGGAGGCTGCGTTTGTTATCATATGACTCGGATTGGGTTGAGTTGGAATAAAAGGAGTTATGGCGTACATGGGTGCCAAAGAGGCCGGGAGTCACAAATGCATTGCTAGAATGTTGGGTATGGGAATACGGCGTCTTATCGTTCATCATTTAGAATGTGTTACAAACCAGCACCAAACCATTACAGTCACATTTGACAGTCCATCTCGCTCTAAACCCCCACGTCAACCTCGTGGACATCTCCTCTCAGCTCGACTCCTCCCCCTCAACCTCCCTCAAACACCTCGTCCCAACCCTCGGCACCTCCACCTCCTCATAATACCCGCCCTCCTTCAACACATCGTCCATCCCCTTCCAATACCCCAGCTTCGCCTCCCAATTTTTCTTATCCAAATCCGCCAGCTTGGCTTCCACCGTCACCTCCCTTTTTGAGTCTTCTGATATCCTCACAAAACAAGTACAATCCCTCAACGTCATCGCCAACGCCAGCTTCTCCTTATCCGTCGTCCCCTCCGGCGCCGGGTCTAAGCTCCCTTGCGCGTCCCGCAGCTTGGGCAGCAAGGAATTGGTTTGCAGCCAGTGAACCAAAGCGACGCGGTAGCGCTCGTTTACTTGGTCCATTCCTTGTCTTTCATCGCCGTCAAGAGAAACAGCCGGTTGCACACCAATGGGGTTCTCCCTCGTCGCTGGCTCGGTGTCCAAAGAAGCGGAGGTGGCGGAGAGGTTCATAGACGCAATAACGCGAGCTAGAGAAGAGGGCGAGGACTGAGCGGATAGATACTCAAGGGGGCAGAATGGTGGGTTACTGGTGAGAGCGGATGAGTCTTCGGTGAGGGAAGAAGAGGAGCGAAGCGATTTGTGTAGGCGGTAGGCTTCGCGGGCGCAGTTACGGCAGCGCGTGGCGCTGGAGGGGGCGGAGGGGGAGGGGGTAAGCCATTTGGGTTTGAATTCTAGGAGGAGGTCTGTTGGTGATTCTGGGGTTTTTGTGTTAGTAAGGGATTGAGGAAAAGGGAAGGGAAGGGAAAGGGGGACAAACTCTTCCTCATATCCTCAACCAACATGCCATACTCCGCCTCGGCTACCTTGGTTCCCTGGAAATCATACCTGCGCTGCAAGTCTTCCTCTGCTAGAACATCATTGAGCTGCGAGACGATGGAGTTGTCTAGACGAATAAGGTACTGCTGCACTAGATCTTCCTGAGGGTTATCGAAGAGTGGGCTGATGGATGACTCCCAGTACTGAAGGATTTCGGGGTGGGTGAAGGCTTTGGTGTTTGCCTTTGGTACTCGTAGGAGTTTTCCTGTAGATGATGTTAGTATTGGTGTTTCGACATATGGTAAAACAGGGGTTGAGAGATAGTGACCTTGTAAGATGCTCAAGATCTTGCTATCGCCATCATCTTGAGTGGTGGTGATGTCTTCGGGAAAGATAACCTCAAAGACTATGTTGGCGGCGCCTTCGCCGATGAACTTGAACTGGCAGTTGGTGCCTTTCAAGTGGGCTAGGTCTGCTACTGGTTTTGGTGACATGATTATGCTTACTGTACTTTGTTTGCAACTTGAACAAGGGAATGATCGTGGTTGGCTTGTTGTTTTCCGTTGGAGTTGCTGATTGACAATATGACGTTGAAAGGAGGAGAGGTTTCAGCTGAGGTAGGAATTGTTTCAACATGTAAACCAAAACGGGCGCAGCAAATGAAGTGATGCCTTGGCAATGATGAGCTCTACACTACCTCTACGAAAGGGCGACCCTGAGGGCCCTGAGATCTAGAGTGAAACTTGACTGAGTTGTTCTTGCCGCCGAAGATCATAGGGCAATAAGGAGGGAGTTCGTCTGATATCATGATGTTATACGTCAAATATTATTGATTCTGGCTTGATTGTGTACGTAGTCCCTGGCCACTGCAGTTTCTTTGGGCCCATGGTTCCAGATGCTTTTTGATTCAAGAGACGGATATGAAAGAAGAGATATTCCATGCATCTACTTCAACCACAGTTGAACTGAGAATTGGACATTCAGCTCAATACAAAGCCGCTGTGATGTGTGCACAGTGCAACGGCGTACAAGCACAGGGTAGGTGTTTGGGGAACCTTTACACAGTACGTACCCCGTACCCCGGAAGATACGGCGTCCCACCGACACCGGAACATCGGTTCATCTTCATGACCCCCGCCCGGTGCCCCGGAGAGCCCGGTCTCCATCTCGAAACAATACAGTACCCCAGAAACCGAGGCTTCCCGAAATGTGACGGTTCTGCCGACGGATCCGATAACGACGGATAACGGACAAGATTCATCAGTGCCCAGGGCCAAAGAAATGTGGCTGTTCGGCTCTCTCACAAAGCACACGATGAGTAACCCCTCACGGATATCGACGGGGCCGTGTGCCTTCCTCTCCACAGGGTCCAAGTCGAAGGGGTCTCCGGGCCCTCCCTGCCTGGTGAGGCTTACCTTGCCCCTCCGCATTCCCGAGGCTATCAGGGTCCACTTGAAGGGCCCTAACCGCTCAGTCCGTTCCAATGACGGCCGAGACATTGTTTCTTGAGGATGGGATCGGTCATTGAGGATAGGACGACTGTGGATCGATGGGACAATGCGTCAATGCGATATGCCTAGGTTGACTTTGAATTCTGCGTTGGATCATTTCCCCTCATTCTCCTGGGCTGTCTTGGATGTCTTGGTGGGAGGCTCCGCGTCGTCATTGGCGAGGCCGCTCGGGGGTAAAAGTGCCCTTGCGTGTTCCATGTGTCCAGCTGGCTGCTTCACAACAGCAGGGCAAGAGCGCACCACTGCTGCCACTGCATCCTTCCCATGGCATCGAGTACCTTCCGCAGAGCATCCGCACAGCATCCGCATCTTCTCCCGCCCTTTCCACTTTCTTTTGTTTCGCCAACGGCTGAACGGCCTGCCCCGATTGAGCAGATCGAAACACTGCTATCATGCGGTTGCAGCTACCGTCCCTGAAGAGACGACATGCCACCACAACTTCAGTTTTGTCTTTGACGTATGGAAGCCCACCTCAGTGGCGCAGGACCGGCATGTTGACAGCGTCCTTGCCAGTATGACGGCTGTGGGGCTGGTTGGTCTCGCAGGCGTCACTCGATCACAAATTGGGCGTGTTTCAATGCGTACCTTGGACTTAGTGTCTCGCATTATAGTACCTTTCCTGAGCCTTCATTCTTCCTGACCGCTTCCATGTCTTATGCAGTGTAAACAATGAATAAACAATGCTATTCCTCAGTTCGATTGATGAGCAGAAAGTTGAGCATATCAAGCGCCCAGTTGTATCGCCCGCTCCAGCCAATATCAGCCCACTGAAGGACTGCCAAGTGAACATCAGTGACAGCGTCAGAAGCGGGTCCGGTGCCACCCGCACTGCTACCCCCAAGCCACACAGCGTCCCACGTACCTCTACCACCTGCACCCTCACACACGACAGTCACACTTGCCTGCTTCTGACTGCACGAGAGCAGTCTCTGCAGTGAACGAAGGAGCGAAAAATTTCAGAAAAGGCCCGCCCACAAAATAGCGTCATGGTCATCCCGTCCACATCCTGACTCCATTGTAATCTCGGTAATCTCCAACTCCAGCCGACCTCAGCACCTGAACATACCTACAACACCCGCTACCAACTCTACCAATTCCACACCAAACCGCACAACCTCTGACTCCCAAGTCTTTTTTTCCACAACAAACCTCCGATCGGAGTCGAATACCCGACTGTTACCACTACAGCGCGACCGAGTCCGAGCGCATCATCGAACGCATCGTGCATTCCGGGTCGCATTCCGAGTTCCGTCATTGCTGGCAATTTGGCCAGCAATCTTCGACGACCCGTCCATCCCCTCCGCACCGACGGAACCGACCATATTCAACACCCGTCCTCCGATTGCCATGTCTGGTTAAAGACAAAGCCAACTTAACATGGCCTTCAACTTCAACTGGTCGCCGCTGACGGCCGACGCCGGCTTCTACGAACGGGCACGCGACCTCCTCACGACAGCCCTGAACAAGTCGCCCAAGCCTCCCATCATCGTCGATGACATCTTCGTGACCGAATTCAACCTTGGCTCCGTGCCGCCCGACCTGGAAATTCTGGAAATAGGAGATTTGGCCGAGGACAGGTTCCGCGGCATTTTCAAAATGTGCTATTCAGGCGACGCCTTCTTGACTTTGGCAACACGAGTGCAGGTACGGCTTTTCCAGCATTTCTTGTCATATGCTCCCTCGCACCATATTCGGACCTTTGCTTTTACTTTTTCTCTCCCCACCATTCGTCGAGACAGCTACTGCGCAGTGCGCAGTGCGGCACATGGATATCCGAGGAACCATTGGACGAGCGCTACGAACTTTTGCCAACACCCGATCCCCGACGACATGGCTCCACTGTGGCTAGTGCTCCGGACATGGGACATGGGGCTCTTGATGATGACGGGGATCATGACGATTGCTCGGATCAAGGGAGCGGCAAGTGCTCAGAGCTCTGGCAAGCTCAAGACTGGTGATACACTTCATGTGTAGATCACAAACACAACGCAACATGACTTTCAGAAGACGACTTCTCGTCCGTGTTTCAGCTGGCTTGGTCGCTCGCGAGAAATCCCGAAAGCTGGAAATTTTGCTGGTATCCTTGGCGCCTTGCCTCAAATTTCCCAAAATCGCCTAGCAGGGGTTTCTCGTCGAGCGGTTCAGGTGCTGCACGTCTTCGCGCTACACCAAAACTGTCCAGGGTTAACAAGAGTGATGCTAATGAACCAACTGATAGGCGAACCCGCTAAACACGTACATATCCGCCAAGCCCAGCTTCACGTCACCAGAACCCCTGACGGCATCGTCATCGCTTACAATACCGCTTCAGATCACCCTGTCCGAAATCAAGCTGTCGGCCTTCATCATCCTTGTCTTCTCCAAGCAAAAGGGTCTCACAATAGTCTTCCGAAATGACCCTCTCGAATCTCTCAAGGTCTCTTCGACCTTCGACTCCATTCAGTTCGTTAGGGACTACCTCCAAAAAACCATCGAGATGAAGTTGCGAGACCTGATCATGGACGAACTTCCAGCAATCATCCATCGTCTCTCGCTTCAACTGTGGTGCCCGGATCAGGTTCCAAAGGAGGACGAGGAAGCCAAGGAGGAAAGTGATGCGGCGATAAACCCGCTGGCAACACCACCACTGGACGCTGTGGATGCGCATGGCCATCGTCTGGATCCTGTCGAGATTTCGTCACTATCTCTTGACGGTGGTCCCGAGACACAATCGTTGTTCTCACAAAAGAACCTCGAAAAGATGGATGCCCTTGCCAATGCTCACCGTACCTCATCTCTAATAGCACCGAACATTCTCGAGGTAGTGTTCAGAGCTTGGGCTGGGCAGTCTGACAAGGCTGATGCCACAGCTACTCCTTCGGCATCTACGCCTAACCTCCACCGGACGTCTTCGTTCCAGGGAAGTGCTCATACTTACACTTTCTCAGACAACAGCAGTCAGGCTAGTGGTCACGCTCCTTCCAGGCCGACCTTGGTGAGTATGGGGTCCGCCACTACGGGCTTGTCTCTGGGCTCTGGCAGGCATTCTAAGGCGGGCCGCAAGAAGAAGACGCGGGTCGTCAACCTGCGTAGCAAGACGGCGGCGAGCGAGCCTGTCAGCGAGGTTGGTAGCACCAGCAGTCAAGCTGGCGATAGCGGGTCCGAGGCAGCTTCGACCCGTGCACCCATGTCTGAACCTGTCATTCCCACAACAATACGGGAGGCACCAGAAGATGATCTGGCTGCATCCCAGAGCAAGGTGAGGTTCAGGCCTCCCACAGACGCCACCACATCTCCCAGGGCTTCCGAATCGTCTGGTTCTCGTGCTGCTGTCCCAAGTGTGCCCGTGACTGCCCAGCCCTCGCGGGTTACCTCTCCCCAGGAACATGTGTATACTCGCCAGCCTTCCATGTTCCCCAGCAGCCCAGCTCCACAAACGTCAGCGCAGGAGAGGCCGCCGTCGTATTCCAGCAGAGCGTCCGAAAAGGCCGAGGCCACTGCGCCAATCTATGCAGACGGCAAGGCCCAGCAGCAGCAGTTCCAGCAACAGCAGCAACAGCAGTGGGGACGTGCTGGTCCACAACCAGATATGTCCTCGGTGATTCTTGAGCAAGCTTGGATTACCAAGATTGCGGGTGAGATTGCTCGCCGTGTGTACGACGAGAAGAACCGCAATCCTGGTTTCTGGGAGGATAGCCACCAGCATGATATTCCCCCACCGGCTTATGAACCGAGATAGATGAGCCTGGGGACTGTCATGTTGCGGGCGTTGCTTACGCTCTTCTGTGTGTCGATCACATTTTGCTGTACAATGTTTTCCGCTCCTCCTTTCTTGTTTTTTATCAAGCAAGCGGGTTTTACTCTTTCTTTTGTATGATTTCCAACGGCGTTTCGGAGGGGTGGGGTCACGAACTGGAACCCCGTGATCGATTACTCTTTGATTCTCACCGCTTTTCTGACGGTGGCACATTTGGCTCTCTTTTTCACGGATTGATATCATTGGTTTGCGGGTTGGTGGTGGGCCTACAAAAAGAACGAACAACACACATAGAAAAGGGGGTTTGGTTAGGTTTTCTCTTTTCTGTTTTCTGGAGAGAGCAGTACCTAGTGTACTTCTAGAGAGGGGAAGAAGAAAGAGATGATGACTGTAGGAAGAGAAGGGAAGAGGGAAGAAAAAGTTTTTGGTTCTTTTTGAGATACACCATGAGCCGCCACAACCAGGCAAACGGACGGATAAACAGATGAAGAAGGGAAGGGCCGATGAAGATGGATGATGGTACGGGAAGCATAGGATTACAATACCCCAGGGTTGTTAATGCGACTCCTCACTCCGTTTTACTACTATGGAACATCCATATGAACCTGTGTCGTGCCAACGTTGTTCACACTTTCAACTACATGATATTTGTTGCGATGCTAATCCTGAGCTGGCTGGCTCGCGCTGTCTTCATCTTCCTCATCCAATGTTCACCATGGTAGGATGAATCAATGCCATGTGTATTGCGTACTGGAAAAATTACTGACATTCTATTTTATGTTGTTGTTGGGTATATCTTCAAAAAGCTACGAGCTACTAGTCTGAGGTCTAATCTCTCTAGCAAGACTTTCGCTAACACATCCAAAACCTAAACGCCTCTAACCTTTCAAGTCCCATATCACAAACCACCATATGCATGCATGCATGCAGTGCATCCGCTCCATCCATATCCAACCTCTCGCTCTTCGCTCTTCATAAAAACAAAAAAAAAAAAAGAAAAAGAATTAACACCAACGACATCAGATGCCAGCAACACTAAAACTGGCCAAACTCCCCACCGACAACCCACCCACTTGACACATACTCATGAACCCCCCTGCCGCCTCCCTCTCGCCCTCATCCACCCACTCTCCGGCAGCCATCATGCTGCTCGTACCCAACCACCCGTTCGTCAATCCAAACGGCAACTGCACCACCAGCAGATAAAACAGATCGCTATCCACCACCGCGCCCTTGCCGCGGATATTGCAAAGCAAGTACATGGGTAAGAACACCAGTCTCGCTACCGCCACGGCAAAAAGTGCCAAGGGGCGATCGCGGAGAGAAAATGGGAGGAACATGGGTGATACCCGGCCGAGCAAGTCGCCGAGGTTCCAGAAGAAGAAGCCTAGGGGGATGAAGGCGGCGGGGGCGAAGATGGACGACGTGCTGCCTCCGCCGGCAGGAGAGGTAAAAGAGGAGTCGGGGTCGTGGACGGACAAAATCTTGGCGGTGAAAACGGGGAAGAACATAGCTACCATAAAACACAGAAAGACAGAGACGGCGATCCAGTTCAGCTTGCGCAGGAGTTGGGAAGGGCTGACGAAGTGTCGATGAAGTCGCTCGGCTTCCTCGAGGGAGGTGATGGATTGCGAGAGGAGCTGTTGTTGGGTGTCTTCGTCTTGCATGAGGCGGGATTCGACGAGCGCGTTGTGGCGCGTGACGAGGGGGTAGAAGGCGATGAGGGTGGCGAGGGAGATTATCACGGCGGTGAGGAAGTAGATAAAGGCTGAGGTGCTCGGTTGTGCTTCTGGGGTGTTGGGGGTGCTACTGGCGAGGGTTGTTGTTGTTGTGTTTTGGGAAGGGTTGGATTCGGGCTGAGGGACCGCGAGGTAGGAGATAATTTGGGTCAAGGGGGGTAGAATCCCGGCCACGCCATGGCCGGCCATAATGGCTTGGGTGTACTCCGGTCGACCGAAGCTGGCGGCGAAGGCGAAGGCGCCGTTTTGCATCATGCCGGAGGCCCAGGCGGAGGCGCCGACCATGAGGAGTAGGAAGACGAAGTAGGTGGTCGCCGAGACATCGCGGAAAGCGACGGTCGAGATGGCCAAGAGACCGAAGACGGCGATGGTGACGACCAGGGAGGCCTTGATGCGCAACGGGTAGTTGGCTGAGGACTGGATGTTCATCAAGACGATAAGGGCGAGGATGTTGGCGGTTGTCGAGACGGAGAGGATGGCGGATTGGGAGTTGGCCAGGATCCATTCATTGGATTCGAAGCGGGTTTGGAAGTAGGGGGCGGCGGCGAGGAACATGTTCCTATGTTGACAATGGGTGGTTAGCAACATTGTTTGAGGAGGTCTGTTGAGAGGGCATAACAACATACCATGCCCAGAGCATAGCGACGCCGATCAAGACGAAGATGGAATACTCTATCCATGAGAAGGCCGCCTGGTCTTTGCATGTCTCTCCCTCCTCCTCGGATGTCGACGAGTCGTCAGTCAATGGCTCGTACTCTTCGTCTGTTGCCTTCACAGGCGTGAGGAAGTTCTTTAGTCGATCCATGGTAGTTGGTGGTTTGTTATCACGGGTAGCTGTCGTCGACCCTTCGAGATGGCTGGAATCTCCGTTTGAACTTGTCGGTATGGGACGAAGTCTAATGCTTGTCTGATCGGCCGACATCCAATACTGTCAACGTCCCTGATGCCGTTTTTGAAATGTCGAAAGTCCGCCTTTAAAAAGAGTGTTGGGAACCGCCTTGGCCGTCCTCCGCGATTCAGCCCACTTCCGGTGTCGGCTGCCTGTTTCCGCTCGCCGGTTGTGTGTCTGATTCGACGATTTGATCGTGGAGAATCGCGGGGATATGGATCAGATCGTCATGCGTCGGCGACACGGGATGATAGCGCGCGCACACGTCGAGATGGATGGGGATGGATGGGATGATAGGTGTGTTGAAGGTGTGTCAGCTGCACCTTGATGGTTGCCCGTTGTCGCAGGTCCGCAGGTCGCAGTGCCTAGCGTTATCTCCGGCTGTAGCCTTATCTGCTGCGATAGGGGTCTGCTAACGTCACAGCCATACAAGTAGGCGCAGTTGCAGCGGGAGAGTTGCAGAGCGCTCCGCCAAGTCCAGCACACGTGGACCCCGAAGCGGTGCCCCCACGGCGTGCTTAGTGCCGGCGGCAGTAGCACTAACACAAGGCAATGTGCCGGGAGTGCATGAGTGTTACACTTCTCCAACTTCACTTCTCCAACTTCCCTTCAGCTGCTCGATCTTTCAACACCAAACACGATATCGAGATTACGAGGCGAGGGCGGGTATGACGAGAATGTAATGACACACATCTCGGCCTCTCTTTTCCGTTTGTGCAACCAGCGATCTTCAGCTGACGCTATCCGCACACGACTGCTTTCCGAATATCACCATGGACCATGGGCGAAACCAAAGGAGACAACACCACGCCACCATGATCCGGACATCACCAGACTTCGACAACAACATTCCCCAAGCCAATGGCTTGATGTGGAAAGGTCGGAACCCCCTTGGCAAACCATTCTGCAGCCACCCACGCGACCCAGAGTTCCTGCGATGCACCATGTCGTGCATTGTTGCCATTGCGAAGAGAGCAAAAACTCTTCTCATCCTTCAACTCATCAAGTAGCAAGGATTCAAATTGCTGTGGCATCTCGTACTTTTATCAGATTAAGTACTAGTAGGTAAAGATATGTACAATAAGTTTAACCCCCTTGATCCAAAGACCAACCTCCTTCTGGATAATGGACATTCAAACAAGCTCAACCATCCATCATTTGCTCATTAAGCATTACCCTTTCCTCCTCGCTTTGTCTTTCCTTCGCTATCAAATCTACTCCTCATCATCATCACCATCAACAGAGAAACGCTCAAGGAACTTGAAAACCTTGAGGCCCTCCTCAACACCCTTGACAACCTCATCCTGAGCACCGGCATACACACCAGCCCCCTTCTCCTCAACACCGACGCTCTTGAGCGCCTCCTTAGCGCTGCCGACAGCAGCAACGGGCTTACCCCAGCGGTAACCATCGGTGAGGATCTGGCTAGGACGGCCAGCGGGGAAGAGAGGGCTCATGGCGCCCTTGCCGCTGAAGACGCGCTCAGCGCCCTCAGCGACAACAACGGCATCGAAGCCGGTAGCATCAGCAGCCGAGTAGGTCTGGTCAACTCCCTGGGCGAGGAACTCGGCGACGACGGTGACCTTGAGGCCGTCCTTCTCGAGCTGCTCCTTGAGGGCCTTGGCCTTGTCGAGGGAGTCACCTTTGGTGGTGGAGAGGACGCCGACGCGGAAGGTGGCGATGGTGGGCAGGGTCTGGTTAAAGATGGAGACGCCGCGGGTGACGTTGTTGTGGTAGTAAGTGGGGTCGGGCTGGGGGGCCTCGAGGCCGAGGACGACGGCGACACGCTTGGCCACGTCATTGGAGACCTTATTGAGCTGCTCGAGAACGTTCTTCTTGACCTGCTCGTTGGTGACGTGGCTGGTCTCGAAGCGGATGGCGTTGATGACGAACTGCTGCTCGACGGGGGTGAGCGAGTTGAAGAAGAGACGGGGCTGGGTGTAGTAGTCGTCGAAGGTGGCGCTGAGCTCACGGTTCAGGAGGCCAGAGGCGGTGCGGCCGGGAGTGGTGAAGAAGCCGCGGCCGACGGTCTGGTTGGCCTGGGCAGGGTAGCCCTTGTTGAGGTAAGAGGGAGTGTAGTGGTGGATGTTCTTGTGGATCCAGGCCTGGCCCTGACCGTCGCGGTGGTTATTGTGGACGCCAGAGACGGGGCGGTTGATGGGGAGCTGCTCAAAGTTGGGGCCCTTGTGGCGGTTGAGCTGGGTGTCGAGATAGCTGTAGAGACGACCCTGCAGCAGGGGGTCCTCGGTGAAGTCGACACCACGGACGATGTGGCCGGGCTGGAAGGAGATCTGCTCGGTCTCGGCGAAGTAGTTGGTAGGGTTGCGGTTGAGTGTCATCTCACCGAGAACCTGGAGAGGAGCGAACTCCTCGGGCAGGAACTTGGTGGCATCAAGAAGGTCGAAGCCGTAAGCCTGGGCCTTCTCCTCATCAACGAGCTGAACGGCGAGCTCCCACGAAGGGGCGTTGCCGGACTCGATGGCGTCCCAGAGATCCTGACGGTGGAAGTCGGCGTTCTTGCCGGCGAGGACTTGAGCCTCTTCCCAGACGAGAGCGGCCTTGCCCTGCTTGGTCTTCCAGTGCCACTTGACGAGCTTGGACTTGCCGTCCTCGGTCACTAGGCGGAAGGTGTGCACACCGAAACCATCCATGTGACGGAAGCTGCGGGGAATGCCGTTGCCAGACATGGCCCAGAAGAGGGTGTGGAGAGTGGAGGGCTGGGAGCTGAAGAAGTCCCAAGCGGAATCGTGGGCGGTGGCGGCCTGGGGAATCTCGTTGTCGGGGCTAGGCTTGACGGAGTGGATAAGGTCGGGGAAGCGGATGGCATCCTGGATGAAGAAGACGGGGATGTTGTTACCGACGATATCGAAGTTGCCCTCATCGGTATAGCTGAACTCAAGTTAACGCCCTGTTCAATAGGTGAAGGGAAGGGTTGTTATGTGGTAAACATACAATCTCGTGGCGAAGCCGTGAACATCACGGGCGGTGTCGGCGGAACCCCTGAAACCGGCAACGGTAGAGAAGCGGACGAAGACCGGTGTTTGCTTGCCCTCGGCGCCCAGGAAGGAGGCGGCGGTGATGTTGGACCAGTCGCCATAACTGGTGAAGATACCGTGGGCACCGGCACCACGGGCATGGACGACTCTCTCGGGAATCTGGTATCGAAGTTCACGTTAGCTATGATTTTTCATGCTAATTGCGTCATGACAGGGAAGACATACGCGCTCATGATCGAAGTGCTGGAGCTTCTGGCGGAAGATGAAGTCCTCAAGCAATGTTGAGCCCCGACCACCAGCCTTCAAGCTGAACTGTTCCCCAACATTGCCGCCGAAATCTGTCGTCATGAATTGGCCGTTGTCGTCGACCTCAACCTCCTTCAACCTCTCACGGGCGTCAACCTCGCCGCCCTCGGCACGGCGACCAAGAGCAGAAGGGTCGGCAAAGGGGCATGCCGCCAGAGCAGTGCCAATGAGGCCGCTCAACGGTAGAAGAGCGTTGACACGCATGGTGTTGTGCTGTGTGGTGTATAACTTCCAAGTGAAGGAGTATACAATATCTGTGTTTGAGGGGTATCAAATGAACAGATGGGGAGAATATGTGACTATATTCTATCCAAAAATATGGATATCTGGTGAAGGACACAGAAGACACACAGAGAAATATCTCGGGTGCCGGTGGCGAGAGAGGCATTACTTATATCAATCCCCCCTTGCCATGGCTGAACAGACAGACAGAGAGAGGCCCCATCCGGGAAGCGATCACGTCTAGGTATCGGGCTTTGCCAGGATCAACACGAGCGTCCCCCGCATAGCCCCATGGCCGTCCGAACCCCCCATGGGAAAACAAAAACGCACGCATCAAGCATGTGTGCAGGCAAGGGTAGGGGGGACTGAAGACGGGTTCTGGCATAAGCCGGAACAACAAAGCTGCCACCCCCACAGACATGTAAGTGCTGACTTTCGACTGGTGGGATGGCACTGATGGACGTGGACTCTTGATGGAGTACAGTTGCACTGAATGGAGCATGGTAGCTCGGTAGATGTGCACCACATAGGGCGAGGAAACGGACAAAAAGGTACGTTACACTACTTGTACACGTATAAGTAGATCAGTGAAGTGGCCATGATTCCCAGGTGCAGGCCACAGAGGTGTAGACCGTTCGTTCTGGAAGCTGACAAATGGTACAGTTTGAGCGTGAAGGAAAGTATACGGAATGCAAGTCCCAAGCAATAGTTGTAGGGCTTTTCTTTTCTTTCACAGTCCCGGTCACTGGGTTCTGCCCGCGGGCATTCTCATGATCCGATATAGGTATTGTCGGGGAGGGCCCACATGAAATGGTCCCCGGCCGTGTGTGAAATGTAGGTGCCGAAATGTATCGGTCCGCCTTCTCTGAGTGGTGCCTTGGTTCGGTTGCCAAGCCGAAGAGAGATGATGATGGACGGCGGAAGAACGGGCTGGGCCTTGATGAGGCAGGAAGGATGATTCCTTGCTGCATGGATCCTTATTACACCAAATATGTGAGTGAGATATTGTAAAGAATCACACAGGAGGAAGATGGTAAGTTGTATTATGTAGCTTGTACATGAACGAGATGAGGCTCGGAAGCTTTTGGAGAAACCGGGAAAAGTTTTGACTGCTGAAAACTCCTGCAGGGAAGGGATAGCTATGCAGCTATGATAGCCCGGATCCAAAAGGTTTCGGTTTGGTACGCGCCACTCTGGTGGACTTTTTCTCTTGGTCCATTCTTCGCATGGCGAACATGCTCTAGCTCCATCATGGCCCGTGAACATGCGGCCAGCGGCTGGCCACGAGCATGAAGAAGCCTGGGAGCATGGGAACCACAAGGGAAGCACAACTTTGATAATCTGATAATTCGAAGCCGAGAGTGGTGGATAGGAGGATACTCTCATGTAAGTCATCCAGTCACAACAGCTACTGTACGACCGTGACACGGCATGGCTGGGGAAGGATGAATGGATTCTCTCATCTGCAGGGCGCCGCGCCGTTCATGCTCAGATGATACCATCTTGCTGGGCCCAGAACTTGGGGTTTCTCGTTGATGGCGATGCCACAGCGGTGGTTGAGAGCTCAAAGGTGGGTTCCCGGACGCCGCTTTGACTTTGAGGAAGCTGATGTCGTTCTAGGTACAACGTATGGAGTACCAGATCCAAAGCCCATGTTTTTTTTGTCATCCAACGACCCGTTCGGCGTCAGCCGGCTAGCTGATTATCAAACTGGATGCCCGCGTGTGGCATGGGAATCACACGGCGGCGTTACCCGAACCGCAGAAGCACACACCTCTTTGTCGTGGTGCTATTCACAGTATCAAAACCACTTGCTCTATGAAAGCCGGACCTTGCTTGTTGTCTTTACTTTCCGCTTACAGCACCGCGGTGTGGAGAGACTTGGGGGTAAGCGATGCCGTGGTGGAGCCTTTTGCCTTATGAGGATATCGATTCTTATGAGAGGGGGTTGGCAAAAGGCTCCACCATCGCTTACCCCCAATTATATCAGGAAAACGATATCTGACTGTCCGTCTTACTTCCTGTCACCTCCCCTGTGTTCGACGTGTCATTGAGATGCCGTTGAAAGGTCGAGGGGACGTTGATCGAGTTGATGACCCTCCGCGCCTTATCACATTTGTTTAATTCAAACAACTCCCGTTGAAGTCCCGATCCCGCGAGCCCGCGAACCCGCCAGCCCGCTAACTAAAAAGGCACTACCCAAGCGATCCAATGCCGCCTCTTCACCCCACACCAACACAGGGACCGCTGGGGTTGCATCGACTTTGGAAAGTTTGGTTGTAGTGGCAGGCGTGGTGGCGGTGGTGATGGGACATCCGATTGTGGTGATGGGCCGGGTGGTGGCGCCCTGGAGGTGCCGTACCTGCAGTGGTAGCGATTGCCGGGTCCCCGTTCATCGTAGCATTTTTATACACCGCGAAGATGACGGGAGTTGTTCATGGAAAATGCTTCCATGATTCCATCAATCAGCATGTCTGTCATGTTCACGTTGATGCTGTTTCCGTTGAAGATCACCAACTTGGGGAGTGCTCCGAGACCACAACCACAACATTGTCAACGCAGGGACTTCTGAGCTTCGAATCTTCTGTCATCGCCGCTTGAGACTTATTCCCATTCTGAGCCTCCTGCATGATTAACCCGATTCGGTTGAGGCTCAGCAATCAACCTGAACCATGGCTCACCAGCGTGACAGAGCCAGCAGAGAGCTTCGTTCCCCTGTGCCCTGGATCCCATGACTCATTCCGTTAAGGCATGCCAACGGCGTAGTGAAGCCATTTCCGAGTCGCTAAGATGCTTCTATATCAGACCGCCATGCCATGGCAACCTTCCCGACTTGGATCTTGGTATTTGATAAAGAAGGAAGTGTCGATTGCGTGCCATGCTTTTCAGACCGTCTCACGTCTGTAATTCTCGTCTTTCCTTGCACTCGGCCGTCTGTAAGTGATTCCCAGTCATCCCGCCAAGATCGTGACGGTTGTCACAGTGGGGTCGCAATCCGCAGATGTGCGTGATGTTGTCATGGGCGGTTAACACACCGACGGGACCTGTCTGCGCATCAAACCAAACCCATCGGAGGAGAAAAAGAAAAGTAAAAATAGACCAGACAGCTAGTCACCGTCACTGTCTTTGGTCATCACAGTTGTTGACTAACGATGACTTCTTGTTATAATGAGACGTTGGGTAGATTTAACAGCTACTATCCGGTACAGCTATCCAGTTCAAGTCAAAGTTCCTGTCATACATCAACACTTCATCGCGGGGCTGGCTGGAAAAGAAACGACACAAGACAGAAAAAGGGAGTTTCAAAGTCAAACATCAGTAACTACCCGTACGTTTGCCACACTAAAGACTGCACGCCGGAATACTATTGCTGTACCAGTTAGATAGTCGTGATAGCTAGCTGGCAAACATCGCCCAAACTTCCTCGCCCAGCCAGCCAGCCTTGTCCAAATGGAATAATATGTCTCTGATATGACCTCGGGAGTTCCGTTGCGCATTGGTTGTTCTTTTCACGCATCCAACATGCGGCATGATATTGCAAGCCTCCATCGCATAGGACAACGTCGAGGGTCATCCATTGATGATCGAGCTTGGCTTCCAGTCCCCGCTGTCGCCAGCATACGCGTCCTCATCATCTAGGCTTCTTGGCGTGCAGTGATGAGTCTTCCAGCATTGGGGAATTTTAGGCTCGCGATTGTACAGAGGCAAACTTTATTCGGGCGAAAGGCGATGTTCCCGTCGTTGCTTCTCTGGGGGAAAGAATGAAGAGGGGAAATCTATCCGGGTTAGGGTTAATCACCGAACCTCCCCTCACCACCAATTCGACATGGCCAAGTTCCTAGCCGTGCTAGCTTCTGACACCGTCTCCCCTTGGCATCAACCAACCTTTTCTATTTTAAGATTTCTCTTCGGGAGCTAAACTGAAGCATCGGACGAAATGCTCCAGAGAGGAAGGTACTTCTGTCAATCATCAGGTTCCATGTCGGCCGGTCTGGAAGAAAGAATAAAAATGCATCCAAATCTTGAGGAGGTTGGAGATCCTGTTTCTTGAGACTTCCTGTGCGCTTTTCCGTGGAGTATCAGAGTCGAAATTCGAACCAATATCAAACTGAAATTCTCTGGGATCCTGAATCCGAATTCGAAATCTGCGAGCAAACATTCATGTCACTCAAAAGTCCAGACAGGTATGTACGTACAAGTCACAACAGGCTCATCCCCGTACGTAACCCTATTTCCACCTCACCTCATTCGTCCCCTCCACAATCCACATCCCATCAACAACGGGGCGACTGAACGGGGCGGACCGGGACACTGTATGGGGCCGCGAGCAAGTTTTCTTATCCCAAATTGTTTACCCAATTCTCGGTGCTTTTTCCGAGTCCATGGAATCGGGAAACTCTTGCGATTTCGAAGTTCGACACAGAAGAGATCGAACCACGTCACCCACGCCACCACCGCATGTCCGCCTGTTCGTCTTTGCCTCATGCTCGGAGATATCGGAATGTCCTCTCCATGATCCATACTATGGAGACAAGCACGCACGAAAATCGCGCGACCTCGCACGGCTTGTTGAGGAGCCAGACTGGATCCGGCACATTACTAAGCGGTTCGTGAAGAACTGCCGATGTTCTGGAAGTTCTTCTTCCATCGACGATCACACTTGACGTCCGACGATGGCAACTGGCTTTGGGTCTTGGTCTTCATCGCCATCGGTGTGTGTCTCTGGGGGGCATATAAGCTTCTCACAACTGATAACAACTCGGCATGATGACCATGCTTTGTGGAAGAGTACATATCGGTCGCCCCGTCTCACTACCAAAACCGACCATGTCGACGTTCACATGTGATCTGGCTGATCTGGCCAGAGAGTTGACTTCATTATCTCTCTCTTTCTCTGGAAGAAGTCTACCTAGAGGTAGGTAGTAGGTAAAATGGTAAACAACTCGACAAAAGCATAGGTAAGAACATATGCTATTGCAGTACTGCTCCCCCGAATACATCACCCGATACCACCGGGTACTCCTACCGATGATATCGCTGATGGATATGCAATATCATATCATATCATATCACTGTAGCATGTACTTCACGTACATCATACAGACACACATTGAATGGAAGGGGTTTACTTCATACCTAGATCGTTCTTTCTTCAATAACCTCGGGATATTAAGAGAAGTATACAACACAACAACGCCTTTGAATTGTTTCCAACTCCGAGATTTGAACCCACTTGGAGTTAAGGGAGGTAGGAAGGCAGACATTGACTCTTGGACTGGAGTTTACCACGCACGCTCTTTGTTACTCGGATGTTTTTGATGGTGACGGTTTTGATCACGTTTGCTTTGTCGTCGTCACCTTTCTTTTGACAAGAATAAGCTTCAGAGTTGAATGTTCCCTTCAATCAAAAGCGTAGCTTGCAGAGTAACAAACCTTGAAAGGCACTCGAGGAACGTCGTGGCGGACCAAACCAACAAAGATGGAGAGAAGAAAAAAATTGAACGATGCATTAAGCCATAATAATAAGTTGTAGGATACCTCCATCCATGCCTGCCTGCCTCCCTCATGATACGGAAAAAGAAGGCTTTCTTTTCTCCATTTTTGTCTTTCCATCAATCACCATCAGTCAGTCAGTTCACCAAATCATCACATCTCCGTCCATCCACAATTCACTATGATTCATATCCCTCCCATCACACACATACACCTCAAAAACAGAACACTCGACACTGCTGTTTCTTTTCTTCCTCCTCTTCTGGTTTTTCTTTCTTTTTTTTACTGATTCGGTCTTGAACTGGCCATCTCGCCGTACCGACCACGATGTTGTGTCGTGTCGTAAGCCTGGAGCACGCGGGTCTGCGACTCGTCGGCCTGCGAGAAGGCGTAACCGCGTTGCTTGCGCATGCGCTGGACCTGGCGGACTTTGCGGATGGCTTTTTGGAATTGTTCCATGCTGTGATTCGGCATGTTAGTAATTGGAAAAAGACAAACCAAGGGGTGAGAAGGACTCAAAAAGACATACCGAGGTCTATAATCCTGAATATTATACTTCTGAATCTCCTGCACGTGGTGATATGCCTCCGGCCTCCACAGCCGCTTGCTAAACTTCCACGCAAAGTCTCTCAGCAGACAGAGGATCGCCAGCGTGGGCATCTCGATCCAGAAGCTCGGGCTGGTGAACAGCCTGGGGATGACGCCAAAGTACTCGACACTGATGTTCAGCTTGGGCGCCACCTCGCCGTAGACTGCCACAAACACGATCCAGACAGCCATGGAACCGGGGATGGCGATGACGTGGTACTTGGTCCAGTTGTTGGTCACCATCGCGGCTTTGCCGAGGACGGTAAGCAGGACGGCGCCGTACATGGCTGTACCCCAGACCCACTTGCCGCCGGGGAAACCGTCGCCTTGAGGCCCGTCGTTGATCCAGAAGAGGGAGCCGCCTACATAGAGAATGATGGAGTGGTATACGGCGTTGATGATCCATTCGCCGAAGACACGGATCTTGAAGAAGGTGTTGCGCTGTCCGAGGTTGTAGAGCTGCGGGTAGCGGTCGAGCAGGCGGGCAGAGACGAACTGATCGAGGATACCGAGGGCGAGGGGCGGAAGGACCGTAAAGAAGACGTTGTAGAAGGAGAGAGTCCAGGATTCGTAGATGACTTCACCGGAGAAGACGTTTTGGAAGGTGTACTGTTTCAGGTTAGTGTTTAAATCAGAGATGGTTACCTGCATGGAACACTTACCCAGAACTGTGTCAGATAAAGAGTAATGTTCTTGTAGAAAGAGAACAAAATGGTCTTGGACACACGATGGTAGCTCCATGCGCCATGGACGAGAAGCAACTTGCGGAGATAACGGAACTGGGCAATAGACACATCGGCACTGCGCGCAGCTTGGAGACCTTCCATACCGCTGATACCGACACCAATATGGGCAGCTTGGATCATAGAGACATCGTTGGCTCCGTCGCCAATAGCGAGGAGAATCGACTCCTTTTGATACTTCTTGACCAACTTGACAACCAAGGCCTTTTGCAGAGGGGATACACGGCAGCAGATAACGGCCTTGCACATGATGGCAAGATCGAGGAAGAGCTTCTCCATGTCCTTCTCCAGAGCGTACGTTAACGATTTGCCGTCAATAACGAGAGCCAGGGTCTCCATCTCAATGGTAGCGTCGCCCTGGTTGCGGATGGCATCGAGCTTCTTCTGAAGATTATCCCGCGTAGCTTCCGCATTCTCTTCGTTGACAATGAGCAGCATCATGTCCTCACTAAGCAACTTGCAACTCATGCCAATGTTGATGGCGGTCTCCTGTCTGTCACCGGTCAAGACCCAAACCTTGATGCCAGCCTCCTGGAGGGTGTGAATCGTCTCGGGCACACCATCCTGCAAGCGATCCTCGATAGCGGTGGCACCAAGAAGGTAGAAGTCGTGCTCGATAATTTCGGCAGCCTTATCCAGCTCATCTGCACGATTACCACCGATAGTCGTCTGCGCTTTCTCGTAGACCTTCATCCACTCCTGGAATTCGTGCTCCGGAATTTCCCTCATGGCCAAGCAGAGCGTGCGTAGTCCCTCAGAAGCATATTCCTCGAGATGTCGCAGGGTGGCGTCGATGTGGGGGTTCTGGTCATTGAGCCTTTCCAGGATGACGGTGTCTGCGCCCTTGCAGTAGCAACGAACCTTGCCGTCAGGGCAACGATAAATCGTGGACATTCTTTTTCTGGTTGAGTTGAATTCGCAGACCGCCAAGAGCTCGTACTCGAGCTGCTGGCCGTTGGCTTCGATGATAACAGCACGCGGCTTGCGAGCGACGAACCTGTAGCCCAACTGTACCGCACCATCGACAAGCGCTCCCTCATCTGGTGACGCGGCTTGGTACTTGATGCTTCCGTCCTCAGCCTGTTCTGGAATAACAGTATGGCAGATGGCGAGGAGGGTAAGAAATTGGTCAATGGCCTGCGCAGATTGGTGGCTCTCGAGGTTCTTCTGCAGTTGCTTGAAGTCGTGGATTCCATTCTCAATTCCGTCCTCAATACTCGGGATTCTATCCTCGGGTACCTTGTCGGCGTACATGATTCCAGCGATCGAGCATTGCCTGTATTCCATCATGTTGCAAGTCAAGGTACCAGTCTTGTCTGAGAAGACGAACTCAACCATGCCCAATTCCTCAACCAAACTGGACGTTCGGCAGTTGGCGGGTGTGTCATTAACGTCATAGTACATATCAAGGTCGTCGTTGATGAGAATGCCGTGCCAATACTTGACCATTTCAATGGTGACGAAGAGCGAAATGGGAACGAGAGCGGAAAACAAAACCCAGTATGTGACCATGTCCTTGATGAAGATGCGAGCAATAGCCGAGGCACCGTTCATGGGATCCAAGTAGAGATAAGCGAGACCTGCCTCGCCCTCCACCTTTCGCTGGATGAGATCACCGACAGTAGAGACCACACTGAAGACCAAAAGGATACCGACGAGGAAGAGTACAAGCGTGTTCAGCTGCCTCTCGACCTTGGTGCGCTTAATCGGCGCGGCCGTGGCGTTGCGCATCAGCTTGGTCTCGTGGCCAGTGAAGACAACGACACCGTGAACCCAGGGGGTGTTGCGCAGAGTAGCACCACGGAGAAGCAACTGTTCGGGGTTGAGGGGAAGCTCCTTCTCCCCACCTCCAGCCTGCATGGTCAAGGTAGCTTCGTAGGTGTAAAGACTGCTGTTGGGCTGCTCGGAGCGAATCCTGCCTCCCAGACGGCTCAACTCGCTAGAGCTGACCATAGATGACGTTTCTGGCAGAGCTTGCTTGATCTTGAGGTTGGTCTCTCCATCGAGATTGGCGGTTTCGATATAGCAAAGACCCTCGGGTTCGGAACTCGCCAAGAGAACAAGATCGGCGGGGAAAGATTCCTCAGATTCGACTCGAATGATGTCTCCAACCTGGACGTTGATCCATTTCGTTTCCTCGAATGTCGAGCCCCTCAGGATTCGGGCCTTGGACATATTGAGCGCCTTATCTGCCTGTTTTCTCCGATAGTCTTCCACCAACTCTTTACCCGCCGAAACCAAAAGCACGACGGCCAGAGGACCAATTGTAGTATATCTGTTTGTGGGAGACAGGCCGGGAATCTGCTGCAGACCGGCGGTAAACAAGAAGAAGATGTTTGCGAACTTGGAGAACTGCTCGAAGAGGAATTTGGGCAAGAAAGTGGCCACATTGTACTTGGCTGTCGAGACGTGGTTGTCGGCATACTTGTTCAGGCTGTTGGCTGGAGGATTGTTGAGATGGATGATACGGGGGCCAAGGGTTGCTGGATCCGGCTTTCCACCTCCAAACCCAAACTTGAAATCGAATTTCTTGGTCGGCTTCTGGGGAGGAGGCTCGTGAGAGTGGTCTACCGGTGCGGTCGATCGCGGATCCGTCAAGGGAAGGTCCATCTCCGAGTATCCCTCAGAGCCCATTCCAAGCATGCTCTTGGCACGACCGATCAAACCGCCGCCCATGCTCAGGACACTATTCCGTTGGCGCGCGCTGTCGCGGGCGGCCGCCGAGTCCGGAGGGATAGATCCGCCATGTTGGTAGTAGGACGTGGTGCTCTCATCGGGGTAGTCGTCAAAGTCCTCAGCATAGCGTTGGTAGTTTCCGAGATCCGACGTCTGGCTGAAGTGCCGGTCCAGCGACCTGCTATCGGGGTATGGGCTTGTTGGGCCTCCGCCTGTTGTCGCGCCCGGCGCGGGCTGTATAGGTCTTGTAGCTGTTTGTTGTGTTGTTTGCCCGGAGCCGATAAAATCATCGTAGGATACGGACGGGCGAGGTTGCGCGGCGCCTTGTGCATCATCGCTGTGTAGTCGCAAGAGATCGTCGTCGTTTAGGGTCGACCTTTGTCCCCCGCTATAGTATGGTTGTTCGTTGCCGAAGTCGAGCAGCAGATCGTCGTGTTGAGCGCTCGACGGGGCCCCAGGAGGGGGGCGGCCAGCCGCCATGCCGGAGACCGGGAGCCGGAGGATGGACGCTGTCGGTCAGATAGTCCGTCAGACCTGAGATGGTGGTGTCGCGGAGACGAGCGAGGGATCCGAAGAGAAAGGCGGGGAGTCGTGCCTATAGCGGGAATAGGAGCATCGGAGGACTGAATGTGGACGAGGGGAAGGGATCCGGATAGGGCGGGCACTTGTTGATTTCGAGTCGGAGTAGGTATCGGTCGAGCGCTGGGTAGCGTATGTGTCGATGTTGACCGCAGCGTGGAACTTGGGGAAGCTGAACTGGAGGGTTGGGAATACGGAGGGATAGTGGATGTGGGTGTGACACTAAGTGCAGTAGGTGCCGCCGTGTCAAGATGCAGCACAGCCTCCTTTCACTGTTCAGCGCAGGATTCGTGTGTGGAATTAACGAATTGGTGCCCCCCAGTACAAGACCAGTACAAGATACCAAATAACGGTTCCCGGTACGCGCCAATACGGTTTGCCAATGAGATGAAGGCACCCCCTGATATGCAGAAAGAGTCCGAGGATCGGCTGCTACGGGCAGTCTCTGTGACCACAGAAAAAGGATTGTTTGATGTTTGAAGAGCAGACTCTGTTTCTTTTTGACGAATCGATCTGGGATTCAGGGGATGTCTAGGGATGGAGGGATTGCCTGGTGGGCTTGAAAAGCTGCACGTAATGTACCAGTACACCACAATCGCAATCCCAGGGGACCAAGCAGCTAAGGCACGTCACAGCGCTGTTAGCGGGTCACCGTTGTTAGGCCTTTGTGGCATGCCAGTTGCCAGGGCAAGTATGAATAAAGACGTTTCGGATGCATTTCATCCAATCATGATGCTCGGAGGTTGGCTTTGAGGCTGGGAATGAGGACGCTAAGATCATGACTAAGCGATAGTGGCTGATAGTAGGGGCCCTTTTACCCCACATCTCGGGGTCTTCTTCCTTCTCTGCGTTCTTCTCTGTGATGCGCCATGGGCTTGGCGGTCAGTAAATGCTCCAGCGGACATCATCTCAACTTGCCGCCGCTGTTATCTGTCCGACCTCATTCATCACGAATCACATATCTCATCATTCGTCAACAAAGGCTTGCTCACCACCTCAATCAAAGAATATAGGAAAGAAACTTGAAAAGAAATATATCCAAGATGGTTTGCGCAAAGTGCCAAAAGAAGGAAAAGACGACCCTCATCACGCCAGGGGTCAAGAAGAAGAGTGAGATGTACTATGGCTCCCCAGCAGCAGCATCGTCATCATCAAGCTCTGCCTCGGGGCCCAAGAAGTCGGCAACTCTAGGCAACACAGGAGTGGTAAAAGTGAGTTTTCATCATCATCAGCAGAACATGAAATCGTTCGCCTGTGCTAACTAATATTTACAGAGCAAACTGCTGTCCAAGGCGGCACAGAATCCCTATGCTCAATACTCCAGCACTTGTACGCGCTGCAAGGCGAAAGTATCACAAGGCCACAGCTTTTGCAACAAATGCGCGTACCGCGCCAATTGTGCGTCTTCACATCATTACATGTCCTCTACATATCTTTCAAGATGCATGACGACTAACTTCTTCCATAGCCTGCGCAATCTGTGGCAAGCCCAACAAAAATACTACTGCCGGAGCGCCCCTCGTGAACGGCCAGAAGTTTACCTTGAAGTGAGCATGTCACAGACCAATCGTTGCCGTACAGGCAAGAAAGATACGAAAATTACGATGCGATACGATGACTACGAGTACAACGACATGAACGACATGCCCAACGTTACAGTTATCCTTATCCTCAGTTTCCAGGTTTCGCCTATACTGCTAACTTTATGTTGAGAGACTCTACACACAGTTGCACCGTCAAGAGCTACAGTCCCCGGATCACCGAAACCTTCTTCAGTTTAATTCGACCGGGGAACGAAGTGTATCCTCCCGCCTAGAGTGTTATACAATCGTTGAGGCTGAGCAGAGGCTCAGGGGATTCAAGGGGTTGCAGCGCATTCGATGGCACGTGAGATCGTGTACCTTTTGTGCTGGATGGAAACGGCATGATATGTTGGACGGATGCGAGTTTACAGATGGTGCCTTCAGTAAGGCACAGCCCCGGCCTCAAATCACTACTTGAAGGGGCGAAAGAGATGGATATGTAGACGGATGTTGGTGCCATGCAGGCAAAGGTACTTCCTAATTATCCCACGATGGTAAAACGTGCTGGAGTGTAAAAGGTGGTTCAAGGACAGAAGCTCTGAGCCCTACAAATATATACCTTAGCTAAGATGATACATAAAGGTCCAGTTTTGAAGGGTTTCTGTCTTCCAGAACCGATCTGTTTTCCAATTCCCCCACTTGCTTTTGCATTGCCAGTCGGAAACTATTTCAAACCCACCAGGTTGCTAACTTACACGTATAAAATCCACCATCTTACCGATCCCATGTTTACTCATCAGCCGAACAGCCACTAACTCTTTCCTTATCCACACAAAAGTAGCCTTCGCTTAATTATGCCTCGGCCAAATCGACGAGCCAGGTACGAAGCGGAGAGGCAAGGACCTTCGTGTTTCAATGATCACCTCTTGCCGAATATCCTTGGTGGTCTTGGCGGGTAGCATGACGCCACTTGAGGTGTTGTTGCTACCCCCCTTTTCCCCACTCGCGATGTACACGTCTGAATGGTAAATGTATAAAAAGGAAGACAACAGAACCCTCTCTGGTTGTTTGTTTATGATTCGAGAACTCTCCGAAAAGGTTCGACAACTCATACGTGGCACATCGTCCTAAAGGTCCGTTCACAGCCAGCTTTCATTTCGTGCTGCCGTTAAACAGAACGGAACACATGTGTCCATCGTAATATCATCCTTTGATATCAGCAACGTATCTAGCTAACTCCCACTCACTCACAGAACTTAAACTGGAACTCAGTTCTCACCAACAATCTCATCACCAAACTCATCACCACCCAGTTCATCATCCCGTTCACTCAAAATGTCGTCCACACCAGACTTCCCCCCCAAACTCACCCCCCACGACCCGCGCGTCCTCTCCAAAACCGCCACCATCAACGGCAAGAAATACCACTACCTAATCTCCGCCCCTCCCCCTCCCACCGGCGGCGGCGACGCCGCCTCCCAACCTCGCGGAACCGTCCTCCTCATCCACGGCTGGCCCGACCTCTCCTTCGCCTGGCGCTACCAAGTCCCCTTCCTCGTATCACTCGGCCTGCGCGTCATCGTCCCCGACCTTCCCGGCTTCGGCCGGTCCGACTCGCCGCAGGAACTGACCGCCTACTCGTACAAGTCCGTCACGCGCGACCTGCTCGAGCTGGTGGAGAGCGAAGTCCCCGGCGGGCGGCAGCAGATCGAGAAGGAAGGCGGGATCATTGTAGGCGGACACGACTGGGGCGGCGCCGTGGCCTGGCGGTTTGCGCTCTGGTTTCCCGACCTGACACGGGCCGTGTTCTCGGTCTGCACGCCCTTCTGGGCGCCGAGGGCGGGCGAGTTCGTCCCGCTGAAGCAGATGGTCGAGAAGGTGCTGCCGAATTTCCGCTATCAGCTGCAGCTTTCGGGCCCGGAGTTTGAGGCCCAGGTAAAGGGGGAGGAGAAGATTAGGCAGTTTTTGAGCGGCGTGTATGGGGCCAAGGGACCGAATGGGGAGCCGGTTTTTACGACGGAGAAGGGCTGTCTGTTTGAGAACTTGCCCAAGATGGGCAAGAGCCCGTTGTTGGATGAGAAGGAGATGGATTACTATGTGAAGGAGGTGGCGGGTAATGATGGGGGAAGCATGAGGGGAGGTGTGAACTGGTATAGGACCAGCCAGGTGAACTTTGAGGAGGAGAGAGAGTTGTTGAAGCAGTTGGAGAAGAGGGGGAAGGGGGAGAAGATCGTGGAGCCGCCGGCGCTGTTTGTTCAGGCCACGAAGGATGCGGCGCTGCCGCCGGCGATGGCCGAAGGCATGGAGAGATTCTTTGAGAAGAAGTTGATGAGGAGAGAGGTGGAGGCTAGCCATTGGGCGTTGTGGGAGCAGCCGGTCAAGGTGAACCAGGCTATTGCGGAGTTTTTGGGTGGTGTGTTGGCGGAGGGGGATGCGAAGCTTTAGTGAGCGGAGATGTCTTGGTGATCTCACGTTGGGTAACTAGGCTGCTGGATGGAGAAGGGCTCTAGAGTACGCTATCAAAGGAAGTATTCTGCTTAGTAGAGCATCTAACAAAACCGCGGCTGCAAGTATATCACAATAAATGCGTACTTTTTTTCTCATAAACCTTCCTTCCTACCGCCCTCCTTGGCTCAGGGATGCTCCTTTACTTTCACATATACGGCCCCAAAGTTAGATGATGATATGACATCGGCCAGCCAGCTGGCTTTCGAAACTCAAACCGTTGCTTTGGAACCACAACCCAAGACAAAACTGACAGGTTGGACCCAGACCGGGATATTTTGCAATAGTGGGAATAGGTAAAGTTACCTCTAGTATATGACCATATCCTCCCCGTCTTGTATCATCTCGTCTCCATCATGGTCCTGGTCATGAGTGGTAGTATCAATGCTAGCGGCAGTAACGCCCTTGTCATCGCCCGTGCTTGTGCTCAAGGGTACTGCTGCTGCTGCTGCTGGCGGCGGCATACCGTCCGATGGCAATGACGGAACAGCACCATGGTTAGCATCTTCTGAAGACTTGTTAGGCTGCTCACCAACTGTATCTTGTTCTTTCCGGACGTCCTCATCATCACCGGTTGATGGCGGTGGTTGGATCTCGGACTTTGACTGGACCTTGGTCTCAGTCTTTGGCGGCCTTCCATGTTTAAGTTCGAACTGGCGCACCTCCTTGGCGATGGTCTCCTCGGCTTCGCGGATTTGTTCATCGATGATGCCCTCTTGTTCTTTGGTAAGCTCCCATGGTTTGTAGTACTAGTAGGATCGTTAGCTTTTGAATCAACTCGTCTTCTCTGTCAGGGGCTTAGCTCTTACCACTACAGGCTCGCTGACGGTCCGTAAGCTGTGAGCCAAAATAAGCATCTTTTCATGCCGCCGGTGCATCTATAACAATTGTCCGTTAGCAAGCATGTCAACCACTTCTTTTTTCAAGGGGAAACAACCCACCATTCGCTCTTCGAAGTCCACCTGCTTGGCATCCCGGAAGCGTCTGCGCTCAGCAAGCAGGTCGGTTCTGCGCCTATCGTCCTCGACTCTCTGCTGCTGCACTCGTTCCTGCTGGCGGCGTTCGATCTCCTTTCTCCTCTTTTGCTGCGAGTTGTTGGGCGTAGTCTGACTTAGCGTGTTGAGGAGACCACCAAATAAGCGCCTACCCCGTTTCTTCTCCTCCAGGCTAACATTCTTCCGCGTTTGTTCGGGGCTAAGTGGTGCCTTTCGAGACGGCGGTGCGGCCTGCTCCTTTTGCGCGTCGGACTCTCTCCTAGTAGTGGCTGGGCTTTGAACTGTGGTCTCGTCGGCGCGTGCCACAGCCTCGTTCTCCATTGCATGATCATCGTCCTTGGTATGCAACGAGGCGTGATCCTCCCTCGTTGTGCCGGCCGGCTCCCCCGTCGAATCGTTCACAGGTTCCTCTGTCTTTCCGGTTTCTGGCTTCGCTTCCCCTTCGACAGTCTCACTGATCTTGTCCTGGCCATTCTCGTCCTCCAGTTTGGTGCGCTTAGCAGCCACGCCATCCTCTGGAGATGGCGAGGCGGAGGCCTTTCTTTTCTGGGAAGCCAAGTCCTCTGTTTCCATCATCTGCTCCGAAGACATGAGAGGTGCCGAGTTGGAAGGTCCAGTCGCGTTGTGTGAAGCAAGGATCGACAGCAGCTTGGCGTCGAAGCTGAAGCAATTGTGTTGTTGTAGGATGGAGAAAGTACGCGGAGCAAGCCTAGGTATAGCTCGGAAGTGACTGGCAAAAACGTGATCGACGTGACAAAAAGCCTTTGTTGTTCGTTGCAGCTAAAGGTCGAAGATATGTATCGGTTGGCCGGTCCCTGTTTGATTTCCAACACGGTTCGTTGTTGGAAACTGTTGGTGTATTGAAGGAAGTCAAATTGTTAGTGACCTGTGTCCAGAACTTCTTTCAATGAGAATCGCAGTGAGCAGCTTCCCCGAAAGTGGATTGTCCAACCCGCTGTTCGAGGCCGCTCGAATCCACTGTTCGGGGAAGCAGCTGGGGAAGCAAACCCCACTTTCCTGCACAGGTCGCATGTCTTGGCATTCGAGATCCCGCTCTTCCACGAGGCTGACAAACGAAAACGCGGAAAACGCTAGAAGAGACGCCACATCGCGACCCACTTACTGCCGAGGCTGACGAAATCCAATTCCACACGATACAACTTATCATTATCGCCAGTGTCGCAACTTTCGCCTTACATCACCGTCCATACCGACCTCGACTTACAACCACGAGCGCCATTCGAGACCGTCTTCACCGTGTAGCGCATCTTCCGAGTGACCACTTGATCCCACGCGACAGCACCACGCGTGCCTACCTCCCCGATATTCAATCCTTCTCAACCGCCGTCGCGAAAACACCAAACCCTCTAGCCCACCATGTCTCGCCATCATCCGTACGTCTTTCCATCCTCTCTTCCCTCCTTACCCAGCCCTACCTACGCCTTCATGACATCCTCTCTTACCGCCACAAACCCCCCTCTCCCCTCAATATGCCCCTACTAACTCTTCTTCTTCTTCTTTTAAAAGCGATCTAGTAATGTGCCGCAAACAATCCGGCATCGCCATCGGCCGTCTTTGCGACAAGTGCGACGGCAAGTGCCCCGTGTGCGACTCGTACGTGCGGCCGACGACGCTGGTGCGCATCTGCGACGAGTGCTCGTTCGGCAACTACCAGAACAAGTGCGTGGTGTGCGGCGGCGAGGGCATCTCGGACGCGTTCTACTGCTTCGAGTGCACCAGACTCGAAAAGGATAGGGATGGGTGTCCCAAGATTATAAATCTGGGTAGTTCCAGGACGGATGTAAGTTTCCCTCTTCTCTTTACCCTTCCTTTCCACCCTACCCCCTCGGCTTGCCGTGGGATAAGTGGTGGATGGGATTGGCGTGTGCTGGTGTGCTGTGCTGGTAGAAATCGAGATCAAAGGCTAACAGAGTACTTTTTTCGCACAACAGCTATTTTACCAAAAGAAAACAAATCGAACATTTTAACAATAGAGATGCCCGGGTCCGGGCTCGTGTGGGAAGGTTGTTCGGATTGCTTAATTTTCTGATACAAAGGATGCTCTGAGGAGAGGAAACAAGAATATTGGAAGGAACACAATGTTGAGAAAGGGATTTGTCACAAGCTCAAGCAGCATTTGATTCGGCATCATGGGCGTTAAGGAGTTTTGTTTACATACACAACATAAGAGGGCAAGCTTACAATGGAGAAAGACGAAGTTGAGAAGCAAGCACGTACCATCGATCAGGCGTCGACTAACAGGACCTTGGTCATTTCTTCAAAGATATTGGTATCACATACCAGGTTACAATGTTTGTGTCATCTCTCTTGATTATAAACAGAAAACGAAATAAGCTATTTTCCGTGATGCATTACCCATTAACGATAGACTTGAAACCAATACTCTCGCATGCCAAAAACCGCTGCCCCAACAGCCGCAATGCTAATTATCATCAGAGCAGGAATATTCCACCCCTTCTAACACCCAAACAATACTGATATCCAAACAGCAAAAAGGCTTGGATCAGATGTAACTAACCTTCATCCCCATTCCAGCCGTAGCCCTCACTTTCCCCCACCCCTGCTGCACCACCCTCGTGATCCTCTCCCTCACCCTCTTGTTGCTGAACATTAGCAAGAACCCAATGATAAACGCCAACGTCCGGTACAGCAGGAACGGGTTCCCATGGAATGCTGTCATAACCTGATCCAGCACCGACCGGATATTGTTCAATATCAAAGTCGCCCTCGTCCCCATCCCAGGACTGGCCACCACACTCGAAGAAGAGCCCGTCGTCTTGGTCGCAGTCGGTGACGACGCTCCCTTCCTCGACGGCCTGCCCGGTTTCGCAGACGCCGACGACGACGAAGCCCCCCCATTCTTCAACGAAGAAGCCTTCTTCTTCAAACTCGGTTTCTTCGTCGTCCCCGTTCCCGTCCCCTTAGCCGCGGAACCACCATCAACACCAAAATCCCCTTCCGTCGTCGGTCCGCTCCCCACACTAACAGCCGTACTTGCCGCCGCCGCCTCTCTCTTCTGCCTTTCCTCCTCCAACCTTTTCTTTTCTTTCTCCTCGTTCTCCGCCCTCAGCTTGCGCGCGTTCTCGATATCCTTGCGAATCGCATCCTCTTTTTCGCGCGCCTTACGCTCCGCTTCCACCTGTTCTTCCTTCAGCGAGTCCAGCGCCTGGATGAAGGCTTCTTTCCGCTCGTCGTCCAGGACCGAGCTCATGTTGATGAACTCGCGCGCGCACGCCCACTCGTCATTGCGCGGGAGTACGTGCAAAGTGTACAGCTCGAGGATCTTGACGCGCGCGTTGAGGTCGCGCGGGGTGTCGGCGCCGTGTCCGGCCGCTCCAGATTTGGAGGATGGACGGGCCAGAGAGGCGGAGGAAGCGCTGCCGGCGGGACCTCCTCCGAGACGGTCGGTCAGATCGAGGTTGGGGGTGCGGGCGGCGGCTAGGTAGTTTTCTAGACGCTTTTGGTTGAGGGTTTGGGTTTTGGCGTGGCCGAGGAGGAGGGTGGCTCTGTGGAAATGGGGGTGTTAGTACCTTGTTGGCTGGTGATCATGGTGTTGTGTTGCCGGCCGACTTACAGGTTGATAACCACATCCGCATCCACGTCTCCCTCCGACCCATGGTATCCATTGCGCACGACTTCCTCCCAAACCTCGCCCTCGCGCACCTTGTGGCAGAGAGCCCTCCACTCTTGCGTGCCGAAGGCGTCCTTGCCTTCGTCCGAGTTCAACTCCAGAATCGCATTGAGGATGGTCAGGTACAGACTCCACACCTTTATCCTGGTGGATCGCGACGCCTTGGCGACAGGTGCCGGGTCGAATGCAGCGGCGCCGGAAGCAACATCGCCGGGAGTGGCGGATTCGGAGGGAGACGGTGTGATTAGAGGTAGAACGGTCGACAGGGCTTCGGGTAGTCGACGGGTGAGGAATAGTGTTGAGGCCTGTCTGTAGGCCTTGGAGATGTTGGACGAGGACGAATGGCGCGCCGAGGAGACGGACGACGAGAGCGATGAGAGCGAGGACGACATGATTCCGGATCCGTTCATGCTCGGACTGAGATATGACGATGTATCGAGATTGGAAGCCATCGTGATTGATTTGTTGGAGTACAGTAGTCTTCCACTTCCTCAGCCCCTAGTTGTTGATGGGTGTGAATTATTGCAATTGCGCGATAGACAGGGCAGTGGAAAAACCGGGGGGAGGACGCCCTGGAGAGGGGGTTGGAGCGAACTGGGATCGATTGGGATTGGCGGTGGCTAGCGGTGGCAGGTCAACTCGGATGTTTTCTCTCTTGGCCTGAATAGGAATCTGGTGCGCCCCCGTCTGTCACGCGAAGAGAGCTGAAAACGAAGAGGGAGATGCGTGAACCCGTTCGCTAATGGTGGAAAGGATGTCAGAGACAATCAAATGCGCAATCCAATGCGATCAAGCAGTATTGGAAATGCTGAGTTGAGATCGCGGAAGCAGGTGAGCATGCAAGTGTCATTTGATGTCAATTCCAGACAAAGGATCATTCATGAATGACAACAGAACGCAACAGCGCTTGCCTTCAGTTGGCTTTTTGCAGTGGGTCTTGTCAGCTGTGAGCCTCGGCACAATCCGGGGTTGGCCTGGCAGACGGCAAGGGAGCAACAAGGATGGCATCTGTAATGGGTATGGGGAAGGTGTCATTAGAGAGGGACATCCAATTAGAGGGATAAGAACATGTGAACAAAAGTACCTGTCTAACTCGATCGCACCCTCCAAGTCGACTGCACGTGAGCCATCGTGAATTAATCTAATTAAGGTTTAAGGGTTGACACGTACGTGCCATCGAGGACGATCATGAATGGCTTCACTTTTGCATCATGGAGGATCAATGATGCGGAGGATTGAAACCGTTGGTTGTGAACAGTTCGCAAACTCCTCTCTGTGATGAACATGCCGAGGCACTTGGTCACTGTAGGTCGCCAGACAGAATGCAGCTCATAATGTCTATCCAACAGACCATAAGTATGTACTCATCCGAAGTAAAAACACCAAGACGCCGATCCAACCCATCATTCATCAACCCGAGACCGAGAGCCACGAGAACTGCACATGTCCCAACGCCCGGTCCGATCCCGAGCGTGCGCCCGCATCACCGGACTGCAGAAGTGGATCCCACCACTCCGGGCTGCAATGCAAGAACCGGCCCATCCCGGCTCGTGCGTGTTCTGTCATCCCATCTCTGTAAACAAGCCTCACACCTTGATGGCCAACACCGCAACACTATTCCATAAGATCATATCCATCTTTACTCCCTCCGACCCGTCTTCTTCTTCCTCAACTGTTCCCTCGCATCCGCCCTGCTCTCCTCCCAGATCTCATATCTGCTCTCCGCAATGCTCTCCGGCCTGCCCTCATCTCTGAGGTAGGCCGCCTGCTCGCGCTCGACGCGATCCCTCCTTTCTTTGCCTCCATCTCTGCTATCCCTGCTGGGTTCGCGCTTGCTTTCCCTGTCGGCCTTTCTGCTGCTGCTGCTCTTGCTTTCACTGCTGCCATCAAAGGACCTGATGCTTTCTGCCTTGCCGCTGTAGATGCTGCTGCTACCGGAGGCGGATGAATCGCCGCCCTTCATGCTCTTGACTTTGTTGAGGACCGAGAGGCCTTGGCTGATGGTTTTGCTGCTTTGGAAGAGGAGGACTGGGGATTTGTTAGTTTTGTCGGAAAAAAAATCATCGGGGATAGGAGAAGGGAAGGGGGACGTACTAGCAGGGACAATAACCCAAGGCGCGTTCATGCCGGCATAGTAAACCCAGTAATACAGCGTCTCCGGTCTGCTGTACGAGATGCCGCGGAACTTCTCCTGGAAGAAGCAAGTCCCAAAGTAGAGGGCGACGCCGTAGAGGTGGCCGACGCTGACGATGGTCTGGGTGATGTGGCGGAGGCTGGTGTTGCCCTTGATGATGGCAAAAGCGGCCAGGAAGGAGAGAGGGCCCCAGGTGAGAACAGTCAAGGCCTCGATGCAGAGCATGAACGGATCGGAGGTCATGTACCGCGAGTCGGATAGCGCGTACTCCTTCCACAGCTGGGCGAAGATGTCTTGCTTGCCGGCGAGGGTGGCGTGGTTGAGGACGTAATATCCTGAGGATGTCGTTAGTTAGGTAAATCGAAGAAATGACATTGCTGATACCCAAGCTTACCTTCAAAGAAACAATGCAAGAAACCACCTGTTCACATATATTCATTAGCAAATCTCATCTTGACTCATCAACTCCTCTGCCCACTTTGCACACCAATCCCTCCCGTCTGCTCTCAAACCTCAACATATCCATCATTCCCCGCCCCTCCCTTTCCTCACATACCCCCTTCATCAACTGCCCACTCCAAGAAGAAAATGCAACTCACATAACGTAAACCACGCCAACGCCCCCGCATCCTTCCACGTCAACCGCTTATTAACCTTCTTGCCCACAGCCACCACTCCCACCATCAAGAGCGTCACGGCTCCGCCAAATGCACCGAGCACCATGGGCAGCGTGAGCGTGTTGGGCGCATAGTTGGGGACGACCACCTCACGCGGGTAGTAAGGATGTTTGTGCCGGCGTGACGAGTTGGCGTCCCCGGAGGAGACGAGGAATTTTAGGAAGGAGGACATTGTTGCTTGCTCCCTTATGGCCGTATTTGAGTTGAAAAAGAGAGAAACAAAACGGGCTATCAACCGTGAAATGGATTTATATGATAATGGTGTGGTTTTGTTTTGTTTATGTGGAGATGTTGCTTCGTGTGAATTTGTGTAAGATGACTGGTGTTTTTGAAGCACAACTGCACAAGGGCCCCGTGGACCCTGAAGACTGCGCTCGAAAGTTGTTGAGACGAAAGTTCCACACCGCCCGCCTGGCTGGGTGTCCCGCACGCACAATCTCAATGGGATGGAAAGCTGAAACGGAATTTGATAGGACAAATTAACCAACGGCATGAACGGAAGCGTACTGCAGCCTGCAGGAGGATGCGCGTGGTTGGATGGGTTCTATCGGGAGGGGTAAGCCGAAGTAGCATGCTTAACCCTAACCCCTTACTTGCTCAAGATATTGGACTCGGTTGGGGGGCCGACGTCGGTTATCGTCACTTACCCTGCACTTTTCTTAAGTCAAGCTCGATCTTGATCACATCGCGATTCATCTTGTACAAACTCATTGGAATCATGTAGGCACATATCTACACTACCTGTATCATCATAGGGGTTCAGTCTCTCTTAAGCCACCACACCCGATACTCTGACAAACTCAAACCCAAACCCCTTCACAGCCCGTGGCGTACTCTTGACCCCCTTCACTCTCCCCCTCTCATACAACGCCAACCAAACAGCATCAGCATTGATCGTCTCCAACGCCTCCTTCAACTCCCTCCTCTCCGGCTCATGTAACACATCAACCACCACCTCCAGCATCTCATCGAACATTTCGTCATCCACCCTCACATACTTCAGAATGGCCGTAACCAACCCCAGCGCCGCGTCCCACAACTGATGAGCCTGCGAGAACCTGCCCAGTGCCCCACTGGTAGAGCTCGTTGTCGAAACCAACTGCTTCGAGCTCAGCTCTCCACCGTTGACATCACGAATAGGCAACACAATCTCCATGTCCTCGGCCTTCTTACCACCAGTGATGAACGCCCTTCCAGCTCCCGTCCCAGTCCTCCTCGGCATCTCCCCCCTCCCTTTGACAGCCTCCCTCTTAACCCCCCTCAACCACTTTGCCATCCCATCTCCCCACTCCTGCTTGAATCTACTAGCCATGAAATCGCCCGCGGCTTCACACATGCTTCCCAGTGCCTTGCATGCCGCAATCGCCACGAACGGTTCCGGGTCTTTGATCCGGGCTACCACGACCGGCCAGACCGTATGGACCAGCGGCAAGAAGGCGTTCTCGTCCGGCGCTAGGGCAGGGGAAACGGTCGCCACGAGGTCTAGCAGAGACTTCCGCAGGGTAGGCGTGGGAGAGGTGAGGTAGTGCTGCGAGAGGGTGAGGACGCGGGTGAGCAAGGCGTAGGTGGGCGTGTTGGAGGGTTGGTTCTTCTTTTCGTCGTCTTCGCGGGCGGCGAGGGCGGAGGAAGGGTCATCTGGTAGACCACCTTCCTTTTCGTCTTCGTCCGGGTCGGGGTTTTCCAATTGGTCGAGAAGCGACTTGGCTTGGGATGCTTCTTTGGTTTTATCCGGGCCCCAGGGTTTCTTGGGGTGCGGTTCGGACGGTTCGGCCTCTTCTTCTTCTCGGGCTCGCTTGGCTCGCTTGGCACGTTTGTTGAGGGTGTCGACGATGGTGTCGACGCCGAGTGGTTGTGGGCCTCGTTTGAGGTGGCTGACGGCTTGATGGTTGGATCCCTCGAGAAGCAGCATGTCCGATTTGACGCCTTGGGTGACTACCTCGGAGAGGACAGAGAACAGGCTCTCGACAAATACGGGGTAGCCGTGATAGTTGTCAAGGGCGGCGAAAATGGCGGCTACAACGTCGTCCAGGAAGGGAATCAACCTTGGCCCCGTTAGGCGTATCAACATCACCAATACCTTGGTGGAGGCTGGTGAGATGTCAAAGGTGTTGAGGCGGAGAGAGATAGAGTTGACCATGTAATCTGCGTTATCGACAACTAGCTCCGAGACGCTCTTGTATCCGCAAGAGGCCGCTATCACATTCAGTGTAGTGATGGCATGACTGCGCAGTTGGGGTGTGGACGACCCGAGGAATGTGGTGACAGGGTAGAGCACGTCGATCAGCTCCGGCCGGAAATCCTCCTTCATCCTGGATGCCGCAAAAGCAGTCACTTCGAGAGCAATCGCCTCGATACGCCAGTCGTTGTCTTGTGCGTCTGAATGGGAAGCCAAGATGGACGCAGAGAAATCGTAGAGCTCCTGGAACACCTGTTCTTGGTATTGGTTCTCATCGAGAGAAGACATGTCCAACAGGTCTTCCATATCCGATGTGCTGTTATACGTGGTCTTGAGAAGCTCAAAGGCGAGCCAGTATGAGGCGATTTGCTCGACGCCTTCGGAGTCTCGTAAATAACCTAGCATGGCAGCGGCTAGCTTTGTCTGCTGAGCTGGTGAGCCAATGTTGGCTATCAGCTTGGTGATTTCTGCTCTTGTCGACTTAATGCCCTCCGAGTCCAGCAAAACTGGAGGGTATGACTGAATGTCAGGTCGTGACACAGTAAGGTCAGTGGCTGTAGACAGAGTATTCTCATCAACATCTCCCACCACCTTCGAGGGCTTTGAGCTCTTGACCAGGGCAACTATGCTGTCCCGCAGGGAATCGCCTAACGAATCATTCAGTGTCGACGAGTCCATTCCCATGCCTGAAGCCATCCTGGAGCCTCTGAGGATATTTCTAACTGCAAGTTGCTTGATGCGCTCATCATTAGACTGAATCAACCTGGGGAGGCTAGTAACCCAGTTGTATAGCGTAGCCTGAATACAATCGCCCAACTCGGGGTGTATAGCCGCAAGATCCTGCAAGCTAGTCTCGAGCATTGACCGTTCGGTCTCTTCGTTCTCGACCATCATTGCGCTCTCTACTAGGATCGCCTGGCAGTTGGCTAGTGATAAGTGACATTCGTCCAACAAGCTGATACAGAACTTGCTGACAGCTGACTGGACGTCCTGAGCCTCATGAGTTCGTACTTTGAGCGCTGCGGCCAAGGCGATTTTGATCTGAGCTGTCGTAGCCCTGAGCCAAGCGGGTGTCAGTTCAGTTTGAGGCTTTTCCGTGCCACCGCTGGGCTGAGCGGTCTGTTTCGCTTTGTCTTCCGTTTCAATCTGCTTCAAGATTCCGCGAACCTTGATGTCACTCAGCACGTTCACAAGAACGATATTGAGGACCTGTAAGCATCGCACAAGAACCCTCCTCTGTGTCTTTTGTTGAAGCGGCGGTGCCAGGACTTTGGTGAGCGAGGACACCGTACCCGGAAGAAACCTGGCAAGGACATGCTGATTGCGTGTTGTAGTGTAAACAGCTTGCAAGCATTGCAGTGCTTCCAGCTGGACGGCAGGGGCAACACCATCGGTGATGCCATCCAGCATGACCGTAATAGCAGGACCCAATGCGGACACTGTCTCATTTTGCTCATCGGGTGCCTTACTTGCCAGTAAGTTGGAGGGCCCTATCGCGGTAATGAGAACCTCGAGAGCTTTGAATCCTTCCACGACGGTTTCCTCGGGCACATCACGCTTCTTGGCCTGCCCCGGACTACCGCCAATGGTGAAGGAGAAGAAGAAGAGCAGCTGTATGGCCAGGTCCTCCGAGATCTTCTGCTTCCAGCCGTATTGGATGAGGAACCTTAGCAGCTTGATGATGGCTTCGATTACGCGTATCGGGAACTGATCATGGAAGCGGAGCAGATGGCTGACAGGGAAGAAGGTATATTCGGCCAGCTTCTCATCCAGAACGGTGGCATCACTGCTCACTTGAGCTGCCCATAAGCCACTAAGCGACTCGACCAGAGTGAAGATTTCTTTGGAAGCAGCCGCCTTGTCTGTTGACTGGAGCGCGAGGCGACTCAAGGGGACACAGACCGTCCTGAGCTGAGAGGGGTCAGCATCATCAGAGACGCCGAATAATGGTTCGATTTGCACGAACCTGCTTGAAGAAGTCATTACGCGGACCAGGGGTTGCGATGGTGGTGGCCATGTTGATTGATTTTGCGCATTATCAGATGCCGTCCATCAGTTTGGTTCTTCTTGTGGACGCCAAGGTGCGACCTGTAGGATGGAAATGGCCAGAATTTTGAGGAATTGGAGGTTGCATATTCGTTTGGCGACGGGACAGTTTGCGATGGAAAGTTCAGTGAGGTGGGTTCAGGTTGTTGATGTTTACCCACTGACAGAGGGACAAAGCGCCCTAACGTCCAGTGGTTTTGACCTTTTTTTCAGCGGGTACTCCAGGCTCTTCCACGTGACACAGCACCTTCCACGACTCCCGGGCAACCGCGATTACAGGGCAACAACCGAATTCGGGCTATCGCAATGGCAGTAGGGATCGCAGTCGACGGGAGCTGCCGCTGGAGCTGACTGTATCAGACCTTGTCGCCTTTGTATACTTGGCGGTGGCCGAATCCGCTATAGCAGCTCCAGTTTTGCGCGTCTCTTTGGTTTCGTGTTGTAACCTCCCTTTGCATTGAAGAATCATTGAATCATCTAAATGTCTCTTGACAATTCGAGAGTACCTCGTTCCCACCTCGATCCATGGCCCTACCGAGGAACCCCGACTCTGCAACTCCACCTGTCACTTCTGCCGATACCGTGACCGTCGCCGGAGCCGGGACCGTTGGACGGGATGTATCGCCGAAACCGGTTCCGAGAGACCGCTCGTCACTACCCCCCGGGCCACCACCACCTTCAACAGGCTCAACGCCACCCAGGATACGGCGAAACACAGCCTGCATTCGGTGCCGAGACTCCAAGGTATGAGGATTCTCTATGAACAACCCTTTCCCATTCAACATGGCAGCAGCGGCATGGACCTGATGTGTGATCTACTCAAGACCTCCCGCTCTGTTTTTATACCATGCTTTTCTCTCATCTTGCTCCCACCATTGATTGGCCTGGCTAACGTTACACACACACTCCACAGGTGAGATGTAATGCAAGTCTTACTCCGGGACAACCGTGTCTGCGGTGCACCAAGCTAGACCTTGAGTGCATCGTGGACAAGAACTATAAGAGAGCGTCAAAAAAGAGGTTGGTGACATAAAAGTCCAGGGTTAGGGTACCCCTACTGTCAGCTAACTCTCGATAGCAAGCTGGAAGAGTTGGCGGCCGAACTCCAGTCACTTAAGAACACTGTTGCTCCAAGACCCTCACTCGGCGGCCTAACTACCGAACTGCCTCCTATACGTCCGGTTCAGTTCTCGAGCGCGAGTCCGCCAGTTCCTTCACTCCCACAACTCACCCTACCTGGAACCCTACCCGGCCCTTTTCTTTCTGGTCTTGGTGTTCCAACACTACCGCCGCCCATCTTCACTCGGCCAAGGCCCTTCTCCATATCCAGCGAAGCCTCTACTCCTACCCCCAGAGCAAACGATGCTGCCTCTGTCAGCTTCAGTCTGGCTGGGTTCAGGCGTCCAGCTCAACCTCGAGCCCTCGGTTCACGTGTGTTCTCCGGAGACGACATAAACTACTATTTCGACAGATACTTCGAGCACTTTCACCCTTACTTCCCCGTCGTTCTCCAGCGGGATCCAGACATCTGCTATGAGAGGGGTCACGTCCTCTTCTGGGCCATCATAATGACGGCATGCCGTCGGTTTGCCAAGGATGACTTGGTATATCAGTTTTTGATGGACTCGCTGTTACCGGAAATATGGAACGCGATATCACGGCCGCCGCTGAAGCTGCCCATCATAAACGCCTTGCTGCTCGTTGCGACATGGCCAAATCCTGATATCAGGTTTTTGACTGACCCGTCAATGATCTTTACTGGCATAGCCATGAACTCGGCTCTCTTGACAGGGCTTCACACCGGCCGTGGTGCTCATACAGAGTTTACCGGGCTGCTGGATAAAGTCGATACAACCGATGAGGAGGCGATATATACATGGGCTGGGTGTGCCATTATATCTCACCGGTAAGTCAAAACTAACGATGCTCAGCCTATCAACTCATGCTAACCTTTCACATACAGAGCTGCTGCTTATATGGGATGTCCGTCTCCGAGTCTGCTATTCAATCAGACTATAGACTCACTTCTAGACGGAAGTAGCTCGATATCGATGCCTCGCTACTTCATCTTGCATCTGGAAACCGCCAGGTTCGCCAATAAACTCATCAGCACCATGTCAGCCTCTCTCGAACAGTCCCAAGGTGTTTCACACCGCTTAGTCGCGCAAATGGAAGAGGAGTACAGTAAAATCCAATGTTTACTGTACCCAGATAACTCAGGTGAGCAACCATCCTACTCAACTTATTCTACGGTATCATCCCCCCACTAACATTAAAGGCAGACCTCGACAACTTCATCCTCCTCTCCACCCTCCTCGAGATTCAAACCTACTACTTCATGCCCCTCCCCGGCTACAGCGAAGAGATGCTCAAGCGCAACGCCATCAAGGCCTACATCACGGCCGAGGCTCTCATCAACCAAGCCCGCTCCCTGCAGAGCCAGTCCGCCTTCCTGCACTACTCGCCCAACTTTGTCTTTCGCACCTTGCTCAGCGCCATCTGCGTGTTCATGACGCTGAACCTTGCCCAGCCCCCGTATACCAAAAACCACAGTAATGCACTTAATGCGCCGTATATGGGCGCCAGTAACAACAACAACAACAGTAGCAACAACACCAATACCACTAATAACAGCAGCAGCACCAACACCAACAACAACAAAACATCCACCACCACCACCAACAGTTCAGACACAGCCGACCCCTTCGTCCGCGAAGCTCTCCGGATAATCCGATGCTGCTCCGTGCAGCGCGACGACCTGGTCATGCGCGCCTCAAACATGGTAGAGAAGTACTGGGACATGCGGCATGCGCTGCCGCGGTACGAAACCCTATTAGATCCAACAGATCCTGACTATAACAGTCCCCAACACTCCCATGATCAGCAGCAAGTTGGAATGCGAGGAGCGACGACGGTGTTTAGACATCGGCTGGGATCTAGTTTGACGTTTGGTTGTTTGCGGAGGTGGAAGCAGCATATTGAGAAGGCCAAGGCTAGTGTTGGTGGGATGGGGATGGGGATGGGGATGAATCCTCCTGGACATCAGGGAGGAGGGCAGGGAGGAGGAGAGGGACAATTGGGTGGTCAGCAGGGAGGAGGACAACTGGGTGGTGCTGGTCAGCAGCAGCAAAGTCAGGGTCAAGGTCAAGGTCAACATGGGCAACATGGTGCTGGAGTCTATGGCGGTGCGTATGGGCAAAGTCAAGGAGGAGGAGGGCAAGGAGGGCAAGGACAATACCCACAACAGAGTATGAATGGGCAGGATGGAAGTGGTGAAGGTATTCGTAAGTATTTTGTCTTTTTTTTGTCCCTTACCACCCTTCTTCAACTTGCGGACGGGCTTTGGTTATGCTAACTCTTTTTAATTAGCAGACGGAAGACTAGGAAACAATCCCGACTCTTCTTCTCTCGGCGGAGGATTAGGAGACCCCTTTCAACGGCTCGAATGGAACGCGTTTATGGACGACTTTGACTGGAGCTTTACGTCTAATTATTTGGGTGTTGGTCCTATGTAGTAAGTAGGATTGGGGTTAGTTAGGATTAGGATTGCATGAAAGGGTAGGGTAGGTTAGGGTATGTAAAATGGGAGGGTATCGTGGTAAAGTCGGGGATAGCAAGCTTCCATGAAGCTGAATTCATTGTGGAGGTCTTTTTCATTGAGTGTGTGCAAAGGGTGTAGGTTACTTACGTAGGGACTTGTCTTTCTAGTCTGACCAGCTGTGAAGTGGAAGTGGAACGAGAAAGAGGAAATCAAAAGCAAACAACTTTTACTTTATCACGATCGGTTGAGGGCCTGTAGTCTTGTCTTATATCTGATATCAAAGACTCAAGATTAAACTTAACCTCCCTATAGCGGTCCGCTATTGCCACGCCAGTCCTGGTTTAGGAAAGGAGCTTTGTACTTGTACGCCCATTGGAACCGACCGTCATGAGAATCCAAATGCGAATCGAATCAACTACCACACAATCTGCGCAAGTCCAGGCCATCCAGAAAATTGCAATTGCCATCTCGGGGCAGAAAGATCTTGTTATCACATTCTTCGACTTCGCTGTTGCAATTTCACGGGTTTGAGGTTTGCTTCCCCGGTGACATGGTCCATGTGTGTGTGCCTTAACAGAATTGAAAACTTCAGCGGTCAATGCACCTAGTGTGGGCTACCTCCGGCAGATTCGGGCATGTTTGCCCGTTCACAAATAACTGTTCAGTCTGAATGAACAATGTGGTCGAACAGCAGTTGAGTGTTCTCAACCACTTCGAATATTCCCCCTTTTTGGCCATCTGTTTCGAAAGCATACAAAACCCTAACCCTTACCGATTGTTTGCGTTGTGGGAAGTGGTTTCTCATGAGAGAACATAATAACTTTATTTCACTCTTCCGGAAAAAGGCTACCCGAAGTTTGGTAGTCGAGTGATCAATTGTGGATGCTACCTTGCGTCGTCAAAGCACCGACAGGTACAAGCCAACCAGTATGGATTTACTTACTCAGACCCTGGATTACCACTGATTCATGTCAACCTTGAAGGCAAGAAACAGCCACTACACTTACTCGATCTATGGGACAAGAAGGCACTGAAAGAACTGGTGTAGTCTATCATTGCACGCAATATTGTTTGGTGTTTGTGAAAGTGAGATCAAGGGTACCGTTGGTAACGGCATATCTTCGGGCCAGTGATCATCTCCTTGACTACATATCTTCATCAACATTCATCTAGCCCAGCCCAGACCACCTTGGCAAGGCCGAGCCCTATATGTCTTTTTCGGCTGTTGTTCAAAGACGAAGATACTACGCACGCCCAGAATATTCTTATCCTCTATGTGAAAACTTGCCATGCTCTTCCACTTGGAGGAATGAAAATGTAACGAAAATATGTCTTCAACGTGGGTATTCCATGAAGCTTTTTTGAAGCTATGAGAATCTTCGATTAACAAAAGAAACGCCAACAGTAAACGATCATCTCCTAGGTTGGGCAGAAAACAACAATGGAACCCGGAGAGGTCGGCAACTATAGGCGACATGGTTCCCTATTCGAGTGAGAAGATAACGGGCAAGAGAGAACAAGGAGCACAATATGGGGTTGGTTGTTTCTCGGATGTCCACCTAGCATGTTGCCACTGAGCCACCACAACGTCGTACCCTTGAGTCGGTCGAGAACCATGTCCAACAGGGGGAGCTCATCTCTGTCATCACCACAACGGCAACTACCGGGCGGAGAGCGATCGAGCTGCTGGGATTACCTCCGTTTCAGATGGTAGATCCCGCCTTCCTTGGCTTGTATGATCGTCTTGAGGTATGTTTAAAGCATGAGGCTGGTATTCGTCTATTGTAACGCGTAGGGTAGGGCTTCGTTGAGAATCAGGTTATGGGTTGGAGAGACGAGAAGAAAATTGAGGAGACACTTCCTCGCGACAAACGGTGCATAAACCTCTCCTGGTAGTGTCAGGCAAGACACTCGACGCCTGCCTCTCCGTACATACGCACCCCGAAGTCACTTGACTAGTTGGCAGATGACCTTGAAGGCATGAATCGAACACCGATCCTCCAATGATGGAAGTCCAATGAACAACAATCCACCTGGATATCCAGTCAGCAGTGTGGGTAACTGTGCTTTCGTTTTTCAATGCTTGACATCTTGCCACACCCGTAAGGACGTTGCATACCATGAGTCGGAGCACTCGTCCAGATCCTCGTAGTCTCTCAATCACAGTCGTAAACACGTCGAAGTAACCTTGGGTTTAGTGCCGGTGTGCTATGTTTCAGATCCGTTGCTGTGGTCAACCAACATGCTGTCCCCGGTCCCAGGGTCCATCCATGATTGTCCTCATTGTTGATAAGTAGGCTTGATGAGCCAAGATAAGAGGCGACCTTGACCGCTTAACGCACGGCCTCTCCCATACATCGTTGTTCAAGTGGTTGTATCCGGATATCATGCGGCTCGTAGAATCCTGCTGAGATGGTGTCGTCCAGCTTATTTGGAGGCGGCCTCTTGTGCAGCTCAATGCATCACCAAACCCCAGATGAAAGGGGCAATTGGATCAACCTAAACCCATCACTTATTAGTGGCTTCTCTTGGTCAAATCGAGGTGTGCACGCTTGACACTCTGTTCGATTGATGATGTGTCTGGTGCACAAACATTCCCAGTACCGTGCTGGCGGATGGCCCTGGGTACGGGACGTTTTACCCCGTAGCCGATGATAAGCTTGAGCCTTGCTCTTCCGCACGGACATTTAATCTTGTCGATGGCACGTCTCATGACCTTTTTGGTCAGCCGAGCCGTTGCCTAGTATATCGACGTCCCGGAATATTCCCAAAGCCGGCATAGTTGATGGCCAGAGGTGTTGTGGAATTCCGAATGAGGTCCAGCCTCGAGGGTTGGTAATGTAGTGTCGTCGTATCCTCGGAAAGTACCACTGACCAGTTTGCCCGATTCATCCCAGACTATGTTCAGTAGACCACAAACACACTGGCGTGGAAAGCCGTACGACATTGACATGATCCGAAAACGGTCTAGGTCTCTCTGATCCTGGTTTTCATCCTTGCGAGGTAGTTGTTTCTCGGAAAGCAGCCGTATAATTTCGGGCTTTTACCCACATGCCGATGTCGTGAGCAAGCTTGCAAGGGACGCCGTAGCCGATGCGACCCCCTTTTCTCGCCTGCCTTTTCCTTCCCCGGCTTCCATGGCTCGCCGGTGGTGGTCCGCTTGACCATTTTCTGTTCTGAAGGACGCCTTACGTAATACGACCATGATTCTGGAACTGGAAGAAGCTGTGACGGCCCTTTTTCGTTTCATCTCTCTCTGTTCCTGGCCCCTGAAAGCTGAAAAGGCGCTTGTTTCACACCTTCGACCCCCAGGTTGCATCCAAGCTGGATTTGGCAATTCACTCGTCCTCGAGCTGGGCGCACAAGAATGCTGCTGAGTCTGAGCGCAAAGAGTGGTAATCTTTTCTGGTGTTGAACTAGCCCCAAGTCCTGCAAGACAGTCGGTGTAAAATCGGTAAAACCAGCGGAAATGCCGGTTCCTGCGTTCACTAATGATTCTGTAATGTTAACGTGCATGTTTGCGGGGTCATGTCGCATTGTGGCCCCTTTTCGTATCTGGGGACTTTCTCTTCTGGACACGCGATGGCATGCTAGAACATGCTTCTCGGTTCATGCGATATGAACGCAGGCACCACAGGCACCGCAGGCACGCAGACAGGGTTCGCCAGGACCAAAACAGACCCGATTGGCCGCCGTGGTGGACGGGGAGACTTCGTGGGGAACGACTGGAGGTTGCCCTGGACGGTGGTCCTGGCTGACGTTGCAGAGGTGCGCTTCTTGCGACCGAAGAGCCTCTGTTTCAAGAGCTGAGCTCCCGCTTCGTCGACCTCACCGGCGTCATTGTTTCTGTTTCAGGATCTGCCTTGGCACCTGCCATCACGCACCGTTCGCTTCGATGGAACGCCGTCCAGATCAATCATGTTCTTGATCATGATCTCCCTAGGACGAAGGCCAGACGAATGAGCGCCAAGTGAGAAGTGAGAATCGGACTGAGTGAGATGATCAGAAAAAAAAGTGCCGAAGCGATATCCAGGTGATGATGGCATTGACTGGTCGAGGGATGACACTTGACTCGTTAAGGTAAAAGATCAGAAAGCAGTCCACTTCGCATCTAGGGAGAGACTCCAGACTGTTGTCATGATGTGTCCAAAACAAAGTCTGAATATCAAACGCATTTCGGACTCACATTCCGTTTCCTTCGGTGTCTCCTCATTCTTTCTGCTGTGGTAGGGAAGGAGCTTCCTACTTGCAAACGAAAACTCTTCAATGCCCTCAGCTGCACCTGGAAAGCTTTGCCGGTGTTGCAACAGAGGTAGGTACCTACCACTTGCTCCTTCCATGTCTGTAGGTGATTGAGTGACGGATAAGGCCAATGACATTTTACTGCCCCCTGTTGTCAGTTAACCCGCTGTAAACTTGGAGGGGCGTCATAGCGCCAAAGGCACCTCGCGGGCCGCCCGTCCCCAAATCCAACACCCACACCTCCAAGTCCACCTCGCGATGTTTTGTTGACCTTGGAATCGGCCACACCACTGAGTAGATTTATGATAATGTTTGACACCTCGGTAGCTTGCTTTTCTCCTCTTCGCGCGGGGTATGCCATTGTGCCACTGAATCCACCAGTCTAGAGGCCAAACAAAACGGCCACACAGATTACAGATCTCGTTCTGCATAACTGTAGATCCGCCCGGTACCTGCAGCTGGCTGAACTAATCCCGCTTTTTTGCCGCTGGCATGGCCGAATCACAACCGTCAACAGAGACTCACAGCCAACAGATTGACGTGCGGCGCAAAACCACCAGCGGTTTTTTCCTCTTCGTGCTGGGCCTTGGTTCTCTCCAGGAAGACTGGGGCCTGCGACCACTTTTGTCGGCCATCAAAGTCTGTGATGCTATTCTTGGATTTAAGACCTAGTCACCCTGCGACTGGCCGTATCCCACTGGGAAAACAACAAGCGAGTCCCCGGATGCCACTGTTTACTGTGTCTATGGTTGTGTCACGATCAAAGAAACTTTATCTCTGAAACGTCCTAGCAACCAAAGCTTGGCTTGTAGGGTGCCTCAACCTTAAGTCGTAGACGGGAAGCCCGCGACATAACTGCGCGTGATCCGAGTGGAAATACGGTACTTGCGATGGTGTTTCTCCTGGACATTGTCGAAATCGTCAGTAGGTATTCTGACGAATGACAAATCGTACCGTTGGCTAGCTGCGACCCGAAAAGGCCATACTCCTTCGATGGGTGCGCCATAGATATTCTGATACAGGCACTTTCGTGTTTCGGAACATGCTGGTCATCACATCGTGGGGATCCGTCTAAGAGCGTGTTCGGTCGCTCCTGAATCGAGGACTCGGAAGATTTCAGAGCCGGGGTTCAGAAAACTGTTCAGTCGTTTCCTAAACTAATTTGGGTAGGGAGCCCCGCAAAACCAGTTCCTGAACTCCTCCTGAAATTTCTAGCCCACATCAGAGTAGACTACCCAATAAAATCTACATATTCTTTCTAAACGGTTCAGAACCCAAAAGGCCTTCTAAAAAGCTAGAAATTTCCACTTTTTAACACACGTAACAACAAGAACCTCAATAACACCAATATCGATAGTCAACACTAATATTGACAATTAATACTAATACTGCTATAGAGGAGCGCTAGTAAGTAACGCAAATGCTACAATCCCTCTACTGCTATATAGTAAGAAGGAGGAAGCGTAATTAACTATTTAAATTAATAGTAATAATCCTAATTGCTAGTATTATACTATGAAGACCAAAGATCTTACGTAATTTGTATAGTATGCATAGCCTCCTCGCTACCAAAGATTTATTCGATAGGTATTAAAAAAGATTACGTAAACTAGTACGATTCTAGCTGTCTATTTTTAATATGCTAATAACGTAGCTAGAGTACTATACTAATCTCGAGCTCTTATTACGTATATTTATATACGAGAAGGTATTAATATTCTTCTTTGATATAATATGGGAGTTAACCTTCTGTATAGCGGTATACCTACTTAATTATAATACTATTACTATATACTAATTAATTAATATTAGTACTAAAAAGGAAATTACTATACTAATTTATTACTAAAGACTTTTATTAGGTATTCTAAGTATATACTATCCTCGCCGCCTATAAGGTCCAACTCCTTAAAATTAAAACCCCTAAGAAGATTGAGGGTAACTTTAAATTCTTTCTATATTTTCGCTACGTTCTAAGAGCTTTCGATAGTTCGTACTTCCCGGTATGGATACGTAATAAAAATTAATAATTATAGCGTAATTATAAAGGAACCTTTACAACTAACGTATTAATAATATATAATTTCGATAATAAAATTATATATGTACTCCCTAATTAAAAGGGGTCGGCTAACGATATAAAGGTATTAAATAATACTTTTACTTAAGGCTTTAATATACTATAAAGGTAGTATTATTTAGCCGATAGCAGCTATATTAATACTTTACGTCTATTTGTACTATATTGTAGCGTATAGTATTATTTATAAGAGATAGTTAAAGTTAGATTACGGCTAATTACCTCCGAAAAATTATATAACCTTCGTTATAATTAAGCTTAGATTATTATAGAAAGGGTAATCGGTTAATTAAAAAGAACCTTTCGTATTTATTAATATTAATTTAATTTTACTATCAAAATATAAGTAAAGATTATTTATGTAATGGTAAGGTTGCTCAATTTCCTATAAAAGTATTAATATATAAATTTTAATAATTTAAAAGAGGAGATTTATTTTAAAAAGTATATAAACCTTGATACTTTATTAAGAGTGGAGAGAAATGCGGACGAAAAATTTATAAAAAAGGAGAAAGTAGGCGGCGCTAATAGTATATCGAATTAATATTATAACCGTCTTGTAAAAAAAATATAGAGGGATTATTACGCTAAGTTAGCAAAAAGAGTGGAATTATAAAAAGGTATATATAAAGGAGAGAAAATTAAATTTACTAAATAGGAAGGGAGGGGAATAAAAAATTTAATTTAGCGCTAGCCGCCCAAATTACCCTTCAAATCAATTAAATCTAGTAAAATTATATTTATTAAACTATAAATTCAAATTAGAGTATAGCCTTCTAAATTCGTATATTAAACTTGTCTTTTTTTTAAAAATTCGGATCTAATTCTTAAATTTCAAAATTTCTAACATTATTTATATATTAAATAATATTAGCGTTGTCTTAATTTCCTACCCTCCCTACTAATTAAAATCATAATATTATATTCGATATTTGTATTTTCTACAAATCTACCTCAAAATCAATATAAACTAAATATATTGATTTAGTTCAATTTAATAATCAAAACGCTATCTTTTTTATATATATACAATTTTTTTATAAAATTTAATAGTATTAAGAAGAAAAACTTTGAAAAAAACAAAATATGAAAAATTTTGGGTCAACCTATTTACTGCTCCCTTCCGTCTATAGGAGCCCTACGTATAATATAAACTATTATAATATACTTTCAAATATAAGGTATTATAGTGCGTTTATAAATTTGATAATAATTTTAGATTTGAAAGAAGGGGCAATTTATTTATACGAACAACCCTCCTTTTTAATATGCCAAAGTAAACCTCCTATGACTCTAAGGATATTATAATAAATCGATAACCGCGAACTTCGAACTCCTCCTATTTACGGAAGGCTTCTTTAACGACTTTACTATCGATCTTATTTTTCCAATCAATATTAAAGATTTCAATTACGCGAACTATCTATTTATACTCCCTCTCCTCCTCCCTCCTCATTCTAATAAATTTATACGCTGCTTTATAAATTACTTTACGTAATTCCCTTTTACCCTCAGCCTCTATATTAGTAAAATACTTTAAATTATTAATAATCATTTTATTACTCGTCTTTTTCTTCTTTTTCTTCAGATTAATATTATTAGTAACTTTCTTTTTACTATTACGAACGTAAACCGGTATCGGCAATTCCCCGTTATTAGAATTAGAAAAATCGTCAAAGGTTTTAAGAATTAGAATCTCTCTAATCTCTTTAATAAATAATAAAGAATTAAGAGTCTAAATATACCTTTTAATAACTCCTTAATCTTTAGCGAACGCCGCTTTTATAAATTCTTTATAAGGTAGTAGTTTATTTCTAAATTAATTGACCTCCTTATATTTCTATATTCCCTATGGTTAATTACCCTCCTAAAGTCCTAAAGTATAAACAGTATAATTAATTAACCTTAATTATATTATCCCAAATACTATTAAGTATAATTTAATAACCTTATTTATTGATACTTTAATTAAAAGTATTAGCGAATAATACTTACTAAGTGCGTTACTTTCGCTTAAAGTAATTGACTTTATTACGTACTTAGGTCGTATCGATTAAAACGTTATATTTCGTCTTCAATTTTATAATAATGAAGTTATATACTTACTTTTTATATCCGCCCTGCCTTCTTATACCCTCCTTTATGGTAATTTTAAAGGTTTTAAATAGGGATATTTCTTAGGTATTAATTTATTACTATACCTTCATTTTAATATATTAGTTAAGTTAGTTCTAATTGGGCTAGTTTTATAGGATTTAACTAAATTAAGTAAATGGCAGTTGGGAAGCCTATAATTAGGATTTAGCTGTAGTTATTAATTGAACTATTTAATGTAATATTTTATATAGCGAGTAGTTTAATAAGAAGGCAGTTAATGAATTCTAATATATAGATACTAAAAGACTCAATTTATATTTATATATTTTATAACGGTAACAGTTACTATAAAAATTAGTATATTTAATAGACTTTTTATTTTATTTATTTCGAATAACTTGTTAAAAATAGGTCTTGAAGTCAATTTAGGTAGACTTTAAAATGCCGGATTTTAGTAGTAAAATCGGGTTTAGAAGGGTTAGTGCGGTTCTCCTACCAGGCCTACCGCCAAGGCCTTTCCGAGCTTTCGATTCAGGAGCTGCCGAACACGCTCTAAAAAGCAAGGGCACATCCACATCCCCCACTTCTCCCTACAGTAGGCCGGGCTAGCGGTCCCGTCCTGTCCGTGGCAATCGGCAGCCGGCCCGTAGTCAGATCCCGAGAAGCTCAGGCCCAGCCAGGCAGAGCTTTGTTCCTAGGCCATTGTGTCGGATAGGAAGCCATTCTCACAGCGAAGGGAAGCGGCCCAGGTGGGTGTCCCAACGCATTCGCAAAAATCGACCATAGGGTAACGAAGAGCAGTGTCTGGACAGAAGTGAAGGCTCATCTGGTTTGTACCTGGCCGTTGAGTGGTTCTGGGGGTGGGCGAGGAGGTTTTCAGCTGGGTGCCTGGCCTGCGTTCTTGCTTGACCCGGCATCGTCGGTTAAGTGGCTTGCAATCCAGACGAGGAAGAGGGTGTGGACTGATCAAAGGGAATCGGAAAACCTCCAGCACTTTCCCATCTGCGAGTGGGGTCTGCCAGCTGCGCAACGACGCCAGTCATTCCTGGCGATCCGAAGCTCTTGTGGTTGTGGAAAACATACCCAATGGGGGAGCAAAAGGGCCGCCCCAAATATCACCCAGATCGCATCTCTTGTGCAGTCTGCTGACTGGCCGTTGCGGTCGAGGTGGGCTCGTCGACTTCTCAGTGGGCGCATGGGCGCATGGGACGCTTGCTGGACGCTGTGCTGTGGGAGTTGGAACTTGGCGCCGACAAAAAGTCAGACCCCTGCTTGCCCTTCTCCCCCAGAGCTATTTCTGAAGCATGTTTCAGACTTTTGACTGGGTGGGATTGGAATCGTGGCTGGGGACACGGCTCGCACGGTTCAGCACGGCCCCTCTGCAATGGCCGAATACATAGTACTCTTCGCGGCAACACTTTGATTGGCTCGAGCGAACCTTGGATCTGAGCATCCACCACAACAGAAGAGAGCTCCGAGAAATGACGAGATCCAGTCAGGCCGTTGAAGTGCCTAGAAGCCTAGAAGCGCATGGGCTTTTCTTTTCTTTCGCCTTGGCTTGTGTGAGATGATCTCAGTAGTACCGTAGGCCTCGTCACGGTATGAGAACCAGGCTGAGGTGTGCCGTGTTAGCAGAGAGTAACAAGCTGAGAAGAGGTTTTGAATGATATCGTCCCATGCCGAATCCAATGCAACAACTGGAAATGCATGATCATAGAGACATTCAATGAACACGGAGGTAGGTCTTAGACAAACCGAGGAGGACACAGAGGGAGAACAGAGAACCGAATCCAATATCATGATTACCTCTGTTCTGTGCGACGTCCAAGTGCCCGCGCCGCTCGAGCACATTGCCGCTTGGGTGCTTCCAGATTGAACGAGGCCACCGAATTCGCCTCCAAACCAGGAACCGAGTCGTTGTGTCGACTGTTTGACCGTGTTGCCAAATAAATCAGCCGCGGACACGCAACGTGCGAGTCGTCGGGAGCCTGTGGTTACTTCCGAGGGTCGGGCTGGTTGCATACAACGGACAACTTTCAGTTGGTGCCAAAAGAGTTCCCGTCGAGTAAACTTGACTTTTCCCCGCGACAGAAATGTCGTTGGTTTTGGACCTGTCTCGATGCAGATGCCAGGTAGTGACAAATGCTATGCACGTTCCCACTGGGAATTTCTAGCAGGTGCTTTTAGACGCACTTTGCATGCATAGCAGACACCACGTTCCTGCCCGTCCATCAACCTTCCTACAACCCTTTGGGATTCGATAGGTACCGTCCTACTATTTGTCTCTGCAAAGATCGAAAGAGATGGAGAAGCGCACGACTCGCAGGTGATCATCTCGTACGTTGATGTTCACGCCGCGAATTTCCACCTTTCTGCCGATGGATAGCCATGAGAAAGAGCCGAACCGAGATTTCGCTCCAGTCGACTCCAGAAAGGAAGTGGAAGCTGCCCCCGGGCCAAAGATCATGATCCAGATCCTAACGTCGAGCCCCACGCTTAGGTGGGCGGCCATTGAGATGGCTCGTGCTTTTGCTGGCGGTTAGCACACTTGGCACTGTCCAAATAACCTCCACCCCACGGAAAACGCATTAAGACTGCCCGTCGTTGAAAGTATCAAATGACTGCAATGGTCCGGATTACTCTGGTTATCGAGTCTGCCTTGCGTTCGTTCGGACAGCCCGAATGTTTTTCTACAGCAATTTGGAGCCCGAAAGAAGACACCCTGCTCTCCATGTTAACAAACAAAACAACAATGCCCATACGTACTGTGTTATTGTAAGATCCTTGGTACTTGGCACATATAGTTCGGACTTCGGAGGGTGCCCTATAAGATGCCTGCCGTACCTTCAACTCATTTCCGAGAACGCGGAAATTATGGTGGTTCACGAACATGGAAGAGAGAACTTCCCCTGAAGATATCCTGGGGTCATACCGTTCGTATGCCGTCCTTTCAATCGGCTCTTCAGTCGAAAGACTGGATCACAACTCCATAACTCCGTAGACAAACGCGTAAATAAGCTGTGACAAGTCCATCACTAGGAAGGTGTCTATATAGCTGTTCTTTGTAAAGAGCATTGAGAAAATGCGGGATAAGATGAACACTTGTAACCACAACACATCTTCAATTTCTTCGCTTTTTTTGACCGTGGATCGCTAGTGGGCAAACTTGAACTAGCCTTGCAAACGGAATGATAATGGAACATTTCCGGAAAGGCGTGGACATCAGCAAGCGTTCTAGAAGATGAACATCTCTGTTCAGAATGTAATCACGATATCCTCACTAGCTTCGATTTCCCTCTACAGAATCGCCACCAGAAGCAATTATCATAGACTGAGGTACTGTAGAGGTAGCAAACCAGATGGAGAAACCAAACACAATCTTGTGCGCCATGCAGCGGTTGAGGCTCTCGTCATCTAAACTATCGTTGACCGGTCCTTGCCATATAACCAACAGCAACAACGCAACAGCATTAACACCGTTATCCCGTCTTCGTTCCGATGGTTGCTGTTGTTGTCAGGCCGCGATATCTTCAAGCCTTCGTACTATATGTCATGGTATACTACGCCAGTGTTTGCTCCACTCGAGCGCACGCCGTTGGATGCCGAAGCTGGAGGATGTTGCCCACAGCTTTTTGGGTCGAGGTTCAACTCAGAGACTCACGTAGGACAACAAACAGCCGGCATGGTTAAAGAACGGGATGAGATGTCCAGCATTCGGAACAAAGGCCATCGAAGCTTCCATGATGCCAGCAATGGAAAGAAAAAAATAGCAGTGATAGCAACTTGCCATTGCGATTCACACAGCAAGCAGAAGCGGGAAAGAAAAAGAAAGGCAGAAAGAAAACAACGGTCCGGTTCAGAGACATGCTCACCCCAGCTTGCATCCCGGCGAGCGTACAGTCAGGGACCAGCCTATCAGCAAGAGTCGCTTTTTGTGGTCTGGTATCCACCGCGGTTAATGCAGCGCTGCTTTGATAGATGTACACCGGAAGACCAGAGCAGGTCTCTATTGCCACTCCCTCCCGCAGCTGCCACCACTCCACCAGAATAACCCACGGACCTTGTCGCGGTCCCGCTCCTCCTCCAAGGTGACGAACTGACAATGGATCTGGACTGAAAGTTGCCATCGGTCGCCCTCCACTTCAGAGCCGTACAAACCTGGAAACTCTTTGACTTCTACCCCTCCGCTAGGTCCCCCTTCTTATCGCGCGCGATAGACCCTCGCTATGTTGAACAGGAATGAGTTGTTCCGCGCTTGGACCATAGACTACTGGATGTTGGATTCCATTCTGGTATGGTACCTTGCCTGAATGCACCATCTCGCTGTAGCTGTGGGCGTTGACAGGTTGGGCCCTTGTTCCCACGCCTCGACGGGCCATTCCTTCCTGTCTTTGCCGTACATGCCAGGATAGAACTTGACCCATCCGTCCGTCCACAATGCCTCTCACTAACAGCGAGCCTACTCTTTCTACGCAGTGAGACAAGATGAATACCTCTTAGAGGTCCGAGATTCAGCACGTCTATCGTCGGGTGTCTGTGATTTGTATTTATTGCCGCATGCCCCAACATGTCGCCTGTTGCTGTTAGTGCTGCAACCCGGGCTCATAGCATGGGCAGCTTCGATAGGCTATAACCCTTTGGTGAGGAAAGCATAGCACAGCGAGCCACAGCAATAGCAGCCATATCCATCCACTTAGATAGCACACCCTGGTCTGGCCTTCCCACTCTGGTTGGAGACTTTGGGCCCCAAGCGAGAGAAAATCATTAAACCCCGTTGTTCGCCCATCCTCCCCCCCTCTTCGCTCCCTCTTGCTCCTCTTTCTCGTCGACCACTTAACATTTCCTCTCTTTTCCTTTTCAAGACTTCTTCTTCTCCAACCCTCTTTTTCCCTTTTCTGTTTCTGTTACAGGAGGACCTTCCTAACTTCGCACGGCCCTTTTCCCTGCATCACCAGGCACTACCGAGTAGACCTGTCTTGGAGCTGGCTAGCTGTACTCGCTGCGCGCACGCACTTTCCCCAAGACGCTCTCTCCTTTCCACCCACGAAGCATCGATTCACAAGTCGACATCCTCCCAAGTTCCAACCAGGGGCCGCACATACCGCACCGACCCAATCTCCAGCATCCCTCTCCGCTCTCCGCCGTCCCGTCGCTGCTCCCCACACAACCCTGGATCTAAGCGACAAGACTTTGCCTCTTTCCTCCTTCCGCCACCATCACCACCGCACGGAGGAAGCTCAACATCTCGCTGTTTAATCACCCGGCCATCCTTGGGAGAATCCTGTCGATTGGTTTCGTTTCGTTCGCACCACCGCTGCAAGGAAAAAAGAAGAAGGAAATTGTTAGGCTTAATTCACTTTAACCACCACCAATTGTTTCTTGTTCCGTTATACACGACGGTCAGGTCTCCGGCATTTAGGCCCGGCACGCACCCGACTTTCCCACCTCGCATCCCGCATATACATCCTCCTCCACCGGCCGACCACGACGTCGCCCAACGGCTTACTTGAACAATAACCCCGTCGCGGCTGCTCCCGGCGTGCATTGTCGACGACAACCAAAACCTGCGCACTCTCCCGCGTGGACGATTCATTGTACAAGACGGTCGGAAACGCCTTTCCCGTCAGCACCCTGGCTGGTTCTGGTTACTTTCTCGCCTTCTTCTACACACACCGCCCTCGAGGCCGACAGTCGAAAGGTCTCGCACCTTGATATCATTCGCTTGAGGCGCTTGGGTTGAATCGCATATTTTGCATCCTTCCACTGTATCGCGGGCTGGTCTCGGATCACGAAAACGCCAAAGACAAAGACACGACAACGCATACACACGAAAAAAGCGATTTCTTACGGGTCGCTTCTTCTCCCAAAGAAACATACATAGATATACAGAGGCAGCGCCTCCCATTGCCCCTTTCGCACCCCACGACGATCGCTTCATTTGGCGATAGTCTTGCTTCGCCGCCCTCCAGCTCTCCTTGTGTCGCGTTGACGCTACCCACTGCACTATATCACTCCTCGCTTGCGCTACTATATTTACGACGACACTCGTCGCGACATTTTGTTATCAAGGAGGTTTTTGAGCTTGGAATGTATTCTTCGCAGCATGCCAATATGGCTGCCGCTTCGCAAAAACCCGAGACCTTCATGCTGAGCACTGAGGCCCAGCAAGCTCTTCCGCATGATGCCCAGGTAGCTCTGCAGCAGGTTGACAACCGTACGTACATGCCATATGCTCCCTGATATGTGTGCTTTGCTAACGCTAGCTTTTCTCTCCGATTAGTCAAGTATTTCCTCATTTCTGCGCCCGTCGACTGGCAACCAGACCAATACATCCGGAGGTTCCTTCTACCCACCGGCGAGTATGTGTCTTGCGTGCTATGGAACAACCTCTTCCACATCTCCGGTACCGATATTGTGAGGTGTCTGTCTTTCCGCTTCCAGGCTTTCGGCCGTCCCGTGAAGAACTCAAAGAAGTTTGAGGAAGGTATCTTCTCGGACTTGCGTAACCTGAAGGCGGGAAGCGATGCCTCCCTCGAGGAGCCCAAGAGCCCTTTCTTGGACTTCCTCTACAAGAACAACTGCATCCGAACGCAGAAGAAGCAAAAGGTGTTCTTCTGGTACAGCGTGCCCCACGACAGGCTCTTCCTTGATGCGCTCGAGAGAGACCTCAAGAGGGAGAAGATGGGCCAGGAAGCGACAACAGTTGCCGTTAGCGAGCCTGCCTTGTCCTTCCAGTATGATTCTTCTCAGTCGCTCTTCGAGTCTCTCACCAAGGCCCAGCAGGCCAACTCGTCTTCCTTTCCGGCCCAGCAACTAGCCTTTCAGTCCCAGTCCACCTCGCCCATCTTGCGCGCCGCCGACTCGATGCCTCCCCCTCAAATGATGCAGCCGATGCCATCGCAGATGATGCAGCCAATGGGACAGCAAATGTCTCAACCCATGTCCCAGTCCATGGCCCAGTCAATGGCTCCTTTATCCGATGGTCTGGAAGCCATGGTCTCTTACGGAGCGATGACGATGGGGCCCGCGATGACCTGCCCTCAGCCAATGGTCAAGCGGGAACCTGATTATGGTCGTGTTCAGTATACCCAGAATGGTGTGCCCATGACGCAGGTGCACCCGCGACACACTTCCATGCCTGCGTATGGTTTGGAGTGCTCGCCCGCCCCATCATTCGTCTCGTCGCACTTTGATGACTATAGCCAGAGAGGACTCTCCTTTGAGCCCTTGACGCCTCCTCACCAGCAAATGGGCGTCATGGGTGAGCCCGCTTATATCGCCAATGAGGAGACTGGTCTCTATACTGCCATTCCCGATCACCTCAATGCTGGTGCCCTCAATGGCATGATGCAGCTTCCGCCATCCAACCTCGCGGCCCCATCATACCCCCGCTCGTACGGGTCTAGCAGCATGTCTCAAGACCCTGCCAGATCGTACTCTCCCATGGCCGCCTACACAGTGATCGAGGGGTCACCAACATATAAGCAAAGGAGGAGGCGCTCTTCCATTCCCCCATCAGTTCTGTCTGCCACGACAGCAATTGCAGCGGGCACTCCTGGGGTGTACAAGCCCTCGGATCTCCGGAGGTCCGTGTCTGCCTCTGTCGGTCCCGTGGCCGAGGGTGATGAGTCTGCGGACAACTCTCCCTCTGGGTTGACGTACAGCAACCCTGCGATCAACATGGCCCGCCAGCAGCACCACGAGATGCTCGAGCTTTCAAGGCATGGTACGCCCCTGTCCACTGTCGAGGGCAGCCCTGCGCTCAACCCCATGAATCTTCCCATGGGTCAGAGCTACGGCCCGCTCAACGATGACGAGCTTGCTCCCATGAGCGAGCGACAGATGTCCCAGGGCCACCCCGGCGTAATCCGCCGCGCCCGTTCTGCCACGGTTTCGGAGCTTGGCCCTTATCCCCAGAAGTCGCACTCTTGCCCCATTCCCTCATGCGGTCGTGTCTTCAAGCGTTTAGAGCACCTTAAGAGGTAAGACTAGATAATCATACCCTTTGGATGTTCCACCCTCCTGTCGCAATGCTAACCTCTGACTTTTTCCATTTAGACATGTGAGGACACACACACAAGAGAGACCTTACGTCTGTTCATACTGCCAGAAGGCCTTCTCCCGATCAGACAACCTAGCACAGTATGCATTCACCCTTCCAACTTGCCGTACACCTCAGCACCCATCAGTTGCTCATGAGGGACGCATGTGAACAATGATACTGACCGATATTTTTCTTAGGCACAAGCGTACACACGATCGCGGCGACGGTTCTGAGGGTACCTCGAACCTCTCTGGAGAGGAGGAAGAGGAGTACTCTTCGCCAACATCTGAGGGTGGCTACGTCCACGGCTCAGGGGCACCCAGCAACGTCAACAGCTCGACACCCCAGTCAACCATGTACAACAACCTCCAGACGCTGAGCATGCCCATGACAATAAGCGAGCCCCAGCCGATTAGCACAGGCGAGATGATGCGGAACGAGCTAGAGTTCTAGGGTTTGAGCAGTCTTCTAGGCAGGGACTGACTGTGTATGTGTGTTGTTTGTTGTACAATCAAAACCGCTGGTGGTCATGACGGAGCGTTTCATGTTTGGCTTTGGTTTGTTTTTGTTATATATCCGGATGGGCATGGGGAATTAGGTCTGTCATCATCACGGCTTATGAGTCTGCCTTGTTTCAATAAAGGCGAAAGACTAGATTTTTTTTTAACTTCTTGTTTCTCTGGTTGGATGGCTATCCATGACCAAAAGGGGAAGGGGTCTTCTGAGGTTTTATAGGAAAACTCTCAAAGACCCTGCATTTTCTTGTCATTTACTTTTCCACTTTTTCTCTCGATTTTTATGTCATGCCTGTTAGTCATGGAAAAATGACAGATGGAAACATGGGTTATGAACGAACAATTGTTGTCTGCATGCATGACCGCTTATATGTGCCTGATGTGTTTTGTGAAAGCAAGGACTACGTATTTGCCGCAGAGATAATAGCTAGGAGGTAAGGGTAGCTTAGCTACAACAGGTAAAGCGAGCTCACCTTCGGGCCGCGCCGCGGAGAGCTAAGGAGTTTATGGAAAGCTTATCGTTTCTCAAACGTCACGCCAAAGGGGACGGAAGTTTCCTGAGCCTATAGGTTGACAGAATTGAGAGCATAGTCCATCGGACAATGGATACGGTACACCGACGGGACGGGCCGAGACGTGTGTGCTGTGTTGGTGTTTCTTTTGTGCTCAGTTGGACGGGCAATGAATGGGCGGATGGAAGAAGGGATGAAAGAGATGCAATGGAGTACGCATGTGAAAGGTAGGTGGCGGAAGACGGTGCGACGGGGATCGAGCAACATAACTGTGGACGGATACAAAGCTGTAACACGGTCTCTACAAAGCTGTCAGTGAGCGATGTTTTCGATTTTTGGTAGGTAGTTTTGGGATCATCGTCAATCCAGATTTACATCGGTTCATCGCCGAGGTCTTTCACGTAACGGCGTCAAGATGGACGGCGAATATCAAAGCTCGAACATCAATTCAAGAAGTATCTCTGTAGTGTCTTTGTTACAATATTGATTGTATTCCTAGAGGGTTTTATGTCGAAGACCATCCCATCAACGCTGCGTAGGTATAGAGACGAAGACCTAACATTGGCTGCAGTGATACGAGAATTTATTACCCAAACTGCTGCCGGACACTCAATCACAGCTCAACAACAGCGCACGATTTCAGGCTGCAGTTTCCGGCGTACTAATTTCATATGCAGCTCATGCCGGATGGTACATTTTTCTGCGATTTAAAACCCCGACCCCTACATGAGTGGCGATGGAGTTTATATGTCCGCTTCAATATTCTCATGTCCGCCAGCCGGCATCTGCATCTTCAAATATAATATCCCACCAACGCACAGCAAACATGTATTTTATTCTACCTTCTTGTTGCTCTTTAAATATTTTTCTTTTCGTCTGCATTCATTTCTCAACTCCCAGTCGACACAAAGAAAACCAAACCAGAACCGAAATCACAGAAACTTCCATCGTGTGAGTATATGTGCATCCAACCACCAGAAAAACAGACCACACCCCTAACTCCTCTTCCATCCCAGTCCCTCAAGCAGCTCCAACAACCACCAAGATCACTACCAACAACGTCAAAATGCCCTTCATACGCCCCGTCGAGATCCCCTTCTTCCCCCGCCTCCCCCAAATCTCCCCTTGGTTCATCCTCTGGGGTCTCTTATTCTCCGCTTTACTGTCTACCTCTCTGTCCTCCTTTTTCTTCCCCTCCTACCTCTTTGGGCGTGCCACTCCCAACAACAACATCCGGGGCCACATCAGGCCCTCTGGAGGACCCGAATTCGAATTCGACCGCATCGCCCACCTAGCCGGTAACGAAATCGCTGGTAACGCTCATGTAGCTGCCCGCCGCGTCCAACACCGGGACCATACCCTTCCCTCCCCAACAACCACTGTCGCCGCCGCGACTGCGTCAACCACCACCAACACCACCACCACCACCACCACCACCACCGCCGACGCCTTCAAGCAGCCACTCATCACCCGCTCCCCGCCGCCGCCGCCCCTAAGCCGCCGCGACGACCGCTTCGACGAATACGACTTCCCGCATTTCGGCGACGACGAAGCCGAATCTCGGCTCGCCAACGGCGTCAACGTCTACGACCAACCGATCCAGACCGTGCACCTACAAGACGTGCGGCCCTTTCCCCTGGGCGAGGTGAACGATATCCCCGGGGTATTCGCGGCTTGTGCGCAACCTTGCATGAAAAAGGCCGTGGAGCTCAACACCGATTGCAAAGATCCGCTGGATCTCGAGTGCACGTGCAGGCCCGAGAAAAGGGCGGTGATTGAGGCGGCGAGTGACGAGTGTTGTTGGCAGGCTTGTGGGGGTGGGGTGCCGGAGATTTTGTGAGTTGCTTCTTTCTTTGCCTTTTTTTTTTTTTTTTTTTTTTTTTTTTTTTTTTTTTTTTTTTTTTTTTTTGTTGCTCTTTCCTTCCTTCCTTCCTTCCTTCCCTCCTTCCTTCTATCCTTCCTTCTCTCCTTCCTTCTCTCCTTTCTTCTCTCATTTCTGCTTTCTTTTCTCTCGTCTTGGTTGTTACGGTAATGTGACTGTGTAACTAACGTGTGATAACAGGTGGCGCCCGTGCTGGAATGATGACAACCCGTTGCATTACTAAAGTGGTCTTTTATATCCGTCGTCGTCGTCTTCAAGACTCTCGTACTCAACAAAAAAAGACTGCCCGTCAACGAGCACATCAACGAAACGACCAGAACAACGGAGACGACGAATAGCCAACCACGACAGGGGAAGAACTTCAGCAGTCACAATCGAACCCGATCACTCACCCCCCACTTATCAGCTTCAAAGTCCCAACATAGGAGGAAATACACCTCATGAGAAAAGTTATCACAATTCGGGAACTGTCATCAGGCAACAAGGAAACAAGGATAGATGGAAACGCAACTGAAGGGAAGGCGACGGCTTTGATTCTGTTAATGTTATATGGGATGGCATTGCAAAGAGAACGTTATATGGGACTGTTTTGAGGCAGCAACATTAGCTCACCTAATTTTTAGTGCTAGGGAAACAAGAAAGAACTCTTGGCCGTTCAAATAAGTTTTGATCCGTATGCATACACCGGTATAATGCCATTTTGACGGTTTTAATCTTATTATGACTATTATTATTATCACTGAGGTCCCGTAAAGCTATGTGTTACTCGTAGCATACCTCTCCGATTATGTATGCATCTGGACCTCCGCGATTAAAGCATGGACATCAAGTCATATCCAACGAACAGTCCCTCTTATACCACGGACAAAATGCAGTGGAAGTGATTATCTTGGTATATTCATGAAATGGTAAAAGCCAAACGTTGTTCCCATGCATTCAAGATGATTATGCAGAAACAAAAGACTTTATCTTTCCAAACCATCCCAACCGATTCGCTTTTCCCTTTCCTTCCTTTCCTTCCTTTCCTTTTTCCTTTTCTTTTCCTTTTCTCTCATCCATCACCACCTCACAACCCCAGAAACACCATCGCAACACCCACAAACAACCCCCAAGCCATTCCCATGCCCACCCTCAACTCACCCGCCGCCCCATTCACATATATCCCCCCTTCATCATCAGAAAGCCCGCTCGTGGACTCCACCGGATTCTCCACCGCCTTCGCGCCCGGCACCCCCCCTTTACCCTTCTTGATCTCCTTCAGGTCCGTCGTCGTGGCATTAAACCTCGTCTGCGCCATCGAAATCTCGTTGTTGTCCAGATCAAATACCACGTACGCGCTGCGCAGGAACGTGTCGCCTAGGGTGTTGCTTCCCGTGCAATTAACATTACGTTCTTGGATGCCAAAGAGGCAGGCGTCTGTGACGCCGTCCGGCATACGTGGGAGTTTGTTGTTGGTGGTCTGATTGAGGACGAGCTCGCTCATGGGCACGGTGATTTGCAGCTGAGAGGAGAAGGAGAAGATGACGGATTGCGAGGAGGACCTGAAAGAGCAGGGAACATAGGCGTCTAGGTTGCCTTTTGGGTTTGGCATGATTGTCACGCCGATGGCGTCGTAGAGGGGTTTGACGATCTCGCGGGGCAGATAGCTGAGGGTTGAGCCGGTGTCCAAGAGAACGGCAAGGGCGAGGTTGTCTTTGGAGAACTGGGTGGTGTTATCGCCGTTGCCGTTGCCGTTGGAAGAGGACCGGGACTGGGATAAAGACAGGCCGGTCATGGTGACCATGAGGTTCTTGTACTCGCCCTTTTCGGGGGTTTGAACGGGCAGGGTGAGCAGGTCGCCCTCGTACTTGGCGGCGTCGACGCCGCCGAAGAGGATGGTACCCGTGGGGGCATCGAGGTCGTTGAGCCAGATGGAGTAGGCGTTGGAATTGATCAAGCCGTCGGCGACCATTTGCACTGGAAGGTTGTTATAGGTTGGCAACCCGACGCGGGTTTGCACTTCGCTCAGGGCGTACCCTATACCGACTAGTCCCTGCGCGTTAGTTGAAGAGTAGCCGATGCCAAACTGCAGCCGGTTCAGTTTGGTGTTGCCGATTGTAAAGGTGTCGGATGCATAGTCCCCTCTGGCGCCGGAACCATCCACATACGTGATATCGAAATTATTGCCGATGTACTCATAAGTAGACGAGTCATTGGCCAGGTAGGTGCCGGAGAAATCGCACGGTCTGGATTTCTCTTGACAGAGATTTGAACTGGGAGCATTCACCCAAGTATCACTAGAGCCTGTGTCGAGATGTAGTGAGAAATTCCTTCCGGGCGTACCAATGGTCACATTGATATAGTATCCACATATCTGAACAGTGGTATCAGCCAAGTATTCTAGCAGAGTATTAGAAGGGTAAAACATACGACGTTATCCAATGTGACTTCATTCATTCCTCTCCTTCGTAACCTGTCCCGGGCAACGGGATTTGGGACGGACAGTCGTTCCGTCTGCAGACTGACCACCTTTGGGGCACCGGCATTTTGCTTCTGTTGAATTGTGAAGGCTTCCGTTGTTGATAGAAGGGATGCCGTCAAGGCCAATATCGTCGTTCTCCTCATCCTCATTTTCCCTTCTTTTTGTTTTGTTTTTTTCTCCCTCGATCTTTTTGTTTTAAAGAACGATGTCGACAATCTTGGGTATCCAAATTTTGAGATCCCGCAAGGCCCTCTGATAATCCCACAAGGCCCTTTGATACAATGCCCGAATGATATGTAGATGATAATACAATATAGTAAACCAAAAAGAATATGTGACGAACGAAAGAGGGAAACTGGCAAGCGAAAGTTTGAGAAACAAATGCGCGATGGAGTAGGTGGTGCAAAATAAAAAAGAATGTGAGATGTGTCTGAGAATACTCGGATAATGTTGATCCAAGTAAGACTGAGTGAGCTCTTCAACGTAGGCCAGAAAAGCAAACCAAGAAACCAAGGCGGACCTTGGTCAAGTGAAAAGTGTAATGACACGTAGGGTATGCAACTGAAGACAGTCCCAACGATCGTACTGTCTAAGTGACAACCAACACCTCGTAAGTGCTTTTCGTGACCGGATTAGTATAAAGGAAAGAAGGGGAAAAAAAGAAGGATAGGAGGTTGGATTAAGGTAAGGGCTTAGCAAGTAACCTAAGAAAAACAAAGCTGTAACAACTATATCAGATGAGAAGGGAAAGTCACATGGACACTTTTTGTCCCACCGATGCGAGCAAGACTGATGGGATGACAGAAAGATGAAAAAAGGAAAAGGAAAATCTACCGAAGATAGAGGTAGAGGTAGCCAGGCTAGGACGGGGGTCATTCTTGGGGGCAAGAAGATAGGCGGGGGTTGTTCTTGGAGAAGAGAAAGAAGGCTCCACGAAGGATCCATCGACAGGGGCTGGGGCAGGAACTCGGAAAACAAACAGGCCCCGATGAAGGCTGTGTTCGTTCTTCGGCGGCATAAGCATGATGCGTAGCCTCGTGGGCTTAGATAACCAAGGCTCCTGTGGATGTGAACTGCATCTGGTGTTGGGAATGTGAGCCGTTGGGGCCGAGGCTGATGCAGCACATATCCTGCCGTGCCTGCGAAAGGTGTAATCTGGTCCAGCCACATCTTGACGACAACAACCTGTCCGTTGTTGGGCTGGGTCGAGGTGGACTTTCCCTCGGTGAAGATGCCGACGAGGTGCTGAACGGACAAGAGCGACAGACGGAATGGAAGAAAGGAAAGTGGGAGAGAAGGGTCCGAGACGATGACGACGGATGATCACTTCCTTCCACTGCTGGGACGGAAGATGCTTCTTCCTGGGAAGTTGGGGGCCTGAAACAACCTGGAAGTTAGGTAGATGCCAAGACGAACCTCCCAGAGCCGGATCTGCCACAGTTTCTGCGATTTTGATACACTCGCTGGCGCCTGGACCCCATCAGCGGCATCAGGGAGCTTAATGGTCGAGATCAAGATTCGACAGGCCGTTTGGGGTAGGTGATCGACGACGCTCTATGTATTCCCCTGAACCGATGAAGGGATGAAAAGGTACAGAAGGGAGGACCAGTTCAGACGAAGAAAGGCTCTGTTCCTGAAATCGTCGGAAATCATCTTGGGATGGTGTCCCTGTTTTCTTTGATTAACAGATAGTAACAGCTTTAACTTTGAGCCAGATCCTTGGATGCCATATAGTCTGTGTCTCCAAAAACAATGATCAAAGACATGGTGAAACTCGAGATTTCCAGTTGTCCCAGCGATGAGAAAATGCACGATCTCCCATGTGTTAGTGTAGCTTATGTCAAGCGAATTTAGCGAGCCTTGGAAGCCCTTGTTAGCGCCCGTTAACAGTCTAGCTTGGTGACTTACACATCAGTCCTTAAACGTTTGTTAGTCTATTACGCGCCCCATATTTTCTCACAGGGGGGTGACAGTTGAGTTTGCAAGGCAGGACACGTCTATCTACGCGATCTGATTGGCTGAAATCACCTGATTTCAATGTGAGGAGGAGTTGATAGGAGGGATTCAAACTGGCACACACAAACCTCTTATTCTGGCTCAGAATCACCAGAATCACCAGAATCAACCCCCATCAACCATCCCCACCTTCTATAATGGGTAAAGTTAGAGGGCATTCACAGGCCATTCGCAGGGCATTTGCAGGGCATTTGCAGCGGTTTAGCGATTCAACCAACCAGATTTCAAGTAAGTACCACGCTAACGAACTTTCCAGGACTGATGTGTATACCTGGTGATAGCGTCCACATGGGCCAATTTCCGGTAATTTGCACGTGTCCGTTAGTGCCCTTTTCCCTGTAGTGGAGACCAATTTTTGCGCCGGTGGAGGTTCCATCCAGGAAACCACGCTTTGATGTTCCTTTCCCGTCCTTTGTCGGGTCGATTCAACCGCAAATCTTTTGGTGCGACGGTTACCGAAAAGCGCACTGTTGTTTTACCTTTATACATCCAGTTTGTACTTGAGGTGCAGAGTGCGCGATGAACCATACCGTAGAAACTCGCGAATATCGGATTTGGGGTCTGCAGGAAATTCCCTAACTCGGCTACATACCTGATGCTTCAGGCAGAGTCAACGCAACAGACTGTACGATTCTCTAAGAAATCCCCAATTCTGAGGCAAGCACGCTGCTCTGACTGCCTGGGCACGACAGATATGGGGCCCAGAGAGGAAATTTACCCCAGGCCCCAAATCCGATATTCACGAGTTTCTACGGTATGCTCGAAAGCGAAAAGACGGACAGATCTCGAGTCCGAAATGCTCGGGTCCGAGATCGGATAACCCTACGTGCTGTAGAGGTAGGTTTGGATGCAAAAGTTAACAAGAGCAAGGAAGGCATGCATGCCGTTGGCAGCAAATGTGAGTTTGGTGAATTGGGGATTCACAGCCAGTGTCGATGTTGCGATGATGATGACTTCACACTCATCGAGTGTCCAAGGGTCAGTGTTCCGGTGATGACGGCCAAGGTATGTGTGTTGGCGGCGTTGATGGTGATTTTGATCCTCTGAGCTGTGCCGTTTACCCCGACTTCGATCTATAGCCTCTGATGACAACAATAGACATCTTTTGGCTGTTTTGTGATGTTGTTGGGCTATTAACGGTGCCGTTTATCCAGGCTATGACGTTGATACAGCCACTCTCGAGCCGCAACACCGTGTTATGTTCTATGTGGTTGGGGTCCGAGGTGTAGTAATCTCTATTCGAGAGGTTTAACACAAGAAAACCATTGGATGAACCGGTTGAGATCTGGGTATGATACTCACTGTTGTCAAAGTGTAAGACATTTCTCTCGCTGCCAGCGGGCTACCAACGGACACAATGTGTAACCGAACTGGATATTGCCTAACATTGTTTCACGAATAAGGCTGTTGTGGAACATCAGAGCCGCACGTTTACACCAAAGAGGGAAATGAGAAAACGAGACTCCATTACTCGGTATGACGATCGTCATCAGACAGAAAAAGTCTTTTCACCTTCCCAATTAAACTCGCATGAGGGCAGGAGGGGAAGCCAAGGACATGCCTCGGTTCGGCAAGTTTGTCCCGACTCGGTGAGACACAGCTTGAGGTAGGGAAAGAACTCCCGTTGTTGTTAGTAAGCGGGCTGTGAAACGAAATGCAAAGTGCAGTTGCCAGAGAGAGCTCGAACTGAAATCACCTTTGTCATCCAACTGAAAGTTGGAAATGTCTTTGGGAAGGTGCAGCGGAGGAGGCTCATTCTCTGTTAGAGGTAGTCTTACACCACAAATGGGGACCAGCTGCTTTTAAGTATCCAAAGAAAATAATACCACATTCCATTATGATGGGATTGACCGACAAAGTAATTTCGAAAATAACAATTCTGTGCAAAAGCTAACGTATATACTCTCCAACATAATGAGACTCCTCCTTTACCACCCATTCATCCTCTATTTGATACTCTTGATGCTCTTCTCCAGCTCCTTCACGCTCTCCCTGACCTTGGGGCAGTAATGTTTCCTCAACAACTCGCCCTCCCACACCGTAGACGCGAACGGGTTGCTACCCTCCACCGTCGCCGCAAGCGGCTTATATGTGCCGTCGCCCTTCCTCTCCTCCGTGTTCCAGAGCGAGCTGATCTTCCTGCCGTGCGTGTGCAGCACGTCGGCGAGCAGGCCGAGGAGCGCCTGGGCTGACTTCTCGGGCACCTGGAGCGACCCGGACATGAGCTGCTTGGTGAAGGCGGCCAGACGGAGCGGCGCCACCGAGCGGATGTTCCAGGGCGGCAGAAGGATACCGCTCAGACACTTGACGAGCAGGACGGTGGTGGTCTGCAGGTTGATACGGTTGTTGCGGCGCACGCTGTTCTGGAGCTGGAGCGACTGGGCGCCGAGCTCGAGGTCCGGATTGACGGAGAGGGAGAGGAGGGACTGGAAGAGGTGGGTGATGAAGAAGGAGAGGTCGAGGTGAAGGTCGGAGCGGGCGTTGTGGGCGTCTTGGCCCTCGAGAAGGGCGAAGGCGGTGACAGTGCAGAGGAGGGCTTCGCGGCTGGTGTCACGGACGAATTCGTGTTCGTCATCTTCGTCCTCTTCCTCTTCCTTGTTCTCGTCATCTGAGTCGTCCTCCTTCTCAGCGTCCTTCTCGCTATAGCGGACCAGGTCTTTTAGGGCCTCGAGGAGATCGCCAAAGAAGTCCTGGTTGATCAGGTGGGAGTATCTGGCCAGACCTTCAAGACATGCACCCATGAGTTTGGGGATACGCATCTTGAGGATGCGGAAGTACGAGGCGAAAACCATCTTGAGCGTTTCGGACTGCATCCGCTCCCGCTCCTCGTAACTCACAGCCGCATCGGCGTGGGCCATGACCTTCTCAGCCTCCTTTTGCTCCTTGAGAAGCTTGCGCTCGCGCTTGGTGCGGAACTCCTTCTTTTGCTTCGGCTTCTTGACCGACCCATCATCCTGCTTCTCCACCGTGTCTCTGGAAGCTTTGCCGGAGAACTCGCTGAGCAGACGCAGGTGGAGGAACAGGTTGAGGATGCTCTCGTCAACCTGGTAGTTACGAGCCTTCATCATCTTTGTGAGTACTGAGATGGCCTCCATGGCGGGCTGACCATCCTCATCCTCGTGGAACAGGGTCTCGAGAGCTGTCCGGCACTTGACAAAGTCTTTATCAACATTTAGGTAGCTCAGCTTCTTGATGAGAATCTTAAGAAGCTCGCCGCGGAAGTTGAAGTGCGGTACTGCGTTCAAAAGGGTGCAGGCGCAGGTAAGGGCGATGCTGGAGATGGGCTGCTTGGACTTGTCGCGAATAGACCCGCCTGCGAGGGCAGCGAGGGTCTTGATGTACTGGTAGTAACCGGTGACCATGGCCTGCTCATAGACGCGTAACCGCTTGACATCCTTGGACAGCTTTTCCTTGGCAACATCCTCCGAGGCCGGTCTTATCCTGTAGCCGGGAATGACATCCTTATAGACGGTCATCTGGACAACAATGGCGAGCTTCTTGATGGCGAGAAGGTCCGACTCTCCAATCTTGGCGAGCGCCTTGAAAGCCCCCGGGTGCTCCTCTGGGTCTTCGTTGAGTTGCGTCGCGATCTTGGCCATTTCCTCCTGGGCTCTCCTGATCTGTTCACGCTCGGGAATCTTGGGTGCTTCCGGCTCAGGCTGAACTTCCTCCTCCTCAGGGGCCTCCTCTCCTTCACTCTCCAACCACTCCGCATCGCTCGCAATCTCGGCGTCCTCCTCTTCCTGCGTAACCCAGGTTCCTTCGGCAACTCTGATGGGCAGTTTCGTGGCATCGGCGGCCTTCTTCTCCTTCTTCTTCTTTCCTTTTCTGGGGCGGTTCTCATAGTCCTCCTCGAGGTTCCAGCTTTGTGCACTCTTGAAGAACTGCTTTTGAATTTTGACGTCGCTGGTTGCTGCGCCGTCCGAGGACTGACCTTCCCCGGTCAGCTTCCTCCGCTTGGAAGGATGGGAAGACATAATATGTTGTTGATGGTTGTGAGATGATGTGAAGTGAACCGGAAACACTGAGTGTGGGCGATTGATATATGCTGAAGACAGACTGAAGTGAGGTGTTGAGAGCGGTGTTCTGTAGTGGAGATGGGTATCGATTGTTGTTCTTCAATGAGATGAGCTCAGGAACATTTTCCAAACTTTTTGGACCCTGGCCGCCAATGCTGGGGTCTTATCGGTGACGTGTGGTTGGTCAACTCTGCTTATCGGACCCCACCCCTTGGAGAAAAAAAAGTTGCTGAACCATGAACGGCCATTGAACTGCACTTCACTTTGCGATTGAGTGCATGCGCTGGAGCTTCGAGTGGCCGCATCTCTCTCCAACTTGAACTCCCTTCCATCCCAACAACCCACTCTCCAAAACATCACCACCGTCGCAGCAAAGAGAGACCGCGGCAATCTCTTTCTCGACAACTGTACATATATCCTACATCCAGTATTCCTAGTCTCCACCCCCGCGATAGACGATCGAGACTGCACCCCTCCCGTCTCCCACCACGCGCCGAAAGGCCGACCGGATTCCCACTTTGCGACGCGATCGAAATATCGACATCGGCTCTCCTCACGATACAATACGATACCCATATAGCCGAAAGATAGAAAGAAATACACAACCATGTCGTCTTTGGCCTCCCAGTTGGCCCAGATCGCCACCAACTCGCGGTCGACGCTCAACACCAAGGTCCTCAAGGCCGCCCACTCCAAGTCATTGATCTTCGAGCCCCGCGTCGCCGCCACCCAGACATACCCCGAGATCTACTCGATATGCCTTGAAGGCTTTGAAGAGCTATGCAACCTCGATTCGCGCTTCGCCAAGTTCGCCCAGTCGCTATGGAGCGAGCAGAGCCAGGAGGCCGACAGGACACAGATGAGCGCCGCTGAGAACGCCGCCCTCGATAAACATGTCGAGGCCTTCCTCCACCTCTGCGGCAGCAGGTTGCGTCTCATGCCCGCCATCAAGGCCATCGAGTGGTTGATTCGCCGGTTCCGCATCCACGAGTTCAACACCGCTGCCCTCATCGCTACCTTCCTCCCATACCACACCATCCCGGCCTTTGTGACCTTGCTGTCCATCCTGCCCGCCAACATCCCCAAGGAGTACCGCTTCCTCGACCCCTACATCCGCTCTCTGACCGCGCCCCCTCGCGCCGCCATTGTCCAGCAAGCGACGAACCGCCCCGAGCTGCTTACCGCCATCTCCCAGTATACCCTCGATTCTTGCAAGTACCAGATGGAATACCCCGGCCTCATCTCCTTCTGGGGTGGTGTCATGGTTGAAGCCACCAACGGTCTCCTCGACAAGTACCGTTCCGGCAGGAGAAGCATTCAGATCGAGAACGACAACGCCCTTATGCAGCAGCTTGGCCCTGTCCTGAGTGATGCCATGGTCATGAAGAGCTCCCCTGGTCTCCAGATTGCCAGCTACATGGTTGTGACTATTCTTGCTGCCAAGGGCGGTCTCGCCGACAACGCTCTTACGGCCTTCATGGACCAGCTCGTCCATGGTTGGACTCCCGAGACGATGCGCCCTGGTCTCGTCACCCTCTGCATCATCTCCCAGCACCGCTCCGCCAAGCAGCTTTCTGCCAGAGTCACCAAGGCTCTCCTCAAGGTTCCTGAGCTTGCCTCCGTTATGAACGAGATTGGCAAGGACCACAGAGTCGATAAGCTGGCCAACGGCCTTGCTCTTGCTCTGGTCGACAGACTCCACAAGAAGGGTGATGTCCGCAGTCTGCCTGTGGTCAACTCGCTACTCCTTGGCAACGTTCTCCGTGAGAAGCAGATTAAGGTCGTCTACAAGTCTCTGTTGGTTGCTGCCCACAGAATCAACGACCAGGTTGATCAGGATGGCGCGATTCGCAAGGAGCTTGGCACCATCCTGGTCAGCTTGTCCCAGGCTGGTGGTGAGGTTGGCGATATCGTCCGTGCTACCATCGAGGAGGTTGACTTCGACATTGATGCTCTTGAGTTGACTCTTGGCGCGTCCATTCGCCCCAAGCTCGCCGTTGAGGATGCGCCCGAGGCCGCTGCTGAGGACAACACTCCCAAGGTTGACAAGGAGGCGGAACTCGCGCAGAACTTCGAGAAGCTCTCCAAGCTCAAGCCTCAGACTGCTTCGTGCTTCGCTGAAGAGCCTCTTGATCTTCTCGAGGAGCTCTACTCGCTCTTCTTGTCCGTTGCTGCCGACGAGACCAACCTCTACAAGTTCGATGAGGCCCCCGTTCTCAGCCGCCCCCAGGCCCCTACCAAGCTCTTCTATGCCAGCTTCTACATGCGTCTCTGGTGCGGTTCTCTTCCCACTTTGGCCAAGGTTGCTGCTCTTGACCGTGTCAAGAACCTCCTGAAAGATGAGGAGTTCGCCAAACTGGACTTCCAGGCCGTCGTTCCCTATGCCATTGTCGCTCTTAGTGACCCCGCCAAGAAGGTCCGTCGTGCCGCTGCCGAGCTGGTCACTGTTCTGGGATCTTTCTACGAGACCAAGCCCAGCAAGGCTCGCCGTGTTTGGGGCTCTGAGGGTCTCTATGCCAAGACCGCTGCTGTCAGCTGGCTAGACTTTGATGCTACCAAGTCCCTCCTCCACTCCGTCCTGATTCCTTCTCTCGAGGAGTCCCTCCTTCACGAGGACCACATCTTGGCTGCCCTCACCAACGCTCTGGAGAGCTCCAAGTCCAAGGACGGCGACAAGAAGCACCTGTCCCACGCTACCAGACTTGCCATCTTCAAGTTCCTTTCTAGCCATGTTGTTGGAACACCGCTTATTGCGGTCAAGCTGAGACTCCTGCAGCCGCTCAACCAGATCAAGAGCATCTCCGGTACCTCCAGAACCGACCTACTCCTTCCTCTGTTGCAGTGGTGGGCCCGCCTGTCCGAGGCAGAGGCTCAGCAGCTCCTTGCCCGCGAAGCTGTGGATGAGGCCTCTGTCAACAATGCTTTCGTTGATGTCGTCGTTGCCAACAATGAGGCTGGTCTCAAGCTGATCTTCGAACTCATCAACAATTCCAATGTTGTTGCCCGCAACGGCCTCGTCCAGTCGCTCTTCGGCCGTATCCAGAAGATCTGGTCTTCGATGAAGGCCGAGACTCAGTTCTCCACCGCTCGCGCTCTGCTCACTCTTTCTCAGGCCGTTCACCCTACCGCCTCAGAGCCAGACGTCGTTGCTACCGAGGCTACCGACGTTTTGCACAAGGTCGAGCTGACTACCGATATCCTGCTTGACTTCCTCGAGTCCCTGTACGATGATATTAAGAAGGCTACCGAGAAGCCGGCGACCAAGCGTAGACGTGTTGGCTCGTCTGAGAAGAGCGTCGACACGCAAAGCCCTGCCGATGTCAGCGCCAGCCTCAACAAGGCCACCTTTGTTCTCGAACTTGTTCAGGAGTCGAAGCCTGAGGAGCATCCCGAGTTGCTTCCCAGCCTCTTCACCACTCTTTCTGAGCTCCAGCATCTCCGTACTGTTGTCGGCTCTGAACTGGGTTACCTCCAGAGCCTGGTTCTCAGCAGTCTGCTTGCCATGATTCCGGCTTACAAGGACAGCAAGGAGCTCACTATTGACCCCGCGGCTGGCCATGGTGATATCCTCGCCTCCTGCATCCAGCGGTCTTCCAGCCCCACCGTCATCAACGCTGCCCTGCTGTTGGTTGCCAGCCTGGCTCGCACTGCGCCCGACGTTGTCTTACACAGCGTTATGCCCATCTTCACTTTCATGGGCAGCTCTGTCCTCAAGCAGGCTGATGACTATTCCGCTCACGTTGTCAACCAGACCGTCAAGGAGGTCATCCCTCCTTTGATCGAAACCTTCCGCAAGAGCAGGAGGAACTTGGTTGCCAGCACTGCCGAGCTTCTTACCAGCTTCGTCGTTGCCTACGAGCACATTCCTTCTCACCGCAAGCAGGATCTCTTCATCACTCTCATCGAGAACCTCGGACCCGAAGATTTCCTCTTTGCCGTCCTTGCCATGTTCGTTGACAAGTATGGTGCTACTGACAACATGCTTGCTTTCACTGCGCAAATCATTGGTTCCTTTTCGGTGGAGATTCAGCTGCAGACCCTCATCAAGCATCTGGATCTCATCAGCGACATGTTCAAGCCCAAGCCTGTCCTCTCCGCTGCTCTGCTCGCCAAGGTCGACTCCAACTCCTCGCAGGATGTTCATGAGCTTGCTAAGAAGCAGCTTACCCTCCTCCCGAAGTTGCTTGCGAACCGTCGTCTGAGACGCGAGATCTCCGGTTTGGCTGAGAAGGACGATATGGAATCCGTCAAGATCCGTGAGCTCTATGCCCAGCTCCTCGAGGGTGTCCTCACGCTGGCTGGCACCGTCAAGGCCAAGAAGACCCTTCACGACCGCTGCGGCGAAGCGCTCTCGAACCTCCTCAACCTGCTGTCCATTGCCGAGTTCATCAAGAGTGTTGAGGCTCTTCTTGACCGTCCTAACGTCACTTTGCGTCAGAAGGTCCTCCGTGCCTTGGAGCACCGTGTGGACAGCGAGAGCACCAACAACCCCAAGTCGAGGGAGGCTTTGCTTGCTTTCTTGCCCCAGCTGACGGCTGTCATCCGCGAGTCGGACGACATGAGCTACAAGCACACCGCCGTCAACTGCGTGGACAAGATCGCCGAGAAGTATGGCAAGAAGGATCTCGACGCCGTTGCCGCTGCTGCGGCCACCATTGCTGGCGACAGCTGTCTTGGCCAGCCGTCTCAGGAGCTCCGCGTTATGGCTCTTCTCTGCCTTGCGTCTCTCGTGGATGTTCTGCAGGACGCTATTGTCCCTGTCCTGCCTATTGCCATCCCCAAGGCTCTTGGCTGCCTCGAGGAGAGCATCAAGGCCGAGAAGCCCGATGGTGCGCTGCACAACGCTGCCTATGCCTTCATGGCCGCTCTTGCCCAACACATTCCTTACATGATCTCGGGTGCCTACCTCGACAGACTCCTTGCCTGCTCCAACGCTTCTGCTGCCGCTGGTCTGGACGAGGAGTGCCGCGCCAACCGGGCTGACTGCCTCCAGTTTGTCGCCAAGCTCATCGAGGGCAAGGTGCTCTTCACTGCCCTGGAGAAGAACTGGGTCAACGCTGCTGCTTCCGGATACTCGGTAAGTCTTCCTCCTATCACCAATCCTGCTACATTTTCTAACCATCATCAGGCTCTCGAGGAGTACCTCCACGTCCTTGGCACCGCTTTGGACAAGCACCCCAAGTCCTCCATTGCCAAGAACACCGCCCTCTTCACCGGCATCTTCCTCAACGCCTTCGACCTTCGTCGCAGCGGCGTCCTCTCTTCTACCCAGGAACTGGAAAAGATCGAGCTCCTCATCAACGAGACCTCTCTCAAGATGATCTACAAGCTCAACGACGCCGCCTTCCGCCCCATGTTCTCCCACCTCATGGAGTGGTCCACCACCGGCCTGCCCAAGTCCGACCTGGCCGGCAAGGCCCAGCGCCAGGTCAGCACCTACGGCTTCCTGCAGCACTTCTTCGAGAACCTCAAGTCCATCGTTACCTCGTACGCCTCGTACATTATCGACTCGGCCGTCAAGGTTCTTTCTACTCCCCTTAGCGGTGACGACGTCCTCAAGACCCTCCGCTCTCGCGTCCTCCGCACCCTCACCAAGTGCTTCGAGCACGACCAAGACGGCTTCTGGCAGGCGCCCGCGCACTTCAACGCCGTCGCGCCCGTGCTGGTCGAGCAGTTCGGCCACGCCGCTAGCGCCGACAACTGCACCGAGGATTTGGTGCTCACCGTTGTCGAGCTGGCTGCCGCCGCCGACAGCAAGGAGCACCACAAGGAGATCAACTCGGCCCTGCTCAAGCACCTCCGGTCGGAGCAGGCGGCCGTCAGGTTGGCGGTCATCAAGTGCGAGCAGGCCCTCACGGCCAGGCTGGGCGAGGAGTGGCTCCAGAGCTTGCCGGAGATGTTGCCGTTTATTAGCGAGTTGCAGGATGACGACGATGAGGTTGTGGAGAGGGAGAACAGGAAGTGGATCGTGGCGATTGAGGAGACGCTTGGTGAGGACTTGGATAATATGTTGCAGTGAGGGGTTGCTGGGGGTAAAGGCGATTGTTGGAAGAGTACGTAATGTGATTAATGGTCACGGAACGACGTTTATGTGTGGTATATGATCAATGTTCTTGATCATGTTGAAGGATATCCTGTAGATGGATGGATGGATGGATAGCATTTGCATTTGTAACTGGCGTTAGGTACAAAAAGTCATGGTTGGGTTTGATGTCAATAGATATGCAATGAATCTTGAAAGTCTTGTTTGTTGGTTGTACTTATTTTGTGTCCTGTGAATTCGTCTATCGCTCGCTCATCGAGCATGCACGCAGGATACTCTCCTACAAAGCCAATTGTGTCGCAAAGAGGAAGATAGTTCGCTCTGTTTAGCCTTGATCCTTTGGGTATCTTCTCCCCCCCCCCCCCCCCCCCCCCCCTTTCTCTCCTCTCTCATCCGCCACTGCGCACTCCTCACCAATCCCATCCCTTCCAAACCCTCCGGCTTAACGAACATACTTGCTCATAAACCTCCTATGGAAATCACTCCTCAACAAATCATTCACAAACTCCTTCTTCTTATTCCTATCATCCACCCCTCTCGCCTGGTTCTTAAACACCACGTCATCGTCCCACCGCCTCTTGACCGTAAAGTCCGGCTTGTTCAGCAGCGGATTGCCGAGCGCTATGTCCTTCTCGCGCTGCTCTTCTTCGGCCTTTTGGCGCTCAAGCTCCTCGCGCTCGCGCTTCTCTTGACGCTCGCGGCGCACGCGCTCGAGTTCGCGTTGGAGTTCGGCTTCTTCGTCGTCGCTGTCGGAGTCGGAGTCTGAGTCGGAAGAGTCTGATGAGGCGTCGTCGTCGTCGTTGTGTTTGTTCTTTGCGTCGCCCGCCTCCGAGCCCGCCGCGTCTGAATTGTCGTCGTTGTCATCGTCGTCATCTGAGGAGTCGTCGGCATCAATCTCCCTCGTCAACTCTAATATCCTTCGTCGTTTGGCTTCTTGGTCTTCCTCCTCTTTGTTGTCACCACCACCCGTCAAAGCCAATGGCCGCTTAGCTCCTCCCGCTTTCTCGTTGTCGACATCATCGCCAGAAGAAATCAAAGCAGGTCTTCCACCCCTCAACTTGGCCTTGTGCGCCTCCTCAGCAGCCAGCAGCTCGGCGCGCAGGTCGCGCGTGTCGCGGTCTTCGGATGCCCCAGCGACGCCGCCCTGGCCGGGCTTGCGGAACTTGAGCTGGGTGTAGGCGGGTAGGAGACGTTGGTGGTAGGCGGGACCGCGGAGGGCTTCTTTGCCTTTGGCCTGTTGGGGAATTTGTTAGTTAGTAGGCGGGCGACAAAAGGAGAATGCGGCGGGATTCTATTCCGTTGATTGGGGGAGGATGAGGATGAGGATGAGGATGAGGATGAGGATGGTAGTGGGATGCGTACCGGGTCGAAGGTAGGTCTGTGTGCTGTGGTCATTTTGGCGGCTTGATTCGGTTAGGTACGTAGAGATAGTTCTTGGGTTTGGCGGTCGATGGCGGTGGGTGGGTTGGAGATGGATGAAGCGCGCGCGTGATAGAGGAGGGCGAGAGGCCGGTGGTGTTGGTGTTGGAAAATGCTGCAGAGAGAAGTTGTTGATGGCGAAACTGGCAGTGGACATCCAATGCAGCACCAGTGCTCAGTGTTTGGTACATAAATGGATCCAATGACGCCCTGGGGTCCAGTCTCGCAGGCGCGCTTCTTGACCGCCCGCCAGGCCCAGACCGCATGCCGCAGCGGCAGAACCCGCCAAATTTTGGCGGACTTTAGTGGCAGAAATGGGACCATAGCGACTGGGTGCAACCGCAGCACAGTGATCTTGAATCTTCATCCAAAAGTAAACAAACTCAGTCAAAATGCCTAGAGAAGCAGAACCATCAGCCAACGAGAAGGCTTTCCTCTTGAAGGCGCTTCAAGACGAACAGATCCGCCTCGATGGCCGCGAGTTCGACCAATACCGCCCGCTAGAGCTCACCTTTGGAGACGAATATGGCGTCGCTAATGTATCACTTGGCAAGACAAAGTACGTTTGTGTACTCTCACCACCACAACACCACGCATATTCAATTTGAGACACGCCTAGATACTAACCAAATTTCCCCATCCAGAATCCTCGCCAAAGCCTCCGCCGAAGTAACCGTCCCCTTCGCCGACCGCCCGCTCGACGGCATCTTCACCATCGCCACCGAACTCTCCCCCATGACCGCGCCTCACTTCGAAGTGAACCGGCCGACCGAAACCGAAGTCCTGCTGTCTCGCCTGCTCGAAAAGACGGTCCGCCGCTCCGGCGCCCTCGACACCGAGTCGCTCTGCCTGGTCGCGGGGCAAAAGTGCTGGTCCGTCCGGGTCGACGTGCACGTGCTCTCGCACGACGGCAACCTGACGGACGCGGCCTGCTTCGCCGTCGTCGCCGCCCTCCGCCACTTCCGCAAGCCCGACACGAGCATAGAGAACGGCGTGCTGACGGTGTACACGCCCGCGGAGCGGGAGCCGGTGCCGCTGGGTTGGCTGCACTCGCCTTTCTGCGTGACGTGGAGCTTCTTTGGCGACGAGGGCGAGACGGCGCTGCTGGATGCGGATTGGATGGAGGAACAGGTCAGGGTCGCCAGTGTCACGATTAGCTTGAACAGGCACGGCGAGATCTGCCAGATCGCGAAGCTCGGGGGCGTGCCGGTGGAGGCGGTTGCGCTGCTGCAGTGTACCAGCGTGGCGCTGACGAAGGTGAAGGAGTTCTCGACGTTCTTGGATGGCAAGTTGGCGGAGGATGCGAAGAGGAGGGATAAGGGCGGCTTTATGGCCGAGTTGAGGGCGGAGAATGATCGTGTTGTTGGGTGACGCGGTTGAGGAAGTAGAGGAAGAAGTGAGATACCCAGGTACGGCCATAGAGCCGAGAAGAAAAAGCTGTGTGGCTAGGGCGGAATCTGGCGAGGATACGAGGCAGCTATGTAGCTGACCTTGCTTTCACGGTCAAGAGAACCGCAAGCGTTGTCCAAGAGGCAAGCCGCTCCATGGAATGGGTTCTATTATTAGGGGAGGCGCCGCGAAGGACGTGTTCTCCCTCATGTCTGGTCTGAAGGGAATGGCCCCGCAACGGCGACCGGAATGGCTATCTAACATTCTACAGGGTATCTTGCCATCAGCTTAATCCCCAAGCCCTCAGCTGCCGGTAAAGCTGCTAGATGAACAAGGAGAACATATAGGCGCCAGGTAACCGCAGTGTCCCAGCCTCTATCTCTTCTAGACGCAATGAGCTCAAAGGTTTAGTTAAAACCCATGTCTGAGCTCCCAAGATGCTTCTAGGCCTTTTCCCCCATGATCCACTCCCGTCCAATTTTGCCGTCTTTTGATCCGGTGGTGAGGTGATCTCGCGCTCCAGTAAGGGTGATTTTGGAAGCCGGCAGCGGGGTCTCGGAGCGCTCATGATCTACCCCCTTGGTCATTTAGCAGGCGGTGTTGATCAACAGCAGGCGAGTTCCAAGCTTTGCTGGCCCAACAGCGAGGAATCGGCTCCCGCGTAGGATCCTCCGCTCAGACGCTGTCGATGTACGTTGATGTACGTCTGCAAGCTTGCCGTCGTGATATAAATCGTTCTCTCCATCAATCAGTTGCTCACCGCATAACCGGCGGCCTCGACTCCTTGTTCCACTTAACCCTTGACCTAACCCACTCCACCGCCTCCCTCACGCCCGTCCCCGTCAGTGCCGACACGGGTAACACCCTCGAGTCCCTAATACTCGCGCTCTTCTCGCCCTCAAAGACCTTCTTCACCAACCCTTCCTTGATCCGCACCACCTCGACGCAGTCTTCTCGGTCCTGCTTGTTCGCCAGTATCAACAGCGGTACGCCTTCCGTCTCCGAGTGCTGCAGCACGTCCTCCAACACGGCCCGACACTCGTCCAGCCGGCCGTTGTTCTGATCACGCTCGATTTGGCCGTCGCCAATGTCGGTGCTGTCGATGATAAAGATGATGGCGTGGCAGGACGAGTAGTACGAGTGCCACAGGGCGCGCAGGGAGAGCTGACCCCCGACGTCCCAGAGCTTCAGGTACATGTCGGGAAGGGTGATGGTGGAGACATTTTGGCCGACCGTAGGAACCGTTTTCAACTTGGGCTCGGGTTGGTCGGGGTGGAAGAGGGCTTTGACTTGTTCGTGAAAGGTGGTCTTTCCGGCATTGTCGAGACCTAGGAGGATGACGGAGTATTCTGCGGTGCGGGAAGAGGGTGGGTGTTAGTGGACTATGGGATAAGATGGAAAAGGGGTTAAATGGAAGGGAAGGGAAGCTAACCCTCTTTACTGGTCGCTAATCGGTAGAGACCCTTTGCTAGGTGATACATGTTGGCGATTTGTCTCGGGGAGGTGCTAATGGATCTGGCAAGGGCGTGTGGAAAGGCAACAGGTGTTGTAGAGACTCTCGACGATATTGTCTATGTACACGGAAGACTTGCCGCAACGGGATCGGGAGCGTGTCTTCCCCAGACTTGTCAAACGCGCCGGGGGGCCGATCACACAGCGTCGAGGCCCCACATCTCTAACGGGCTGACAGGGGCTTGCCATCCCAAGTTAGCGGCTTCAGTGGGTTTCTGGTCTGAAACGTGGACCGCTAGGGATGGATCAGCCCGATAAGATAAGAACCCGCGGGGAGCTCTCTGTGTCGTCATAGGCCAGTTTCACAGCATCAGGCCGCTTCCAGCTTTCTCTCTGACTTTCTGCTTCTTCTTTCCCCATTCTTCTCCATGGCACAGAAGCTTCTCTAGACATCCAAGAGCACATTTACAGCCTTCGCCATGGCTCCCGTCGCTCTAGAATCAGAGCCAAGGTACGTTACGACTATGCGCCATCGGGTAGCTCCCACTTATACACGCCCAAGTGGTGAAAGCAAAAGAGAGGAAGCTAAGTATGTGTCTACGATGTGTACAATCAGCTAATTCGGATACTTCTACAGGTATCTACCCTTGGTTCTGGCGGGATCGCATATCACAGCCTCTCTCTATCTCACTTACATCATCGGCTTGGGCCTCTACCGATCGTATGCCCAACTGGGCCCAGCCCAAGACACGCGTGGCCGGATATCGCAACGACAAAAGCTGGCGGCGACGTTCGGCAGTCTATCACTTCTGAGTCTAGGATCTGCCATCAAATCTGGATTGGAGTATCTGACCCTCTCATACAAAGTATGGGCATCCGAGCGCGGCATCCCTCTTCAGCAGACACTGTCCGGCGGCTTCAGCCTCGAGAACCTCACACCCGAACATGTCCGCGCTTGGTTGAATGATACACCGCTCTACCTCGATGCTCTCGAGATCGTTGCAGAAAAAGCACGGAGACTGTGGTGGGGACAGCAGCTCGATCTGGCAACGGTCTCATGGACCATGTTGCTGGCAGTCGAAGGCCGCAGGAGAAATATACCTTTCCTCTGGGCATATGCACTGCTTGCGCATTTGGTCAATCTCTCATTTGCGCAGAACTTGCTCTACGTCGCTATGCTTTTGACGCCTGCGCCCATTGATAATACTCACAAGTCGAGGTATGGCTTTACAATTGGTCTTTTCCAACAACTCTATAGTCTGGCTAACTAATGCCCCTGCAGACTATCGAAGCTCCTCGCTCGCGCGTTCCCACCGAAACCCACCAACTGGTTCCCGAAGCCCGCCTTCTTCCACATCCTCCTTGTTCTCAACTACCTCGTCATGCTCTGGGTGCCTCGAACCGCAGGAACCGTCAACTTCCCCACAGCCGTTGCTATCTCCAAGGCACTGTCCCTTGCGCCTCTGGTTCTACCAGCCATCATTCCCAAGTCCTGGGGAACGATCCACACCGAGCCACACGACACCTACAGTTCCCTCACCAAACTCTTCAACGTCATGTCAGTTGCAAGCCTGCTTCTGCACTGCAAGACATCTATCGCCGGTCTCTGGTACAACCTCCCTGGCTCGTACAAGCACCGTCACAGCGTCAGAATCCCCTTCGACATCGAAAAGCGATCAGCCTGGGAGCGAAGCACAACCGCCATGGAAAAGATTCTAGGCTCCATGACAGACCACCCAGCCGTCGCAGCCGCTGGCAAGGACGTCCTCCTGTGCGCTTTCAGCCTCGGTATCTGGGCAGCGGTTCGCGCCTTAGACGTGGACCACATGCTCAAATCGGTAGCGCCATTCTACGGAAAGAAGGACGCAAAGAAAGCGCTTCCCCCTTCGTACCCGAACGTCGCAAAGATGGGGATTACGGAACCCGAGCCGATTTCGGAGAGCGAACCCTCGCGCCCGAGCTCTTCTTCAAGCTTGACCATGAAGCTTAGGGACCGTGGCAAGCATGTAAGCTCGAAGCTCGCCGAGGCTCTTACCGCCAATGGCAATGCAGAGACTAGCCCGAACCAGGCACCAAGGAGACGGGGAAGGCCACGCAAGATCAAGCAGGAACCGACGCCGGAGCCGGAGCTGGGAACCATTAACGAGGTGGCTGGTGTACCTGATGCAGCAGCTGACTCGACTTATGAGCCTACACCGGCGGTTAGGGCGCAGGCTGTGGAGGGTGATGTCTTGCCGGATGATGAGTTTGATTGGGAGTCGGCGGCTCTTGCGTGGGGGTTGACGGCGCTGGGAGGATTGGGAGTTGGGTCTTCGGCTGTTTATGGGGCTGAGTGCGTTTCCCGTTGATCGAGGGTGTGAGGATTGGAGAAGTTCTTAAGCACTGGCGTTTATGGAATGATAATGAGGGGAGTATATAAGCTGGAGGGAGAGAGTTCATATAGCTGAATCTGAAAGTGCTATCTACGTTGCTCGTATGGTTGTTATGGTCTGGTGTTGTGGAACCGCTGGGCTACGGAAAGGGGGATAGGAAGAGACTACTACGCCATGCTGGACACAAATGGTGAAATGAGCAAGTATCACCACCTGGTTCGAACTACGTAAATAACATAGCACACGCATCAACTGAGCTTGACTCTTCTGGACCTTTTCTCCTTTTCGTATCTCGAACATTTCGCTGTGAACACAACACATGATTTTGGAAGCAAAGACACTATCAACCCAGACGTGAATTTGTTCCTCCTAGAGACACTGATCTAACCTAAGGGTATAGTAGAAACAAAAGAAATCCCTAATAAACCATAACTCCTTTTCGGGCACCTCAATGGAGGAAACGTTGTCAACGAGGACATAGCTACCCGCCGAAGACCAAAAAAAAAAATCAATCTGAAAATCCACAACCCTCTATAGGTAGGATCAGACATCCTGATAACACACTTTTCCCCAACGCCAAAACTGCAAATCTACCTCCATCCCTTTCTTTCTCTGAGATCACACTCTGATACCCTTTTCCGAGACACACAAAGCCCCTGCTTGGCACATGGGCTTCTCAGATCATAGTAGATCTCGAGAAGCCAGGCCACCCTTCGCTCTTTTTCTCCACAACACTTGCTTCAATCCTCTTCTCTGAATCACCATCCCTTTCTGCTCATCCTCATCACCATCTCCATCTCCACCCCCTTCTCCTTCCCCTCAAACATAACACATCACCAAAACAGGCCCCTCCTTCCCCGCCAGCTTCTGATTATACACATCCATCACCACCGAGTCCCAATCCCCATCACTCCTCACATTCCGCGGGCAGCCGGCCGACAGGACATGGATGTACGGAGAAACACTAGTTCTGCCGCAGATGGTCCCGATGGTGTTCATAATGTAGGTGTAGAACCCGCTGCGGACGATAGGCGAGTGGGAGTGCTGGTAGGTTACGGGCGGGCTGACGTCCTCGTTGGTGGAACGGTTCTTCATGTGCACGTGGTAGGTGAGGTCGGCGTCGTCGGGGACGTCGAGGACGAAGAAGACTGTTTCTAGTTTGACGGGGAGTGGGACTGAGGCTGGGATTGGGACTAGGGCTGGGGCTGGGCCTGGGGCTGGACCTGTTGTTGCTTGTTGGGCTACTTCTTGTTCGCAGCCCTTAGCGAACTCATCATGGGTGCGCTTCCGGGTGCCGGTGAAGATCAGGTCGTCGGTTTGGGTGGCGGTTGAGGTTGCGGTTGAGGTGGTGCTGGGTGTGGGTGTAGGATCTGCTGGTATGGTGTTGACAGGTGCTGGAGTGGAAACAGGAGCGACGGTTTGAGTGGTGCTGGTTGTGATATTCGGTACACTGGTATTGACTGATGCTGGGGTAGGAACAAGAGTGACGGTTTGGGCGGGGGTGGTTGTGGTAATTGGTACGGTCGTCTGAACAGGAGCTACGGTGGCTGTAGGGGCGGCAGCTATGGGAACAGGAGTGGCGGTTTGAGTGGTGTTGGTCGCAATAGTTGGCACAATCGTCTTGACTGGGGCTTCGGTGGTGGTAGGGGCGGCAGTTGGAGTAGTGTTACTTGTGACAATCGGTTCGACGACGCCGACAGAAGCCGCACGTGGCTCCGGGATGGGGACTGATGCTGAAGTCTCGGCAAAATTAGGTTCGCTCGTGATATCCATCTCCACAGGTAGAGCATTGTCAGTGACAGTACTGCAGGGATTCTCGATCGCAGCTGTTGTGGTCGTGTTGCTGGATACCTCTAGAGCAACCGGCGCTCCAGTCTCGACACTTTCTATCACAGTCTGCGAACTGATGCTAGATGCTCTGGTAGAGGTCGTTGTCGCGGTCGTGGTTGAACCTTCGGAACCTGTCTCTGACCCTTCGGAACCCGTTTCTGGTATAGGTGAGGCAGTGGTTGCTTCCGGCGAAAACGCTTCCAACTCGGCAACTGGTGCGGGTGAAGATGCAGATGCCTCAGAGGGTTCTGGCGATAGGAGTGCATTCGGGTTGTTCTTTACTGCGTCCTTTTCCTTTTTTCGAAAGAAGACTTGTTGCTGGTAAACAATGCGGTAGAGGAGCCCCATGAAGTGGACCATGATACTGTAAATTTGAGTTAGCAGCTGTTCGTTGCAAGGAGGTGTTTGGGATCTTGGAAAACTTACAGGGTCGAGTCATTAGGCCATATGGTTTGGCGCCTATTCCCAGGGGACACATAGCACTCTGTCGAGCCGAACCACTTCTCTCCCCAACCGGTCGTGAGCATATAATATGCGGCACCCCCCAGCATATTCTTCATGCCCCTCACATCACCCTGAGTTTTGTGGTGGACAAGGCTCTGAAAAGGGGAATTCAGTACAAAGTCCTTCATCTCCTTGTTGAGCTCTTTGCCCTGCCAGTCATTGAGTTCGAGGCGTCGATACAGTACCGACAATCTTGAGTTCCGGTCTGTGAAACAATTAGCACGAGTCCAACCAAAGTTCAAGTAATTGGGGTGAGAACTTACCAAGGGTGATATAGTCCAGAAGAATCGGGAGCTGGTTCGGGTGGAGATCGACACGCCGTGTGATGGTTGCTCCTCGGTTGGTGTAGCAGTGACCGTAGCGAAAACCGGGGATGTCGCTCACCCGAATGTACTGATTGTCCACAGGAGCTGGCGGTGTGTTTTCCGGGGAACTGGCAGAAGGAGTGAGGAGGTTTGGGTCATTGACCTGTGGTAAGGCATTGCCCAAGGGGAGACCGGCATAGGGCTCTTGAGCCACGGGAGGACTAGAGTTTGGAACACTGGCCTGTGCAGGGATCTCGAGGTGGTTTTGCGAGATGGACTGTTGTTGAGGCTGTTGTTGAGAGCCTTCGCCCTGCCAGGAGTCTGAGACTTGGTCAACCATCCCGTTCAGTAAGAGCTCGGGCCTTTCCATCTGTGCAAGAGCAGCCTCTATGTCTGCCTCATCAAACGTGATCTCCCCCAACCAATCCAACGACTCCAACGATAGGGCGGGCTCGGGGGGTAAATCTGAAGGAGTCTGAGTACTAACCGCTGGGCCACCTGAAGTGTGTCCATCCTGAAGCGAAAAGGGACTTGCAGGCGGATCAGGGGCACTGGGCATACATTGTCCTTCCTCTAACTCATCATGACCGTCCGTGAAAGGCGGAGTTAAGGCCTCAAGGAGTTCAAGCTCGTCAGGTGTGAAGTCAGTGGGACATAGCGTTGGTAGGTCTTGTGACGGTAGAGGCTGCTGCTGCTGGTGGTGATGTTGGGGTTGTTGGCTTGTTGATGCTGATGGTTGGGGCAGCGTCAACTCGACCGGCCCCGGCTCTGGTGCATGATCTGAGGCATGATGTGATGGTGGTTCTTGGTGTTGTTCATGTTGTTTTTGTTGATCGTCGTCGTCTTCTGATTCGGAAAAGAGCGAATGCAAATCATCATCAGCAGCGTCCCCAAAGAGCGAATCGAGGTCATTGTCGACAACGTCGTTCTCGTTCTCCCTCTCGTTGTCCTCGGCGGCAAGGAACTCCTCCTCCAGGTCGGAGAAGAGGTGGTCCTGCTCAGAGTCCACAGAGACAGAGCCCATGATTGAGATGGTAACTCTTACACATACAAGAAGATTCAGCCGGTGACCAAGTCCAAAGTTTGCAATAAAAAGTGCAACAGGACAGTCAACCGAGGCGCGCGACTGGCCGAGTCACAGCGACAGAAGGTGCAATGTCGAGTGATTGATAGTTTGCGATCGAGTTTGCAGCAAAAACCGAGCAGCAAGTTCGAAGTCGCAGTCGCAGTCGCGGATGAAGTGAAGACTTCAGATGGAGATGAATGCAGTTTGATAGAGAGAACAGGGTCTGGAGGTCGAGAAAATAATGTGGAGCTCCACGTCAAGGATGGGTCAACAACGAAGGTTATCCACTGTTGCCTGCATGTTAATCACAGTGCTAGCCTTGCTTTCAGCCACAGCTAGTCTTTGCGTTATCTAAATCCTATAGGGGACAAATGGGCCCTGTGGGACGAAAATCAGGGGCGGGACTCACTATAACGAAGATCACTTGCCCAGTGCAAACTTTTCCAACGGTTATTTGTGGCTTGGCTTAATTGGTGTGGCGGTGGCCTGCGCTTAGTGCATCAGTACCACCACACTTAACCCTGTGCATAACGTTTGCATATCCATCACCTCTAACCCTGAGTTGTGTCTCAGGGGTAATGAGTTGACATCGAGATCGAAGGCATTCACCCACTGACCTGCGGTAGAGGCGTAGATGGAATCATTCCATTGATATCACTATATCGTTTATCATAATGCCCTCAACTATGTCACAAAATCCGTCAACTAGGACTCTAATGTCCGGTGCGAATCCGGTCAACGTAAATTCAACCGGAGTAAAGCTACCGTACGAACGATCCAACACAACAACCCTAACGCCATGCCATGCCTTGTAGCTTTGTCCCATTATAAATATACCATCATGAGCTCTTCCGTGTATCATTCCACAGCTTATCCACAATCTGGAAAATCGCCGTCACATCCCTCATGATCGCAGCATCCACATCCCCTCCCAACCGCTGCTGCATCTTATCCGGATGCCAGCGGACTCTCTCGTCCTTCAACCTTACCGCAAACTCCTTCTCTCCCAGCTCTTCCAACCCTATCCCGTGCACAAAAAACGCCCTAACCGTTTCGGGATCCATCTCCTCAATCTTCCCACCCACCACCTCCCTATTAACAGGCCAAGGAATTTTCTCCGCATCAATCTTCCCACCTCCCGTAGTAGCGGCGGCAGCAGCAGCAAAGTCCTCCCAAGCCTTGAGATACTCCTCCCACCTGTCCTTCCACACCCTCCTCTTCCTCCTCTCCTCGCCCCTCTTCAAGCTCCGCTCCATCTCCTTGGCGATCCTCCGCTCCTCCTCTTCCCTCCTCCTCTCTTCCTCCTTCTGCTTCTGCCTCCGCTCCCGCTCCTCCAGCAAGCCCTGGTGCGTCTTTTCCCACATCCTCTGTCGGACATACGCAGCATACTCCTCGTCCGTCATCCGCTCGAGCTCGCCCTCGGGGTTGACACGCTCCCGCGCGGATGAGTACACGTGGATAGGCTGGCCGTAGACGCCTTCCCAGTAGGCGGCTCCTTCGTCGTCGGCCATGGCGTCGAAGAGGGACTCGCGGAAGGCGGCTTCGGGGTCTAGTGGGGGTTCGGCGAAGGGGTCGTCTAGATTGGGGTCGGGCTGTCCTTGTTGTGGAGTGGGTGAGCGATGGTGACGGTGCCGGCGGTGACGGTGACGATGGCGGTGTTTGCGACGGGGTTCGCCGTCTTTAGGTTCTTCATCCCGATCCCTGTCCCGGTCCCGGTCCCGGTCGCGGTCTCTGCTCCTATTCCTTTGCTCTCTTTCCCGGCCGTCACGGTCATCCTCCTCGGAACGATGCCGGCGACTACGGTGCCGATCTGATCTAGGTGAGCGCGATCTTGATCGTGATGGCGACCGCGACCGTGACCGTGACCGTCTCCTCCTCCTCCGTGATTCCCTATCCTTGTCCTTGAACCGGAACTTGGTCACCTTAGGCTTCTTCTCCCTCCTCCTCCCTTCAGAATCCCGATCCTGGTCCCCATCAGCCTCCCTATCCCTTTTGCGTTCACGATCACGCTCACCTTCCCCATCCTCATGCCCACCAACGATATCCTCCCCAACCCCAGTCATGGGATCATCGCGGTCATGGCTAATACCCCTATCCGACCTGCTGTCCTTTGGAGCCTCAGCCGCCAGTGAAGTTGACCGTGACCGGCCCCTGACCGTACCAGCAGCAGTACCCCCACCACCAACAGCCCTTGCACTGTTACCATCTAGGGCCTCAGCATCGCTTTTTGCAGGTGTAACAGGAACAGGAACAGGGTTGTAAGAAGCCAAGATTCTTCGCCGTTTGGGGGATCGTGGCGGTGAGTTGAATCCGTCAAAGGACATTTTCTGTTGTTGTTGTTGGTTCAAAAGGCGGTAGTCCTGTGGATTCCAGACCCCTTGGAATGGATGGGAATATCGTCCGCGGTCTGCTTGGCCTCCATGTGACGACCCAGAATCCCAGACGGGGGTCCTTGCTCGGGGCCTCTTCAGGCGCGCACTTGCGACGAATATGTCGGCTGTGAAGAGGTCGCGTCGATCCGTGACTGTTCTGGGAGTTGAATCTGATTTGGGGTGCGGTGACCTAGGTGAGGTGGTGAGTTTGACGCTGCAATTAGTGGTGATGTTGTGATCAGATTGCTGGGTGCTACAGAAGCGAGCTGCCTACAGACAGTGTCGAAAACAGTGCACATGCCTGAAGCTAGTAAATTACCAGTTTGGCACCATCTGGTATTCTGTTACAATACCATGGTATTGTAAACTTCAAGACTGTTTCTTACCTCTAGCGTCTTTGCTCGCACGTGGATTTTCATTGGGGGTTAGGGTCCAGCCTGCCACTTTAGCGCAGCCCCCACCCTCCATCCCATGTGCTCCCATGGAAGTCGCTTCCATGGCCATGGAACAGCAATAGCCTCCCCCCTCGCTCGCTTCATGTCATGAGATTCTTTCTCCGCACAACTCGGCTGCTTCCGCTGGCGAAGTTCTTAGCCAATTTCGCATTTCTCGCAATTCCCACTGGAGTCGCATCAGATGCTCGACAGTAACAATTGACCGCGCCAATACTGTACTGAAAAGAACCTCAAGGCTCCTTCATTTCGCGCTAGAGGGTAGTACACCGTTAACGTCTTGAAACTGTGTCGAGGTATCTCTACCTACTCCCAGTCTCCCTTACCGAACACATCCATCCCACACTCCGGACGGAAATTCTTCGAGGTCGAGAACAATCCGTCAAGACATTGGGTTGATGTCAATTGATGCCCAATCGTTGCCTCCTCCTCCCGAACTACCTCGCATCTCCATTTCGGTCTCGGATATCGGGTCCATCATCACCATCAAGGATGCTTGATGTCGGCGACGGACGGACTGTTCTCGATCGCACTTTTCTTCAAAAGTGAGACACATCGTATAATTGGTACTGATCAGCAGAAAAAAGCATCAAGTAGCAACAGCAATTGGCAAGTGAGCTTTTGCCAAAGGTTGGTTGCATTCTCGGTCAGAAAAGCAGAAGCAAATCCCGTCGTGCACATCATGCACACTGTACCTCTATTTATTGAGGACCGTTACATCGCTGAGGTTTGCACTAATTAAAATGTTGAATGATAGGTAACCACAAGACGTCAACTGTCAACTGTCAATAAACTGCAACTGCAAGTTTGATATATCTACTGCCACTATCCAGGTTCCCAGGGCAGGGTCTCATCAAAAGAACAAAAGAAAACCAAAACAAAAGTACCGCCGGCAAAACCCCGGATCTTCATGACCATCCTCATCTTTTCTTTTCGCGTTGGCTTCCCTCCGTTAGTAACCCCTTCGAGAACCCCATGCAGCTCGCCAAATGTGTCTGTGAGGCAAAGTGCTTTAAGTGAGGCTTTCGTGTCGTTGGTGTGTGTACAACTGGCGTCTAGAAATTTGCAAGAACGCGTGCTTAGCTTCCGCGGCCCCAATTCAGGAGAAAAAGGACGGACGGACGGAGACTAGGACCGGGGCGGACCAGGACGGGGGAGTTACTTGTTACTTGTGACGAGGTACACTGTACGTCAGTCGCGGCAAGTTGCCGAAACGAATGAGCTGCAGTGTGCATGAAGAAGTATGTAGGGGACGAGACGCATGCGAGTCTCACAAGCGCTTATCCCAACTACACCTCATTGCGTGTTGCGGGACGGACGGACGGACGTGTGGTAAACAAGCGCTTGGGGCGCGCGGAGCGCCCGCCATGCCATGCCATGCTATGGATAGATTGCCCGTGATGATGGCGGTGGTGCTGGTGGTGTGGAGATGAAGGCTAGGTAAGATTCAAAGAAGAAAGGTACGTACACTAGCCCTGAGAATCCGAGGTAATGATCTTCTTCCGGTCACTGCTCGGAAAAGCCTCGGATCTTTAGCACTTCGGGATACTGATGGTGGTGGTAGGAACATGGCGAACAGAAGAGTGAATGTCTGCGTATGTACTGATGATGAAAGCCGTGCAGACTTCACATCGACAAGTACCTACCTATGATCACAGGTACAATGGTTAAAAAAACACTTGGCAAAGAACACACCCATCTTTATCTCCACCACTCCCACCACCAACATCACCACCATTTCCACCGCCTCATTTTCCACCCTTTTCTTCTTCCCAGGTATGTAATATCGTTGGTTCACCGGCCCTTGTAAGTAGTTAACCTTCCATCCAACAGCCCCGAAGTTTTTCTTTTCTCTTCCCCTTCCCCTGGCTGCCTAAAAAACTAGCGGTAGATCATCATGCACGTAAGAACTCAGGAGTCACGTCACGGCCTCACGGCCGGCTGGATTACTGCAGTCAGTCATCATCATCACCATGATCTTTCTAGCCAGCCAGCCAGGTATTACTCGCTACCAGTCATTCCCATTCGGCCTTCTAGTTCTGTGAAGCTTTGCTTTTGTATACGCACAGTACCCGTATGTGCATCATCATCATTCTTATTCTCACCTTCCATCACCCAACAGTCAATGGCTATCCGACATGTGGTGTAGGGCGTGAGCCGTTGACTGGTTGATTTCGATGCTTTTTTTTTGGACGAGAGGTCATCTTCACTGCCTCGACGAAAGGCGTTGTTTTGTTTCTTTACTTAGAAACGATTTGGGAGCTTCTTCTCCGTTCTTGGGTGGTAATTACGAAGCATGAGGTCTTTAGTTGGGGAACTTCTGGCTGCTGCACTGGAGTTCAAGATGAATAATGGCCTTTGTTCGAGAAGTTAGGTACCTAGGTATCCACGAAGATCTGTGAATACTTAGTAGTGAACAGAAAAGATACAAGAAACCACCAACTTTCCACTCTTCAGAACACCCGCAAAGTGATCCCTCAAAGCGCATGTTTCCGGTCAATATCGAACATCCCCTTCTTGACTACTAAGAACTGACTCACTCACCTTTGCACTTCTCCCTTTTCTTCCCATTTTCTTCTCTTCAACTTCCCATGCTTCTTCGCAGCCATCAACGCCATTTACCCCCCAGACACTTCCAGTTCCGAAGCACTTTGCTTTTTCACAGTATTCCCAATGTCTCACTCATTTCTCTATTTGTCTCTTTTTGTCTCCTTCACGCCCAACACAACCCTAATCGAGCCATATTGATGTTACCACTCGACCGAATCCGGCACCCATCGAGGGTCTAGAAGAAGAGAAACCCAAGATTGAGTTCTCGTGTTGGCGTTCGTTATGGTAGGTAGCATTGACGACTGGTCACTTTGCACTGCTCGTCGTTCCGTACCGGATCATCTAACTCCACTACTCAAGAAGAACCTCGAACGAGCTCGAGACTTCATAAACGAACCCGTACAGTATGCCATTTTCGTACCTACCTAATCATAATCAGACATTAACGGGAAAATCCACAACTTGGCAAAAACGTGGTCTTCATTTCGGTAGTCATCTAGACCCCGTCCCCGTCCCCGTCCGTCTCCCCCCGTCGCTTGGAGACTCCGCTTCCAAATCTTAAAGTAGTCATGATGTCACTCCATGAGGGGGTGTCATGCCCATGCTGTGGTTCCTTTCTCGATTATCAATTTACCAGTGTATTGCAGGGGTGCCACATGTTGTGTAAATGGAGTGTGATGAGATGGAGCACTGTTACGGGACCGGGTCGCTAAATGATTGATTGCGACCTGAGTTTCATCGAGAATGTGCATCTCTAATATGGTGTATCAGGTATTGGGCTTCCGTGACCCGAAATATCCGCTGGAAAACGTGTGAATATCACATTTGATTTCCAACCCAACCGAAGGTCGGAAAGACACTGTTGTGATGGGGCTGAATGTGATGGCGAGTGTGAGATATGATCACTCTTCGAACTTCGGGCGAATCTTCCATTCAAATCCGCAGATTTCACAACTCCATGTCTCAGAAAAGTGCCTTGAGTCAAAGACATACATACAGTAGCCCGTTCTTCTGCCCAACTATTAAGCTCCAATTATCCTATTCCTAAACCGCACACTCCATCCTCGGCGTAGCTTTTCATAACGAACTCCGCCTTGGCCAATTAAAGGGTCGTCTATCTCCTAGACTTTTACGAGCCCCTGACATCCCCCCGACGGGTTGTACCCGTGATTTGCCAGTCCCATTATATGTGAAACAGAAATTATGATCCCGGTGGTCCCCCGTAAATGAAAAGAAGTCCAGATGCAATATAACGAACGGCCAAAAATGCAAAGCGCCACCCCCGGACATGATAAAAGCCAAATTCCTGTAAAACACCAACCCAATGATGATGACCCTGGTTGCACACCAAAATGAGAAAAACACGGGACATGTTCCCGTGACCACCTCCTCTCGGCCCCGTTATAGGCAGGGATATTAACAGACTAATGGGGCAGCGGAGTTGCGATATTTGAAAGCTGATTAGTAGGTTGATAAGCCGTGGTTGTAGAAGGATTAGGTGCGGAAGCGAAGAATAGGTAGCGGTAAGGACCAGCCGTATGACGCTCGAACGCAAGCTTGGTTCAGGAGGAAGCAGTAAAAGGAGTAACGATGAATGTGAAACATGGAGCGAAGTGAATCAACATGACAAATGGAATTTTGATACAAAACGAACGTAGTAAGACACAAAGTCTAGGAAAAGAAACACGCTCTCATCAATGAAACAGCCATTGCCGGTTGCCCGGTCTCGCTTTCAGATAACTCTAGATCAGGGGAAAAGACAAAAGAAAGATGCGAAAATAAAGAGCGTAATGTTGTGTAGTTGGGCTTGAGCGAGATCACTCGTTAAGCGGCGGGTCGGTTGGAATGCGGCTCATGCCTCCATTGCTCAACTGGCCTTCGTAGGCTCTCAGGATGACCATGGGACCCCTGCAACGGATGTCTATGGGCACCTTCGAGGGGGCCTCTTTGGTTGATAGCCCATCCTATCTCTGGCCTAGGAGCGGGCGCAGGAGGATAGGGCTGATAGGCACCACCTGATGGGCTTTGCGAAGTTAAGGGGACAGCATGCGGTCCATTGGATGCCGGGGGCGGGGTTGTGGTCGATTGAGGCTGATCAAGTCCCCGAAGAGGGGGTAATCTTGGAGGAGGGAGATGAGGTGAGTGAGCCAAGCCGAAGGCTGATTGAGGCATGGCCATGGGAGCGGGCGTGTTGTGTGCGTAAGCTCCAGTAGTGGGCGACGGGTCTGTGTCAGTCCTCCTCCGTCTTCTGGGCCTCTCGAGTGTCAAGGACTCGTCGTATGGAGACGAATGGGTGTTGTCGGGATGCGACCGGGTGCGTGAATGAGTATAAGGGTTTGAAAGCTGGTGTGACTGCGGGGGTTGGGCTTGCGGCTGCGGTGGAGGTAGCGGTCCCGTACGGGGGCTGTTCTCGACCGAAAACGAGGGTACGCTTGGGGGCGACGATACAGGAGTCGGTTGTGCTGGGTCCGCCAGCTTGCTGAATTCAGGAATGCCAGCCACAATCTTCCTCAAACGTTCTGCCTCGCTGCGAAAGTAATCGCGCTCAGTGGTCAAATCCTGCATTTTCTTGGCCCACTCCCGGCTCTCAACCTCCAGTCTCTGCAAATCCCTCTCCCTGTTCCGCTCGATCTCCCTCTTTCGCTGTCTGAACCGCGCCGAGGCTCCCGCGTTTCGCTGTCGCTTCGCATCCGCCTGTCTCGAGCCTTGATGGATATCTACCGGAACCAAAATCTCTTCGCCAACAGATGGTGTAATGGTAATCATGTGCTGTCGGCCATCAACTGCAAGCCTGCTTCGGTCCTGAAGCAGATAAGCGGCGGTCAACCCGCCTGATACGGGTCCAGTAGTCGTGGTTGGAGGACTGGGGAAGGACGGGTGAGAAACAGGTCTTCCTGCGGGCTCCCGAGTAAGATGGCCAGATTGTAGCGGCCCTGCTGTTACAGGTGGCGGAAGTCTTTGACCCAGAAGCGGCTGTGATGACGGAGCAACCATTCCAGTATTCGGTTGCGCAGGCGGGGGAGGTAAAGAAGCTCCCTGTCCGTGGAGCGGGCCGGAAAAGGGGCGAGGACCTGGGAAAGTTGGGGGACCACTGAGTGGTGAAGTGTTGTGAGACGGCGTTGGGGTCCTTTGAACATGGGATGGCATGCTTGGGAGCTGTTGGCCTTCCATGGGCCTTGTTGTCCCGCGGCTCATGCTTGATGGTCTTGGGGACCTCGGGGTTAACATCCTCCTCGACATGGCTATTGGAAAGGGATGGTTGGTAATAGGAGATTCGTGTTCGGAAGACGGAGGAGGCACCATGGAGGATGCGGCGGGAACTGGAGTAGTAGTTCGCGACCCGGGCATGCTTTGCGTCTGATAACCATAAAAACGAGATGGGGAACCATCAACTGGGTACTGGCCCATTCTCATGGTTGCCTGTGGGCTACCCCTTTGGGCAGAAGGCATTGGGAGAGATGGGGCGGGTGTAGGAAGACGCTCTTGGGGTTCGGAAGGGTTCAGAATGTTGTGCACGCCGGAAGTTTTCGATCCTGTTTGAGTGTGGTTTCCGTCGATGTTGGTCATTGAGGTGTTGCTTAGGTTACGATGATGCCGATGGCTCGGTCCATCTTGACCAAAGGCTCGGTAGGACGGCGACGGGGAGTGAACGTCACGCGACGATGAGAGCGCGGGAGGGTAAGGTGCAGGACCCCTCTGTGACATTGCCTGTTCCCCTTCGCTTCTGTGGTCTTCTGCACCATGATACTGGCGACTGTCGTCGCCGTTGGAACCCTGTGAAGCGAGTATAAACCCGGAGCTGACACTTGGTAAGCCGTTGTGTCCAAAAGTCGTGCTCGAAGACCCAAAGCTGTAGGCAATGGAAGAGATGTGGTCTGAAGAGTCCGCGCCGAGCCACCTCCGGGGAGGCTCTTGGGGACGGGAAAGAGCTTGGATCGCCAGCGTGACGGATTTAACGGTGGTACTGTATAGAATGGTTTATTAAATCACCTTTGTTGAAGAAGAGAGTGTTGCTAGCGGCTGGTGCGACGGATGAGTGAGTCTTTATGCTGCAAAAGAGTGTGGCACCCGAGTCGGAAGTACTGCCAGCTCCACGTTCAAATAGCGAGGACGGTGTCGGTTCCGGACTGCAGTAGCGGCAAACGCACACACAGGATGAGCTGCAAGATGTCGGGTACGTGTTCGAGGCCCGTACAACCAACGTGTCAGCCAGGTTGTCAAGCTTTAGAGACAAAGCTGGCGTAAAGACAAGAGCTAAAGAGACTAGCAGCGGGTGGAGGCGAGCGGGGACTACTTCGACAGGAGGGTCGTCTGGCGGATAGCTCGAGGGCCCCTAGCGGAGTAGAGAAAAAATGACAGGCGTAGACAAGCAGTCCCGGTGGGTAATCGATGCAAGAGTAGTTGCGGTGACAAGGTGGGATGGGATGCAGGTTTCTGGACCACTCATCGTCGTCAGGAGGAGACTCGCCCACTGAATGGTCCTGGGGACCACGTAGCGCTAGAGGTTCGCCGCTTGAGTGGGCGTGTGTCAAGACGAAGCCTCCTTCCAGATCCTTATGTTTCGTTAGCTTCTTGGGATAGTCCGTCTGCCTCTGGTGGAATTCTCGTTGGCTTCACGGGTAGTCAGGATGTCGTGACGGTGGTGAAGCAAGAATCGGTATCGGGTTGAGGCAAAATCGCGCTTCAAGGTCCCCGCCAGCAGGATCCAGACTATATAATCTGATTGGACCACTGTTGCTTTACCTGAAGAGCAGAGGCCGTGGATAGGGGAGCATAAGTCGTCCCACGAGACAAGCCACAGCCCTTGAGTTGACGTGTGAGCTCCAAGGGTATCTCAGTTCCGCCGGCCACAGTGACCAGCATATTTCGGAGCCTGTAAATTGTTCACCCATGCTTCTGTTGCTCGACCCGTTCTATTCAAGTTGCTTTTTATCTGCTGGGTGGTCGTGCTGGTACCGGTACGTAGTGTGTACCGGGGGGTGGACAAGTCAACACGGGGGATAATGGCGGAATAGGTACACAGTAGTAGTCAGCAGGCAGTGAGTGGATAGGTAGCTGCCGGGGTGCGGCAACGTAGAGGAAAAGCAGGGGTTGTAAGAGCCATGTCATGTTGAAGTGATGGTCGCTTGGTAAGTACTAAAGTCTTTGACAGGGCTGTCAACGATCCTCCTGGGGAAACTGACAGACTCAATGTTACCTAGCACTTCCGGTTGGCGTGTTGCCATTTTCGCTCAAATTATCTTGCGCGGATTTCCCTTTTTGCTGGCCGTTTTTTTCGTGAAGAGTCCACCCTGTGGGCAACATGGGTTATCGGCCTGGAGGTGGATGGATCAATGAGGGCTAACCGGACACTGTTCGTGATTCCACCACGATAATAGCGTACATGTAGTGAGGTCCATGAGGCCCAAAAGGCTCACAGACATCCACACAGCACAACCATACTGTGTAGACCCTCTTGGCGTGACCCGAGCATACGGCCCAAGCAACTGGGTTGGTGGTGGATCGCTCGCATCAGCGGCAAATCTAAAATGGCAACTCGCGTTCATTGCTGACAATGGGTCGATTCAGACTTTCCGTAGAGCAGTTGAGGTGAGCATTGGCATGGCTTTTGGAGAAATTTCCGGATTGGCTATAAACGCGCACCGTGCCGTTTTCAGGATGACCGAGAGGCTGAGACTCCCGGTATCACTCATCTTAGGTGTGGTAGACGTTATATGTGAGACGAGAAGAGAACCGGCAACGTCGTATTGGTATTGCCGCGTATCAAAAATACAACAGCCGGAGGGTCCTTGGAGTTGCGGCATCTCGCGTGAGCGAAGGTTTTCCGTGTGAACAGTCAAGCAATTTCCGTGCACGCAGTCAAGGAAACCAGTCCAGGGCGCATACTGTGTAGGTATGTCGCCATCCCGAAGGTTATCACGGGTGGAGAGGGCGGTAGCGATGATGCGCGTGATAAACCATAGCGATCCACACAGATATTTACAACTGGTGAGAACCCAGCAAGCTTCCCGGGGGGAAGCAGGTGCTCGTTCCCTACACCCTGCTTCATGTGCGTGAACGAGGCGGACGATGCGATATGACGATCCTATTCCAGACAGAGAATTGTGCTTATGGTCTCACTTGGCCTCGTTGGCCTCTTGGATATCCCATCCCGACTCTGGCTCGCCACGAGATGTTCCCGAGATCCAAAGCTTATCAAAAGACCTGCCGTTTGTGGGCATGGATTCTCAAAGCCGGGCGGGCAAAGTGAAAAGCCCACGGAGAAAAAGAGATTCGCATGGCCCACTGCCTACACGTTGTACGGCGTAGTCAGGTTTTGCGCGCAGAATGTTGTCGTTGAGTGGCTCCGGTGGACTTGAAAAAGTCGCGGCGGCTGCATGGGCCAATCTGGGGTCGGCCGGCAGCTTGTTTTGTATGGAATCCGCACCAAGGAGAGATGATCAAGGGATTACACGACAGGGCGGAGCTGATGGTGTTGAGCATGCCGGCTGACGGGAGGTGATAAAAAGACGACAGAGCCTCGGAGGCATCTTCTCCAGGAGAATGATGTGAGGTGATGTTGCATGGCGACAGACGGGTGCGTGCTGCGTATCCTGATGCCAGTCATGCCCAGCTGCAGCGGCTGATGCCATCCCCAACAAATTACGGGCCTGTACGTTTATTAACTTGATCCCGGCAAGCCACCGAACCCAAAATAAACGCGGGAATGTCGTTCGCCAGAGTGGTCAAATAAGGCACGAGATCGTGGGCGCACCGCCTGAGGTTTTGGAGTTGTAGGGTCGGGTAGGCGTGTCACTCTGCCTGTCCGGTATGTATGTACGGGGCCGGGGACCAGGTAGCGTAGCAGCGTAGCAGCGTAGCTTCAGAGGCTGTCATGGTGATGTGGCTACCAGATCGGGTTCTGTGGAGTGCCTTGAGTGGTCAGTTTGGCTCGATTGTTGCAACACTCCATTTTCCATATGATGGTCCTTACAGAGCGGCCGTTCTTGGCATCTGGGCTGTCTGACACCTCAGTATAGTGACGCTGCACTGGGAGGGGGGAAAAGTCGAGATGTCGAGATGGGTGGTGATAAGTGGAAATGGACAGGTGCAAATTGTGGAAAGTGTGCAAGCCCACAAAGTCCAAAATTGCAGTGTGGAAGGGCTGGGGCTGCCTTGCCCTGAACTTGCCCTGCCATCCACGCATGCTCGCCGTAGATGAGGCCGAGATGTAGAAGGAGCGTCTTCCGTCGTGCCTGCCAATGCCAGTACCAGAACCTCCAAGAACTGAAGGTAGCAATGGGAGTGGTGTTGTCGACCGCAGTTAGTTGCAGCTTGCAACTGAAGTGTGAAGGGCTGATGTAACTTACGGTTGTATTGCGTAAGAAATCCCACTGTGCTGGACTGTATTTTCATTTCTGCTGCAAATTGCACAGTGCCCCCGTGTCTCTGGGGATGGTGTTTGGTGTTTTCGGTTTCCACTTTCCGTCACATTCAATTCCTTCTGTCCCTGCACAGTGGACCTTGGCTGGGCGTTTGGAACTTTCCATAGAACACCTCGAGAACACCTCCGCGGCACCACTTCTCACCTTGCATCTCTCCTCTCCAAATCATATGATGTTTCCGAATCTGGTGCTTCCAATGTTTAGCTACGGCTTCAGTCTCGTAACTAAACAAACAACTCACCACTGAACTTGCGTCGATTGACGCCTGAACTTGCCTTGACCCGCCTCCCACATGCAACAACTGCCAGGTGATGCAGATATTGGGTTGTCTTGCAGATATCAAACTCTTCTGGTTGGGCTGCTACCGTACCGTGGCTGACCATATCCAGAGGCAGGTACATAACGGCATCTGTATCTTGATCGGCCATGGTTGGTTGGGAAATACGTTGACTGCAACCCTCCGTAAGGATCAATGGCGCATTGGTAGCAAATTGGACACATCCCGTGCTCAAATTGACTTTGGCCTTGCTCCTTGCACATTCACAGTGAGGCTTCTGCTGGTTTCCTAGGTTCTGCGGCCCAACATGCGACCTCGTTCACGCGATGCTTCGGATGGTGTGGTGCCCTGGCTCAGCCGGGCGAGCCTGGGTAGGAGGTGCACCGTGTCAAAATTCCCTTTTATATCGCGTTGTTGGCGCCAGGGACGGGGGAAGGGAAGGACAGCGTTGATGAAGCTGCTCAGTCTACTCGGTGCTCGGTGACTTTCGAAACGCACAGACTGGTTCGTTGCTCTTCATGCCTATGCCCGTTCCAACGTCGGATAGTTGCTGCGAGCTGGGTCGCGCATTTGCTCAGTGTGACCGGATGAGGTGATTCCTCCAGAATCCCATCCAGGTCGGCGTATCGATATTTGGTCCAACATGGCACATTCCCGCTTGATTACTGGTCCGAAGACGAGATTGTCAATTTTGGATCCGTTCTCCCGAGATCACTCCATGCTGAGTAGGCAGCAGGCCCAGCCCATCACAATTGTGACGCCGGCGGCTCTGACGTCTTGCGAATCCGAAATTACATGTGGTATTGTGTCGAGTCTCTGAGACGAACGGGACGTTGAAGGACATCGGTCTCAACAACGTGGAATGCCCAATGTCGAGAGTGCCAGAGTGGAAACAAATGGCAGCGGTATCGATACAAGACCACTCCCAACGACTTCGTTGCCATCTTCTCCTTGAGGTTGTCAAGAGCTGAAGGTGAAGCGGGAACGCGCTGCAGCTATGGCATACAGATCCCCGCATTCTAGCCGCCTGCGTGTGTCGGGGCTTTAATTAGTGCACGGGCCCTGACAGGTCTGACACGGTACTAACTGCACGGCCAACCTACATAGCATTGTGGCGATATAGTAGTGACGACAATTCAACCACTCGACATCATGTTCCGAAAAGCAACCAACCCAACGTTCAGGCATTCACATCTATTGCCCAATGCCAAAGTTGTAGGTGCCGTCATTTGCGAATATCAAAAAGCATTCAACTTACCGACGTCCCTAGTAGCTTTACAATTTACGATTCATGACATCAACGATGGATGGAAACGACGGATAACGATGGGTCTACCGTTGCTCAATACCCCATGTCTTCCCCAGAAGCAAAAGAGCCTAGGGCTGGCGCGTTTTCCGATTCGACAATGGTCTTTTGACCGCCTTTCCAGCTCGATCTACTGCCATTGACGCTATTTCCACCCGGATGCACCTAGCCGGCAGGGGCTCCCGTGGGGCTTTCGGAGGGAGAAAGGCAGGAGGATTGCTATATCCTCCAATGACGCTTTACATTTGCCCCTTCAAAGTTCAAACTGCGGCCAGATGTCAGCAAGTCGGCGACGGCAGCCGGAAAGCCAGTGCCTAAAGGAAGTACTGACCACTAATACTTTGTTCTCGAGACCACCCAAATCGCGTACAGAACCTTTGTGATGGGACAATGTTTGCTTGTTGGATGCCAACACCTCAGTTGCAACTCATCTCCTCCTTTCCCTCATACGAGCGAGCGCAGAAGTTAAACTGGATGGCTTTGCGCTAGGGGATCAAGGACAAGGGAAGGCATCAAAGACGGGGACCATCGGGCCTTACCCGCATCTGTCTTGTTCGTCTGGCCTATCGAGAGCCCTAGAAGCTGACCGGGGCATATAGTGCATGCAGCAGCGGTCGATCATGTGTTCCTATCTTGGGGCCCAAGGCTCCTAAACGGTCGATGGGCCTGTCCGTCCTGCGTCTAGCAATGACGGGAGTTTCAACTGTATCAAATGCATGGGCGAAAAGAGGCTCCTTGCCGTGATCTTCTTACGTGCAGACAACAGGGCAGGCCTAAAACATATGACTCAACACCACCATGGATGAACGGATATGCCTCCTTCCACCTTCTAGTATCAAGAATGGTGTCTGGACGCCGAACTAACTCTTCGCTGTAAGTCATTTACCATGAACGGCTCAAAAGACCGTTTTGGTCACCCTAAATGTGCAGGGCGAGTTACATCAAGGCATGTTCTTGTACTGATTTGAGGATCTTGCCCTAGATGTTGCATTACGTACTTTACCGTAACATTTGTCATAAACTGACCGGTGTCTGTATTGGCTGTAACGCTGGAACAGCAGGACCACTGGAGCTGGACAGGCGAAAACACTTTCCGATTCGAAGATAGTTGCAGCCAAAACATCAGTTCATGTCTCCAAACCCAGAAACCCAACGACCTCCTTCCCACAGAGTACCAACATTAAGCTTGGTCGGCTTCCTCGATTTGGATGAGGCTTTCACGTCCTGAATGTCGGGGATTGGCGTTGCAATTGAGGCTCCAGGGTCATTCACGATCATGATGTTTCATGGTCGACATCCGATTGCTCAACGGCGGCCCTGACATGCAGCGCTGGCTCTTTTGGGAAGCCCCTAGAGGTATGCTTTTGGATGTGTCGTATCGCAAGACTCGATAGTTACACATCACGGCCAATCGGTGAGCTATCTCTTTCTGTTCCTCACTTCAGAGTTTCTTTACCACCTGTGCAAAACATTCAGCTTCCCGGTCTCCGAGCGTGGACTGATTGGATCGATGGGCCTCAAGCGCTGCAAGCGCTACATATCTCATCCAGACTGCCAACAAACAGCAAGTGGATGTTTCCTCTCCTGCTGCCATGTCCAACGGGTAGCTGCCGCACGCCAAGACACCTCCTTTGCAAGTGCAAGTGGCAGCAATGTCTTAAACTGGTGCCATCGAGGTACCTCGCATTGGATCACTGCACTAGCGTCGTACAAGTAAGCTACGGCGCACGGACTAGCCTACGGGTACCTTTCCACGACCAACGGGCAGGACCAACCAATCTTCAACCTTTTTCACCTCACATCGATCACGCTGCAGTTGCACCCACCGACAACACCACTGCACTCCAGCACCACTCCAGCACCACTCCAGCACTCCTTCAGCAGTGCAACTCGCGGCATCGTGACCGCCGATCTAACCGACGTGACAGCGCATTGCGCGCGTGGTTCCGTTACAACCTTCCTGCCTTTGGACCGACAGCCGCAGCGCGCAATTTGGCGGCCGGCTCGCTCGCGTGTATACGGATGCCAGGCCCGATTTCCGGAAGCCGGGACGCCTGATAGGGGATCCGGTGCGGAGGCGCCCGTCGGATGGCAGTCTATGACACGGCCAGTGCTGCTCCGCACTGCGGCGACCCACTCGATGGACGCCGATAACGTCAACACTATTGGCGACACCTTGGCCTCTACTACTGTGTATAAGAGACAAAAAGATGGAAACTCCTCGACGTCCTCCGGCTGAAGCTGGAACTGGATAGAGAACCATCGCCTCGACTGCAAGCACGACGACGTGCATGAACAAGAGTTTGATCAGCCTGCATCCGCAGACTCTGTAACGCAAGTACGCATGTAGGTTGAGTTGTATTGTACAAAACCCACACACACCGCTCCTTTGCGGCCGCCGACTCTCTCCATCGAGCCATGTCGGCCATCCTGACATCCTGAGCCATCGTCACATCCCCGGCTCTCAAAACCACCCGGCGATACTTCCGGTAGACACGCGCGCTGACAAGTGAGTGACAGTCACCAAGCCCACGCCCACTTAGTACGGTGTAGCTGCCGTGCCATAGCCTCCGGCTGCAACTTGCTCGTGTCCGGCAACCAGTCATCGTCAACGCCAGTCACCTCGACAGCTCCAGCGAGTCGACTCTAGTCAAGCACCTGCTTCACTAGTTCGTCACCGCATCCGCTCAACTGGGTCTCAACTGGGTCTCAACTGGGTCTCAATACGGAACTTCCGCCTCCTCTGGAGTTGTCTCTTCTGTCCACCCAACAGGCATCACCATCCTTTCCTAGGAGTTGCCTGCATCATCCACCGCACTACCGTCTCAGATTCCCAACCACCGCCAAGACTTCTCTCTCGACTTAGTCAAACGACGAGACCATGGCCGACCAGAACCAAGTGCAGCAGTGGCACGTCACCGAGCCGTATCTGGATCTGCACTGCCAGCTCGGAGAGGGTCCCTACTTCGAAAAGGGCACCCAGACGCTGCGCTTTGTCGACATCAAGCAAAAGCGACTCCACACCGTCTCGGTCACGGAAGGGCCAGGTTCGCTCAAGACCCTCCAGCTAGATTCCCCGATTGGTGTCACGGCCAACATCCAGGGTCAGGATCCGCAGGAAAAGATTCTAGTGGCGCTCAAGTATGGCATTGCCCTCCTCGACCGAAAGACGGGTCAGTATGACTACTTGACCCGCATTGGTGGCGAGCCCGACAGAATGAGGTCCAACGACGGTGCCGTTGATCCGCATGGTCGTTTCTGGCTCGGTACCATGAATGATTTTCACGTTGGTGAGCCGCAAACCGAAGGTGAGTGAGAGAAAAAAAAAAGTCAAAAGTCCCTCTTCTGCTCGGTCAGCCAGTATCTCCTTCCCACGTGGCAGCCCGGAGGCCCAATTCGGCAATCGACCCTGGGTCTGTCAGGGGGTGTTATGTGGAACATCCCGGACGCTCGATGTGACGCGCTTGTGCTGTCAATGGAGCTTACTGTGGAGGGTGCGGGTCTCTTGGACCTCTTATGCACAACACAACAGCAGAGCAACAGCAACAGCAACAGCAGTACAGCGGAATTGGGCCGTCATGGCATGATTTTTTTTTTAATCTTCTCCAAAGTATGTGGATTCTGACATGGCAATTTGTTCGTATCCAGGATTCCTCTACCGATTCGATCTCGGAAAGTCCAAGGAGGAGATCGAGTCAGGTTTGATCATCCCCAACAGCCTTGGCTGGTCTCCGGATGGCAAGACCATGTACTTCACCCACACGCCTGAGAACACCATCTTTGCGTGGGACTACAACCCCGAAGACGGCAGCCTCTCCAACAAGCGCGTCCATTACAAGCACGAGGAGAAGGGTCACTTGGACGGGTTCAGGGTCGATAAGGATGGCAACATCTGGCACGCCCTGTACGACGGCGGCTCCGTCATCAAGATCTCACCGGCCGGGAAGATCTTGGGCCGAATCATCCTGCCGACCAACAACATCACTTGCGTCGAGTTTGTGGATACTGAGCTGTTCATCACCAGCGCCGCGGACGAGGACAGCGAGGAGGGGACCCCGAGTAGGAAGTACGGCGGTGGCCTGTTTAGGGTCGATGTCGGCACTACCGGATTGGACCACACCGAGTTCAAACTGGAGTAAAGATGTTGTTCCTAGGCAAATGATATCTGCATGATTTGCATACACAGTGTATCTGGTCTTTTCGTCTGCATGTCTCAGTCCAAGGTTCAGGAGAGGACGAACCGAGGACAGTGTGTGTGGCATACAGATATCCAGCTGTTTACGTACCTGCCTGGTCCTAGGTAGACAGCACTAAATTAGTGAAAGCCGATGGACGGCGATATCCAGAGCTTTGCATAGATCTCTCAGATCTCTCTCTCTCGGATGTTTCAAGTGTCTCACTTTTGGTCGTCGCTTAGGTTCGTTTTGTGGCTCACCGTGGGAGGTTCGAGACTGCGTACTATGGCATAATAGTAAGCACCTAAAAAGTCATTAAAAACTAAAGGGCCCAAGGCTAAGAGACAAAAGGGACCTCTGTCGGGTTGCAGTAAACTACCACACCAGCCTCCCCCTATCCTGAAACACAACTGAACCAAGCTACGGAGGACATGTGGGAGAAGCGCAGTAGGCGCAGTAGGTACACTAGGAGGAGAAGATAAACTCAACCACTAGGAATTTATCTCTTCTGCTACGACTAGTCTCTAGCGGGACACTTGTCTCCAATGGGCAATGGGACATCCCAGCGTCGGGTCAAACGCCGAACCTCCGTTTTGTTGTACGGCGGGACGGCTCGTTCGAGTTGTATGTACGGTACGGTGTCGGAGACCCGGTGGGTGGGAGTTCGCTTGCTGCAAGCCTCCTGGTTCTGGGTCAGGTGTCCTCATGAGGAACAAGGAATCTGTGAACCCTGATGGACAGGCTGGACTGATGGACTGATGGTGGATGGCTGAGTACACCGGAGATATGCTCACCTGTGGTACAGTACGTATGATTCCCGTCCTTCTTCAACGGGATATCATCAGCTGATAACTACCTACCTGTCTTGGAAGGGGGAGTTGGTTGGTCGTTCGGTAAGAAGGAATCCTCATTGTGGCCGGGAACTCTACCCAGGAAGGAGTCAGGCTGCTGTGAGCCAGGTAACAGGCTCAAGTTACAATAGGACAATCGTCACTTGTGCAGTCAGTCTCAACAGTCTATCATGCTCGCCCATCAGCCAACAATGGCTCAGAGTAAGAGGAGGCGGATATCTGCCAGGTTAGGTATGTATCATCTAATGGATGCCGCAGATGCGAATACGTTAGGGCTACGTTCGGGCTATGCTCTTCGTGTCCAGAGGAACCAGCCAACCGGAATGGTGGTGTCGTCTCCCCCATAACGCTCCGCCTCGTCTGTTCCCCGCCCGTTCATCCGTCCGCCCGCTCCGCTTGTCGGCGGGCATTTTGCATGCATGTCATGTTTCGTTTGGTTGTCGTTTCGTTTCGTTTGCGATAAAGTTTCGGTTATTTTCTCGCTTAACCTCCACCTATAATTCACAGTGTTATAGGCGGAATGGATGAGGGATCAAGGGTTTCTCGTTGTTCTCTACACCGATTTGTTGTTTAGTGTTCGTTGGCTGGCTTGGCTGGCCAAAAGATCAAGCATGGATGGATGAATGGGCCTTCGAAGGGATGAAGGGATGAAGGACTGGACCCGAATGCAACCCGGATTCGAGATGGAGGTGTAAGCGAGCGGTGAAGAGACTCAGCCTTGTCTCTCGTCTTTCCCAGATAAGAGTTTATGTTGGATGGATGGATGGTGGTAAAGGGGTGAGGACGGTGGTTGTGGTCACTGAGTGATCACATGAAGGGGATACGCGCTTTGGACACAGTGAAAGATGAAGATCGATAGCAGCTATTGCCAGGGATAGAAGTCATCTCAGGGGACATACATAGAAACTGATACGGAAGGGATGCATAACTGGATGACGTACGCAGACGAGACGAAAGGGTTGGGTACCCGGAGGAGCTCCTGTAGGGTTATGGGGGATTACTCACAGTGGCGATGACTAGGCCTGTTGACTGCTGTTCGAAGATGCAAAAAGAAACAAAGCATCAAGAACAAAAGTAGAAAAAGAAATAACAAGCCGCCGGTCCAGTGCGGTACACCTCGACCACCTTAGTACCCATATGTTCATGTTGTTGGCGTTGTCCTGTTGTTCAATCCCTTTTTATAATTATGGGACGCCCTTTTTGTCATAATGAGCTTTGTATATGTTGTGGTGTTTGATTCACGGTTTGGTCACTTTTTATAATTATGTGACGGTTTTGAGGTTTTGGAGTGGTGTACGGTTAACCGCTGCGCCATGTTGCCATTGCTCTCCGAACCGGCGGCTTGTTGGAAGGAGGCCTGCGGAAAGTAGTACATGTACCGTGGTGGTTTGATAGGGAAGGAGCGACACAGGTTGCAGAGGTGGTGAAGCAGCTCTGGTGAACCTGGACGAGATGGGATGGAAGCGGAAGGTGGGATGGAGCATGTCAGTAATAGAGGTAGACAGATGTGTTGGAAAGACCTGACTCAGTGTGCTTTTTCGAGGTTTCAAATGTGTCTGTTCGCTCCTCAAGATGATCGAAGATCCTCTTTGTACCGCAGCTCGTTGCCGGTCATATAAGCACTTGCGCCATGAAACAACGTTTCTTGGTAGATGGTCCGGAGTCGGTTACAAAGTGACCGATCTTCGGCTCCCAAGATGGTGTTCACAAGTGTGCTGCTTGCTTACTTAGTATCTGACGGAAAGTAAATCGCTGACTGAGAGTTGAGGAGGAGAGAAGGAAAATACAAAGTGCTATTCATAGATTGCTTACTCTTCCACCGCGTCAGCGTTTCAGACCATCGTACAACATCCAAGCCATAACTATATAATGCTGTGTTATCCATATAGAACATCACGTTAAGGTCCAGCGGCCGTCGATGAAATAGCTGGGAGCATTACACGCAGACGCCACTGACAATAGCTAACAGCATCGGGTATACTTGACTTCTATAGAACGGAATCAGCCACCTGCGGGAACCCGTTTCATGCAAGTAATCCTTCTGTTTGGAAAGAGATGTTTTGGTCTCACGAGACAGAATACATCAGGGAGGATTAAGAGACATGAGAGGTTCGTATGTTCCTCCAGAGTCGTTGTACAACAGTGACTCGGTCAAGAGTTAGACAACTATCGCACCTCTTTATTTCTTGCCGGATGACATATACCAGACTCGAGCCGTTCTCCTTGGACTAGATAGTTCAGACCGGGAAATGTGTACTGGGAAGATCAGACGTAGGAAGTGAATGTACCCAAGTTAAAAAAAAAAAAAAAAAGCATATAGGCACGCTAGAAGACTCTATCACGGTCCGTGATTCGAAGCTGTTGCGTATGATGGCAATTTCCACAACATTTACTTCCCAGTTCTAGAAACACAGAGGTTCTGAACATCAAAACGATGATTCTTCTGCCATATTTCTGAGAGGCACATCCACTTCCTCCGCTTACCATCGCTACACGTGTTTCAAGTGACCAAGGGCACACTGATGAGTAGTCATAAGAGTAACCGGACATGGACAGTCCAATACCGCTCGCTTTGGCTAGGAAAGGCGTTGGAAGCACGTCACCAGAGTTTATTCGGAATTATTTGATCCAGGAAATGGTTCGATTGCGGTCAAAAACTGTAGTAGAGACGCATGGATGCATGAAAGAGTATACCAAAAGGGTGCTGTATTGGACCGTGACGTGTTCGGTTTACTTTAACGATCACTCGACTGGGTACCCGAACTGGTGACTGTGGAAGAATCGGGTATTTGACACCCAGTTCCACTGATCAGATTTTAAGGCGGCAGCTTCAGCTTTATGGCGACGGGATACTGTCACTTCTAACGCAATGATCCCTATCATCAGGACAATGAGGCGGCTCTTGACTGTAGGTCGATATATCGGACACGTGTATCTCTGATTTTCCGGCTCGTCTCGAACACAGGTTGTCGGCGAGTGGTATGGTACAGTTACAACGATGATGGTGGTTGAATGCCGGTCGACTGCGAGGCTAGCTAGCCACTAAGGCAGTCTGATACAGCAAAGTGTTGCTATTACCCCGGGTATCAATCTGTTGACCTTCTTCATGACGCAAATAATCAAAAGGACACCCCGGAAGTCATATTCGAAACACACAGCACCCGCCTCACTTCCACCCATACTTCCCCGCAGCGTCCTTGCGATTATTCCTTCCCTGAGCCCAACTATCCTCCAACGCAGACTGATTGCTCTGCGCCATATTGACCATCTGTCTGAGACTGTGCTTGCCCGGCGCAATCGCCCGCACTGGGTTGTACACTTGCTCGCCCGAGGCCCTCAGCGCGTTGTTGTGCTCATACTCCTGCTCCATGTTGAAGTTTACGATCTTGGCGCCTTCTGGAATCTCAAAGGCATCCCTATTCTTGCCTCCACGTTGCCGCCCAAAGAGCTCTCTGCGTGCCGTCTTGTTCAGAGCAAGGTCGTCGGCTATGGAGCCGAGGGACTGCTGGTGGCTTGCATTGCTAGGTGCCGAGTTATAGGTGGAAGAGGTAGGGGCGGTGTAAGAGTCGTAGTCGCCTGTTACGTCGCTCTCATTGTGTTCATAGTTCGTCGAGGGCTCCGGGGCGGTGAAGAGGGGCTCGTAGGCACCTGTGGCTGATGTTGTTACTGTTGTTGTTGGGGTGGCTTCCTCCTCCTCCATGGAGAAAAGCGAGACCTGCTTCCTTTTCGGAGCTGCTTGTTGTGCTGCTACCACAGTGTCTTGTGCCGATAGGGCTGGTGCCGTTGTTGTTGCCGCCTTGTCCCCAACACTCTGGGCAGCTGGTGTTTTGGGTGTCACAGCCTTCTTCTTCTGGGGCTTCCTTGCTACGGAAAGTGGCTTAAACATGAGCGGCTTTCCAACCAACTTTACTTCCTCCTCGGGCTTCTGTCCTTCTGGTATTGATGGCCCTGCCGGAGTCTTCTTTGGTGCAGGAAGGTTGAGTCCAGAGGAAAAGCCGGACCCTGATGTCGATTCTGATCCTCCAAAGCCACCGTCCCCATTGTCATTGCCAGTTCTGGAAAAAGCAGGTTCTGCGCCAGTCCTAAGATTCACGATCGGCTTGGGCTTGTTGCTGTTGTCGCCCGCTGGCGCTGATGTAGAAGCAGTGTTGGCTATGGGTGCCGTCTTCTTGGGTGCTGGTAGAAAAGACCCGAAACTGCTAAACCGACTGGATCCTCCTGCAGCTGTCTTGGCCCGTTTTGCTGGTGGTTCATCTTCGGCCGGTTTTGACTCGGGATCTGTGCCTGCGCTGCCTAGGTTGACAATGATTTTGCCTGAGCCAGAGCCGGAGCGGTCGATGAGCTTTTGAAACGGTTTCTTCGTGGTCGGGGGAGCCACGGCGGGTACAGGTGTGGGCGCTACTGGCTGCTGAACGGGTTCAGAGTCCGAGTCCGAGTCGGAACCATAATCTACCAAGCCCATCTTGATCGATTTCGGTGTGGTTTCTGTTGTTGGTAATCTGATGGTTGATGGTGTAAAGAGACAGAAATGCGACGCGACGTCAACTTTCACGGCGTTCAGTCGTTCACAGGGCGGTCTTGGCAGCAACGTCCAGGGGTCGTCATTGATGCAGTGCAATTGGAGAAGTCTGGGCCTGACCCACCGTTTCCCCAGCATTTGGTACCCCACCAACAATCCAATGTGCCCGACAGCTGATAAGATAAGGGAGCTTGTGCCCGCGGCGTGTGAAACGGCCGGTGGGTGCTGATCCCCCCCGAATGCAGTGGCCCCAGGGACTCCCTAGAACATCATCAACCTCGCTAGAACACCTTGCGACACATCACCATTCTCCAACCGAACACCGCATACAACTTTGTCACACAACACAAGGCTAGACAGACGGAAAGCAATCTGGACGATAGTCGTACGAATCCCCTACCTCGAAACAAGCGCAGCGACAACGAATCCCCTGTGTCATCCCTTACACAACAACCTCTACTCTACGAGCTGGACTCGCCCGCCGCTATCGCGAAACCGAACCTCGTCGCCAATCCGTTTTCACGCCCACGTCTGCTATACTACCTTGTCATCGAACTCGCAGTGCTGCTGCTTGGATGGTGGTCGGATCCCGGTTGCGACCCCCGTCACGGCGCCTCTTGATATAGCCTGCTTGCCGGTGACTGCGATTGGACCTTCGATTACTCCCATCTCTTCTTGGCCTCGGTGATCCTCTTATATGTCCCGACATTAGCCATGTCCGTGATTCAGGTGGAAGAGTATGTGTGCTGGGTTGTCCCATGACCGGTGTGGAGGCTTCGCCATGTTGGTCCAATCGTGCTGATCCGCTTTCTGCAGTCTGGTTTCCTACCAGCTCCGTACGGGCTATCTGAATGAGGTTGCCGACGGCGTAGGAGAACGGCTATTCACACTGAACGAAGGCTTCCTCAACTCGGCGCCCTTCAAGTCCACCGGTTGGCGCCCGAATCCCGCCCTCATCAAGCGAACCCACTCTCCTCCTATACCCACAGCGATCGCATCCGAATACTTCCAAGCCCCGCGAGTAGCTGCGCTGCCGCTTGAAGATGAAGGGGAGGAAGAGAACTTGTTTCCGGGCGGGGGCATGCCGCTGGGCCCTAGTGTAGCCGCGAAGCGCCGCAGGAGGAGGGAACAAATGCAGGATGAAGACGACAGCAGTGATCTCAGCGACGAGAGCGACGATGAACCCGACCACCGAGCTGCTCAACAAATCAAATTTGCAAAGATGCCATTGCGCACTCGATCTGGCTCTTCACCTATTCAGTCGTCCAACCTGCGCCAGGCAACAACAATGTCACCACCAAAACCGGCAGTCAGAAGAGGCTCTCAGTCCGCCTTGGAGACGGTAAAGGAGAGGGCGAGGAGCGACACTGTAACAAGTAGTGAGGTCTCATCAGATCACGAGTTTGATGCTTCTGGGTTCCACCGGGCAAGAGAGGCTGCCCAAGCTGCGGCAGCCCGCGCAGCCAAGCTGTCTGCCAAGCTGAACACAGATCCTTCCATGGGCATCAAGCGAGAAGCAAGCGATCTACTCGAGGACGAAGATGAAGACGATGATTCGGACGCTTCGGACATATCCGAAGCCTTTGTCGAAAGTATTGACTCAGCATCCATCCTGGATGCCATCAAGAACCCCATGAACGCATCGCCTCAGCATCAAGTGGTCGGTACACCTCCACGAGAGTACACAAGGAGGTCAACCATGATACGCAAGTCAGTCATGCCACCTCCATCATCCCTACTAGTAGCGAAGCTTCCACCTCCACGGCCATTGAGCACGATCCGTCCGATCAGCGTGGTTCAACCCAAGAGTCTGCTCTCCGCGGCGCTGAAGGCCAAGAAGACAAAACCGGCGCTTCCATTCGATCGCTTCGCATCTCTGTCAGGACAGGGCGACCCGAACCCGATAATGCTTAGGATCTACGCCCCGTTCTCTAAGAGTCCCTCTAAGCCTTTCGAGGTGCTCATCCGCCGGACCATCCACGAGGGTGAAGGCATGGAAAGGCCCGTAACGGTTGCCGATCTTATCGGCCTAAGTTTATGGCGCTACAACGAGGAGAAGCTAGAACCGTCACTCCCGAACGACAGGCTTAACGTCAACTGGTGGACGCTCCGCATGGTGGAAGAAGACGGCGAAGTAGACGACGACTTCCCGCCCCTGGAGCGGAAGAAGCAGCTCACCTCCTTTACTACAGCTAACAACAAGGCCGGACGGTCACGCTCCAACTCCAAAGTCTACGATATCTTCGCCCTTTCCAAGGCATCCGAAGACGAATTCGAAGAGAACCAAGAACTCACCCCGCAATTCGAGCAGGAACAAGCCGGCGGGAGCCACGAGGAGGAGGAAGAAGACAATGACCTAACACCGCGCGGCACTCCCCGACCAGACAACTCCCTCCTCCCCGCCGCCGAGCCCCGAGGTAACCCGCTGCTCAACACCACCTACCGCCCCGGCGTGACCATGTACGCCGACATGCCGCAGCCCGCCCAGCCAACACAGAGCACCTCGCGCGGCGAGAAGCGTCTCCTGCGCATCCACTTCCACTCCTCCGACGTGCCGGCCGGGCAAATGATCACGCTCGACGTGACCACGGAAACCTGGCTCGCCGACGTGCTAGACACGGCCTGCCGAAAGCGCCAACTAGACAAGGCCAACCACGTGCTCAAGCTCCCGCAATCCGGCACCGTCGTCCCCCTCGACCGCACCGTCGGCTCGCTAAACAACGTGACGGAACTCGACCTTCACCGGCGACGCTTCGCCACCGACGGTCCGCTAACCATGACCGGCTCCCCCAGCTCTTCTTCCCCTCGCCCACCCTTATTCGCAGATAACTCATCCACCTGGACAACAAAATCCAAGAAAGGCAGAGGCATCATGGGCGTGCACCCGCTCGCCAAGGAGATCCTCAAGCAGGACGAGCTGGGCATCGGCACGACGGCGGTGAAAAAGTACACGGTCTGGCGGAAGCAGCCGATGCGGTTGCTTTCCGAAAAGATCTTTGTCATTGACGGCGAGTACATCCACATCATGCCTTCGGCGGGCGGGAAGAACCCGGGGGAGATTGTGGATGGGAAGGCGACAACGGTGCATTTCAGTAACGTGGTGGGGTGCAAGGTTTCGAGGAAGCATCCTAATAACTTTAAGGTATGTTTGTTTTCCGTTTTACATGTGCGGTTTGCTTTTGCTGTGTCCAATTGATGAAATCAAGGTTTCATACGAGTATCAGGTTGTATGTCGCTAACGTTTGTTGTGTGTCTGAACAGCTTGTGGTGTACAAAGCTACGGAAAGCAAGCGGTATGACTTCCAGACTAGCAGTGCGGAATATGCGGCGGAAATCGTCAACGAGCTTAAGAAGGGAATTTCACCTTACCGGGAGGTGTAACCGAAGAGCTCAAGCAAGCCAAAAGTGGCTCGAGAGGAGGCCTCTTGGCTTTTGCGGCTCAACGAACTGTTATAAAGCGGGTTTGCTTGCTTGGCTATTCTATCGAGCACCTTTTGCTAAAAGCCCCTCCTGGTCTGCTGAGATCTACCGGTTGTACATATGGAATGCTTCTTCCTGCATGCAAAGCCACGAGCGGGTATATGTATAGCCACGAGTTTTGGTAGTTTGTTCTCCATCAATCAGAGCGAAGGCAAAACGCGAAAGACAGCTGATCATCACGGCTCGCATTTTCGTGCTTCTGGTGCAGTAATGTTATCCAATTGCCATTTGTGATCGACCGTACTGCAGTTTATCTTTTTCCTTCAAGCGTACCATAAGGACACAACTGAAGGAATGAAGACTGCAACAGACAGCGTGAACAACCACTATCTGACGGAAATTATTTTGTTGCCACTTACACATCCCAAAAATAACGTTTCGCCTTCATACTGTACCCCTCAAGATACATGACGCGCGTTTCATTATTTCTTTGGCTTTTGTTTGGATGAATCGGGGGCTCAGAAGAGCACAGCCTCCTGTTCAGCCACATGCGTGCGTACTGGTAATCAACTTGGACGAATGAGGCCACTCAGCTGTGAAGCCCGAGCTTGCGTGTGGCCTGTTGTGGCCCAGGTCACTACAGTACTGTACTGACCGGTTCAGTGCTTTCGCCTTTTTCGAAGGTGCGACGTGCTAACAAGTTTTGGTGTCACCGTGGGCAGGCTTTTGTTACTGACGGGCCTGACTGGCGGCTGGCAGCTGGCGCGGTCCGGTCTGAACCAACGGATAGATGAGGGACAGAAGCAAACAACGAAAGAAATATCAGAATCGGGCACAACGAAATTCGAAGCCAAGCACTCAGTCGCTTTGCCTCGTCCTTCTTCGGCTCGTCACTTTTCTTGGACTGCATCAGCCAAGCAAACAACGCAGGCACAGTGAGAGGTGATGTCATCGAATGGATAGAATTCGGGAGAATTGCCCACCGACGGATGGTCCACTAGCGACACTAGCGTCGCGGGCGCGGGAGCCGTTTTTGATGGACTCCTCCGAGACGGACCACGGGCCGGGAATGGTAAGGATGGAAATAAAAAGGAAGAAAGACGTTAAAAATCAAGTTGGAGAGACAAAGGAAAAGCAGACACAAGCCGTGATCACCCATCCGTGATTTCTTCCTTGGGGCCGTTCTTCCGAGCAGCGTGAAGAATGGTACCAAATGCGAAGCGAGGTGTCTTTTCTCCGCATTTAACGATGTCGATCTGGGGGAAGTCCCAAAGACCGTTCATCGTTCGAGGTTCGAACACATCAGATGGGCCTGGGCACTGACTGGGCTCAGGGACCAGGAAGTCCAAGGGTCTACCAGTGGGTTCATGCTGAACTGCAAGGGGTTGAAACACATGCTTTCCGACTTGCAATTGCTTTTTTGGTGACTCGGTGCTTTTTTGTCCTGAACGCATCCTCAACGTTGGAAGGATGAGCGGTGGAGTCCACAAGTTTGATAAAAGATCCCATGGGAATTTGAAGAACAAGAGCCGAGTGATGAGTGATGAGAGAGGGCTGGTGTGAGAGTTCAACGCCGCAAAAAGAAAACGACGGCCATGTTGTGCAACCCAACGTTTACGTCACCGTAACTACTCTCCTCAGGCAAGCAATAAAATTGAACACGAGCAGACAAATGTTGAGATTCGCCAATGGTGAACAGCGCAGAGAATGAAGAAACCCAAAAAGAGTTGACAAGAGCGCCTTCACTGCAGCCACACCCCAGACCGTCATGCCGTGGAACCCGTGTGCTGGATTTCCCGGCCTTTGAGTGGATGGCTGGAGCCGCCTTTCCCCACACTCGATCGGGATGGAGGGCAGGCGCGGCTCGACAGGGGGGTGCGGTCAGTGTGGGTTAACGATGGAGTGTGGTTGGCTGGTTCGTTGCAACACTCCACAATTCTTGGTGTTTCTAGCGCAATCATGACGACGTCCCAGGAAAGCTCAATGCCCAGCAAGGCCAAGCTCCGAGCTGTGGTTCAAGGGAATTCCATCGAGATGGCTGACATTGCGGCCCAGGTCTGGGCCATTCCTTCCTCGCCGGCTACATATGAAGGATCTTTTGTGTTTTGGAACGGATGTAGTGATATTGGGGTCGAGCATTGACTCCAAGCTGCATGGCAATGTAGGCAGTAAGGGCCCGCCAAACGCAACGACGACGACGAGTGGCCATGCAGGTTTGGGTTTCGCCTTGTACAACACAGCTGATTCGCTCGTCATCGTTTCAAACCGGGCCGTGGCAGGACACATCCTGGGGAAAAAGGGAAGGTGCGAGGAGAGGATGGATTCAGTCATCCAGGCAACAGGGCTGGGACGGCATCGACGATGGCGATGGATATAGAAAGACCGTGGCTACTATCTAAGTGACCCCCAGGTCAGGGTGGTGTGATGTTGGGAAAACTCGTACCTCCTTCGCTGTGAGATCGTCGGAAGGAACACCTCAGGTGTTCCGGATCCCCAGCCACAAACCAGCCATCACTGTGTTTCGCCTCTTTGCGTGCAAGTGCACACAGTATGTACCTGCAGTGACAGTGGATGCGTGATCCTCACTGGTTCACTCGTCGTCGTTGCTTGGAACAAAAAAAAGAAAGAGCCAAGAGAGGTGGGTGGTGGGTGGTGGGAGCTGGTGGTGGTGACGGGCCGGCTCCCAGGATTTAGGTCCTGTTCTCAGGTCAGGTTTGTTTGCCTTGCCCTGCCCTGCCTGCTTCCACACCTGCCCACTGCCCTGTCGTCTGAGCCTGCCTGCCTTGCACTCACCCTTGCCCCTCATCCTTGCTTGGCCTGCTCCTCTCCGATATAAGTATTTGTCTCTTCTTCTCTTTCTGCTTCTCTCTTACGTTCCACAATCCAACAACTCTTTTTTTTCGCGTCGAAATACCCCAGAGCAACGCTCGCTTAATACCATACAACCAACAATAATCACCAACAAAACCCAACAACCATCAAAATGAAGTTCTCCGCTGTCCTCGTTGCCCTCGCTCCTCTGGCTCTTGTACGTTCCTCCCGATCAACACACCTTGATGCCATCCACAGTTGCTAACCACCCGAGAAAACAGGCCCAGAACTCCATCCCCCAGTCGGCTTCCAGCGCGATTGGCTCCCTCTCTAGCAGCATCACCTCTGCTCTCGCTTCCCAGAGCGCCTCCCTCAGCTCCAAGGTCAACAGCATCTCCACCAGCGCCGACTCTGCTGTTGCTTCCGTCACTAGCAAGGCTGGCGACTCCCTCTCCTCTCTCAACTCTCAGCTCGCCACCGCCACTGGCTCCGACAGGGCTTCCATCACCTCTGCCATTGGCTCCCTCACCAGCAGTGCCAACTCTGCTGTCAACTCCATCACTAGCAAGGCCGGCTCTGCTGCCAGCTTTGCTACCAGCAACCCTGCCGCCCCCATGAAGACCGGTGCCGTCGCCATGGGTGCCCTCTTCGGTGGTGCTGCCGTCCTTGCCAACCTCTAAATTCACTTATAAATCAGGAGTGAGTGTGGGGATGGTTTAGAGTATCAGCCACGGAACTTGGGTCGTGTTTTTACGAATGTTGGACGATCCTCTTTCGACATTCACTAGTTTCGAGGTTGCTTGTACAACAAGAACACACGACATATTTGACAAGCGCCCTCCGCAAGGGATTCTACTACACATGCTTTTTGTTTCAAAAGATTCCCTGCCCAGAATGGGTGTTTGGACGCTTTGCTACGCTGAGCTATGGTTCGATGTCGAGATGATGGTAATGGGATTATGGATGGGATTTTCCATTTGTTGGCTTGGAGAAAGTAAAGGAGTTAACATTACCTGGCTTAATACAATCTTCATACACCAACCTCAAAGCTTCCCATAACGTTTTGTGACTGTGCTCCTCGATTTACGAACGGGCGTCCAGACAAGCGACCTACAAACACGGTCAACGCTGAGTGATCATGAGGCCATGGTCGATTGCCCAATCCATTCATATCCAGAGGTTGAATGAAGGGTTGGCTGGGTCGCTTCCAAATGGAACCAACAGCGTCATAGACACTTGGCGGAGCTAAACCCAAACAGGGCCCTGGCTGCATGACAGCTCCAAAGATAATGCATGCAAGAGATCAGATCACCGAGACACTAACAACTAGGATGTACCTCTTTTGCTATATTCAGTGAAGGTGGACTTAGTCGCGTTACTGCGTCTGTGCATGCGCTACCAACTTTCCTACCTCTACCCAGCGGTTGGTGGACCGACCCGTCCCAAGCAGCCCATCGGCGATGTAGGATGATCCCCTCTGCACTTTTCGCAACTGCACTCTGACTGCATCTGTCACGTTCAGACGCGGCGCTGGCACTGAGCCACGCCGACAACGGTTCTCCTTTCTCCGTGTTGTTGCTATCGATTTTCGTGCCAAAGCCCAGACCACCAGACCTGCTAATGTGTGGTCCTTGCATTGGTGCTAAAGGGAGGGAAGAGATGCCTAAATCAACACAGGGTTAGAAGGGCTCGAAGGGTAAAAAGGCATCCTCTTGCTATGCTGACGCTATCAGGAGTTGTTTTATCTCTCTTTTGGCTGATTTCGCCGTACGCGATATGGTGAAAAAAGCGAGTGTCCTCGAGTCAATTCTAGGGACGACGTCTAGGACCCCGACTGCCCGTTCACATTCCGGAATGCACACATATGCGCGCGCGGTCCTTGACAGGTCGGGTGTGGATGGTGCAGACATTCAGGTGTGTGGTTCTTCACATGATGGATGAGGACTGCGTACAGACATATGTACTGGATGCCGAAATGTCGGCTGTGTATGTGGCTACGATTGCGAGATGCGGTTTTATCGCTTGAAACTCAAAAATGTTGGGAATGGAATTGAGGAGGGTGAGCGGATGGGAAGAAATGGATTGAGTGTGAATTTGTTGTGAGGATAACTCCAATAAAGAACAAGAACATCACAACGTGATTCAATCTTGCTCAAAATTGGGAGGGAGAATGAAACGTACGTATTGCCAAAACAACCCACTGCGTTTCCTGTGTCTGATCTGGAGCAAGATGAAAGAAGAACACTGACTGACCTTCGAGAAGTCATGTTGGGAGACAACCGTAAGGTGAGAAATCTCCGACGGACTGCGAGATGACACCTGAGTCCAGATGCAACATGAGGAAACATGATTTACCGGTTGACATTTGTCACCTGAGATGATGCAGATACTGGCATTGTGTTCTTACATTCCGTTCCGCTTCGCTCTGTTCATATGACAGAACTGCTTGGTAGACACAAACTGTTGTAGCGTCTCTCTAAACACCAATGATGCCCTGAAAACTCGGTAGTGCTTTTCGCCTCTAGTCCTTCCATTTTTGGTATTACCCATACTCGCGAGATGCATCTATCATCAACCGCGAACATATGCGTCTTCATCGCACGTAATAGTATAAAAAGAATAAAAAAAGATAATGGAACAATGATCAAGCGGCGCCCCCAAGTGCCCTCACCGCCGCCTCCTCAACGACTGTCGTCCGCCGTTTGCCGGTTATCGTATCGCATCGTATCGCATCGTATCGTAGTATCGCCGTATCGGAGTGTCGTCGCGTCGCGGTTGTCGTCGTAGGGGAAGGGGGCTACCGACAGCCCGACTTAGTCGGGCACCCCCTTTTGTCGTCGAAAGTTGAGAAAAGTGCCGTCGTCGGGAATCGAACGGGTAGCCTAGGCTTGGCCTGTGAGTCTGGCCTGTCGTCGGAACGTGCGCGCTTCGTTGGACCGCTTGACCATTTGTCCCATTCGGAGGTGTTGGAAGATGGGGTGAAAGAGGCTGGTTATGAATGAACTTGTGCCCGGCCGGCGTTGGTGCCTAGTGGTAGGTTGCCGGGCAATGTGTAAAGGGAAGTTGGAAGGAGCGCGGGCTGGTGCGGTTGCCAACTTAACTGGCGGATGGTCTTTCGTCGGTAGGTCGAATCAAATCTCCGTTGTAGTGTGATATTTGTGAACGGAAAGCTAGCGAGGATATGGTCGTTGATAGCGAGGGAAATCAATTGAGGATATCGTCGTGGTGGCTATAAGCCTATAAGTCCAAGGGATCTTGAAGCATTCAAATAGCATCACTTATAACTTGTTCAATAATGCTACCTCTGTCATATGACTTGAAGTCAACTTACTTCAACGAACACTTGCAGCTCACATTCAGCATAATCACAACAAGCCACCATTTGGTCATCAGATTAAGAAACCAAAAAGTCCATATTCAAAATTTGGTATCAAAGAACGATAGTAAGAATCCAAAGAGTAATAATCAACCCCCGTGAAACACATCTCTCACTCACTCCCCAAAGCAAAGCCTTTCTCCCCTATCCCCTTTCCCACCGCACAGCCAAAACACTCAAAAAAGCAATCAAAACTCCAAACTCACACCACCCCAAAGAAAACTCACAAAGCCTCAACCCCCGCCCTCCTCGCCAACCCACCCACACCCCCCGCTCCCCCAACATCCATCAAAAACCCCCACTCCCCCCTCGTAATCGGGCTGATATCATCATACCCATTCGGCGTCAAGGGGCCCAGCCTGTTGCCAAACCGATTATACCGTCCACCGCCCGGTGACACCTCCAGTCTCTCGTTGTCGGAGTAGTCGGACTCGTCGACATCCGAGCTCGCAAGGTTGCTGCTGGAGCTGGAGTTACCGCCATTGTGCAAAATCCCATCTAGGGTGTTGCCTGATGAGTGCGGAAGCCAGATGTTGATTCTTGTTGCTGTTAGGGCGGTGCGCGGGGAGTCGAGAGGGCGGGCGGTGTGTTCTTCTTCTTCTTCTTCTTCTGAGGAGGAGGATGGAGAGGATGAGGAGGGGGTTGATTGGGTGGTGGGGTTGGAGTTGATGACTGTTGATGGGGAGTCAAAGTCCGAAGAGGGGGATTGAGCACCTTGGACGGTGGAAGGGGATGAGGTTTGCGATTTGGGGGATTTAGTCTCAAGGGGAGAAAGCGAGTTATAGATGAAACCGCCGCGCTTGGGCTTGGTGGGCGGGATGACGAGCTCGAGTTCCATCTTGGCGAGTGTGCGCTGGACGCGGATGGGAGTCGTCAGTTCGAGGTCGGACTGGCGGGCTGGGCTGGGAGGAGCAAGGCGTTGTCGGGGTGACCTTTTTTTGTTGGATGATTTTGGTGGTCTGGGATCGAATGTGGTTTGGAGCTTGAGGCCCGCGAGCATATTTGGTCTGGCTGATCGGCCGGGAGGTGCTGGGGATAGTCGGGGGGTTGTGCGGTGGAGTTCTTGCATTTCGTGGATGACGACGCGCTCGACTTCGCGGGTTGGGGTTCTGTCGTCGTTGTCGATGTCGATGTTGATGTCGACGGTTGGGATGGGAGCAGCCGCTCGGGGTGGTTGAACCTGGCGATACTGTTGAGCTCCGTTGACATTGACCATCCGCACCTCTCTTCCCACACCTATTTGTCCTACACCGATCTGGACATTGCGGTACCAAGCCTCGATGTCGTCCATCTCCAACTTGCTTTCCAGATCAATCTCGTCCATCATGTCGGTGATCTCGTCAAGATCAATGTCCTCCTCCGCCACGACAACCGCCTTCTCGACACCACCAAAATAATAAGGTCCAACCCACCTCTCAGACACCGGCGCCACCGGCAACGGCCTCTCCTTCTTCATCATGGCTGGCGGCATCCCAAGATCACCCATCAACTCAAACACTCCCTCCTCCACCCCCTCCACCTTCTCAACCGTATCATCCACCCACCCCTTCTCCCTCACATCCCGTCCTCCCCTGTGATCCCTGCGCCCATACGCCCTTCCATACATCCTCCCCACCTCCTCTAGGCTCCGATCGCTAACCGGATCCATAAACCGCGCATACGCGCCCACAAGACAACTCTTCTTCAGCTTCTGGCATCCGTTCCCCAGCACCAACCTTCTCAACTCATCCATGGCATCTTCCAACCTGCGGTGCGCAATCGACCGCGACACCGATGGCTTGTGGTTCACCGTCCTAGTGTAGCACTGCAGTGCCGAGCGGAAGGTGTACAGATGGTCCAGCGATAAGAGGCGGAGGCCCGCTGCTCCGGAGGAAGAGGAGGAAGGGCCGAAGAGGACTTCGTTTTGGGCCAGAGAGCGGTGCAAAAGCTCGGGTGGAAGGCCGAGTGTCGAGGCGGGGATGGGTGGAGGGAGGGAAGAGGGGGAGATGTTGAACTTTTTGGCCGCTTTTTCGAGAGTGGAGCAGAGGAGTTTGTCTTCTTTTTCTTTGAGCGGGATGGCGTGGATGAGGCGGATGCCGAAGTCTGAGGATGTGGGCGAGGATGGGATTTGGAGAAGAGCAGGGCCGAAGCCGCGGGTGGCGTGGAGGCCGGCGCTAGGAAGGCAGGTGGTGTTGATGTTGTCACCGGCGGCCATGGAGGAGGTGATGGAGTAGCAGGGTGTTGCGGGTGTTAAGGGCACTGAGGGTGCTTGGGAAGCGCCTGGGCTGAGTGGCCATCGTGCTCCCCCTACACGGCCGCGGTGGTTGGTGAAGACGGAATCGACTGTTGAGGCTGTCGAAGCAGAAGTGAGGGAGGCTTCGGAAAATGTGGGTGAAGTGGCTCCATAGCGGTAGTCGGTGTTGATGTTGATTACTCTCTCCTTGATGGGACCGGTGTCACCACGAACAAATTGCTTGAATGCGTGAGCAAAGGTGGGCTTGGCTGGGGTGCTGGCAACCGAGTTGGAGGTCGAGGAGGAGGGAGTGCTACCGCAGGAGAAAGATTGAGCGGACGGGGAGCCGAGTGGAGAGGTCGGAAGCTGGTAGTCCTTGCGGATAACCAGGAGAGTGAACTTTGCTCCTTTCCTCTGGAGCCTCTTAGAGGCATACTCGAGAGCCGAGGTGAGATTGCCAGGGAGGTGATCACCCCCTTCGGCGAGGGAGGGCCCAGCACCCAGAGGAGGGGAGATGCGGGTCTTGAGTGGGAGTGAAGAAGGCATCTTTATTTTCTTGTTTTCGGTTTCGAAAGGGTATAATGAGACTTGGCGGAGAGTGACTGAATGAGGACAGACGGTTGGTAACGAGTGGTGTCAAGGTCCGGCCTGTCGGTGGGGTAGTAGTGTCGGCGTCGTCCGGTCGGTGATGTCAAGCTCGAAGTGGAAGGAAAAAAGACTGGAAAGTCAAACACGAGAGCAAGGGTGTAACAAGGAAATAGTGAGTGATGATTGGCTCAACCAGATGTTCCCTCGCATGCAAAAAGAGATGTTGTTTCCCTATTACTAACCCCGTTGCTTCATGATATTGGAATGGAACTGAAGGGGGGAAAAAGGGAACTGGAGACTTGATGAAACAAGAGGAACCCATCAAGTTTTAACCTCTGAACAATTCCCAGTCTAGCCCAAGATAAAACCAGGCCAAGGGACCCGATGGATTGGGTTAAGGGGGCAAAATTCTGAAACGAGCAACGAAGAAAGTGGGATAAAAAAAGAGCTTGGGGACTGGTTGCTGGGCGGTTACGCAGAGCGGTGTTCTGCGGTGATGAGCCAGAAGAAGAATTCTTGAAACCATGCAGGCAGGGGGAGAGGTGAATGAGAATAATTACCCTCCTTCGGGCGTCAACGAGCAACCTCGTTTCACCTTTCTCACATACAGAAGAAAGTGACCAAAGTCAATAATTTGCCCAGAACATGTCCAAAAGAGTTCCTGGGAGACTGGCGAACCTGGGTCTTGTCCGTGGGTGGCCCATCCATCCACCGCCAGGGTGACATTTTCCACCCGCGGAAGCGCAAGCAAGCAGAAAAAGACAAGCCAGTGGGCGTGATGGGCGTTGATGGCGTTCTGCGGTGGTGGTTGTTGTGGTGGCGGCCCTCGAGTGACGAATCGCGTGTAAGTGATGAATGCACCCAAGTGGATCACTCGGCTTGTAAACATTCAGCACAGTAAGCGTGAGCTGTACTTCAAGTTGTGAGGCTCCTGCTCTCGCCGTGCTGTGCTCTTTTTCTATTGTTCCTCATTGTCTTGCCCCTTGCTCCTGAACTCATATGACTAATGTTTGATGAATTTCCATCTTCATCACTCGTGGACCTCGAGTTTCACATCCCCAAGTATCATCTCAAGAAAACCAGGCATCCTCCAACAAACACCTCACCTACCCAGGCAGCGAAGGTTGAAAATGGAAGCAAAAGAACACTCCCCTCAACAATTCCAATCCCACCGTACCTGCAAAACTTGTCACTGTTACAAATGCAACCTCAATCCCCCTGCCCATCAACTCAACCGCACAACCGCCAGAGTTCCCACAAAATCCCACCAGAGTGCCATGGGTGCTCGGTTGGTTCGACCACTAGCATTCAATAGTCTGGTCAGGGGGGTCGGCGGCTAAACCCTTGGCGATGACACTACGTTTTCACTTTCCACTCCTCCACAACCACCACCCATCTGTGAACTTGGAGCTTCCAGTCCATGGAGGATGGAGATGTGCTTGTTGTTGGGTGGTGATCGTGGCACCAGCACGACCAGTAACTTGGATTTATTGAAATGCTTGGCCTTGATGTTCTCAAGTCGCGGGTCTCGACGCTCTTTAACCCCGCGAGTCTGTGGAAGGAGTGGATGGGTTGATCGTCGAAAGATCATCCAGGTAGGGTGCACTTGGGAGTTTGGCAGCTTCGATTTCAAGACGACGAAGAAGGTCTCAAGTGTAGGGCTGACAGGGGCCCTCCCGTACATTTTGTCTGAAATTCATGGTCTTCTCCCAAATTGGTGATTTATCATCAAATTCAATTTCCCGCCGTCATCATCGCCGTGTTCCCATCAGAAGATGACAACAAGTTCGTCGGGAGTCTCGTCATCAAAACAAACCTTACATACCTCTAGGTAGCACAACGACGCAGCGAACAGAACACAACTGTGTCATAGACAAACCCTTACCCAACCCAGCTCGGTTAGACGACGGGAGTCTTGCACAACAGCTCAAGCTGGACCAAGACATGCAGACATGTATAATATCGCGGACGAGGCAGACACGCAAGGTATGCGCGTCCGTGTAGGCGTGCACAACATCTTCTTTCACCCGTCAGCAGCCACCAGCTTGGCCTCATGCAGTTATCCATATCCATATCCATTTGCCCGCCTGCCTGCCTGGCCGGCCTCCGTCCCATCGACCAGGCCTGCAGCTGCCACAATGCTTTCATAGCCGCGATTCATCACGGGAATCATGTCAGGGAACTTGGGAATTCTACGAGGATCAGCAAATCAAATGACTATGAAAGTCTAAGTGTATGTGTAGAGCTATGATGACCCTAGAGTCTGCTATACTCTAAAAGGCTGAAATTTGATACCGAGCCAAAGAAGCCAGAATGCCCGACAACTTGCCCTAGCCGTTTATGCCCAAGACGCCATCGCTTTCCATACCATACCATACCCCCATTGATTGTCCGTACCATTCCATGCAGAAAAGAAATCAGGGGAGATGTAAAACATGCTGTTTCTCCCACCTTTTCGCTTCTTGACCTTTCCATTGTTTCTCTATACCTTTGACACGCTGAACGCCTCTGTCCTTGTCGTCTTGAAAATTCCATAGTTCTCCATGAAAGCTCCTCGTTTATCTATCCCTTCATGTCTCGCAAGCCAAACACATCAACGATGCCGCTGTTGTCGGCCCCGACGCCTACGGCGCTACTGCAGGTCGCCTTCGTTGACCTCCTCCGTTGACATCTTGATATCTCCCAGTTCATCAAACTGTTCAGAGTTAACTGAGGAGTTCTCCCACTCTGTATTGATCAAGAATATAATGTTAGGCGAGAGTGTCGCTCGATGCGATACTGGAGGAGTCGTCAAGCAACATACCGGACCCATCTTCTTCCACCTCGTCTACCTTCAACGCCTGCAATCGTTGGGCGATACCTGCGCCATTGTATCAGTGATATGCCGCTATCCGTCTTTGGGGAAAATGCAACTTACTATGGACAAGCCTTCTGAACGCCTTGGCTTCTGCATCCTCTTCAGGGCCCGGAGGAGGGAAGTACTTGCTGCACAGCTCAATTACCCGTTCCAGGCTCACAACAAGTCGCGCGGACACTTCAATGCCCGTCTCCACGAAATTATCCCTTAGGTACTGCAGGCACCGGATTCCTAATCGCTTCGCGCTCGTCTTCATGCACTCCGCTTTCTTTTTATCCTGCTCGGTATCACCAAATGAGGGTGATGGTCCGTACTGGAAAAGCTTCTCGTAAAGGAAGCGCTCAGTTTCTGAACTCGTTCTCGTGTCGAAGTAGCCCAATAAACTGGGAGCCCAATCGGGAAGGATGCTGATCACTTGAAGAGCAACAGTCTCATCATCCTGGCTCTCTCGCTTGGAATCGAACAGAGCCCGATGGAACTCCAAAAACGCTCCGCCATCTGCACTCTCCACGACGCGGCATTGGTCGCAAATATGCTCTATGAGCTTTTCTACCAGTACCCTGGTAGGCGCATGACGGCAAAACATCAGTGACGCATGCAGGAAAGGATAGATAAGCTGACTTGAATTCTGGCTGCTGATGTTGGCGACAAGAGCGTTGAAAATGCCCTCTTCGAGCCATCGGCTTTGCTTGACCAAGTTGATGATGATCCGGTGAGTGCCCTCAACGTTCTGGTAGATGCTGATGAGCTTTTCGGCAAATATGTTGGCTTGAGTCTTATCCCACATCGTTTCCAGAAGGTTGGCTTCCACTTGCGTATACAGGAAAGGCTGTTCGAGCCATGGATCATTCTGGAGACGTTGGTCAGGACGACCCACAGTAATCCTTACCTGGTTGTCGTCTTCGACTTGCATAGAGGCAAGCAAAATGTCCAGCAAACCAATGAGTGATCCGTAGTCAGGCAACCGATTCTTAGCCCGCCGCGAAAGATGCAGGGCAAGCTTTTGGTACTGTTGACCGATGCGCAAATTGGTATCAGCCATGATGAGCCTCAGAAGAATCTCCAGGAATGGCCTCTTCAAGTAATTTGCCATCTCGTGGCGTCCCAACTTGACGAACGCCCCCATCAAACCAAACACTTCAGGCCACGACCTCGTGCTCGTGAAGATGTTCGCAAAAAGGGTCTCAAAAAGAACCATGACGTGTTCCATGGCTGAATCGTGGAAACCAACGTCATTTGCATCGGGAGACGGCAAACCGTACCGCGATGGTAGCTGTTCCTTGATGACCTTGATCGCCTTAATCAGAATTTCGAGCGTCTTCTGGCGGACATCGGCATCCGGATTTCTCTGCAGAAGCATCCGTAATGGCTCATACGGCCCAGAAGAGCACCGAAACATTTCTATGCTCGAGTGAGGACAATCTCGCGAAAGTTGCAGGATCTCCTCTGCAAGCAACCGGAAGTCTTCTAGATCTTTCAGTTTCGAAGCGACCTGGTCCAGATGGCCGAGCCCCATCGTAATGGCTTCGCTCTCGATCGCATGGTCTGGAGTGCATTGATGTCCGTTAAGTTGCTTCATTAGCTCTATGGCGCGACACACATGCCGTGTGTGGTATGGGTCAAACAAGCAGTGTCTTCTCAGCAACGTCATGTTGTCCTCCCCGATCCAGGGTTTTAGGTAAGGCAACATGTCGACCCGAAGCGGGCTGGCTTGCCCAAGTTCGCTGAGCTTTTGTTGCTTCCTTGCAAGAGATGACGACCGTTCATAGAACAGCATGTAGGCGCTATAGGACTTCTCAAAGTGCATGCCGTTGTGGTCGGAGTTTGATCTGTAATCCGTGCCCCCGAAGCAGGCGTTTTCCAGTTGACTAGGATCAAAGCTTGTAACAGAGTCATCATTGTACTCAACCCACACCGGCTGTTCGCTTCTCGATGGCCGTTCACGGATGTAGGAATAGTAGTGACCTGACTCGGCCGTCCCAGAGTGCACTAGGACCCCGACAAGCTCAAAAACATCCTCTTGCTGATCCTCGTCCGGATTCTTCAAGTGCTCCATGGTATAGGGGCACATGTCAATCTTGTCAGGGAAAGAGAAGAAGTC